GACAAAACATGGCTTTTTTGACCATTTTCGCTTTCAGCAATACCATATAGGTCCTTATATCTTGAGTTTAATGCTGACTGGTTGGTGCATTCTTGGTCAAATCTGTTCTTGTACATGTCTTCTTCCATTTAGGATATAGAAAATGTATATTGGACAACCAATGTTGATATTATAGCTTTCATGTCTTCCCTGCCCCATTTATGTAAATGAAAAAGTCATTTCAAATCATCAATTGTAGCTATTCTCTATCAATACTATGTATTATTTAATGTAACCTTCATTTGATTACATGTGTCTAAAATTTGGCATTTTTAGCATTCTGCATTTAGCAGTAGCATATAATTTTCCACAATTATAATTCTTTGATGATAGATTCATATATGTTTTTTATTGAATCTGTCTTCTCTGATTTAACTTGAAGAAAATGTATGTAAGACAACGAATGTTTTTATTAGAGGTCTAAGATCTGCCCTCCACCATTAAATGAGAAAACCAACACAAATGTTATTATTGCATGATAATATTCTTAAACTTTTCAAAAGTTTAGCATTTATTAGCACACTAAAATCAAAAAATGACACATAAATGGGCAAAATGACCAATTTTTCACTTTCAGCAATAGTTGTTTATATTTTTAGTTGAATGGTGATTAGTTGACATATTTTAGATCATATATATTGAACTATGTGTCTTGTTATCTTCAAAGCATGGAAAATGTGTTTTAAACACAAATATACATATTAGAGATAAAATTACTACACTACTATATTTTTAAAAGATTACTCAAAAATAGCATAGTGCGAAATAATTTTGTAATTTCACAGTTTACTCTCATATGAATCAAAGGATATGTCTTTATATAGACATGATTGTTCACAACTCTCGAACTTAATCCAGCAACAGCCTGATTTTTCAAATCTCCCTGGTTCTATGTTAGAGCTGCATTTAAGTCATTTTAAAGGTAACTGGTCAACTGGTACCCAAGACAAGTCGTACCCAAGCATATATTTTGTTTTGAATCAAGTGTTGGACTGGGAATGTGTAAAGATATACATATTATAACTGTAACATACTGTTCAGAAGTTTGAAGAATTTTCAGAAGAAATTGATATAATTTTGTAACATTTTGAGCTTTGAGTGTCAATTTATTTTGACTATTATTTTATATTGGATGTTCGAGTGAAGAGATATATGTTTATTCCACACATTCATAATCATTTTTTTAAATATTGTATGTTTATGAGTGTTTGGAACAAGTGTCAGATTTAATTCATCTTGGAAGATGGTATTATTATAAATGTATTGATTCATCAAATCTTGGGCCTAATTTCTTATTAAACAGATAAACTATTTGTCTAGGATTTCATATTATCAGAAGTCATATTCATGAAATTTAGCAATAAAATATTTTGAATAATATAATAATAGTATACAAGTAATAATATAGTATACTATTAATATCAAATATTATTTTGGTACTTATTCATACATGATATATTATTACACTTAGTATGCATGTGCATAATCCAATTTAGTTCCAATTGGAAAAAAATTAACAGATTAAACTTCCTTTAAACTTTCTCAAAATGCTCAAATTAATTGTTTGATTCATTTGTAGAAAAGTCAATGTTGTAATTATATTTATTTATATATATGTTTGACAAAAAATGTTGTGAACAAGCACTTCAAGCACTTGTTTTATTAGTAAAAAGGTGATTCAAAATGCTTTACTTAATCCATTGAAATAAAATGTCTTCTAAATTCAAAAAAATATTGAGGCTTATTTGAGTCACATTATAACACATAATTATACAAACTCAATTTGTTTTCCTAATATGCACCCATAATACTGGAAATAACTTGGGTACGAGTTGTCTTGGGTACCAGTTGTCTTGGGTACGACTTGTCTTGGGTACCAGTTGACTAGGAAGCATTTTAAAGGTCTAAGTTGCTCATGACACCACAAGCTATTCAGATATGTAAGATCTCTAAATAATTTTTATAGTTCTGAGAAACTCATCCTTAAATATTGTCCAACGATGTGCACTATGTTGTTTATTGCCACATGGACAAGTAGCAATACACCCTTGACTAGAAACTTTGTATAGCAATTTTCGCTGCCTTTTGCCATTTTACATTTGCAAATTGCCAAGGACATATGTTTCTTGTGTTGCTACGAAGGTTTGTTTGTGAGTACTGGTACAAGACACCCATCTTTGATATATCTTCAAATAGGTATTGCACTTTGAGATTCATATAGTAATTTAGAATGCTACCTTGAAGGACATAAGAAACTTTAAGAGCTCTTTTTAACTCTCATCCTTCTTTGCAAGCAACATTCTGTATCATCAGACTGAATACAAATTCTCTCAACATTGAACTCCTTTGTCTTGTCTGCAGCACTGTAATAGACATGGGCCATAAGGTGAGTGTCAACTTCTTCATGATCAGTATTTGATAGATAAGTTGCAACTATCAGTTTTGCAAAGTTCAATAGCAGCTCTGCCATAAGTGAAATTCATCCCATTTTAGAGATACAGTAACATTGGTTCACAAACCAAAGACAGCTTTACCATTTTGTAATCCTTTCCAAAATCATCTTGTTGGCTGTTCTTCATTTCACAATGTTTACATTTACCAAAATATCCCCAAGCCCAATATCCATCATGAACTTCCTAATTACACCACCCTTAGGTGTAATAGTGAAATCACCAAGCCTTTGACAACATTGCATTTGATATGAGGGAATTCAATCAATATGGCTTGATCACTGATTATAATTATCACAGTACTATACCCCATTATTTTTAAATATATTCCAAGTATTGTACTATACATTGTATAGATTCATGAGCAGTTTGCAACATATCATAACCAGAAAAGCCCAATGGACAAAGATAGAGAATACCCGCCCCATTTGCAACTGTGAATGTCTAATCTTTAGACTTGTATACTCATGAAGTTCCTGACACATCTGAAAACATCTGAGAAACCTTACATAACACAAAATATTGATATAGAATAGCGACAACTTTGTTAAAGTCTATACTTTGAAATTGTTTGGTTTTTATATTTCTGGTTATTTTTTCAAAATAAATGGGGTAGGGGAGATATGTATGCTCTAATATAATGACAGGCTTTCCAATATACATTTTTAAATACCTTTAATCAAAGTAGGCAAAAGAACAGATTTGATCAAGAATCCATCAACCAATCAGCATAAAACTCAAGATATAAGGAACTATATGTTATTGCTAACAGTGGAAATGATGAAAAATGCCAAATTTTGTTCTTAAATGTCTAATTTCTCTACACTAGAATACTTATGAAGGTCCTGAAACATTAATTATAGCAATCAATAACACATAAAGAAGTTACATCTTTGTTAAAGTTTATACTGGTAGTTTGAAGTTATTTTTTATATTTTCTAGTCATCTTCCCTAATAAATGGGGTAGGGGAGAACTGAAAGCTCTAATATGAACATTGTTTGTCTACTATACATTTTCAGTACCTTAAATAGAATAAAACATGTACGAGAACAGATTTAATCCAAAATGTATCAACCAGTCAGCATAAAACTCAAGATATGAGGATCTATATGTTACTGCTGAAAGCAGCATTGATTAAAAAATGCCAAGTTTTGCCCTTAAATGTCTCATTTCTAGCCACTTGAATACCAATAGAAGTTCTGAGAAATCTTAAAAATATTAAATAACACATAATATTGATAATAGAATAGCTACAACTTTATGAAAGTCTATAATTTCAAGTTATTTTATTTTTTCATATTTCTCGCAGTGATCTCCCCAGCATTAAAGCAAGAGGGTGCAACACCCACCTGAGATATTAAAAAGAGGCTTGGACCCACCTGAAAATCCATTTGCATCCACTTGAAAATGAGAAATATCATGAAAAATGGCATTTTTGACCAATTTTAGTGTGAATTGTGAAAACGAGAATTTTTCACCCACTTGAGAAAAATCCTGTGGAGAACACTGTCTCGTTTATTTTCCATAATTGATGGGGTAGGGGAGATCTGAAAGCTCTAATATGAACATTGTTTGTCTACTATACATTTTCTTTACCTTAAATGGAAGAAGACATGCACAAGAACAGATTTGATTGAAAATGCAACAATCAGACAGCATAAAACTCAAGATATGAGGAACTATATATTACTGCTGAAAGCGAAAATGATAAAAAAATGCCAAGTTTTGTCCTTAAATGTCTCATTTCTAGCCACTTGTATACCGCTATAGGTTCTGAAATATCTTGAAAACATAAAATAACACATAATATTGACATAGAATAGCTACAACTTTGTTAAAGTTTATAATTTCAAGTTATTTTATTTTTTCATATTTTTCGGTAATTTTCCATAATAAATGGGGTAGGGGAGATCTGAAAGCTCTCATACGAACATTGGTTGTCCACTATACATTTTCTATACCTTAAATGGAAGAACATATGTTCAAGCACAGATTTAATCAAAAATGCGACAACCAGTCAGCATTAAACTCGAGATATAAGGAACTATATGTTAATGCTGAAAGCGAAAATGATTAAAAATGCCAAATTTTGTCCTTAAATGTCACATTTCTAAACACAAGTATACTAATGAAGGTCTTGAAACATCTGAGAAACCTTACATAACACAAAATATTGATATAGAATAGCTACAACTTTGTTTGAGTTGAACATTTTGACTTCTTGTAGTTTCCATTTTTAGCCAATTTTTTCTAAAAAATTCAAGGTATGTCTTCTTCGGCCCAGTATTAAATATGTTCGCAAGAGTTATATGCTTCGCAGGCGAAATACTTTATGCAGGACACCTTAATAGAATAAAAAATCCACAGAAATTCCATCCAGCTCATAAAGTCATTTTTTCCTTAACGGAGCCTCTTAGAAAATTTTCCACCCCGAGTATACTGTTAGAGAACAATTTATGCAGTACGTATGTGCATACATATACAGTATAGCTAGTATAAATATACCTCTCTCTGCACACAGTCACAGTGCACTAAGTCCGCCCTACTCGGTGATTTGAAGGTCAGACTCCGTCTCGACTACATCGGATCAGCGTGCATCATCCGCAGGGACTATCGTACCTTATTCGGGGTCTCCGTTAATTTGGATACATTGGATACAACGATGCCAGGGAGTACCATCACACCCGACCGGTAAGTAAATGTTAAAGTACAAATTTTTAAAAAATGATATCAAAACATAGTTAGATAACGCTGTCGGTTCCAAAACAGCCCAATATCCAGATAATGCTAAACTGGAAATCGTGCCTTTTTGTTTTGACATATTGCGCTCTTATTTACTTAAAGCAAAATAAGTTTGCAGGACCTCCATTAACACTTATGAAACATTGATTTTAGTACGAGTATGATGTCGTTTACTACTGGGTCTTAACTAGAGCACTTGATTAATGTACCTGGTTTCGATGTGATATTCTCAGGTACTTAAAACATTGAACAATATGCAACATTTATATATATTTGCACATGTACATAATGTTTATATAGGAAAAGGCATGAACTTTTCGATACACAAGATTTACGAGTAATTCGCCACTGAATGGGTTTGTCCGCCAATCGCTATTGATTGGTTAGCTCGGGATTTAAACTGGAGGTGTGGCGATTAATATACGATCGCTGACGGCGGAAAATGCCGGAAGATTCCTAAATATAGCTTACGATCATAGAGTTGTTATAGAAACAGATTACTTGGAGGATTTCAGGGTTAGGTTCAACATCATTCTTTGAACAAATGTCTGTTGATGAGAGATGAGATTCATAGCTTAAAATACTTGTGATTCGGGCGTATGGGTGCAGTGTGAGGGGTTGGGGGTCAGTGTTTAACTGATATTCTGGGGTGCCTGTGCTGTCCTCTTCAATTTATACTCTATTGTGCATGTTAAATGTGATTAACATTGGCATACGATCCACTTTCTGACATAGACTAAGAGGCTAAAATGATAAATCATTCGTAACCTTTAGTACGCCATTAAATTCATACTTTACAGACTTATTTTTTATGAACTTCAAGTTCAATGAAAGTCATTTTTGAATAACAAAAGCCGTTTATTTTATGAATGAAATTTTAAATAAAACTTGTGTTTATGATAATAATATTACAACAATCATACAACCAGACGAACTCAAGATATGTACGTTGTTTTTATAACAGTTGAAGTTAATATATAACTTTGAACATGATGAGAGAGGTTGACTTTGATTATCATGATGAATATTGGTATACCTCGGGACTTAAGAAATACATTTATAGAGGTCTGTCTGAAAATCCGTCTTAACTTTCTTGGCTTAACTGACCTAGTTCTAAACATGGTCGCATTTTGGTCTTATGGAAGAACACAAAAAGAAACTTCGTGCACCTGCTCAGGTTCTGCAAAAAATCTGCCCATGAGTAAAAGGTTAACTCCACCTTTTGGTATCTTAACATTGTGTATTTTAGATCGAAAACCACAATCGAACAAAAATCAATAAAAATAGAACAATTAAATTCACTGTGTTGTGATCTGGTAACTTGATCAACAATGAACGCTATATGAAATTGTTAGTGATCGATCAATAGACATAAGTACGAAATGTCTGTTTTTATTTAGCCTTGAAATACTGGGCAAAGTGCCAAGTGAACTAAACAGACACAGGCAGATGAAGTACCATATACTAGTACGTAATATATCGGCAACATATAGCATCGAGCGTTGTTAAAGGTATTATCTTATTAAACTGCAAACAACAATAGTTCTCATTGAATGCTTCAAAACCCCAGTATTTTATTGATTACCATACTATTCAGTAGCATGCATACTGCCGCTAGTGCAAATAATATAAAGATAACATTCGCGATTAATTGACCTCTAAAAAGTCGGTTGCTTGATGAAAAAATTCTAGCCATTTTTGTCGAGTGCAATTTGGGTATAGAGCATCGCCATTGAGTCACCTGCCTGTAGACGAACTTGGTTATACAAAATAAAGATTTATTGTTTTGTGAAGTACAGGTAAACTAGAGGGCAATGAAAAATACATATGGCTGCCCATGAAACATACGTCATCGTGTGTATTTAAAAATAGAACATTTAAATATCAGGGAGGATGTTCAATGTCGATGCTCAGTTCGGTGCTCAGTAGGTTAAATATATAAAGGACCAATGCCAACTCCACCCCACACTGAAGCTGATATTTGCAAGCCGTTAATGCTGCACCCATCCTATTATTTTACCATTACGTTTAAGTTTAAAACAAGTAATAAACGTTCAGTTTGTTCTACCATGGGTCACTAAAATTTGATATTTAGTTTATGCAAGATGTACGAAGAAGGCGTATGTTTTCCCGCTCATTCAAAGGAGGTGCTAACCGTGCTAACGCCATTTGTATGACGTCTTTCATTGGAAAGTGAACGTGTTGGCTGGTCCGACTTCTTATTAGGGATCGGTTCAAGCTTGCATATAAAATGGAAACGCTAACCTATACGTATGACCAATCGCCCATACAAATGCATCGCTTAAATATTTTCCGTTCACTTTTAGGTTGTGAAAAATATTGCAAGCTTAAACTCCCTATTACTATGCTACACCCCTAGTTATATAAATTATATACAATGGCAGGAAATATAATTTTCATTTTTTTATTCACCATTTTCCATCATTCATTACATAAATCGAAGTTATAAACTGACTTTAACCCGAGATAAGACATATTGCACACGGATGGGCATGTGAAAAGGTAATACTTACATACTTACTTACACACATGTTTCAGTAAGTAACACTGCAATACTTAGAAGTACCCTCAGTATCAAAAGTTTTTTCCTATTGAGAAAAAGCTCAAATAACTTAATTATGAAAACTGAAATTATGTCATTCTTATTAATGTTCATGGTAGGCTATTGTATTTTTGGAATTAACACAACACCAATGAGAAAATCGGACACGTCTAGAGTTTATATTGTGAAATGTTGCCCTTTGTGCTGTCGTATCCAATGATACTGATAAGCCTTATCTCGTAATTGATTTATTATGAAGTAGCCAGTATCAATATATCGACCATTAGAAGCCGTTTTGTTTGTAAGGTGCCCTGTACACTACACAATGATAAGATATGAAGGGTTTTAAAATACCATTTATTGATGCATGTCGATACAAATAAACTGCCCTTCAACTATTATTCGATGGTATACATATATAGGTGTTTGAGGCTTTCCTTCTGAAGATGTTATTAAGTGTCATGTTATTAGTTATTTTGTTATTATCAATTATTATGTTGGCATTATAACTTGATAAGATGTTTTGCTGTGTTCTGATTGTACTCGTATTGTATAATTTAAAATGATATTATACAGATAATTACATAATTATTATACAAAAATAAACATGCAAGTATTATGCTGTCACTGAAAATGATTAACTATTTGGAATCATTACGAGAGATCATAGTCTTCTACTGGGCCACATGTCTTCTACCAGTTCATTTTCTTTTTGCCCAACTCAATCAGAACATACTGGTTTGAAAACAACAAGATGGTTTCAGAGTGACTGGAATAACGGAAACTATGCAGTCAACAATATATGATACAGGCTGCTGCGTTTTTAATACGGTGATTTTACTAGAACTAATAGTGTCACGATTTAAGAGTAGCCAAGGGAACTTCTAGGTCTTGATTTCCCGTGATGTTAGAATGTAGTGATCATAAATCCAAGCACCTGATTACAATTATTTTCCGTTACCTTTATATTCAATCGGCCAATTAAACAGTACTAAATGGGAGAACTAATCCACGGGAACCATAATTCTACACGTTCACGTACAAGTTTTTAACGCGTATCTTAACCTCCCTATTATTCATTAAGTTTCGTGAGATGTTGAGACGCCGTGGCCCAAATCCTACACATACACTTTCTATATCTGTAGATGCCGTTCGGTGATCCACTGGAGGGTGTTACCACCCAGTTCCCGGGCGCACAAACACAAGTTGCCCCCATTCCTTATGGAGACATACAAGCGACCGAGGCTCGTAATGCCAGACTCTGTAGAGAAGAACAAGAAGGTACGTAAAAAACAACGTCAACCCCCTCCCGTGTCAGCCGTCCATGTGTTAGTCCCAACTCCAAAATACCCCCCCCCCCCTTCCCAATGTCAGTTTTGAATAAACTTTGCCAACATAGCAAGCATTGTGTTAAATGGTGCTCTGTATTTAAACTTGAAAATAATTTACAGTTTAATTGCAAAACGATGACGTGAACGTCTGTCTTTTAAGACGCCCTTCACACTCCTCCTGAAAGATGGCAAGATGGCAACCTGTACAACAATTGACGTCTTTAAACAAAGGCGGTTGTAGCTCAAAAGCGTCCGACTGGGATATTATAGAAATTACTTGTACAATAGCAAGAGAACTTGTCTCTTATCAAGACCAACCATAATCAATCTAAATGAGAATGGATTGGATCTATACCTCTTAGCATACAGGGTGGTCCAAAAAAGTGAACCCCTGCAACAGGTTATATTTTCCTTAATACATACATGAATTGGCTCATATTATCACATCTTGTAGAGAAAGTTCTACAAAATTTGTTGATGCCATAATTTATTCTCAGTCTTGAATTTTGAAGAAATTGCAAGACTTAAAAAAACATGACTAAAATTAGATATTGTGCAAAATTTTACCAATGTGATTCACGTAAATTGTTGAAACACATTTGATGATCTTAAAAAAGCTTACAGTGAGAAATATAAGTTTAAACCCTACCATATGACAAATGGGACACTATTTGGCAGAAAACACATTTCTCACTTTCATTGACCATTTTGAAGCAGTTTTTTAAACATTCAACAGTAAAGGGGCACGTTACCTACACAAACGGGGGGCAAAGTTACCCATGTGACCCAAAATATGAGAAGCCCTTCATATAAATTAATATCTTACAAAAATCAAAAGGAATTCTAATATCCAATGTTTAGAGCCATGTTTCATTAGAATTGGTCCATGATTAATGAAGATATTGACATTTTAAGAACATATAGGGGTATGTTGCGATTTCACTGGAAGATGTTTTTGTCTTCGGAAACTTAGACCATTTCTTTGGATCACAATAACTTTGCAACTAACGGAGTCAGGATGCTAATTTTTACACCATAATGTGCGGGACTCAAAACCAAACAAAGTCAGAAAACATTAGGTTTTTCAGACTACGGCTAAAATGATTTCCACGGAAAGATTGTTGAAGGGATGAAGAATCGCAAATGCTGAAGTTCACATTTTATCGATTTTCAGTAATGTTATGTTAGGGCTAATAATTTCTTCAAATTTCAAGACTTCGACAACTGAATGGTACCAACAAAATTTTAGACCTTCCTCTACAACATGTGAAAATATGAAAGGATTCCTGCAGGTAATAAGGGAAATATACCCTGTTGCAACAGTTCACTTTTATGGACCCACACCCTGTATATTAATTTCAACGATCTTCACATTTGTATGTTTTCACTGCATAAAACTCTGAATCTTTAATATATCTTTCAAAATTGTATGATTAAAATGACTCCATGTGTACAGTACATTCAAACATCCTGGACATGGGATACTGTAGTAGATTATAGGGTAGATCGGGCCTTGAACATGACTACAGATCAGGAGAACTAAACTCAATTTACTTGGGAGGGTGGGTTTGTGTCAGACAGTCCAATAGTCCAATCTATTAACCAGAGGCATAATGTTTTGACTGTAATAGGACAGTGGACAAAATGTTCTGTACGTAGGGGGTGGGGGAGCGTGCAGCATTTTTGTTTTATTAGCCCCTTTTTATGAAATTGTCATCCGCCTTGTAGAGGCTGTGAAATTTACAATGTCATTTTCATTTGTTGGTTTAAGAAAATCCAAACACAATATTTCAAGACAAACAAAAAATAAACAAAATGCACACTGTTTTATTTTCTACGATGAATAAATAAATCCGTCAAATATAGAATTTAATTCATAATGCTACTGTTTAATATCATTGCAGATAAAGACCATAATAGACTCGTTGAGGCTTTCCAACGATCAGGTAAAGCTAGTAATGAGCACCCTACAGGCGGAGATGACGCTCGGCCTGAGCAAAGACAAGAAGAAGAGGGACTCATCCTGTCTGCCAATGGAAAACACATACGTTAGATCACTTATGGACGGCACAGGTATGCAATCAGATTTACATACAGACATATGGCTATATGGAAAAATGTCCCATTAGATTTCAACGTCATCGAGTCCCATGTTTACAAAATAAGCCATGATTTTTATCGCAAGCGAATTTGCTTTGTATGTCCTAAGAAAAATGCTCTAACAGATAAATAAATTATTTACTTCTACTCTAATCTATAGAAAATGAGATCAATTTCTATTTATGACGTAGGTGGTCACATTGAATACAGATTGATCCTATCTACAGTGGTATTCTAAATATTCTTTGTTTTATGTTTTTTTCGGAGAGAAAAATGTTATGCTTGGCACAACATCAGATTCCGTGCTCCCTTTATCATAACGATTTTCCATCGTTTGCTTTTGCTTCTAAAAAGAGAATTCTGCACTCTTTGAGTTAGAGGTTATCGTTTGACCTCGCCATTATCTTTTTTCATCTTCGCCTTAATCGATCAGAAAACTGAGAATTTGGTCGAAAATATTCAGCTGCCCAATCAAGACAGCATTTTCTAAAATTTTACGCTTTCATAAGTAGCTGGCATTCATTTCAAAATAAAACGCTCATTAAAGGCGGTCAGCACAGCTACTTATTGGCATTTAAGAACGTCCGAAGAAATCTTGTACTTATTTTAGGAATCAGGTTATATGAGAGGTTACTTAGAATTATGTAACTATAAGAACATTAAAGTATGCTTTATGTTTTGTAACCCCTTTCTATTATGTTGAATAACATTATGTAGCATTGAACCCTGCATTGAACTTGTTTGTTATGTTGTGTTCAGCGTAACATAACAACCTTAAATGTAAATTCGGCAAATGTTTATAATTAGAAAATTTATTTTGAGAAACTTTTAAATAAAGGGCATATTTTGAGCTTTGATTTGACAATAATAGTCTGGTTGAGTGTTGCTTCCTTAAGTACACATCAATTTTCTGTTTTAGAGAAAAATAATCATTAACATTATTGAGTGTTCAAAGATGTTCGGTGGAATTATTTACTAGTCTTTGCGCATACTCTTGCATGTATTGATTAGATTTATAAAGATGAAACACTATGATATAAATTTACGAATCTTTGTTGATACTCGATGTGGACAACGTTGAAGTGCTTTACATAATTGCTACACATTTAGGAACACCCTGTACATTTCCTTGTATTGTGTACAGTGTACATTTACATTACTCTTAAACTGAATAACAACAACAATCCGGAAAATCTATACTCTTATAGTTTCTGACGTATGTTGGCGGTTAGAATATCTGATATATCTCAAAAACAACTGCTTTGTCTATTTCTTGTACTTCAATACATACATCAATTTAACAGCGATTACCCTTTCCGATTAATTTTGCTTCTTAAAAGAGAGCTTTTACGTATTTTTATAATGTTTAGGGAGAAGTTGCTTGTTAGCTCAGCCAGCTGAACCATATTCCATTTGAACATTATTGAAGAAATACATTTGTAAGGGAATCCAAGATTGGTGATAATAGTGCATCAATACATCGCAGGGGATAATCTGGAACTCCCAATTCAAAACAATATTCTGCATCGACTTGAGTCTCATTAGTCTCTGGTACTTTGCCGCGAACCTGACACAATACCAGGATTGGTATTTTGATCGTTTGATTGTGGCAATCAATGGGATTTATCGACCTATATAAAGTTCACAGTTTGCTAAAATTATATTCTATTTTAAGCCACATATTTCAATATCTATAATTATTGGGTCTAGATATCAAAATTTTAATTCGTTTTAAGTAATTAATTATTTTCTTTTAGAAGCTTGAATAAAACTAAAATAAACAAAACGACCCCATTTAGAAGCTTGAATAAAACTAAAATAAACAAAACGACCCCAGTGACAAGAGGAGTTTATTTTCGTGTAAAGAAGGCTACAAACAAGTTCCTCTAATGTGACCATTTTAAAAAGTCAATTATTTTACTAAAATACGCAAAAGGTGTGTTTGGGTCACAAATTGGTAAATGACAATCTTATCATGTTCAATGAATTACTTTCCCGGTAGATGCTCATTCATTCTAACATTTAGAGAGGTTTAATGGCAAGTATAATTTCTTTAAAAGAGAGATTCGTCTACATAATGAGTATTAGGCTCTGAGTCGACTCATAGTGCCCATAAACGAAACAGATGGCTTTTGATTGATAAAGCTTGATAAATGTATGGAGCAATATAGTATACGAGGGTTGTCCCAGAAGTAATGCACTATTTGCTGTAACTTTATCAATACTTGCTATTTTCCATGAAATATTCAGTGAATAAGCCCTATAATAAATATATTGACATATTGATTCTTGATTCTAGTCACAATGTTAAATGTCATAATTTGTGCTTGGTGGACAACGTGCTGAATCAAGTGACCAATTTCCTAAACATTTAAAAGAAAGAAATATAAATAGAATAACACTTTAGAAATTTTCATGATTAGAAAAATTGATACTCCACCCCCACCTCCCCCCCCCCACCCCTCCCTACCCCCGGGTTGCTATAGCACCAATTTTAAGACTTTACATTAATCTATGATGCTGAAAACTTCAGGATGTAACAGATAACACTTCAATTGCAATAATTACAAAATTTCAGGTGAATTGAAGAACATTAAATAAGTTGAAATAAGCAAGTGGATTACTTCTCGAATGTACAATGTACCACAATGTGTAATCGAAATCACTTTGGCCGTTTCTTGCTTGTCTGCAAGTAAGTTCAACGACCAACTTTTGTTATCTGATGTGTCTATATACTAGTAATATTGTATTATCTTCATCTCGACGGATCGATCCCTTTTACCTTTATTGATCATCACACGTTGTTGTTTGATACACTTAGTACTAATGGGTCCTTTCTTCCATTGGCGTCCATGTCCCATATTTATAATTGGGACGTTTTCAATTGACGTACGTTAATTTAAACATGTCAGCATATTCTATTTGATAGTAAATCTTGGTTTCCAAAGTGAGATATAGGCCTACGTTTCTAAACATGAAAAGGGCAACTTTTGGAAAACACAATTCTGAATTGAATCTGTAAAGGGGGTCACAAATCCCCTGATTTTTAAGAAATTCCTTTTAAATTGGAAGCTTTTCTAATGGAGTAATAATTACTAGAAATACCTGAATCAGTGCTATTTTAATTTAATACGCAACCAACATCATGATTTTTTAACTTTTCTTATACTCAATAGTTATTTCCGTTTCATTTTGGTTGAGTTTTAGAACACACTATACATACATATAGCTGTATTTGGCAACAGCAGTCATTGTAAAATACCGCCATGAACAGAGTAAGACAAAAATGCAACGGCTGTAAAGGAATGACTTTACTTATTCACGATTCACGATCTTGAATTGGAATCATGATTTGCCTTGTTAAGATTGAGTGTGCAATACAAAATTTAGATACCCTTTGCATTCGTTTGACTTCACTTCTTAAAAGAGAGCTTCGTCTTCTGTCTGTAGTTTAACTAGACTCTGCACGCAGGGTAAAATTTAGAAATTGTTTCCAAAACGAGAGTTGTATTTTTGTTTCACCTTGTAATTACCTTTTAATGAAGGGAATACAATCAGAGTAAACAACTTTCCCAAAAATCCTTGAATTATGTCATGGTTTATGACCTCAAGCTGTCCATTACTCTTGCTGAATTAGTAAGGCCAGACATTTCTAATAATCCCTGCCAGACTATAAGCTGAGCATCCTGTCTGTGATCTTTGGTTCAGAATTTACTGGTTGAATGAACATATGAAACTGATATGCCTTATAGGTCTTCATCCGGGTCTCTGACATATTGAATGAAATAAGATGTAAAAAAATAAAATAAAATCAATATTTTAGAAAGTTACCCTCAACTCCTCGGCTTTATATTTTGGTGATTTGAAATGATTTGTTATCAACTCGACTCATTTCGTAACTCTACAGTGGCGGATCCGGAGGGGCCCATGGTGGCCCTAAGGTTGGCCCAGAAAAAAAAAGTTGGGTCCAAAAAGATTTTAGGCCAAAAAAGGCCTTAAGGCCCCAAAAAGTGGGCCTTTTGGTCATTATTGGGCCTTCTAAGGCCTTATTTTTTTTTATTTTAGGCCAAATTTTGAAGAAAATGGGCCTTAAACTTTCAAAATTTGGGCCCACTTTTCGTTTTTAGGGGCCCAAACTTTTTTTCCTCGCAAGCGCGGAAGTTTTTTCTCTGACCTCAAATTTGGGCCCCTCCCCTGTTGCTTCCTGGATCCGCCACTGCTCTATATATATTGCTTGGACGAGGCAAGGTTTAGGAAAACAGAGATACCTTCAAATGAACCCAAACGCCAAATAAATCTTTTTTAACCTTCCCAAGTTTAACTAAAAATACTTGAATGTGACCTGAAGCTCTCCATTATGTGAAGTTTTTGTTAAGGTCAGCCACATGTGGCTACAGCAGTTCAGCTATTGATACAACAAGGCGGTTGTTTAAACGAGTTTACCTTAGATTTATAGCAAATTAGTAATATCTAACTTTATGAGAATAAAACAGTTTGTACGAAGAGTACGAAATTGGTGCAATAAGACCAAAAGGTCAAAATGGTACAATATGCTTCGGGTGTATGTTTTATAAATTTTATGACATTCTATCATTAATTAAAGCAACCGAAGTTTCAATCCGCATCCCGCTCCCCAATCTTGCATCTACCCCTCCGACCTATGTGGTTGTGAGGGGTATACATATTTGTTTAGGATGAAGAAAAGGTAAAACCTGCAGAATGCAGATCGCTTTTTAAAGTGGATATGCGCCCATCGATCTTAGCCTAGAATTTTCCATGTTATTTACAGAAGAGGGAGACTTCCTGGCCTTGGATTTAGGGGGCACCAACTTCAGAGTGCTCCTGGTGAAGATACACGACGGCAAATGTGAAAGCTACCAACAGAATTATAACGTACCAAATGACAAACTAAATGGTTCATCCAGCGAGGTATGTACTGTAAAGTATACCCAGTTCTAATCTAGAACCCAACTTCAGCCACGCCCATTCACTTGAGTTAGGGCACGGTTCGGTCAGAAGCAGTGAGAGTAGTTGTCTTCAGAATATATGTACTATTTCATGATTTTATCTATTGAACTTTGTTTTATTCGCCATCCACAGGCTGCCCTTTCGCAAAACACAATGGCAATGATAAATAATTTATTTTAACTACGTAGTACAATTTTATAATTGGCACTATCCATTATTCTCAGTTTTTTATTTTCAGTTATTTGATCATCTTGCTTGGGGTATTGCCTCGTTTCTCGAAAAAGAGGGTCTGAAAGAAAAGAATCTCCCAATGGGTAAGTAAAGGAAATTCTAATTTGTCCTCTGTGGACTTACATATATTATTTATCATTTAGTTAATGAAATATAAATTGCGACAAAACTGAGATCAATAGACTTAACATTCCTTCCTCCTACTCGAATGGAGAATCGTTAGAAATGACAAAGCGTTTATTTTCACATTTTGCGTTTCACATTTCTCTCATTGCAGGTTTCACATTTTCCTTCCCATTGATTCAAAAGAGTCTAAGTTCAGGATTGCTGTCAATGTGGACGAAGGGGTTCAAGTGCACTGATGGCCCAGGACTGGATGTGGTACGGCTGCTGAATGAAGCTATTGCGAGACGTGGGGTGAGTAGCATGAAAAACGACCACTATTTTGCCCTTGCACAGGGGTGTATCAACGGTGATTATTCCAGTACAACGTCACATTTCACAGTGTGACTCTGAATTTAATTTTCTGTAATATGTTTTGAGGCTGTTGCCTCATCTACCGGCCTCATCTACCGGCCTCATCTACCTCATATTCTTTAACTGCTTTACTGCTGTGATTCTAATTAGACCCTAGCTCTATAATATAGAATATGGAATTATGACATGGTATGATGTTACATGTATATTGCCTAGGGTTACGGTTGTCTACTTGATACCTACAGCTCTAGGAAAATGACTGTCGCTAAATATAAATATGAAAGTGTCCTTTCATGCTTTGAACAGGACATCCAAGTTGATACTGTTGCTGTGTTGAATGATACGACAGGAACTCTTATGGCTGGAGCTTACCTCGACCATCATTGTCAAGTCGCCATGATTCTAGGTACAGTATAGCTTTATATGTATGATGACTGTCAATAGGTGGCACCACCATTTCACTATGCCACCACGTGTATACGATATTTACATGTATTTACCACTTCAAAAAATCCTAAACACCTAGACTATATCCCACTGAATCCCCAAAGAGAAGTCTCTCATAGTGATGCCATCTACGTCATTTCCCGGCGTCATTTACCCAGTCGCCTTTTTTAAGCAGGGCCCCCGCCACACCCCCTTTAATTATATATGAATATTAAGTATTTCAAATTGAGAACAAGGTGAACGCGTTCATGATGTTAAACATCCCTTAATAATTGTTGCTTAAAGTGTATGAGAAACCATAGAGTGCAACTGTCGGCAGTCGAGGACTGTAAGTAGGGCCATGGGCTTTCACCTCTAATTGAAAGCCCATGGTAGGGCCAACCAACGTTTTGCTCCAATTAGGTGTGAGAGGACGTCCAGGACTTTGCTATATACGTCTCTTAATGTGACATTCTTAAAGGCCCCATATAAAGTTTAAACCACTTTGGCTTATATTGTAGTCTTACTCAATGTTATCAAAGTGTGATATGTGAAACTTTTTTTTTAAATTTCAAAAAGTGGTTTTTGATAGACTTTTTGTTCCAAAATTTGTGAATTTATTTAAAACCAACTTTTAGAGGTCACTCATATCTGCTAATTAGCCACAATTCATACCAATGCATAGCATTCATCCTCCCGTGTTTTTTGCCGAAAAAATTAAGAAAATCGGTTCATAAATAAGCGAGAAATGAACTTATCAGTGCATGAAAATGGTTCTGAGAAAAATGCATTTCAAAATTTTAGTTTTCATAGAAACCAATGGTACAATGATATCTAAAACATAATTTATTCTTCCTTTTAACCTGGTTAGACACTCAACATTGGTTTTTTATGAAAGTCTAACATATTTAGAAAAGATTGACATCGAAAAAAAAATTTCAATTTTTTTCAAAAAGTTTTTGGTACCTTAGTGACATCACTAATGTTTCAAAATATTTTTGATATGCTAAAACATTGAAGTGGCCCATTAAATATGGCATTTTATTATTGAAATAGTGTGTCCTTTGTTCAACCTTTGCATTGGTGTTAAAAAGATAATCTTTTTTGAAATGCATTAAGAAATATTTGATGATTAAGAAATTTCAACTTTTTTTGAAAAATGGCGGGAAATTTGAATATTTGAGAAATAAAATGCTCACAACTTTTTTTTCAAAAAAAATTTTTTGTTCAAAAATCTCTAAAATCACTTTTTAAGTCCTGACAAATAGTAAATGAATGATAAAAAAATATTTTCAAACTTTAGACGGGGACTTTAAAAGTATTCCTGGCTATCCATAGATACTTAATAATTGTCATATCGTGATAAATCAATACATACGTATATTTAAATACCAGATATAGTAGACCATACGAATACAACATGTACTTAAGCTAAAGTACATCTTTTCAAAAGTTCAAGCACATCTCCTCACAAATCGTTTTATTCCTGACTATGGTTACTAACATATTCCAAATGATTTTTCTCTGCAATCTAATTTAGAAACCTGATTAGAATATTTCTAATGGACAAATCTGAAGTAAACACTTTTGTCAACTAGACATTTTCTCATACACTTTAATGTCAGCCCCAAGTACATGTATTCTATAAATTTTTCTTACTTTTACAAGGACACAAAATACACGCTGTATCAGCCTGGTCTTTTCTTTTTTAACTGTTGTATACTGTATATGTTTGCGTGATATTAATTGTCAGAACAATATGATCTCATAACTTACCCACAAAAATATAAATCATGTCCCAGTAGCTTAAAGTACAAACAACCTCAAGATGAGTATTTGAAAACTCGAATCATTATTGCAATGTAAACGTCCAAATGATACTTTACTGAGAAGAAAATACATGGCCTGTCGACATATTATGATAGCGTTTGTTTTCTCCAGGTACTGGTCACAATGCCTGTTACATGGAGCATCTTGAGAAAGTTGAGAAATGGGAGGGAGAGAAGGATGAACCAATGGGTGTTGCTATCAACATGGAAAGTGGTGCCTTGGGGGATAATGGCTGCACAGACTTTATAAAGACAGAGTTTGACATTGCGGTTGATAAGCTTTCTCACCACGTTGGGACAAACACGTAAGTGAAGTTTGGATACGATTATTTATTGTCAACACAAATGGAATCCAAAGGAGTTGGGCAATTGTTGGTTTGCCAAAAACTGTGAATGTTGTTATGTCACAATGACCTGTTCGTTGAATTTATTGCAAGTTTATAATAAATGTTGTGAATTTATTTGAGAACAGAAGTACATATCACTAAATCCTTACCGCCTGCGTCTGGTATTTGCAATATACGCTTGGATTATGCTCTATGCATTGGATATGCAGCACGCAAGAAGACCTTGAACTACTGATTTTATCGTTGTTTTATGCAGTATGTCTAGGTCTGGATAGTAAATCATTTAGGTGCATTGTTATTACTGTCTAGTTGCAACATTAAAATGTATTTTCATCATTCACCAGACTGTATGGATATCATAATCATTGACGACCTTTATAAAGTCAGGATTGGTGATGTGCGGTTTGTAGAGTTTGGAACTTTACTATGTTTAATAGTGTTATTCCTTTTTAACAGTGCTTTAAAAATAATGGACGAGTTACTGAAACCCAGGGATTCAACTCTACGAGCCTAGGAAGGTATTGCACTATACGAAAACATGTGAAAATCTGTAACTTCATATGCACTATTCTTTGTATTGGTTATTTTGTTCATAGTATTCAAGTTTGATGGGGAAACCATTGCACTAAGTGCATGTACGACCTTCTCTGTTCCATCTTAACTCAGGAAGTTATTTGGCTATGTATAGGGTCTCTCCCATCAGCAAGTTTCTTCATCTTTCATATGTTTCATCCAAATCTTTATTTAGGTTTTATGAAGGAAATTACCAGACAATGCAAGACTATAGAGATCATCTTCTGACTAACCGTTTCATCGAGATAGTACGACAGCGTTTCACATACTACAAACTATGTAAGAATGATGTCATTTTGTTTTTTGATATAGGTTTGAGAAGTTGTTCTCTGGTATGTACATGGGTGAAGTTGCCAGACAAGTATTAATTAAACTTACTCAAGAAGGCCTCATATTAGATGGACGGGGATCCCCAGAATTATTCACTCCTTGGAGCTTCCTCACAAAATATATCTCAATGATTGAAAGGTAATTAAAAAATAGATTCAATATGATCATAACTCAACTTATGATTACTTGCGCTCTGAGATGTATCTGTTCCTTCTGTATTAATAATGTATTAATAATTCTCTTTAGTCTTTCTCATATTTGGCATATGGGCTTATGTAAATATTTATTTATTGTATCCTCCACTGATGATAAATGAAATTTCTGTAGATATTGTGAATTTTTCTTGATTCTATCATCTATGATTTAATCTGAGACCATCATTTTTTGTTAATCTCAGGTTTTGATTTAGTTAAACATATTCTATTATCACAGACAACCCCCCCCCCCTCCTTACATTCATGGAACTCTTCTTCATGGTTTCAGTGACGGTAGTGGTGTATTTGAGAACACAATGGACGTTATGGCAGAGTTAGATGTGGAAGACTTTGTAAAAGAAGAAGATCTAAGTGTTATTAAATATGTATGTTCCTGTGTCTCACTGAGGGCAGCCACACTTATAGCAGCTGGTAAGACATTTAAGTGGTTATTTGTAAAAGAAATGTCTATCGAAAGACAACAATCCCCTCTGAAATGTTGGCAATACTAATTACAAAAATTGGACTGTGCTCTTCTTCATTGAGTACTCCAACGAAAATCATTTCATCATCATTATTTACATAATTTTGGGGAAAAGGAATGGTTTTTTTGGGTCACCCTGTATTAATCATAGATTTTCAAGTCTTGCATCATATTGTAGCTTGTTTGTTTTATGTAAAATCGAATGCTGTTTTTGGGCCACTCCGTATTAATCATTCATTTTCAAGTCTTGCATCATATTGTAGCTTGTTTGTTATATGTAAAATTGAATGTTGTTTTTGGGTCACCCTGTATTAATCATAGATTTTCATGATCAAGTCTTACATCATATTGTAGCTTGTTTGTTAGACATATTATTTATGCGTTTTAAAGTCTTGCATCATGTTAGCTCCCACATACTCGATACAGGACTATTTTCTTCAGTTACTGAATCCATATGATTAGGTTGAAGTTCAAGTGTGAACAGTCTGGACCACTTGAGTCAATCAAAACTAAAAAATAACAAATGTGCGGCCTCTTGTAGTTTAATTGATGGTTTAGACAATTCATTTTTGGGGCTATTTTCCCTAAATTACTAGAGGCCGTGAGTTTACAGCAATTAAAACTAATTAACTGAAATATACGAAAACTTTGAATCTTAAATGAGTATTTTCCATATAATGTTGCACATGGTTCTTTGATTGCTTGATTTAGGTTTGATTGATTCACAAAAAAAGTGATTCGGACTTTATGTAAAGGTCACCTGTGTTCAGTGTTCTCTGAGATAAATAAAAGTACATACATTAATAACATATTAATTTAAATCGCTGTGAGGTATTGACATTTGGGTGTCCTTCCAGTTGAACCTCATATCAAAAGCTCATACAGATAATATTTTGATTTATATCTTTACAATTGATAAAATGGCACCATAAATATTAACAACAAAAACAACCTTATTTCAGAAATCGCAGTTCTTATTCAACATATAGACCAATCGGAAGTGACTATTGCAGTCGATGGCTCCCTCTATAAATACCATCCCAAACTACACGATTTGGTTTTGGATAAAGTTCACACTTTGGTCCCTAATGTAAAGGTGAGAAATGTTATGTGTTCACTAATTAAAGATTCTGTAATGTAAGAGTAATTCGAATAGTGTGTCCTTAATTATCATTGCATGGTGTCACGGAGACTAGAAAGATCCTTTAATTATGACGTATTTGAAACAGCTAATGTAGGTAATCGTTTAACATCAGTGAGTGTGTCATAAGCTAAGAGCATTTAACATGAAATTACTGAGTATCTATTACTTGATTCTAAGTGCTCTATGTCAGTGCTTTATTTAATAGGTCATTTGTTTTTATACGTTATGTCACTCACTTTTAATTCTCGGTATTTCAAGAGCTCGGTCCATCGTAACCAGGATCTAAGAATATTTGCCTATTGATTTTGCAAATTCCAGGTTGAGGTTATATGTCTGGTCCCCTTTAATCAGATTTTAGATTTATACTTTCTGGCAAAGCCCAATTTTATATCACCACTGCTAGTGACATGTTGTATTGGTAGTGGTGACATATTGTTATGGTTTCTAACTTTTTTGTGACGGCGTCCAGCGGTAGGCGTTCGTAGTTCGGCGTTTGGCGTCTGTATCAAATGGCAGGTGGTGGCAATTTTGTAATTAAAATGATGTTTCAAGGGTAATACTCGGGGTGGAAGGTGTGAGAATTGTGCAAAAAATGACTTTGTGAGCTGGATGGAGTTTCTCTGTATTTTTCATTCTATTAGGGTTTCCTGCATAAGGGATTTCGCCTGCGAAGCATATAACTCTTGCGAACACATCTAAATATTGGTCCGAGGAAGACATACCTTGAATTTTTTAGAAAAAATTGGCTAAAAATGGAAACTACAAAAAGTCAAAATGTTCAACTCAAACAAAACTCTAGCTATTTAATATTAACACTATGTATTATTTAATGTTTTTCAGATGTTTAAGGACCTTCATTAGTGTACTAGTGTCTAGAAATAAGATAATTAAGGACAAAATTTGGCATTTTTGATCATTTTCGCTTTCAGCAGTAACATATAGTTCCTTATATCTTGAGTTTAATGTTGACTGGTTGTTGCAATTTTGATTAAATCTGTGCTTGTACATGTCTTCTTCCATTTAAGATACAAAAAATGTATATTGGACCACCAATGGTCATATTAGAGCTTTCAGATCTCCCCTACCCCATTTATTATGAAAAATTACTGAAACATATGAAAATATAAAATAACTTGAATTTATAACCTTTAACAATGTTGTAGCTATTCTATATCAATATTATGTATTATTTAATGTTTTTCAGATATTTCAGAACCTTTATTGGTATACTAGTGCCTAGAAATGAGACATTTAAGGACAAAACTTGGCATTTTTTAAAATCATTTTAGCTTTCAGCAGTAACATATAGTTCCTCATATATTGAGTTTTATGCTTACTGGTTGTTGCAATTGTAATAAAATCTGTTTTTGTAGATGTCTTCTTCCATTTAAGGTATAGAAAATGTATAGTAGACCACCAATGGTCATATTAGAGCTTTCAGATCTCCCCTACCCCATTTATCATGAAAAATATAAGAAAAATATCAAAATATAAAATAACTTGAAACTATAAACTTTAATAAAGTTGTAGCTATTCTATATCAATATTATGTGTCATTTAATGTTTTTAAGATATTTCAGAACCTTTATTGGTAAACTAGTGCCTAGAAATGAGACATTTAAGCACAAAACATGGCTTTCTTGACCATTTTCGCTTTCAGCAATACCATATAGGTCCTTATATCTTGAGTTTAATGCTGACTGGTTGGTGCATTCTTAGTCAAATTTGTTCTTGTACATGTCTTCTTCTATTTAGGATATAGAAAATGTATATTGGACAACCAATGTTGATATTATAGCTTTCATGTCTCCCCTGCCCCATTTATGTAAATGAAAAAGTAATTTCAAATCATCAACTTTAACAAAATTGTAGTTATTCTCTATCGATACTATGTATTATTTAATGTAACCTTCATTTGATTACATGTGTCTAAAATTTGGCATTTTTAGCATTCTGCATTTAGCAGTAGCATATAATTTTCCACAATTATAATTCTTTGATGATAGATTCATATATGTTTTTTATTGAATCTGTCTTCTCTGATTTAACTTAAAGAAAATGTATGTAAGACAATGAATGTTTTTATTAGAGGTCTAAGATCTGCCCTCCACCATTAAATGAGAAAACCAACACAAATGTTATTATTGCATGATAATATTCTTAAACTTTTCAAAAGTTTAGCATATTTATTAGCACACTAAAATCAAAAAATGACACATAAATGGGCAAAATGACCAATGTTTCACTTTCAGCAATAGTTGTTTATATTTTTAGTTGAATGGTGATTAGTTGACATATTTTAGATCATATATATTCAACAATGTGTCTTGTTATCTTCAAAGCATGTAAAATGTGTTTTAAACACAAATATACATATTAGAGATAAAATTACTTCACTACTATATTTTTAAAAGATTACTCAAAAATAGCATAGTCCGAAATAATTTTTTAATTTCGCAGTTTACTCTCATATGAATCAAAGGATATGTCTTTATATAGACATGATTGTTCACAACTCTCGAACTTAATCCAGCAACAGCCTGATTTTTCAAATCTCCCTGGTTCTATGTTAGAGCTGCATTTAAGTCATTTTAAAGGTAACTGGTCAACTGGTACACAAGACAAGTCGTACCCAAGCATACATTTTGTTTTGAATCAAGTGTTGGACTGGGAATGTGTAAAGATATACATATTATAACTGTAACATACTGTTCAGAAGTTTGAAGAATTTTCAGAAGAAATTGATATAATTTTGTAACATTTTGAGCTTTGAGTGTCAATTTATTTTGACTATTATTTTATATTGGATGTTCGAGTGAAGAGATATATGTTTATTCCACATATTCATAATCATTTTTTTAAATATTGTATGTTTATGAGTGTTTGGAACAAGTGTCAGATTTAATTCATCTTGGAAGATGGTATTATTATAAATGTATTGATTCATCAAATCTTGGGCCTAATTTCTTATTAAACAGATAATCTATTTGTCTAGGATTTCATATTATCAGAAGTCATATTCATGAAATTTAGCAATAAAATATTTTGAATAATATAATAATAGTATACAAGTAATAATGTAGTATAATATTAATATCAAATATTATTTTGGTACTTATTCATACATGATATATTATTACACTTAGTATGCATGTGCATAATCCAATTTAGTTCCAATTGGAAAAAAATTAACAGATTAAACTTCCTTTAAACTTTCTCAAATTAATTGTTTGATTCATTTGTAGAAAAGTCACTGTTGTAATTATATTTATTTATATATATGTTTGGCAAAAAATGTTGTGAACAAGCACTTCAAGCACTTGTTTTATTAGTAAAAAGGTGATTCAAGTTAAATCAAAATGCTTCACTTAATCCATTGAGAAAAAATGTCTTCTAAATTCAAAAAAATATTGAGGCTTATTTGAGTCACATTATAACATGAAAACATAATTATACAAACTCAATTTGTTTTCCTAATATGCACCCATAATACTGGAAATAACTTGGGTACGAATTATCTTGGGTACGAGTTGTCTTGGGTACCAGTTATCTTGGGTACGACTTGTCTTGGGTACCAGTTGACTAGGATGCATTTTAAAGGTCTAAGTTGCTCATGACACCACAAGCTATTCAGATATGTAAGATCTCTAAATAATTTTTATAGTTCTGAGAAACTCATCCTTAAATATTGTCCAACGATGTGCACTATGTTGTTTATTGCCACATGGACAAGTAGCAATACACCCTTGACTAGAAACTTTGTATAGCAATTTTCGCTGCCTTTTGCCATTTTACATTTGCGAATTGCCAAGGACATATGTTTCTTGTGTTGCTACGAAGGTTTGTTTGTGAGTACTGGTACAAGACACCCATCTTTGATATATCTTCAAATAGGTATTGCACTTTGAGATTCATATAGTAATTTAGAATGCTACCTTGAAGGACATAAGAAACTTTAAGAGCTCTTTTTAACTCTCATCCTTCTTTGCAAGCAACATTCTGTATCATCAGACTGAATACAAATTCTCTCAACATTGAACTCCTTTGTCTTGTCTGTAATAGACATGGGCCATAAGGAGAGTGTCAACTTCTTCATGATCAGTATTTGATAGATAAGTTGCAACTATCAGTTTTGCAAAGTTCAATAGCAGCTCTGCCATAAGTGAAATTCATCCCATTTTAGAGATACAGTAACATTGCTTCACAAACCAAAGACAGCTTTACCATTTTGTAATCCTTTCCAAAATCATCTTGTTGGCTGTTCTTCATTTCACAATGTTTACATTTACCAAAATATCCCCAAGCCCAATATCTATCATGAACTTCCTAATTACACCACGCTTAGGTGTAATATGGAAATCACCAAGCATTTGACAACATTGCATTTGATATGAGGGAATTCAACCAATATGGCTTGATCACTGGTTATAATTATCACAGTACTATACCCCATTATTTTTAAATATATTCCAAGTACTGTATAAGTGGTATTTAATCCGAGTGGTTAATTTGCCGAATGGTCAAATTTTATCAATTTCCTTATTTTAATTTTCCTAATGACAAGAAACTTCCCATTGGATAACATTATGAAGACAATATTTCCGACATTTAATTTTCCGAGCCTGGCAAAAATTAGGCAATAGGCAAATTAAATGATTAGGCAAAATTACCACTTATACAGTATTGTACTATACATTGCATAGATTCATGAGCAGTTTGCAACATATCATAACCAGAAAAGCCCAATGGACAAAGATAGAGAATACCCGCCCCATTTGCAACTCAACTTTAAATGTCTAATTTTTAGACTTGTATACTCATGAAGTTCCTGACACATCTGAAAAATATCAAATAATACATAATATTGATCTAGAATAGCGACAACTTTGTTAAAGTCTATACTTTGAAATTGTTTGGTTTTTATATTTCTGTTTATTTTTTCAAAATAAATGGGGTAGGGGAGATATGTAAGCTCTAATATAATGACAGGCTTTCCAATATACATTTTTAAATACCTTAAATCAAAATAGGCAGGCAAAAGAACAGATTTGATCAAGAATCCATCAACCAATCAGCATAAAACTCAAGATATAAGGAACTATATGTTATTGCTAACAGTGGAAATGATGAAAAATGCCAAATTTTGTTCTTAAATGTCTAATTTCTCTACACTAGAATACTAATGAAGGTCCTGAAACATTAATTATAGCAATCAATAACAAATAAAGAATAGTTACATCTTTGTTAAAGTTTATACTGGTAGTTTGAAGTTATTTTTTATATTTTCCAGTCATCTTCCCTAATAAATGGGGTAGGGGAGAACTGAAAGCTCTAATATGAACATTGTTTGTCTACTATACATTTTCAGTACCTTAAATGGAATAAAACATGTACAAGAACAGATTTAATCCAAAATGTATCAACCAGTCAGCATAAAACTCAAGATATGAGGATCTATATGTTACTGCTGAAAGCAGCATTGATTAAAAAATGCCAAGTTTTGTCCTTAAATGTCTCATTTCTAGCCACTTGAATACCAATAAAAGTTCTGAAAAATCTTAAAAATATTAAATAACACATAATATTGATAATAGAATAGCTACAACTTTATGAAAGTCTATAATTTCAAGTTATTTTATTTTTTTATATTTCTCGTTTATTTTCCATAATTGATGGGGTAGGGGAGATCTGAAAGCTCTAATATGAACATTGTTTGTCTACTATACATTTTCTATACCTTAAATGGAAGAAGACATGCACAAGAACAGATTTGATTGAAAATGCAACAATCAGACAGCATAAAACTCAAGATATGAGGAACTATATATTACTGCTGAAAGCGAAAATGATAAAAAAATGCCAAGTTTTGTCCTTAAATGTCTCATTTCTAGCCACTTGTATACCGCTATAGGTTCGGAGATATCTTAAAAACATGAAATAACACATAATATTGACATAGAATAGCTACAACTTTGTTAAAGTTTATAATTTCAAGTTATTTTTTCATATTTTTCGGTAATTTTCCATAATAAATGGGGTAGGGGAGATCTGAAAGCTCTAATATGAACAATGGTTGTCCACTATACATTTTCTACACCTTAAATGGAAGAACATATGTACAAGCACAGATTTAATCAAAAATGCAACAACCAGTCAGCATTAAACTCGAGATATAAGGAACTATATGTTAATGCTGAAAGCGAAAATGATTAAAAATGCCAAATTTTGTCCTTAAATGTCACATTTCTAGACACAAGTATACTAATGAAGGTCTTGAAACACCTGAGAAACCTTACATAACACAAAATATTGATATAGAATAGCTACAACTTTGTTTGAGTTGAACATTTTGACTTCTTGTAGTTTCCATTTTTAGCCAATTTTTTCTAAAAAATTCAAGGTATGTCTTCTTCGGACCAGTATTTAGATATGTTCGCAAGAGTTATATGCTTCGCAGGCGAAATCCTTTATGCAGGACACCCTAATAGAATAAAAAATACACAGAAATTCCATCCAGCTCATAAAGTCATTTTTTCCTTAACGGAGCCTCTTAGAAAATTTTCCACCCCGAGTATAAGAAATGAATAATGTTTTCATCGAGCATATGTGGAGTGTACATTATACTTGGTTTCAATGGACATACTCTAACAAAACAGAATTGCAAGCCTAATTAATTGAACATCCATTGTCATTCTCCTTTCAGTGTAAATTGATCCTTGCTGAAGATGGGAGTGGTAAAGGAGCAGCGTTTGTAGCCGCTGTTGCTACTAGACTGTCTAGAGCAGCCAAAGAAGCGCGTAGAGACAGTGATGGTGACGTAAAAGATGAAAACAAACACTCTGAAAAGCTTCCATCATCTCCAACTGCAGAAACTGTCAACAGTGAGAAACAAGACGGGGAATCTAACAAAGTGGATTCCCCAGGGAAATCCCCGAAAAGTGACAATGAGACTGAGAATAGCCTCGATTTGGAAGCCACATTTCAGCCATTAAAATCTCAACCTTCCCTAGACATGGCCTTGGCACTACAGGGAATTCCTCTCAAGGTGTCGTGATTATGTAATAATATATATTATATGTATAATATCAGAATACTTATAATCTCCATCTAGGAATGCGGTGATATAAAGTCAAAAGCTTATACTTATAATAAATGCTAAAGCTATGAAATGTGCTACCTCAAATGACAGAGACTAGAGTTGGCAATAATTTGGATGGCCTGGCAAGCCTAAAACTCAGACATTGATGTTATTACAGTCGTGAAAGAAACAAAAGAGTGAAAAGAAGCACACGTTATATTTGAAGCATACGTGTGCTACGTAATAAAGCAACAAAAACGGTTATTCTAAACGTACTACTGCTACAGTAGCGTAGTGCTATAGTACACATGGTGTGTTGTACCTCGCCAATCATCCACGAGCAGCTATTTAAAATGCAGTATTATCCTATTACAAAATAATGGAAACCGGATACGTAAAGTATCCCGTTTTGTATACACCTATAGATGTCATTGTAATTCACCAAGTAGAAATAGACCCGAAGTCAAAGTCGCAATCCCGGATAGAAACATGCTTAGTGCAAATATCCACATATTTTATTTTCAATATCACTGTAGTCTGTTGGTTTTAGCAAAAAGAAGATCTTGCTTGGCAATTTTAGTATGTGATTAACTGTTCAATTTATTGCACATTGTTAGAGATTTCAGATGGTTGAGCCTTTGTACAATGAGCTTCTTGAGAATTTAATTCGCTTTACTAAATTATAAGTGTAGTTCAGGTTGAATGAAACTATAGGCTATATATACACGTGATTTAATGGCGATTGATATTAACACAGGTGATAGGGCAAAAAAAAGATAATTTAAGTAAGTGATGTACAAGTATATGCTGTACATGTGACTTATTGATAAACTATATTCGGTTCCCGGGATACGGTTTCACAACCAATAGCATGGTGAAACTGGAACTTAAACGATCCAATATCAAGAATATTCCACCTGGGTAACTGACTTGCAATAATGTCTTATGTTATTGAGCGAGATGAATGTGATAATCCCCGGGTGTTTATCCTATTGTCTTGCATCTAGCTCCTGTGTTCTTCCCCACTTACCCAAGTAGAAGCGCCATTAGAGCGCGATCGCACTGGACGAAATGCTTGGAGATTGAACCACAGCGTTTTAAGCTGATTGGATAATAGTGGGTGTAGTAACAGAAGCTCGGTGACCTGATTTAGTTCATATCCTTAGTCCTGAATTATATGATTATATTGTGAATTATAGAGAAATGTCGGTATGTGGTCAAATGCTAAGTTTTATTCCCTTAAAGGGAAGCTCAATATTATTGTATATTGTATAGAATGGGCATCTATACATTTATATTGAATTACTGAAAAGGTGTGGCAGTTGCTACAATTACAATTGTAACTCAATTGTTGTAAATATGTAAATGTATTTAGCCGTCTGGTCAGTATGGAAAATGTTCCAAGAGAGTGTCCCATCCCATCCCGTTCCCATGATTTATATTATATAGACCTTTCCAATAAACCCTACCACCTCTTGGTGAATCAAGTTATGATATATTGGCTAGATCGATGATATCATTGGTTGTATTTTTTCAAACAAATTAGCAATAAGTTAATCCTATTTTTGCTTGGATAGATCGCTACCTACAACCAATGACATCACCAATTTATACAATAATATTTTCCTAAACTTGTGAACGTGAAGAGAGAAGTATAATTTTGTTTACTAAGGAAAAACGGCCACCTCTATTTTATACGTGAATTTCCTCGGCGTATTTCTACGTCAGAGTAGGAAATTTTTGTCAGTATTCTATTTGGGGGGGGTCTTAAACTGTATCTTGTCAGTAATGGTAGGACTTTATATAAAAGGCGTCCTTCATTTCAATAGTTGAATACATAAGTCAATAAACAGAGTATTTTTTAACTTTTAAACATTATTTTATAAAATACATACATGCTCACTTATTGTATCAGGGAACAGAACATTGTGCTTAAACGATATATTTCAAAGTTTGTATTCGGGCTTTGTTTTGTAACATATAGGGGATCAACGCATTATACCGAAGGGGATTGCACAAAAATGCACCATGCAGACTGTAGCTACAATAACCTTCCGTGTCATGCGCAGATTCCTTTTTGTAAATAGTATACAAAAATAGTCAATACTAACCCATGCTCCATCTATTTTGCGTAAGGAAACACAACGCTGGTGGTTGTGTGTACATACAGTATTATATTATGAGATATGTTATGAAAATTAATAAAATATATACTTCTTAATTTTTTTTGTTTTGTTCAGTCATTGGAAAAATATTCTCTCTGTTCTATCCATAACATTTTGTGCGTCGTTATGAAATGTCTGGATTTTGATTAAAACGTTGAAGAAATTATACATAGTTAGATATATGCGTCATAAATTATCAGTGCAAAAATGCTTGTGTGATCTATTTTGCTAAAAAAAACGAGAAAAAAGAAACTAAAATGAAACTCGTCATTCCCATCTACACTGCAGTGCTATTGTGCACACGGATTTTTGTCAGTCGCTAGCTATAAAAGGTCCTGTGACATTTTTTTCAAATGAATCTCGCCAATTTCATTGAAGGTGTTTTATTTTTTTGTTTCCGAAGAAAGCTATTCTTTAGCAATTCTAGTCAATGTTAATCCAATATTACGATATACTGTAAAGAAGAGTAAATGTAAAAATAGGAGAGAGATAAGTTTATCCTATGACAAGTGAGGTTTCAGGTACATAACAGGGATATAGAATTGATATCTCGAGGGAGCGGGACATAAACAGTATTTATCCTATGCCAAGTAGAGTTTTAGGAAGATAAGTTGGTAAGATATATCCCGTATCCTGATTTTGAGGTTTCCATATCCAGAACCTCCATATCTCCCGCCATATCTCCCGCTTCGGTGCATATCTTCCCGCTTCGGTGCATATCTTCCTGCTTCCGGTAAGTAGTGGAAATGCAACAAAATGACTTTGCATATGAATGATTTTTTATTTTTACACCTTGTACTATTGGAATGGCCATATGCCCCTGAAAACTCTACTTGGTATAGGATAAAGCAGTTATGTATGGTCGGTTTGGATATGGGGTTCATCCCTCGTGAGATATGCACATCTACCTTCGGTCCCTACGGTCCCTCAAGTAGATATGCATTTCTCCCTCTGGATAAACCCCATATCCAAAACCTCCCAGTACATAACCCTTATATATCTCTCGCTGTATATCTCACGCTGCATATCTCCCGCTCCAATATTCCCGAGAAAACGTTTTTGTTCAGTGTAGAAGTAGTCAATGACTTATTATTAGAATGCCTTATTATAGTGAAACTGTCAAAATGGATGTAGTAGAATTTTTCTTGACCAAAATGTTGTTGAATTACTCGAAAATAATGTGAATGAGAATACTTAGGAAAACAAATTGGATATGGGTGCCTAAAATCCTCACTTGCGAAACCTCATTTGTCATAGGATAAATTAATTATGTGATGCTCGGTTTTGAATATGGGGAATATCCCTCGGACCCTCTGTGCCCTGGGTAAGATATCTACATTTCCTTCAGGATATACCCCATATCCAAAACTTCCCATAACATAACCCTCATTTATCTACAGATCACAATTCAAACATAACGAACATGTAACAAAGAAAAAAACGTTGAAGGCAATTTTATGAAGTTGGAGACGTTCATTATAAGTACAAAACATCCAAAATCTAATCAAGGCATTGGATTAAGTATTCAACATACTAACTATGAATCAGTTCATCAATTTTAGTATTTTCCATAACGTTTGGCAACGTCTTATACAAAACAAGGCGGAGTAGTTGATCGAGTGCACTGTGATCAGATGCCTTGCAGGGCCGTATATCTTGGCAACTATGAAAATATTTGCGGACGAAATCATCCAATCTTGATTTAAATTGAATTGGCGAAGAGTTTGGAAACTTTACAGTTGCTATTTTCACGCTTCATTGTTTGGATTTGAATAGAATTTGCCCGGATGCTCAAAGCGGCGACGAACGGGGGCCAGTTGGCAAGATATCCTCTTAATTCTAACTCGAGGGATAAATCTCTATATTTGTTCTATGAAAGAGAACAATTATGTCACCCTTGCCAGGTTTAGCAGGGTCCTCAAGTAGAATAACGCTAAGAGAATGGAGTCCTGGAAAGGTGCTTTCTACGTTAAATACACATTCAGATAGTTAAAATATTTTTCTAATGATTTAGTTTGCTTTACTTGGACGGATGGCTTGTTTTTCTAACGTTTTTGCACAATTTTCCCAAATTTCTACCTGATTTCAAGTTAGTATAAGCCTTTTGAAAAATTTAAATCCTCTAAAATAACACGGGATTTTGTTGTTTCAAAAACGATTGCACAAAGGGCTTGGCTAATAGAGCAAAAATGCGAATTGTCAATATTGGCGTTATTTCTCCTAGGGTATTTTCCTACCGTCCAAATATTGCAACGGTTGGTGGAAAAGTAATAAAATATTTGTAGCGCTTTTGGTCAATATTATCACCCGGAGGTCAATATTTCAATTATAGCGGTCAATATTATCTATCGTTTGTAAATATTTGACAATAAATGTCCAAATTCTGTGTTTTGTATTATTTTTGGTCATTTCTAATGTTCAGGCTTATGTTGACAACGATTAGGATAGATCGACGTTTGTTCAACCCGATACTGAAAATATTTAATGTCTTGTAAAATATTGACCTCCCTTGTTTAGATACCAATGTACAGGGTATAGTTTGTCAACACTGTTGAGATCATCATTAAATTGAAATAATATTTCTTCTCCTTGTGCAAACTTCTCACCTCGTACTTGTCAAATGATTGATAACCCGATATGGATAGGCTTTCCAGTTTGAAAATATCTAAGCTAGAGTCATTTTAAATATTTTATAAATCATAATAGAAGCATGATGTAGCCATCACTTGTAGATGCTTTTTAATTGATTGTTACGCCTTTGTATTCGAATTTTCAATTGGTCAGCAATGCATATATACACTGATTTGGTCCACTGGAATGGTTATCCCAGAAATATCAACAATCATTTCAAAATCCTTTTCCTGTGGTTCAATGCTACACATATAAAATGATTTTAAAATAAAAGTAAACTGAATGACCTATATTTTAGCCAAACGTAAAGAGTGACCTCGTTTTTATATATTTAGTACACAAAGGTTTCCACAATTCTGGAATTCTTGAGAAATTTGGTTATGGATACATTTCTATAATCGTTTATTTCATTTATGTAATACGTACTATAATGCAAATAATAAAGTTGGACGAGGTTGAAATTCACATTATGGTCGTACATGTGCCATTGTTAGTGTCTTACTAAGAAAATCACCGTATGCGACACCGTATCCGTGGTTCCAGAATATGCAAATGTAATGCTGACAACAATGTAAGCGTAAACCAATAATGGGTTAGTTAATTAACAATGTGGCGTAATCCATCCCCCTAATTGAAAGAGAAATCATTGTTTTTAGGGATTAATTTGATATATTCAGTACCATTTAGTAAATCAATTATCATTCATAGCTTTACCCAGATTTATAACATATCATTCGTATAATTGTAATTGTACTCATTCCCAATTTGTCAAAATATATGGAAATCCACTTAATCATAGCAGACTCTTCTGCTACTGAATCTGCTACTATATCTTAATCATATGGAAGAAACTGAATAGAAGTCATAGACATTATTGTCATCGTTCGCATAATTCTGGAGCTCAGATTCGAGAAGTTACAAACTATTCTAGACGAAACTCTCTTTTAAGAAGCAATTATATGTCAAACGAATGCAAAGGGTCTATATTTTCCATATCATAGCTAAATAAAATTATTCTGTAAACTTTATGAGATGATTTACAATTGGGCGTAAGCCATATTCGCACATTCCTTCAGCTATTTAGAATTTTCTGAGTAAATCGTCAAAATATTTTCAGGATATCGAAATATTTGGATATCTTAAGGCGAAATGCGTGGTAATATTACTACTATCATGATTAACATATTTAACATTAGGCCTGACGTTAATCCTAAATTGCTGAATGTATCTTTCAAACCATACCCAGAACATCTGTAGAGAATCTGCTGTGACTAACTAATGTAAAAAGCTGAAGTAACGGTAAAAATTGCAGTTTGTACCAAACATATAACTTATCAAAAAGGAAATTCGTATAGAGGGCGTCACATTTGCAAAGAACTCGACTTTAGAGGTCATGAAAGGTCAAAATAGCATGTCAGTTATTTTGGCGGTCTTGAAAGCTCGAAATGCATTTTATATGTCATACAAGGTCATTTTGAATGTCAACATTGCATTTTGGTTTAGATGGGCTCGATGTCTATCTATAGTCCTAAAATTCACCTAAATCCAAAAGGTTGTATTATGGATGGACGGATACGGACCTTCTTTTGTGGAAATAATTACATTTTTAACAAAATTAATCACAAAACAAATTTAGGCTGAACTTACTGCTGTTTAAAACTGTATGTTCTAATTTTAGGTTATTCTAGCATTAATGTTACTAAGATTGTTAGACATAAAAATAATCCTTTTTATTGAGAATGTCAACACAAGACCGAATGTGTCATGTGTGTACGTTTTAGAATATTCGTTTTTATTTGGTATTTCAACACAATATGTTTCAATAGGCTGGAATATCGTAAAAGCTTTCAGTAAGTTGATTGTTTGCAAAAAATTAATCAATTTTTGGATTATACTGTAATTCTGCATGAAAGCAGTGTTTCACATGCATGAAAACTTTATGTTTCAAAAAAGCACTGAATATCTTTTAGCCAAATAAAGATCGTTTTGGTCTAAAATCCTCGATGAAATCAAACTTGGGAAATTAGCGAATTGAAATTAGGGAAATCAAAGTGTGCCATAATCACGGGTTGGTAATGTATGCTGCAAAAATTCTGCTGCAAATGCCGAATTACCTTCATAAATGTGATGTTATTTTGATTTTTTTCATTTATTCGACATTTTTTAGGTTTTGAGAAAAAAAGTGCAAAACAATAAAAACAAAAAGAAACTCAAAATAACCCCACGATTATGGGGGTATGCCGACTGTAGAGTGTTTCTCGCAGTGACGAGAATTGAATAAGGTGGAAAGAAAACAATATAAAACAGAAAACTTTTCTAGGTGATCAAAAGAACAAAATGTCCAAAAATGTATATAAAATTCTATAAATCGACCAATTAGTTATAGGATTAAATGTTGTTATGGATTAAAAAAATATTGATCACGTTGTAGCAAGAGAAAATCCAATTAGGGATTAAAATGTGTGATGACGTGACATTGTTTTAAATCAAAAATGTTGTTCTTTTGGTTTAACTAATTACTTAGATTATAACAGGTGTTTTAAATCAAAATAGAAACGTTTGTTGTATATGGAAATTTTATTTTTTATTCATTAAATAAATATAAATTTACAATATGTCATGTCACTTGTGTTATTTTAAAATTATATACTTTCATTAAACAATATTTACATCATTATTTACAAAGATAATCTTATTGCATTTAACTTTTGACATGAAACTCATCAACTCATATTACACAAATATTACAGATTTGACTTAGATGACCACACATTTATATTTAACTCAATACATTTTGCAATTTGAAATTGAAATGCGGAATTTGGACCTTTTTAAAAATACTTGCCTGACTAGCTAGTGTAACTCTCAAGTTAAAATCTTCCATAACGGCAAGAAATATTTATGATTTATATTATAATTTACCCGTGAGTCAAATTGTCAGTACAATATGTACAATGAATATCTCGAAAACGTCACTATTTTTTCAATTCTAATATGGTAACAAATACTTTTCCGATTTGGAAAAAAGTTATTTCAATTTACATCTGACTTATCACCGAACATTTGGACGGAATCATATTTGCTATAATGTCCCTGCCATATTTAGCACATTTCCCAAATTGCATCTGCCAATGTTCTTGCTTTGTCGTTCGTTCAGTACCCGAGGTCATGCTTGAAAAGCGAATTAGAATCACCGGGGGCTTCTCAGATGCCAACCATGTTGCACGGGACATCACTGGATCTCTCTATCCGATTCTCACAAAGAAAATCGAGGGGCGCATTTTCATTTAGAATTGCAGCTTTTGTTGAGATCTCATTATCTGAGATATACTTAAAGCGTTTATGTTGTAGCCTGTAACCGTAGCTGATTCATGTTCCCATATTGTGGTGAGGGATAACCGGGTGTCTGGGGAAGGGAAGCGTAGTTTGACAACGCTGAGCTGGTCTGACTCAGGTAGCCTCCTCCTAGAGACGATCCCATCGACGCGGCGGCAGCAGTCGGGGGATAGTATGGAGATGTATACCCTGCTGCGCTTGTTGTGGCCGGGTTCCAATGTTCTGGCTTAGAGCCGTACGCCTGTTGATTTTGCTGTATCTGGGAAAGACCTTGAGTGAATGATGATAGCGCGAGAGGATTTATGGAAGGGTATGGTTTGTAACCACCTCCATAGAGACTAAAGTGTCCATAAGAACTAACGTGTTGAATATGAGCGGAATCCACTGCGCCTTTGTCCATTTTCTGCAGCTTGAATCGCTTGGCTCTGCGCAGGAAACTTCCGTTTCCAAACATGTCAGTGCAGGCTGGATGCAACGCCCAGTAGTTGCCTTTTCCGGGACGACCCGGGGCCCGAGGGATTTTCACGAAACAGTCATTGAGGCTAAGATTATGGCGAATGGAGTTCTGCCATCTCTGTTGGTTATCTTTGAAATAAGGGAATCTGTTCATGATAAACGCGTAGATCTCGTTGAGCGTCATCATGCCATTTGGCGAGCTCTCCACGGCCATTGTGATGAGCGCGATGTATGAGTAGGGTGGCTTCACATCGGCAAACCGACGCTTTTGTTGAGATAGAGTTGAGGTTCCGGAGAAGGCGTTACGGTCTAGCTCAGCCTCGGCCTTCTCGAGCGCTTCAATGTGGGATGGAATCGGAATGGGTGTACCTGTGCTCTGGGGTTGGCTGCTCTGTTCAGGAAGACTTTGACTGGTTGTAGGATTAGTCGCCTCTGATACAGATAAAGGGACTTCTGGTTCACTGGCGGAGATATACGCGCTGTCATTGTGGACTTCACCTAGATTGGTGGATCCAACCAAGTCATTGTTTTCCATCTTTGAGATTTGTCTGAAAATAAAAAACATATATGTTTAATGTAAAACTAAAATAGTTGTTTTATTTTGTAATGAAACGCAAAGAAAAATCCTTGTTTTATTTTGTAATGAACGCAAAGAAATCAGATTTATCATCGCGGTTCGAAATCAGTCTTCTTTATTGTATTGTATTGTATATTCAAACTGAATGCCAAATGGACAAATTTATTGGTTTTGAACTTGAAATCATTTTTTGAAAGTATTCTTTTGAATTTATTAGAATGACGCAAAATCTTTAATGAATTAGCTTTCAAGCGGCAAAGCTGTAAAATTAGATTTTGTAAAATATGTTGAAAAACTAATGATATTTTTTAGAAAACTTTTTTTCAATCACACTTGAATACTACACTCTCGTAAATAACTGATATTTATAAAAGGAAAACATTTATTGTAGAATACTACTTAAAATTACTGTACTTTTGAAATCTAATGAACAATATTTTCAAATATTGTAAACAATTGCGGGTATTTAATATTTTTATGAAATGAATTTGAATAATTGTAATTAGGCCTGTATTACAAAATGTTATTAATGGCTCATATAGCCACCATACTTTTAAAGTTTTTAATATATTTCTAGATTTTCTATGCCATTTTTATTGACATTTTGTTGAAGATCGCGTAAATAAAAATTCATACAAATTACTTCACCGGAAGGGAATTAATTATTACTTTTCGTCTTGTTACAATTTTAACACGACTTAAGAAATAGTTAGATTAGCTGATCATTTCCAATTTCATATCATATAATCACTTCATACATTTATGAAATAGTATGACATAAAACTGATTCTAGTAACATTAATATGTACTTTTATCTTACCTTTGAAATGTTATCGCTGATGTTTCAAAACAAAATCCTAACAATTCGAGAATGCGTCCAATCTAAATATATTTATATAATGTTTATAAAAGTAGTTTCTTCTAAATATGTCACTGGAAGTGTCAATTATTTGTGGATGAAATCAAAACTAACTTTTTACAAGCACCGCTCGACTAAATATTGGTTTGCACTTCGGCTAATCCCTTACGTGATTGGTTGGCGCACTTGTGACAGTAACCAATAAGACGTCAGCTCCAGGACCACGTGTCATCTCAATCATTTGACCTTGATTGAAACCATGCTGACTGCTCAAAATGGCGGATTACAGTTTGCCATTTTCAGCATTGAAAAGCTCAAATGGTCTCTTTAACTTCACGAAATCGGGAAATCAATTACTTTATTTGTTCAACTTTATTGAAACTTTTGCAGACATTTCCTTGTCAATATCTAAATTTTTGTGAATGAAATCTTACTTTCCCAGGTGGACAAATTTAGTTTTAGTGAATGGAGAATGTTTTGAACAAGTTGAGATTATCAATCGTTGACCACTCCAAGGAATGTTGTCCCAAACAGAAACCTAACTTCAATAAATACTGTTAGATGAGTATAGTATAAGAAATATATTTTCCTAATTTTAATCATTTATTACAAATTGAGATAATGAGACTGTTCAATCAATAGTTGTTTGTTCTGTTAACATATTAATCCAATTAAGTCATTTGTTTCCGAACTTGAAAACAAATATTATGATTTATCACAGTGTTCTGTTTATTTGAATTCTTAAATTGAATTTGTTTTTACATAAAAATAAATATGTCACCAAATGAAATACTTATATTGGTAGATAAAAATGATAAACGAATCAATTTACTATTATTTATTTTAATAACTTAGTTGGACGTAAATACAAAAATTGAGCAAGTCATTTTGAGCACCTCATTGATTCAATGTAAAATGTCACATTTGGTTTTTCGCTCAGACACTATGACTGCACCCCAAAATAAAACTCCATTATTTTAATCCATTGCATGGCACTGAGCCGAGGCCCTGAGCATCTGAAAATGTCATTTTGAGGACCTCAAAAGTACTATAAGTTGATTCGTTTATGTCAATAGATTAGAGCAATTTTTAATATAATTTGAGCATCGCAATTTTCGATTCAATTCACCAAATCAACCTAGAGTTTATTTTGATACAGAAATTATCTCTCTATGGCATGAGTTGATCAATGAATCAAATATCCCCCAAAGAATTGAAAATAAAACAATATAGATTACGATCAAATTAAAAGAAGCCTGGCCCAACATTTACCTAGCAAAGTGTAATAAAAGTCAAAATATTGATGATCTTATATACAAGTGTACTAGACCATATTTCAATATGTTCATAAGAGACCAGATATGTTAGTCGGTTCCGTTCCAAAAACAACATTTTCAAGGTTCTAAGTTGCTGGGTAGAGCAGAGAGGGTGTTAAGTTTTTAATTGATCTTTAGATCAAACATCAATATATTTTGGTCAAAGAGGGATTTTCCCAATAGGTTTATTCACATGAAAGTGAAAATTTTAATTCAAATCTTAATAAATTCCATAAAAGTCGCATTAACTTAACACTGGGTGTTTTCTCTTTTAATGCCAGTTTTGGGACTTATAATCTGGAGAAATAAGGCTATTGTCAGATCATAAAACAAGCCGCTGAGAAAGTAACTTATCCAATTCAGGAATTGAGGCCATAGCGAATTAATTATTGACTTAACAGATACGATTTATTCCAGGGCTGGTCTTTGAAAGCAAAAATATTTTAAACACATTAGGAAACATTTTTTGGTGATGAGATTTTTGAAGATATTTAAGACTTGGATATTATTTGATGAAGTTTCTTGGTTTCCTTTTCCAATTGTTTTAAAACGATGTTTTTTATACAAAAAAAGACGACGTACGTCATTTCAAATACGGTATATCGTTGACGTAAATAGATAAATCCATTCCCAGTGTATTAAATATGTTTATTATAATTCGATTTTGAAAAAAGGTGTGGGACAAAATACAAATATCTTTGATTACTAAAGAAATCCTGGTTTGATTGGAAAATTCCTAATCAGAAATTACTTATTTTGATTACGAATATTCCATTTCCTTTATGAACGTGTGAAAATGTTGATCATGCTTTGCAAAAACATCTTTCATCTCATTTGCACGCTTACTTTCAAAGTACGGGATATACCATGTCTAGGAAAACAATCACTGATTTAATAACTGGAAAATTCTTAATCCAAAAGGATATAGCGATAATTTTACTTTTCAAACTTATTCAAAGATTTTGAAATTTTACAAGTACTCCAATAGATTTATTTTAGTTATTCAAATACACTTTCACAAAGCATAAGATTTCCCATTGCCGGTCATTGTCAACAAAATAGTGTATAGAACAAGTTCAAAATAGCATATAACATTTCTTTCCATGGAATTACAATACTTTCAAATATCTGTATAAAATACGTCCTATATAAAATACCAAATGGCGAAAGTCATTCTTTAAACCATTTCGAAACTAACTATAAAATGAACGATATTTTGGGAATAATTGCATATTAGGAGTGTTTATTTTCAGTCCACTCACTGCTTATCTCTGTTTATTCTGTCTGTCATTTTTTAACGTGACTAACAGTGACATAATATTCGCGGGCGACCCAGGTGATGGTGCTGACAAGTTCCGATTCAAAAGTTCTTGGACGGCTCCCGTACAAGTAATCTTTCCGAGAGATAATCTATAGAGTGCAACTACGGGAAACACAACTCTGGCTGTGCGTCTTAGTTATTTGTAAAAATATGATGTTTATATTAAATTATGAAAACATCTCCTTTTTAATATTTTAACTTGTGTTACTTAATGAGTGTGAAATCTATTTAATGTAAGGGCCTGTTGACATAACTTACCACTGTTAACCGTGGTAAGGGTGGTAGGAGGCTTAGAACGGTAACATTTATAAGTAACGAATTAAGTTAACAGACACCTGTAGGATCACCTGGGCAAGACTACGCATATTTCCAACCTTTACAACTGATTTTTGCCAATTGCCAAATTCGTTATGGCAAAGCGGATTACTTTGTCCGTTTTCGAAAACGGAAGCATCAAAACTTAAGTCAAAATGGTTCATTTAACCAAATGTAAGTTTTGGAGCTTTTGATTCGGATCTTTTTTTGTAGAAAATATTAAAGGCAAAAGGCCAAAGGTAAATGCATTTCTGACCTCTATTACCAAAGAAGGTTCAGTAGTTCACTATACAATGCATTCAATATTTCTATCGTTTCGTTTAACATTATTTTCTATTGAATTCTAATAGAGAATCCATAAAAGACGCCCGGGAAAAGACGACATACTGATGCAATATATTCTCGAACGATAATACCTTCGTACTCCACGAACTCCTGAACCCATTCGAGTGATTACACACATGATGTGTCAGCTTTCATAATAAGAATTATTTAGGGACAACCATTCAAATTGTACACTTTATAGCTAGGTTGACAATCAGGTACAGTAAAATTTATATATGGTGAAGAAAAGACTTTCTGCTTTATCCTGAAATCCATGTACAATTTGATAGATCCCAGAATTCTCCCAGAAATGTTATACGATGGGGTCGTCTAGCAGTTTATACGTGCTAGTCCTTATTCGCACGCAGCATAGTATTTTATTTCAAATCCTATGGCTGTATCTGTATATGTAGAGGATCTGAGGATGCCCATAGGCGTAGCGATCGCAACCCCCCCCGCAACCCCTCCCCCATCCATAACAAATAAAAATAGAACCATGTGATAGGTAAAGTAGAAGAAACTAGCTTAAAGACCTGTCTATTTGAAGCTTCTAGCTCAGTTTTCAAGGAAGTTGCATCAATTTTTGTAAAATTCAAAATAAATCTTATTTCTGGCTTGTTTATGCCACAATCGCACCCCTGACTGAAAACCAAAATATTTTGTCTATCGCACCCCCCCCCCCTCCCTGACTGAAAGCTGGCTACGCCCCTGAAGCCAAATGTGAATGTTGCCCATAACTCCGTCATGACATGATGATGTACGTAGCCATCAGGCACTGTGTAAATAACCTAAAGCAAACCATGGGAATTACAAGAAGAATTTTCCCATGCTTGCCAGTATCCTATTTCTCAATCAACACCAATCAACAGCCACTTGTTATCGATACTCCTCGACGTATTTGTGAAACTCATGAACAGGTAGACCAAAGTACCTTTGTGGAGTAATTATAAAAACAATGCCACAAAGCAAATGTTGAAATATCGCCGAATCGAAATGAATAAATAAACAATAAATAGTCCAATTTCTCATTATGATTTGGGTCAATATTGAAATGATTAGATTCGACTTGACGAAGTTCAAATGGTTCACATAAAAATAAGTCTAAATATTTTTCAACTGTTGTTTGATGACAACTTGGCTTCAGCAACACGGGATTACTTAAGCACTGCGCAGTAATTCAACAAAAATAAAACTTAATATCAACAAAAAATACAAAAGTTTCCTATAATACCTTAATCTTTGGAAATAATAAACCAGATTCAAAGCATTTTAATGAAAATATGTTGAAACTTAGTGAATGTATCCAAAACACTTCCATGTATCATAGCCCATGTTGAAATAAAAACACAGTTTAAACGTTGAGAAAATATTGAAAAGTCAAAGAATGGTGTAACAAAAACACAACATAACATTTATTTGATATTCTTTGAAGGCCTGTCTAAATATAAACAATATAAAAGTAATATATATGCAATTGGAATAAATTGATGTTTTTATTGTGTAATGATTACCTTACGAATTAGATCTGGGTTGGATCGTCTAATTTTGGGATGACCCGGAGCATGAAATACGTTCACGGGGTTGGATCGTCTAATTTTGGGAAGACCCGGAGCATGAAATACTTTCACGGGGTTGGATCGTCTAATTTTGGGAAGACCCGGAGTATGAAATACTTTCACGGGGTTGGATCGTCTAAATTTAGGATGACGCGGAGCATGAAATACTTTCACGGGGTTGGATCGTCTAATTTTGGGAAGACCCAGAGCATGAAATACTTTCACAGGGTTGGATCGTCTAATTTTGGGAAGACCCGGAGCGTGAAATACTTTCAAAAGATTGGATCGTCTAATTTTGGGAAGACCCGGAGCATGAAATACTTTCACGGGGTTGGATCGTCTAATTTTGGGAAGACCATGAGCATGAAATACTTTCACGGGGTTGGATCGTCTAATTTTGGGATGACCCGGAGCATGAAATACTTTCACGGGGTTGGATCGTCTAATTTTGGGAAGACCCGGAGCATGAAATACTTTCACGGGGTTGGATCGTCTAATTTTGGGAAGACCCGGAGTATGAAATACTTTCACGGGGTTGGATCGTCTAATTTTAGGATGACCCGGAGCATGAAATACTTTCACGGGGTTGGATCGTCTAATTTTGGGAAGACCCAGAGCATGAAATACTTTCATAGGGTTGGATCGTCTAATTTTGGGAAGACCCGGAGCGTGAAATACTTTCAAAAGATTGGATCGTCTAATTTTGGGAAGACCCGAAGCATGTCATTTTACTAAGAAATATCAATTATATTGCAAAACTTATTTCATAACCAACCCCGTACCATATATGATATTCTTGTGTATCTATGTGCTATGTTAATGAAATGTATTGCGTTGAATAACTTCCACGAGATGAGTATGTAAACAAAAGTTTGTCACATTCATGATTAAATACCAAAAAATTCAAACCATGGTCAATAGCATAAATTGAAATCCTTATCATGAGTTATCTAGCATCCCGCAAAGTTAAATTCAGATCATATCACAGTCGAAATGTTGAGGCATGCGCAGACCTTTATTTAGTCAAGGAGGATTGGCTCCCAGAGTGCACCACCGATATTCTGTCCCATATATGGGTATGTCGTAATACAAAATTCGAATTCAAACAGCCGCCATTTTGTTCACTTCAACATTTAAATCGTGAATTTTGGTCTTATTTCCAAACGAAAAATTCCAAAACTCACAAGAAATGATCGAGATATTGGTTCGAATCTTTTGAACTGTTTATTTTGAATTTATAGTCGGTTTTAATTTCAGAAAATAACGACATTTCGACGTTTTCATTGTTGGAAAATATCGAGTTTCGATCCTGGGAGCCAATCCTCCTTGTTATTTAGTGATATTTTCATTTCAAATATGGCGGCCAATCCGATGTCTGACGACCCTTACAAAGAATCTAGGCAGTTTGCATTTTTACCTCCTGTGAAATAACAAGTGGAATTTAGTAGTTGTTTTGTGTTTTATTATCATTCTGCATCGTAATTCTATGTGATGTGGTGTTGAAATGTCAGCAGAAATACATATCCATACGATAATCGAGTGAATCAGATAACAGATTTTTCGAAAACCCGTCTCGTGCTAAGAGTGTAAAAACTTGTATTAACATGCTCAAAAGTGCCAATGTGCACATCAATGTCAAGCTAAATCAATGTTGTGTCTAAAACAGGTACCCGATCTACTCAAAACAGCTTGTCATTCACGTATACACGCTTAGCAAACACGGCGAAATGACCTGAATCTTGGAATTTCGTTCAAGAGCTAGTAATGTTTGCTCCGGTCTTCGTCATAAGTGTTCATCAGACGTCACGCATGCGCAGGAGAAAAACCATCAACCAATAAGGTTTATAAATCAATTTTGCGCATGCGCCTTACAACGGTAAACAAATTTGTATTTATAAACGAACCAGTTTGAGATAACCCGATATCAGTCGGAGAAATCTGACGATCTACGAAACTCACTTCAAAAAATCAAATGCGGACTGACGGCGTATTCTACTATGTTTGGATCTAAGATTTTCAGTATAGATAAAGTCTTTTATGATCTTTCGAATGAGGTAAGTCTCTAGTTCGAAAGACAATCGTATCAACTTGAACAAAAGTTGAGTTTTGACGAAAAATTTTAACATGCGCAGAAGTCCCATTTTCGTTGTACCATATTGACTGATCATGGCACCTTGTTCTTGCTACCCTGACAAGTGACAACCCATCTTGGAACCTTTAGACTCAGAATAAAATGTAGAATAATTGATAAAAAAAGATGATAAAAACTGATATTACATTTTTCACCAAGTTTTAAAATCCTAATATTAAGTTTTTACTATTTGAAAAAAAGTTATTGAAATTGAAATAGTTTACAAAAAGTCCATTTTATAAAAATTTAGATTAATGGGCGAATTGTAATTTCATCATCATGCTCTGTCAACGTTATAGAAATTATACGAAAATTCGAATGCCCTGTGATAGACATGTTTACGTATTGTTAATTTTTTGATGTTGAAAGCAGAATGAAGGTAGAATGTCCATCACAGGGCATTCGAATTTTCCTCAGATTTCTATGACGTTGACAGAGCATGATGATGAAATTACAATTCGCCTATTAATAGGTTTAATCTTTATAGTTCTTACGTTTCAAAATCTATATTTTCAATTTTGTTTGGAAAATATCGCTTCTCACATAAGAACATAATTATAGCACGCTCTATCGACACAACTGAACGTAATAGGAAGCTTTCTTTGGCAAAAATTCGCTGGAGGTGAATGCCATTTTCGTGAGCGGGATTGGGATGTGAATACGATTATCACGAGCGGGATTTGGCGGGATATTTTCTTATATCAAAAATGTCCCCGGGTGTTATTCAGCGTGAACTTGTAGTATCATGATTTAATAAAATATTGTTACCGGTAATATATATAACTTTAATTTGAGTTCCTGGTGAATCACGACAGAACATGTAATTGAAATGGACCCTCCTCAAAAAATGGTCGTATTCGCCTTATCCCCGTATAATCATTTTAGGATTTGGTCAAGACTATTGAACTCCCAGAGTCTGATCTATGCCATTCTTAAAAGTATACATATTTCCGACTGAAAGGCTGAAATGCCAGGCATTTTAAAGGGAAATTACGTTTTGCAATTTGAATTAGTTTCAGAAGATAATTTTATTTATTTTGGTTTATAATATAGATTTATTTCAATAGCTTAGATTTAAAATTTCAAATATTGAATTTACAGTATTGTCTAAAAACTTGACATTCTCTTGGTTGTTTGATTTACAACAATACTGTATTAAATAAGTTTTCGATTTCTAGATGCATTTGTATAAAATCATAAACCATAAAAATATTTTTTACAATTCTGAAACAGTATTCAGTTTAATAGGTTAACTAGTTGTAATCGGATTCTAAAACATTAGCACTCCATCAGCCTTATGAGATTATTCTGATAAAGAAGGTTACATCTATTGTAAAATAATTTTCCTAATACGTGAATACAATACATATATATAATATCCAGTTATGAAAATAGCAGAGAATAATATTCAACAAATGGATTGTATTCTGCAAATATCCGAGTTGAATGAAACAGATTATACATTCTAATACCTGGGATTTTCATCCAAAAAGACGCCTTTGGTTTAATCTTGCATGCTTTTTGCCATTTTGGAATATCACATTATTTGTTTCCCATAATATATTATAAATATGGTTATTCAAACATTTTAAATAATATGCCCTAATAACTTCTGACCAATTGACTCTTCGTAATGAAAGATAAATTAAGAAAATAGGAAATGCAGTTAGTCATACCACATTTTCATTTTATCAAAACACGAAACTGACACGACAGAAAACACACCAAACACAAAGTCATGACACTTTCCAGAAATCATTTCCAGTGTTGTAAAGCAGTGAAATGGAATTCGGTTCTAATTGAAATTGTTCGTTCCGATTCCTTTTCATTCAGGAATACCTTTTAGATGAGAATCTTTTGAATATGAGTAAGCTTCGAATTAGTAAATCTGAGAGCATATTTATGTAACCAGCTTAATCCCTTTTCCTTTTGCTTAAGCTACCCTCTTACTCCCTAAATACATCTTTCATTTTCCATTAACCACAGAACTTATTCATTAATTTCAATTGTTGTGGTGAAATCTTGAATTGTTGTTGTTATGAATTTCTTTAAGAAACATACCCAATTATACGAACTAACATCAATAATATTGGACAAAGAAATCCCTTCAAATAGTTTTCTCTTGTTCTCATTTCAAATTTTTGGGTTTCGCCTAATTCTAGCAAGTCCCGTGTACAAGTATCGCAAAGTAATAATTTCATCACATTTTCATTTTTAACTATACTCTTTAGAGGACTTGCACGCAATATTCAATTTCAATTTTAGGGAAATACATTCCAACAATGAAGCCCGTAACACTGAACTTCAAGTCATAAAGTGGCTAAGTAGAACCAATGTGATTCAAAATATTTTCCTCTGTTGTTGACGCTGCGTTGTTCTGTTTTATTCTATGTATTATTGTATAGTACAATAAACTGTCAAAGTTTTAACACAGTTATAGTAATATTTAACTTGGTCTTAAATATTGATACGAGTGCTCACTTTGGGTCAAACATAGCTATTGTTCAAAATGTTCATAAATTTTTATTATGATTTTAAAATCTATTTGAATGAAGATATCGTTTCAGTTTTGCTGTTGTGCTTATTCTTACAAGTTAACTTCCTTATATGTGATAGAGAATGCAATATTAGACCAATTGACATTTTGAACCAACTGATACGCGGATTTTATAATTTTGAATATATCATCAGTGATAATTTATATAGATGTCACAATAGCGTTTGACGCTGCGTGGAACATTAAGATCTCATCCTAGTTCATGCAATTTAAGAGTGAAAGACTGGACTTCATTACTTGCGAGAACACACAAGGTTGCACATTCCCCACAACTACTTTTATTTTGATATGTCTGTATCGAAATTGCTCAGGACCTCAAATTCCAAATTCCTTTATATCATCACCGAAGCCAAAGTTATTCCTATGTCTGTGCATTCAACTACTGCTTTACAGATTGGACTATATATGAATTAGACAATAAACGAGAATTGTATTTTAAATGCACTTTATTTAATTTACATATATACTTTTTGTACATAGAATGTTGGCATACATACTTTTTATATACAGATCGCAACATCATGTACAATGAAAACTATGTGTGGTACAATTTAAGTTTGTTATAATACTTAAAATGTTCTTCCGATATATAATGTGCATATCTTGAAATACTCTTGTTTCACGCCTTTGTGACATTCACTGACACTTCACCTCCCACTGGAAGTAAAACAGATTGGGGGTCAACGGTCCGAGGCATGGAAAGATGTTCACTTTTAAAAACAGGGGTGTTCACATTTGACGACCTTGGCCCGAAATCAATTTTAAGTGCTCAGAATGTTGAATACATGATTTTGAAAGAATTTTGGGCCAAAGGGAATGTAGGAGGTGATGTGTCAGGAGACTTGATGCCATCTATCCTTTGCCTGAACACACTTTACAGAATGGATTGGATTGATACCCTTTGACCTCGAGACTAGTAATAATAAACATCATCTGACTTGTGAGATGCAGCTCTTAAAATGCGAACAACTCTCAAAAAGGATATGGAACATATAATCTAAGCCAGTAAATACCTAATACAAATTGTTCGGATGCTCGTCTCCAATAGAATTCTTTTCTTAGAAACTTACATCGTTTATCACTAACATGTACGTACGTATTCAGTATTCTACTTAATACTTTGAAACATCTACCCTTTGCATTTGTTTGACTTCACTTCTTAAAAGAGAGCTTCGTCTTAGTTTAACTAGACTCTGCACGCAGGGTATGAAACATCAGGCCCGTTGTGGAAAGTCCTCGGGATTATGGTCAGTCTTCTATATGATCATTATTGCGCCTAATTGAGTATAAACTAATTAGAAAAAAGCTGATCACCATATGAATCAATGAAAGAAATGGGCTTGAATTGTTTCCAGCAATGGATTCGCTTTTGGCAAATGTGTCAACATAGCTAGAAATTGAACGAGTGAGCGATTTAAGATTTACCACCCATACTGAATGGGCCTAAATACTAAATAATTATGGAAAATGAAAACACTGAAATTGTGATATAAACTACTAATAGATAATTGATGTTGAGTACTTTTTTTTAGATTATGTAAGAGTATTTCTATAGAGCTAAGTATTAGATTTACTTATTTAGGTACGCAAATCAGAGACATATAAAATTTTATATGTCTCTGCGCAAATATTTGCACAATTCTTTCTACATCATCCATCCTCCGAACGCAGTATTCCAGACAACATCCAATCCACTGTAGGATGAGGGTGAATGATGTCTGGAGCCCTGCGTCGGGAGGATGATTATTTTCACATTCTTGAAGCCATTTTCAGCCTTTGCAAATATCAACGTGTTTGCATGTGCATGGTCCATGTTAAAGACCATATACTAATACTTTAGAGATAAGAGACCGATGTTTTACACCTAGACTACAAGAGAGAGAAACAGTCAAACACTATTCCAAATGTAAACGTACGAACTTCATTCGTATACAATTTGATATTGATGAATCGCTTTCGCAGGACCTTTTTACGAACAATACATGTCATATATAATCAGTGTAATGAAAATGTGTGTGAGTATTAACTTTTAACCTACACTGATCTACAGTGATCGTCTGCTACCCAATTTTATGTTTATAAACTATTAAAAATGTACAAAAAAAGATTCTAGTATACAAGTATAAAATATCAAACAATAGCAGATTTAGATCTTCGATTCATCATCATCGGGTTCTTTCGCATCGCCTAATAACGCTCCCCTTTTCACAGCTACGCCATTTTCTATGAGACTTTCTTCAAAGTCATCTGGAGTCTCCCATGTCTGACCATCATCAAATAGATTATTTCCAGATGGGCCATCCCAGATGCCAAGTTTCACAATGAATCCTGCAACAGAATGGATTTTTGTATTATTGTTTGATTAACCAAAATAATAGGAAAGAGATCGAGATAAAGAGGACATAACAGTTTGTCCCGAGGACATTATCTTGTTTACATTTCTACTAAGAAGGCGGGCCAGTTAAATCGACGTGACATCTATTAACTATAAATAACGTTAGATGTAACCATGAGACATCTATTTATCGGCTACTAAATATTCTTTGTGCACAAATGGCCCTCGAGGACGTATTTAAAAGTTGGATGAAAAAATACAAGGAATGTCACAAAATTACCGCAATCAAACCACTTCATAAAACATAATCGCCAACAAAAACTGGTCTTCAAATTGGCCTTTAACAACATGATATTGGCCATTATAGCTTATCATGGCCCATGATGGGAATAAAAGCTATATATTCAGTGGAATAGCCAATTTGGTGACCAGAGGTTCTAACTTCTATTTTTATGTTATTCACAAATCATCTCCTTTCATTTGGGTTCAGACGTTTTGAATATTATTCAATATTCATATCCTCTGTAAGATAGAAATTGTGATGAGTATAAGAACGGGCATATGAGGTATATATACACAAACCTGTTATGATGCCTCCAACAATGGCAACAACCAATGTCATGGCCAAAGCTGCAGCTTGCATGCCCGCCTGTGCACCTGCACTTCTACCATCTCCGGCGTCAATTGTTAAAAATCTGTTTACCTCATAAAGTTCCGTAGTGTTAAACATGGGTGCCCGGGCTGGGAAAGTGATGTACAGACTGAAAATACATGATGGTTTACAAAGGTGAGATGGGTCAAAATATTAAGAGTTAGGCTAAGCAAAAGATTTGTAAAATTGTGTGTTGTAATCAATATTGATGTATTACTCATAAAACGGTGATGTAAATATGAAAAACAGCTCAACTCGGAAAAAGAACAAGATGTGTCAGCAGGTGCTGGTTTGCAAAACAATTTTTTTCTTCTTTCAATGCCATCTCTAGTGTATATGTATTCCAAGTTTTTTTGGCTAGAGACTCAAGTAAAGGTGATGTAGGTTTTAGAAATCTGCACTATTCAGTATTCAGTGCAGCAACATATTTCCGACAGAGTCAGTGCATAAGTGTAAAGAATATATTATGAGTAGATTTGGTGATGAATAGACAGCTTTTGGTAATTAGAATAGCTTTATTGAAGTTGGCTCAAACCATTCCCAAAAGTTAATTACATTGTAAGGTTGTAAGAGATGCTAAAATTATTTTCTCGGTTTGAGTGACAGTTTGTAGATAGATTATTCTGTTATTTGGAAGTATTGTTTGCTGAACATGATTTTATATATGAATATATTTTATATATTTAATAGTAATAATAGACGATTGTATACCTCTTTCCGTATATATCCTCTGTTGCCAAAGCCGCCGCAACGATACCCCCAAGGCCGGCTAGTATACCAGGCATACCATGGAGATTGTTTACTCCACATGTGTCGTGGATCTTGAGCTTACTTGCCAAAAGAGGCTACAATGAAATGTAAAATACCGGTTTTAAATACATATTTGGATAATTGGTATCTTCAAGTGAATACCATATAATCAATGTAAAATAGAGAAGGGATTCTGAGGCTACGTTGGCTGCTGGTAGCTCAAACTCGCTGTGAATTAAATCGCTTCAGCAATTATAAGACATTGGGTTAGATTGTCGAGGGCCTTTCAAAAGTAGGACAATAGTCCCTGGGAATCACTCGAATTCGTGAAATAAACATTTTTATTTATTATTTCATTTGATTAAATTTCACTTATAAATAGAATGGCAAAAAAAGGTGGAAGAAACTTTAGCTGGTAACTTGAGACCACATTCTCAGATGGTAACACTTCACATTTAGCAAAAGGTCTCTGTGACCATGAACATCCAACCCCGAATGAAATACAGACATACGGCACATCATGTTTTAATCGACAAGTTAACTGGAAAGGGGAAATGGGTCAGTCGTGATTGTCGCTCCAGGTCTTTGCCAGCTTTTGCCAAGCGGGATTTGACAACGTTTACCCAAAATCACTTGAAATGTGCTCAAAAATGGTGAAAAACTGAATGATTACGACTCCTCTCCCAATCAAACGCCTACCCCATGGCTAATACTGTACTACGGGCATGCACATTTACCAACACTTACAGTGATGTATTTGTATCCTATGACAGATAATGTGCCTGCAACAGTACCAATCACAAGAGCACCAAAGGGTTCGATCATCATATCAGCGCATGTTCCCACTGCTACCCCACCCGCTAGAGTAGAATTCTGGATATGCACCTTAAATAAGAAGAACGGCATTGCAGTAGAAAATAAAGATGTGGGTGTCAAAATGCACCAAACAGGACAATAAGGTGTATGGGGTAGGGATGGATCTTGTGTTAAAGTAAAAGCAAATGAATTTATTGAAAATTAGGCATAGTTGTGTAAACGGGTCAATTATCAATAATCTTAATTGAAATCCATAAAAAGACAACTTGAGCAAGAAGAATAACTGCTACACAGTCGGGACTAGCTGATTGTCACTACCTTCGTGTGATTTTAAAGGTGTTCCTTAAGTAAACCTTGTCCCCTAAACCAGCCCCATACCGCGTTCCCCGGGATTGCTCACTTTCTACCCAGTGAGAAAACCCCTACTATATGAATATTTTAATTGACACATAATCATGACTTTGTGTGAATATGTCTATGTCCTTTGCATTCCTCAGTGAGGGTACGTCAAAAACGCCCTTACCATATCAAACTTGGTATCTTTACTAAGGACGGCTGAGATTGCGAATGAGACAACACAACACGAGGCGAGGGCGAGGTATGTGTTGATGACGGCCCTGTGTTGGTCGTCGCCGACTGCAAGGGCACTGTTGAAGCTTGGCCAGTACATCCACAAGAAGAGTGTGCCTAAACGAGTTTACAAGAACATATAAAGCTGCTTATGAAGCTGCAACACTTGCGCAGTCTTTTATTAATCACGGGTTTTCATACGTTCATTAAAAATAGATAAATAGTTATTCATCAAAAACAATTTTGTATGATTTAGAACACAAACGCATATAATTGTAATACTTTCAAATTGTGTTGACCCACCTATCATTGCGAATATATCTGAGTGGTATACAGAGCCCTCTTTTCTCGATTCCTCAATGTCTACGCTGTAGAGTACCCTGGAGGCCGCTAGGCCAAAGTATGCACCAAACACGTGCACAAACATTGAGCCACCTACGTCAGCTACCTGAATACAAAAAATGAAAAAAGATAAATGGAAAGGCTTTTGTTGCAGCCCTTACGAACCTGGCTTTCACATGAACAGAGGAGGCAGAGATACAGAGAGATGAGACTATCTGCATTTAATTGTGGCTTTACAGTTAAAAGGGAAGCGTTAAAACGACGTAGGGAAATTTGGTTTGCCAAAAAAACACATGATGGATTTGAAGCAAAATTAGACGCCCACGGCGGGTTCAACGAGAAATGATCATTATATTTTTTAACATTTAATATCGAAAGAACATATCCCTCAGAAAATGACTGACCTTGATGAAGGTGAGGCCGACCCATTCATTTAGAGTAAAGAAGACGATCTCAAGGAAGGCGATGACGATCAGCTGTAGAGGACTGGTCTTCCCCAATAAGGCACCAAATGTGATCAGTACTGCAGCGGCAGCAAAGTCAGCAGTCAGCAACCTGAATATGAAAATTAAGATGCCTTCAGTGCTAGCGAGAATGACGACGCCGGATTCGGCAAGCTAGTTTTGCATCAAGTCGGGCATCAAGTCTATCGCCCCCCCCCCCATAATGATTTCGCCTTCAGTAATGGGGTAGATCCAAAGGGTTGAAAGACTAAATATGGCCAAGACCTAAGATGTTAGCGTTTGAAAATTTAATTTAAAAAGCTCAGAAATGGCGATCATTTATAATACACAACATAGTAAGATTTACTATTTGAATACTTGTGGCTCACTCATTTGATCTGCATTTAAAGTAAAGCTGTTCGATACTCCTTACCCTTTTATGGAGAGCTCGATGTGTCCATCGTGGAGATGCAGGAAGCCGGAGAGGAGAATGGACCACTGGATGACAAAAGCAGCGATAAGCATGTTGAGTCCAACACTGCTGAACCCATAGCGCTTCAGGAAAGTCATCAGGAACCCGAAACCAACGAAGATCATAACATGGACATCTTGGAACACTGGAAAATACGAAAGGGTGGGGTTTGAAGAATGTTTTAAATGTGTTGAGTCGATAATCATATCGTATATTCAGTGCAAGATTAGGAGGATCGGCTACTGACAGGATCTGCATACGATGGGAACATATTTTTTCCTTTCGTAAAGATTTGACCCGTTAAATCTAGATGAACTAAAATTTTCCTTTTAATACGTTTTGGCAAAGATTCGTCATGTTGGCATGGTAGATGTATCAATAGATAGTCCAATTGTTTTAATTAAGCCAATTTGGAACTCTTCAAAATCCAGCTGTTTGCCGAGAATGACTATTTTAAATTTTACCATGTAGTTTATTGTTCACTAAAATATTAAACCATAACAACGATGTTCTCATGCTTGTATTATTTTCGCTCGTAGCAAAAGTGTTTTCACACATGGTAGAGCTATTTCATTAAAAGCAAGAGCACCCAACTGGTTATATTTTGTAAGGTCAAAACTTTTTCACCTGGTTCTAAATTTGATACATAACGATATACAGTATATCTGCATGATAATTACAGAGTTCGACTGCCAATAGTTGTTCACATTTTGGGGACGGGGACATGGTGTGCAGATAACTAGTCAGACTCTTAAACGTGCAGTGATAACTGGCAAGCAATGAATTCAAAGGCCAATATCTGAATATACACAACAAAAACATATACAAATGCATTCCAGAAATCACTTGATACAAAAAATGCAGGGTCAAACTTTCTAACCGAATAAACACACTTAAGTATATACATTTGAAAAAACGTAGCGTGAAAGAAACACTACTACATTTCAAACAGATCTGTCAATTTCAGGGATGAATCCTGTATATGAAAATAACTGGAGTGCGACTTAAGTGGAATCCTTTTTTATGGCTCCATGAGATATTTTGTTATTACATTTTCATTTTTTATTACATTTATTAAAGTGTTTTTTGGACTGTGGCTAAAATGGGCTGACGAGATGCAGTTCAGTCTTAAATGGGTGTGGTTGTCCGGTTTATGTAACAGCGCATTTGATTCGTCAAAAACTGTGACACACCTACACGAATAATCGAATAAGATCCATTGTGACTATAAAGTTATTAGGAACATCGCTTTGAAACTACTGTATTAGCTCGTCGTTCATGTTAATATTCTTTTAAATCATAGTTGTAAGGTTATAGATATGAGGTGTTCAACAATATTCAAACATGAATAAGATAGGTGGTTCTTTTGGCATTTTCATGTTCTCTTCGATGCTGTACGTGTGTCGATGTTTGTTTACCCGATCGTTTTTAAATACAGTCTTATTTCAATGGCTCACTGGGATTTGAATTTCCATGGAGTTGCCGTATTATATTGCAATATGACGTTTTCATATGCACCCTATGCAGACAGAGCCTGTGGGAAATATTGGGTGCGGCGCAAATGAGCGGAGGGTGCGGAGCTAACGGTCATTTTTGAATTTAAAATTGGGATATTTCTGAAACTAAGCCGTTTTGGGACTTCAAATATACCAAGATATGTGTATTTGACACCAAATATCAATAAAATTGTGAAAATAGTAGTGCAATTCATTTTATAGCGACGCAGTATGCCTTAAACATTTCCCAGACCTATATATTTTGAGACTATCCTTTTAATACTGCGTCCCCAGCATTCATAAAAAATGGTGTTCAAGATACACTACCCATGCAAATTATTTTTGCATCTTGGAAGCCAGGCAGTATCTGTGTGATTTTATAAAAATTCGGAAATGTTCTTCAGATATGAGCCCCTCTAAATATTGGGTGCGGAGCTACGTTTATGGAGCTGCTCCGCACCCAATATTTAAAGGGGCTCATATCTGAAGAACATTTCCGAATTTTTATAAAATCACACAGATACTGCCTGGCTTCCAAGATGCAAAAATAATTTGTATAGATAGTGCACCTTGAACACCATTTTTTATGAATGCTGGGGACTCAGTATTAAAAGGATAATTTCAAAATATCTGGGAACGGTTTAAGGCACACTGCGTCGCTATAGAATGAATTGCGCTACTATTTTCACAATCGTATTGATATTTGGTGTCAAATACACATATCTTGGTATATTTGAAGTCCCAAAACGGCTTAGTTTCAGAAATATCCCAAATTTAAATTCAAAAATAACCGTTAGCTCCGCACCCTCCGCTCATTTGCTCCGCACCCAATATTTCCCACAGGCTCTGTCTGCATAGGGTGATATGTATGATTAAAAATCAAATTGGTTAGCAAATATGGGGAATTACTTAGTTCTTGCTTCCCACTTCATTTGCAGCCATAAATCTTGTTTCTTGTATCTGTTCGCCATGTCAATCGCAGAAGTTTACAAACAAACATGGAAACTTCTATATCGACTCTATATGATGGATCATACTCACTGTTGAACTTTCAAGCCATTCACATTGCAATGGCCTAACATTAACAGAACTGGGTTTGCATTTTGACCCACACTAAAGAAGTATATTGATACTGACAGGTAACTTCAAATAATTGCTACTGTTATACTCATGAGGTCGGTTTCTGTACCACTGACTGGAAAGTATATAGCTACGTTTGCAACATCCTCCTAAGCAGGTAAGAGAGAATATATTCTGGATTTTGAAGCCCTGTGATCGGAGGATGCGTTTGCAAAAGATATCATTTTAGTACGACTCTAGCATTCAGTACAGTTTGATTAGCGTCTTGATTCAATATTTTATCCAAAATATTCATCAACCTGACTTTGTTAATTTCTCGAGCTTGTTGTGAACGATGAGGATAAGGGCATGCATCCTTTAGATTTTAGGACGGTTTCCTTGTTGCATAGATAGCTTTAGATGTACACTCTTTTGCAGAACAGAATCAGTTCAGCAGAAAATCTAAATAGAGATTAGGAAAAATTACTATCTTGAATGGTTAGCACCAAATTTTACTATTTTAATTTGATATTCAAAGCCGAAGGTATTGTAGTTGATTACAAATGTTTAACCCCCATCACAGATGCCGACCGCCGGCTGACGTCAACTTCCAACCCCAGTCACAGAGACACTCCCTGGTTGTGACATGATATGTTGGCAAATCCAGGTATGGAGAAACAGCTTTCGACATATCATGAAAATAGCCCAACTTGACTGAGAGTCAATATTTTTGTACTGACAGCCTATTATTATCACAGCACGGACATCCTGGCCGTGACCTGCATCCAACATTCTGGCCGTATCATCATTTGCTTTGTTGTTTTTTGGTCGCCCATGGCGGTAATCATGACCTTTCAGTTAATAAATTGACGATCATCATCTCGATCACATTTGTCTATAATTACCCTTGTGATATAGTATTACTTGGGATGAAAGGCGGAAAGTTGTTTTCAGTACATGGTTCATCCTTAAAATGTAACCTAAATGTACAAGTTAAAGGTCACAATTTTGAAAAGTTCTTACCCTGCGTGCAGAGTCCAGTTAAACTAGACGAAGCTCTTTTTTTAAGAAGTGAAGTCAAACGAATGCAAAGTGTAAAAAGTTCTATACCTGGCGATGGAATTTTCAAACCAAAGATGAAACAAGGCATGCGTGAATATCAGTATTACAGCTTTTTTCCAGTGAAAACATCGTTAGGCAAAATTGACATATATCGTTAATTAATCAAATGTAGTCGAGATAAGTGAAGAAATTTGGATTCTGGGATATGATTCTGGGATATGAAAGTGGAATATATTCCTTAAAATTTGGACTACTAATATACCCTGGAGTTGGCATTGGCTTCTGATCAGATTTACCAAGTTGGGTAATGCAAACACGGGCACGTGAACTTCAACAGATAGTAGTTGTAGACCCGTAGCCCGCCTTTTCCAAAGTTGGGGTGTCACCTTTTGGCTCATTGAATTTCGATTAAAAGACGTTTTTACGCAGAGTGAATGATACGTATTTTACATTAATTAAATCTATAAGCGCGTTAAAAACAAGTATACTCGCCAGAAAATTATTTTTACGCATGTTATCAAGTCTTGTCATTTGGAACGCTCACTGACCTGTTTAATTTTAAAAAAACTGAATACAAACGTATATAAAATCGAGTCGAATGCACAAAGTAGAGTTTTTTACTTGGTGTATTCGACTCACTTTCTAAGTTTTTATACATGTTCCCGGGCCTATGCTTTCTCTAGTAGCCAACTCCTCTCTCTCGTGGACAACCTTTCCTCCGCACATGCTCTACTAACTTCTGTATAAATTACCCTCTCTGTAGTGAACACCTACCCACACTTAGTTTAATACAAGATCAAGTATGTATCGGCATAGTCATTCTTATAAAACAAAGTTGAAACTTATTTCGGTCTTTTTTCTTTTTTATCAAACGTATTGTATATTGCATACGACATGCAATATATCAGAAGCATTAATATCGTTCAACGCACACACACCATTGTTGCGATAGTCTTTCTTCAAGACCCACGAACCACATTGCACATTGCGCTAGGCAGCGACCTGTGTAACTCTTTTGACTGCAATATGATTGAAATAAATGTATAATGAACTGAAAACCCCCGAACCGGTGTTATTACCTCATTTCCGTCAGCCTGAAAAATGTCGATTATCGTTATTCGCGTAACAATATGTGGGATTTTAAAAATAGTTATTCTCACTTTGTAACTTCCATTGACTATCACTGAATGCGATTAAATCTTTACAATTTCTTCTTTGGAATTTATAAATAGGCCATTCACTCTCGATTGGATCAGAACTAAAAATATTTTTATTATGGAAAATGCTCAGTGAGATTGAGAAAATACAGAAAATACTTGAATAAATGCAACTTACAAATCAATTTCCGAGTTGCTATAAAATATCAAACATAATATTAAATGTAACAAGAAATCTATGGAATCTATACGAACGCTACATTTTGTTTTCATTTCAGTGCTGATGTTGCCTTCAATCATTCAGTCATTCAGTATAGGTTTTATTGTACTATTTCTAAACATGGCCCAAAGCTCTCAACAATTGAACTTTAACTCTTACTCTAACTGAAATTCATGTAAGCGCTAGACATAAAATTATCTGAGTAAGTAAAGATGATTGTCTCTCGTAAATGATAACCAGGTAGTATGGATTCACATTTCAAAATATCACCACCTGGGTGCAATTGTAACAATTTGTTATAGATTAGAACCCGAGGAACCAAACTGTCGAACGCCGTTACAAAGATAAGGTGGCTATGAAATATTTCGCTTCTAAGAGATAACATATTATGATTGTTTCTCTCAGAGAGTATTAAGACAGAGCAATCTGATCAGCGCAATCCACCCAACGCAACCAGTTCAGTCCGATCGTACGAAACGCTATCATTGTATTTGCTTACACTGATTATCGTTATATTAAATTGTCATGGATATAACGATATAAACAGTTCAGCAATAGATCATGCATGCATGATTTAATATGTGTTTACATGGGCTGCACCGTTGATTTTGATACTTTGAAACATAAGAAAAAATAATCATTGAAAGCCAACTAGGATGCCAGGACACACCACGCTGAATTTTAGTCATTTATTTTTCCATCCCTTCTCACATACTACTGAGGAAGGTGCATTGTAGGTGGAGAAGCAAATGGATGAAAACTGAGATCAGATTCAGCACAATCACAATCAACGCTTTTAATTCAACTAATTGCTACTATCATATTAAAGAGCCGATAACCAAACCTCCCGTGTTGCACATATACATGTAGCTAATTGAATAACTTGAACGATTGATTTTCATGATAATATTAACAATATTGCTCACATGTGAAAATATAAAAAATCGTAATGTTAAACGGCTAGAAGATGAATTTAAAGAAAAGTCAAACCATAAGGAGGGTAATAAACAGATCTCATGTCTCATTTTTGACTTAAGATTAAACGTGATATGATTACGGTTGATATCTTTGAGCACTCACTTGGGTAAAGCCCCTTGACAGGGTTATTGTTGGCATTTGCGCCCCCTCTCCTATAGTCGACACTGTTCTCGATGGCGCGAGCATCGGCGCTCTTCTCATATCTCACAAATATTCCAAACAAGATGATGAAGATAAGCTGAAGGAGCAACACCACTGCCGTAAACTTTCCCCTCTTCCAGACAGCTGCCATTCTGATTCTTTATATCAGTTTATCCTAAATCCACTCCGAATTATCACTGTCCTGTGTGTCCACAACCGGAAAGTCAACTGATACGGTCAATCGAAAGCTCAAGTAATACTGCACGCTATAATCGCGCGATGTAGGTGGATTATCCAGGGTTTAATCCGCCTTATTAATAGTATCTTGGCTTTTGGTCAGAACTTCTTCCTTTAACCAATCCTCGACTTTTTTCATCTGTGCAACTACTGTATATGTTTACATCGCCGGGAACGCGATCATTATGTAGTGAGTAGGCCAACAATGTTAACAGGTTAACTGCCGCTTGTAAAATGTTTTGAATGTCATCAATTCTATTAACTTTAAGATTTAACCGGAGATAGAGAACGTTGTTTCGCTTCGTCAGGGTTCTTTTGGGCCTTTTGGCTGTACTTATTAATCTGATATTTCTTTAGAAGTCACTTCTCAATCGAGTCATATTCAGCACACTATAAAGACAGTATCTGAACATGCGAATTACGATTATTCATCGAAATAAATTTATTTACACTGACTAAGCACCTTGTATATACTTTTGTTATCTTTTACATGTAATGTCACAGTGCTTGCTCCTGATCGAATGTCATTGTGATCTTTTATAGAAATGCATGTTTAAAGGGTTCCGACAGTCAGTTACGAGATAATGCACTTCTGTTCTGCTGCTACTATAAACCATTCAAATATGAGAACTTGTAGTTAGTCTTGCTTCAAGACTGCACCTGACATGTATCTAAACAACTTGTTAAGAGTAGATGGTCCATGGTCTTGAAGCAAGACTAGTTACTTGTGTGGAAGTCCAACTGTTCTGGGCTACCCAAGTGTTCTGACTCTTGCCCAACTATTCTAACAATCCAAGTGTTCCGAGTTCAGTTATTTTAATCAGGTCTGAAAATTCACAGAACATGGTGCCAAAAAATAATTTTGCTGAAAAAACGTTGAGCCCCAAAATGTGAGCCATTTATGAGAATTTGGACCCAAGTTTTGAAGATATGGACCTAATTTAAAAATTGAAACTCATGTCTTCAAAAAGCTAATTTTCCAAAAATAGCGTATATTTCTGAAATTGTGACCCAGCCTTAAATATATTACAAGATATTTAAATATTATCTTGCTTAGGAGTGTACCAAGGTGCAAAAATCCAGCAGTCAAGGATCTAACAGTCCTCAACGGGCACCCCGTTAAATTATATTTAAAAATAAATGAAAGTTATTTTGTTCATGAGGCAGCCACATGCATGCATCATTATAAGTGATTTAATTACCTTAAATCCACCATTCTCTGGAAGAAACATAAAATTGAATTGAAAATCAACGCATCGATCTGATAAACTTGGTGATTTGATAGACTTGGGTCAAGTCAGAATACTTCGGCAAGAGTCGGAATACTTGGGTAGCCAAGAATACTTGGAGCTTCACATACGTGTCCTAGGCTAGGTGTGGGAATCCAAGAGCCACGAATGACCTTGAAAGCTATTACAATGAATGACATAAAACGCAAATTTTTGAACCAATGTGCTCTTCACCATCCAAAATATTCCTATATGAGATATTTAGAAAATTTACATTTTAGGCGATCAGCCTGGGGGGTTGGTCGGTATCAAATTAGGGGAATAATCGCCATAGTGATTTTTGGGAAGGTTTAGACCTCTAGAGTAAGAAAATATGTGATAGCATTGTAACAGTTGTAGCTAAATGGGTGTTATCACCCATTTTTCAGAATGGCCGCCAGTGCATGTGTCACAATATAATAGAGGGTATATCTAAGCATACTGAGATGCAAAACTGTGCTTTTAGGACCCATGTTTAGGTTTTAAGGGTCCAGAATTTCATTTATGTCTACATTTAAGTCATCAAACAATGTTTTCTTATAGAAATCCAAGATGGCCACCAGAATGGGTGCAAAACGAATATGTAACTACTCTTAATGCTCAAGAAACACTCAAGAACAGTGATTTTTGAGTCCATATCTATGTTTTATGGTTCAAGGATTTGATTAATGTCTAAATTTGAGTCATCAAATAATTACTTTTCCTAAAAATCCAAGATGGCCACCAAAATGGATGCCAAATTGAATATGTAACTATTGATTTAAGCTCAAATAACAGTTAAGAACAGTGATTTTGGAGACCATATCTAGGTTTTAAGGGTCAAGGATTTGACTTATGTCTAAATTTAAGTCATCAAACAATTACTTTAAATAAAAAATCCAAGATGGCCACCAAAATGGGTGCCAAAATGAATGTTCAACTATTGATTTAAGCTAAAAGAACATTTAAAAACAGTGATTTTGGAGCTCATGTCTGCGTTTTAGGGGTCAAGGATTTCATATATGTCTAAATCTGAGTCATCAAACTATTACTTCATACAGAAATCCAAGATGGCCACCAAAATGGGTGCCAGAATGAATATTTAATTAATTGATTTAAGCTCATAGAACTGTTGAGAACAGTGATTTTGGAGACAATGTCTAGGTTCAAGGGGTAAAAGATTTGACTTGTGTCTAAATCTAAGTCATCAAACAATTACTTTATATAGAAATCCAAGATGGCCATCAATATGGGTGCCAAAATGAATATTTAACTATTGATTTAAGCTCAAAGAACAGTTAAGAAGAGTGATTTTGGAGACAATGTGTAGGTTTTACGGGTCAAAGGTTTCATTTTGTCTAAATCTGAGTCATCAAATAATTGCTTTTCATAGAAATCCAAAATGGTCACCAAAATGGGTGCGACTAACATGTAAATTTTGATTTAAGCTCAAAGAACAGTTTATAACAGTAATTTGAGACCATGTCAAGATTTTTGGTGTCAAGAATTCCAGTTATGTCTAAAACTATAAATAATCCCAACATTTATTACCTAAACATATAGAGGAGTTAGAACATTCATTTTTGATATTTTAAGTTTGTGAGGTCAATGATTTTAATTTTGTCTTTAATAAAATCAACAAACATTTTATTTATCTGGATATCCAAGATGGCCTCCAAAATGGCTGCTAAAATGAATTCATATAGCTATCCATTTAACCACATAGATCACCAAGAACAATAATTTTGGAAGTAATGTTTACTTTAAGGAGGTCAAGAATTTCAGTTATCTAGAGCCATGCCATGAAACAATCTGTGATTAATATCAGAATTCAAGATTGATGCCAAAGTGTTAATATTATAAAAGGTCAAATAAAAACAAACAATTTCATGAACATTTGCGAAATAAAATCTTAGGTATAACCATCACATTAGCAATATTACTGTAATTTGCCTTCCTTTCCCTTGGTTTTGTGGTGGCTTAGTATCATAAACATTGACTATAGAAAGAAGTAGACTGCCCACAGGAAGAAGTAGATTATTGGATGGAGAAGATCAAGCATTCCTCAAAGACAAGTGTATCATACACCAGAAAGAGTTTGATGAAGATAAACATTTTAGTCAGTCCTCAAAATTGCCATTTTGATGGCAATCTTGGATATCAAAATTAAGGAATTATTTTATGACTTAATTATAGACAAAATTGAAATTTTTGGCCTCTTTAACCTGGACATGGTCTCCAAAATCACTGTCCTTAACTGTTCTTTGAGCTTAGATCATTAGTTACATATTCATTTCAGCACCCATTTTGGTGGCCATTTTGGATTTCTATCAAAAGTAATTATTTGATTACTTAGATTTAGACATAAATGAAACCCTTGGCCCCTATAAAATAGACAGATGCTGGAATTACACCATGCGTTTTAGAAAGGCGCCTAAGGTTTTAACCCGGTTTGAAAAATAGGTGTAATCACGATTGCGGTTTTACAAAAGCGCTTTTCCAAAACTCCTAGAACCCTAGTCACTAGAAAACGACTTAAATCATTAGGCGCTTTTGGAGTGTAGTGTAATACCGATCGGTTTTGCCCTAAACGAAATAAGACGTATTTCCAATGCTACACATTTGGGCCACCGCAAAAATACAGGAAATGATGGATGGGAGCCAAAAGATGCAATAGGTCATCAAATCATATTGCAAAAATTGAAAGTAAGTTCACATCACTGGCAAAAGTCTTGGTTACGTTTTCTTTTAAATGCTAAAAGAATACATTTATTGTAGATGTACACATCTGCTGGATATTCTCCATATCTACATCATTAAAAGTGCCCGAAAGGCGTTTTAAAAATGACAGGTGTAATTCCCAAATAAAATTCCTAAGGTGCTTTAGAATTGTTGGTATAATCAGGATTGCAATTTTGTAAAGCGCTTTCCACTAAAGCGCCTTTACTGTTCTTTGAGCTTAAATCAATAGTTACATATTCATTTTGGCATCTATTTTGGTGGCCATCTTGGATTTCTATAAAAAGTAATTGTTTGATGACTTAGATTTAGACATAAATGGAATCCTTGACCCTTAAAACCAAGACATGATCTCCAAAATCACTGTTCCTTGAGCTTAAATCAATAGTTACATATTCATTTTGGCACCCATTTTGGTGGCCATCTTGTATTTCTTTGAAAAGGTAATTATTTGATGACTCAGATTGAGGCATAAATGAAATCCTTGACTCTAGAACTGTGACATGATCTCCAAAATCACTGTTCTTAACTGTTCTTCGAGCTTAAATCAATGGTTACATACGGGTATTAGTTTTGGCACCCATTTTGGTAACCATCTTGGATTTCTTTAAGAAGTAATTGCTTGATGACTTAGATTTTGGCATAAATGAAATCCTTGACCCCTAAAACCCAAACAAAGGCCCTAAAATCACAGTTTCTGCATCTCAGTGTGCTTAGATATACACACTCTTATATTGTAACACGTACACCGGCGGCCATTTTGAAAAATGGGTGATAATACCCATTTAGCTACAACTGTTACAATGCTATCACATATTTTCTTACTCTAGAGGTCTTAACCTTCCCAAAAATCACTATGGTGATTATTCCCCTGATTTGATACCGATAACCTAAATTTTGGGGTGAAGCTGATGGCCTATTTCCATATCATTTACGATTTACAATGCAGTTCGAGTAAATCAAGAAATGACAGTCTTGGTAAGACACGTTGAGTTTCTATGTAGCTATTCTGAGATGGGTCATTGTACTTTTGCTGAACCAAAGTAATTAATGCGAATAAATGCAAGAATTTAAAATATTAAATTTTTTGTTTTTCCTTGAATAACCCTGGATTCGGGTTTGTATAGATCTCTAGGACCTTGGACTATTGCCCCTATTCATTTAAACAGATCCCTCAATACAATTGACAATTCAAGTATTGAGATGTCCATCATTTAAGGACTAGTCTTCATTCATAACAAGTTTATACCATAGAATCTATAAGATTTAGCGATCTATTTCAGAACATCGATCCAAGTCCAATGTAATCCTGGGTGGGTGGAGTTTCATTTGCCCCTTCTATGCAACTGCAGAAACACCAAATTGCAGTTATTTCCTCTTCACTTATTATAGGTGTAGGTGTGTCCCGATATGCCAATAGGGTTCTAAATTTGGCATCAATGCTACACCATTTTGAGAGAAATAAACACACGACAACCTTATCTGATAATATTCTCCAAGTTATCACTGTTTCAAAACAATGAGTTCAATCAAAATATTGAAACAATTCAACACAATCACATTTCCCAGCACCGACAAGCTGCGAAAACAGAAATATGATATCACATATAAGAAACAATGAAACAGAAGGTGCGAGCACATGTTAACCACGAAGTCATACGTGATCCAAATATGCTTTAAGTACCTCTTAAAATTCAATCTGAGAATTTGAAAAACGAAAAGTTAAAATAACAATAAATGGCAGTGGGAAACAAGAAAACTAAGCAACACCCAAATTAATTATTTATTACACAAAAATGTACATTATAGGTCATCTAGCTTTTTTAACATGGACATTTTAAGATTAGTTTTTCTCAGTTCCAGGGGATTGCTTACACCAGTGTTTTCAGTAGGCTTGTCCAAGATTGCGTCCCTGGGACGTAATGATTTTCAAAAAATGCGTCTCCCCTCAAAAAACTGCGTCCCTTGAAAAAATGTTCCCGGGAATTCAAAGTCACGTTTTTACACTGGATGAAATAAATTGATGAAATTTTGTATCCCGCTTTTGCTATTTATCGGCCTAAATCAGCGTTCTTGCAAGTCTAGTATGTCATTGAATGATACAGATACCATCACTTGTGAGGTATAACTTATATTCACCCATTAAAAACACATTTTCCTTGCAAATTCCGTAGCAATTTGCTATTGATTTTGCTTTAGCATGTTTAGTTTAGGGGCAATCTGCGCGAGGTTCCGTTCCATTTTTTGGTTCAGTTTCTTGCGCAGGTGCAGTCTCAAATAATGATCACGTGATCGCACTTGACCAATTGAAAATGGTTTAAATCAGTCAGCTACCAGCCAATCGTAGGACTCGTACTGATTACTGCTCGGAAATCGAGTATTGGATAACTTTTTGTCCTATCACATGCCTCGTACTATTTCGATCAGAAATCAACTTCCGGGAAGGAAATTTCGAAATTTTTTTTTATTTATTTTAGAAATAGAATTTCCTTCAATTATTTAGTGGAATCTGACGAAATAAAGAGACTGAAGGTAAGATCTTTATCAAATCATTCATCCAAAGTTGATTGTATGAGTATGGCTTGCACTGCGTCCACAAAACGCAATCACTTTTTATTTCCGGGTCCAAGGGATATATTTTGCGTGTATGTAATGTAAGGACGGCGTTATTGAAAACACAGTTACACAAAGAAAGACAATATCATTGGCCTAAATAATAACATCCATGCTATATGATTTCACCTCCATTTGCGAATATTTTACCGACTTCCAAAGAATCACAGTTTAGCAGCTGAGCACTGGAATAAAATATATCTAAAAAGTGGGAATGATTCCATGACAAATCGGATCTTTCAGTGTTGTCATGGGATTTCAATAGATATTGAATGCCCATGGTATTCATATAGTTCATCCAGTATCATGAAATGAACCCTTCACAATGGCTCACTCAAACTAACCTAGCATTTAGAGATCTTGAGTTCAATAAAAGCACCAAATCTTGGGAGTAAATTATTCAAGTAAAGTAAAAGTTGCTGATTTCTATCACTCAAATGGGCGTATCTAGCTAGGAGGCTACTTCTTCACCAATAATTTCACAAAGAAAACATTCTTCAGACTTTTTTACGTTTTTAGATGACGATGATATAATGATGTCAAGTAATGCTACAATAGTATGCTGTTTTCTTCGACTCAAGTTTGCCTCGCCTATCTACATTTGCCTCGCCTTTTTGATCCTGGTTACGCTTTGCACTGTTTATTTTGTGTTCCTTTAAATGGCTTTTAGCAACAATAATGAACTATTCATGTCATCGTGTTTTTATCGTAATATTGAAGACAATCACAACTAGAAAGTCAATAACATGTCAAATAGGTACCAATTCTGATTACGTTCAATCAACTATTCGTAATTAAAGTGTCAAAAAGGAGTATCTTGCATATTGCAGGTCAAATTATTGATGTGTAATCTAATAACTAATAATCAAAGGCATGCATGTGTTATCTGAAATATTAATGAATGTTTTTTAATTTTGTTTTAGTGTGGCATCCAGGGTACCCTTTGCACTGTTCGACTACGATTCTTAATACCCTGCGCGCAGAGTTAAGTTATAAACTACTGAAGATGAAGCTCTCTTTAAACATGTTCTTTCAAGCGAAGTCAAACGAATGCAAAGGGTAGATTCTTGAAGAGAGCCTCGCTTATAATTATACTCTGTACGCAGGGTACACCAAAGGCAGCAGAGTGCCCCTTGCAAATGTTACATGTACAAATTGAATAATAGTACTGATTTTATTTCTCTATATCGCCATATGTGTTAGTAATTTCAAGGACGTCTATCTAGATAGAGATAGATGTCCTTGGTAATTTAAAGCTGAAGAACCCCGCGTCCCCCTAAACACCTCAACTTTTGACAATGAGTTTGACTTCTAATATATACATTTATTTACAAATTATTTTACATCTATTCATGAAAATACAATATACAATGAGTAAACCATATGGGGTTCTTAAAGCCAATGCTATAATACAAATACCCTGAGATCAAGTAATGCACTCTGACCCTCTCACTAAAACCAATCATTTCCAGTTTAGCATAATGAGTCAACTGACTCCTATTGATTAGATAAGTTCAGAGGTTTATACATATGAGTTTGTATCTCATATTCAGTTGGAATTTGGCATCAGGGATATCATCCTAGGACGACACATTAGTTTAATTGTAAATATTGTTTACAATTCTGTCTCACACTATGACATTCTGTCTGTACCTTGAACATACATTTACATTTTTTTTTTTTTTTTTTTTTTTTTTTAAATATTTATTCTCTAAAATTAAAATCAAATACATAATAACACTTGACACTTTTAATAAGTGTATCAGCGTGAAAACATTTAAATATTAACCTGAGTCAAATGGAAATGAGAAAAAAGAACAATTTAAAAATATTTACTCAGTTAAATGAGAATAAAATTGATAACAATATATAAAATCTACATATATGTTTGTCAGTAATTCAGTTCAGAATAGGTTGATGTCATATGAATTTTAAAATTCTTTTTAAAACAGTTAATGGAAGGTAATGTTTTCAAAGAAGTTGGCAGATTATTCCAAAGCTGAGCACCTGAATATTTTATTGAGTTTTGACCTATAATTGTTCTAAATTTTTTCATGTGAAGGCAATTTTGGAATCTTGTCTCATGTTGTTGTAATTTAACAAAGTCAATAACATTTGTCTTCAACTGTACAGTACCTTTATACACAGAAATGACACAAAATGTCATATTTGCTAATTAATCAACATTTTACTGCTGCTCATTACACACGTAATATCTATACATATTATACAATATCATTCTCTAATAGAGAACACACATTCACAACCATTTTATTTTGGCTTCAATGTACAAATTCTGCATGCCAATTTATTGATTCCATAAAATAATTCATTATTTATTACACCTAACGAGCTGAATCAACTACAAAAATTGTATTGAACTCTAAGTTTATTCTTATAGTAGGATTCACTAATTGCATCTTTTTATCTGACAAAAATGATTTATAGAAATATGATGTAATTTGGGATGTAACTACAGGGTGGACAAAACATCCACTTTTTAATTTTGCTATAACTTATTTAAATAAACTATGGCCCAACCTGTAGATAACTGTGACTGTTGTCCATTTGGTGGTTTTATAATTTGGTCTCTGTAGGATTATTTTTGGATTACCAAAAGTTGTCAATATTTCCTATTAGGCCCCATAGATTTCAAGCCTATAACACATCCAAATCTCCTCGTTTTACACATTCAGCTTCTGATCTTAGCAGTACACGATCAATCATTTAGAATGTACACAATTGCACTATGATGCTGTCACAATATATTTCTGATGTGGTACAAGTTTCGATTTATCATTACATTCGTACACCCAAGCAGGTCTTACAAACGCCACCTCTGGATTCTCCTTCAGGGCCTGAAAGTAACATTATTTTTTATAGTGTTAACTTTATTCAAGTATGCATATTTTAGCCACCATATTGGCAATCATATTATTGTACTTGCAAGGTATGGCAAACTTAGAACATTTTGATTTTTCCTGAAATTCAAAAAACCAGATGGATGGATTTCTTGTACTTTATTTATATAAGATGTTTTATATCAACACCATAAATCACACTCCAAATGCAGGCATTACTTTAAATGAGCTTACTTTTGATGTGCATGAATAGTCATTTGGAGAGTGACATGCAATGTATGTGTACTTACATCATCAAAGTTATCATCCCACTCAGATTCTGTTATAACAAAGTGAATCTTCTCACTCATATATTCCTCGACAGTCCTGCAACATACATCATAATCATATCATTGGTTCCTCAAAATATTCATATTTTTGTATAAGTTTTGGAATTTGTTAAGTATACTTTTTTTTAATTTGGCTGATTAATATTTCTTAACATATCTTTAACCTGCAGGGTTTAAAATACAAATAGGCTAAAAATATTTTTAAACTTTACTGGCCCAATTTCTTAGTCTCGTCAGGGATAACATTTAACATGCTTATTGAGTTCATAGATTTGTCCTTATAATTTCCTTATTACTTTGAACTAATCTTAACTTATTGGACCTACCCATCAAATGCAGTGATATATCTCACCAACGTCCTCCTATCTGCTGCTGCAAACTTTCCATAAAAGAAAAAATATTTTTCAGCAAAGAAATCTGGCAGATCCGGTAACTCAGGAAGACCCTCATCATCGGAATCACTTGAACTTCCTGGCTCATCTTTTTGAATATCTTTAGAACCATTGTCCACTGTCTTTGAGGGAGGAGTGTTGTGAATTTTATCATTTGGTTTAATATCATCATCAGTTTCCTCATCAGTTGATTGGTCGTATATTGCATCGTTTGTTTCCTGTTTGGACTTGGCTTTTAATGCATCATTTTTGATCCTGAAATATCCTAAGAATATTAATGCCTAGTTCTGTATAGGACTATGATTATGTAAAATTCTATGATATATGTTTATTCTACCGAGTTGTATTTTCCAGCCAATATTATGTCTTAGTTAAGACAAACAGAGCTGCCATCTTTATATTGGTTTAAAATTTTCTTTGGCAATAACTTCAGGCCTGATAAAACCTAACCTGATGTGATGTGACCTACTTATTATGTAGCAATGAGTAAAATGTTCACATACATTCAGCATGACTGTATTGTAAAATGTATGTTTACCATGTAACTGTATTGTAATTGTTTTTTTGCAATTGCTTTAATATGTTTTTTCTTCTCTGAAATTTTTTTTAAAAAACAACAACAAAAAAACTTACTTTTCTATCTCATCATCAGTATCCATTTCAACATCTGTGGAATCTTCTGTAATTATAAAGATAACATAATTTCTTATACTAAAGATTCGTAAATAAATATGTTTCCCGATCAAACAATAGATGTTTCTCAGTTTTTTTTATGTTATTGTAATATTTTCATGAATGGAACATTACATAGATCAATATTACATACCATCTTCTTTCAGTTTTCGTGGGCTGTATTTTGTCTCTGAAGCTTTAGATGTGCTGGGTGAATCTAAAAAGACAGCACACATGTATTGAAATGTACAGCAGGCCTTAAAAAATTTGATGAAAACAATAATAAGGCTTACAGCATTTTATGGAGACACAATCTTTTTAATTTTAATTATTTACTTCAATTTTATTACGAGTTAGCTGAAAAACTAAAACAGTACAGCGCCTCGACATCTTAATAACTCTCATAAATATTAAAATCAACTTATAATCTAAAATACATGTATTAATGGACTACATCAGAGACATATAAGACATACGTTTTATATGTCTCTGACTACATGTTATGTACTTTTGTAATTAAACTCCTAAAAACTCAAAAGCAAATACACTGTAGGTCCTACCTTCGACAGATCTTTGTGGTGTTTTATGTGCTATTGTTTTGGACAATGGTGATTTATGTGGAGTAATCTTCTTAGGGACAGGTCTGTATTCCTCTTCACTTTCATCCCCTGAAGACCCTGAACCAGAGGGAGAATCAGCACCATCAAGTCGGTATCTGAAGAAATTGAGAATGTTGAATTTGTTTTCAACAATCTTTTAAAATTGGCATCATGAAAGAACTATATCCTAAATGTACATTTTTTTGAATCAAAATAAAAAAGAAAGGGGTTTTCAAGGGTATTTGCTCACTAGTGTAGAATAGTAACAAATATACTATTCATATTTGACATATCATTATTTTAAAATTGTGAAAAAAATTTAACAAAGGATTTAACCCCCTCCCACTCTTCAGATCTTCAAAACAGCTGATAAACATTAGAATGACAAGTGACATGGGCAACCCCCCCCTTAATGTAACCATCACTACATAAACAGTGATATTTAGATCCAAACACCAAAGCCTGAAGTATTACGCTATTTAGATGAAGAAGTCAAAGTTTAAAAAATATATAGAACAGCAAACCCAAATACCATTGCGTGATAAATCAAACAAAAAACAAACAACTGACAACAATTGAACTTTAGACATATAAACAATCAGACTTTGCACCCTCATGTACAATAAGCGATCAAATTAGAAGTAGAAACGGTAAGTAGAAATATCAAATGCATGCACATTTCAAATCTATTTTCAAATTAATTCCAGCAGAATGTAAAAAGGTGTCATTAAATGTTGAAGCAAACCAGTATCCTATAGAATTCAATTGTGCTAGGGGAAGAATTAATTAATTGAAACATTGGGTGTAGTAATTGAGTATAGTTATTGAGTGTGGTTATTGAGAATGGTTACATTGAGTGTAATTATTGTACAGTTATTGAGTGTGGTTATTGAGTATAGTTGTTGGGTATAATTATTGAGTGTGGTTATTGAGAATGGTTACATTGAGTGTAATTATTGTACAGTTATTGAGTGTGGTTATTGAGTATAGTTGTTGGGTATAATTATTGAGTGTGGTTATTGAGAGTATTGAATGTGGTTATTGAATGTGGTTATTAAATGGAGTATTGTGAGTGGGTTATTTAGTGTAGTTAAAGCTATGCCTTGATAGACTGTTACTTTAAAGGAGAAGAATACTTTCAAATTAAAAGCAAAATCAAATCTTATTCTTTTATTTTTATATAAACTATCAATAAAGAATAAACACAGAACCTCATGTGTCTCGAACTTTCATAATTTTTTAAATAGGCATAAAATATGATGAAATAACAAATAACAATATGGACTTTTGACACATTCATATGTGATGCACTTTACAAGAAAAAATCAAATCACTCTTGATAAATGATAATGATATTAATCACCAATACCAGACAAATTAATTTTGAGTGTGTACAATTGCAATTCTCAGTCTACATATACTACTGCAGCATATGTTGTTTTTGTTTGTTTGTATTTTATCTAATCATCTTCTAATTGGCAAGGCTGACACATATGGATTTGATTTGCATTCAACCTTCTCTGTGTATTTTGCTCTAAGACATTTACTAGCAACTCAGTTGACTTTATTTCTTGGGTGGGGGGGGGGAGGGGCAGGGGGTACTGACTTGAAAATGTTGTGAACACATATTTTTTATTTACCATGTTAATTTTTCAAATTGCGTCTATAATATGCCCAGTAGGGTGTCATCCACTTGAAAATGTATTATCCTAAGCTTACTATTGGAAATAAATAAATAAATAAAAATAAATGCTTGCCCACGATATAAATGTTCATGGAACACATACAAGTAAATGTAGTCAGTCAAAAAACGCATTTTATTATATAGGTCATGGGGGTGACTATATCCCAATGGCGAAGTGCTATAGGCAACTTCCATCCACATGGATCCACCAACCACAGTGATGTTATTGCAGGATCACACACAACCAATCCTCGATTGTTGGTGGTGATCACACTTCTTCTGCTGATAGGGGGTATTGAATATAACCCTGGACCCATGACCTCAAAAGATGAGACACCAAGTAAGGATTCAAATAAAGTAAAAGTAAAAAGGAATAATACACCAAAAAGTAATTGATACTACAGTAATTATAGTTTACTCTGAATTTGTAACCAGTGACTAATTAACTAGATGTGTCACATTTTCTTTGGGTCGGGTCGTGCCAGAAAAAAAGTGTGCTGGGTAATTTCAGGTCGGGTTTAGAAGACAACAGAAAAAATGAAATTACTACTAGCACCTGAAACGAGTAGGGGAATATATGGCACATTATAAGACTGTTTAAGCCTGCATTACTGCATGTTTTGCTTTGATAAAGAAAAAAAATAGAAACTTAAATTGTAGAGAAGAACTGTGAATTATCTTATGTTCATAATTTATATGTAAACAAGAAATAGGCCAGCTAAAAGTTTGAAATTTTTGCTGGGAATACAAAGCATTCAATAATAATTTACGATATTCTTTAGTGTTCTGACCCAACCTGAAATTGGTAATTAGTTGTTCGTGACCCGACCCGAGCCTTCCGATCCAAGATTCAGATTTTGAATTTCAATTTCTTGAAATATGTTGTGGATGATTCTTTCATGCTATCCAAATGTTCTCCATTCCTGTTTTCAGCAAACAAATTGAATAATATCTCAGAGGAAATCAGGAACAGAAAGAAAGAAGAAAGTGACTTGAACTCGCTATTAATATTGAACTAGCTATTAATGTTACATATTGCAACTGTTTTCCAGAGACTTCTGAAGCAATGTACAAGCTGGGAAAGCACATTACAGCATGCAATCAGAAGACCGAGATCAGGAAGCAAGCTGGGTACATGTATGAACTAGGAGTGGCGTATGCAGACCTGGCATGTGAAACATCAGATCACTGGCAGTTCATTTATGCAACAGCACTCTTCAATGCAGCACTACAACGCATTGAGAAAAAAGCTAAACCTGGTTTGGACCATGATGATACAGTAACAACAGTTCAAGGTAAACATGTAACTGCGCAATCAGCACAAGAACACATTGATAAAAAACCTAAACCTGATTTGGACCATGATGATACAGTAACAACACTTCAAGGTAATCATGTAACTGCACAATCTATAATTGACCAGTTACAACAAACAGAAACTAATTTTCTGAACACTGTATCTAAGGTCAACAGTGAATCAACTGTAAAGTGCACAGAAAGGTACAAGGAATGTCTGCAACAAGTGAGGACATTCTCTAATGATACTATAAAGAATATTCATGAGAATGACATGCAAGTTGATAGTGTTACATTTGAAATGAGTGATGAATGTGAAGAAAGACTGATTGCAAACTGCAAGAACTACTATGAAAACCTAACAGATCAGATAAAGAAGTTCCATGGCTTAATATTTGATGATTGTGTGAAAGTACTTGGTGCTCCAAAGTGCAAGTTTGTTAAGTTAGGGTTAGGTTCACTGGGTAGAAAAGAGGTGACAGCATGGTCTGATCTTGAATCAGCAATAATTTATGACCCCACTGGTAAAACACCTTCAGAAATTGAAGAGATCAAACAGTATTTTAGGGTTCTTGTGCACTATTTTCACATGAAAGTCATCAATTTAGGCGAAACTCGTTTAAATGTTCTTGATATTCCTGTTCTCTGTGATTTTAATAAACAACTTGATCAAGGTTTTGAAGACAACAATTTCTTTGACAGAGTGACAAAACAGGGTCTGTGTTTTGATGGTACCCTACCGAAAGCAAGCAAGACACCTTTTGGCAGAAAGTCCACCACTCTTCCACCAAACAAAAAATCTGATAAACTAGAGCTAATCATGACACTTGAGGAAATGACAAAATGCCAGTTTGAGGACATTTCAATCAAAGAAGGTTATCACCTAAGTGATGTGCTCATGACATCCACCATTATAAAAGGAGACAAATCCTTATGGGAAATGTACAATAAGAAGGTTCATGAAATCATTGCATCAAAATCTTCCCTAAATCCAAATAAAACCATAGGTCAAGAACGTGGACTTGAGACATTAAAGGATGATTTAAAAAACTACAACAAAAATCCTTTAACACCTCAATCATTTCAAAAACAAATGCGTACAAAACACACAATCTACAGATTTGCCACAATATCTATCAACATTCTCAAATTGATATATCACTGTCAATCATTTAGCCCCCTTGATATCTTAGAGGAGCTGGAAAAGAAACAGGTTCTGACAGGTAGAGCCAAGAAAGATTTACAAGTAATGGTTTGCCTATCAACAAATATGAGACATCTAGTGTACAGCAGATATGGTCAGCAAGAAGAGATGGTATCCTTCTTGGCTCCAAACCCTAGTGAGGGAACTTCAGATGATGTAGTATCTGTGAGAGATTTCAATGCAATCTACAGGTTCTGTGCTTCATTATTCCCATGGTCTGAATTTCTAAAAAGACATTCTAAAGATCTCGCAACATGCACACATCTACAGAGATATATTGACAACAGTGACAATGTAAAAGGTCAACTTCATGAAGAAATGTTTTTCACTGAAAATGCACTCAAAGCGTATTTACGTGAAGAAGAGCGGCTTGCCTTACTTGAAGGGAGAGAAGACAAAATTAAATATAGTGATGTAAAATACAGCATAGGCTCTCTTTATTTATCTCAGGGAAAATATGATTTGTCAATTCAATACTGTCAACAAAGTCTTGCACTGCATAAAGAGATATTTAGAGATAAGTCACATCCTAACATAGCAAATACGCTAAACAACATTGGTGAGGCATACAAAGGTAAAGGTGATTATGATCATGCTATTCAATATACCAATCAGAGTCTGGATATGAAGAGAGAGATATTTGGAGACAAGTCACATCCTAGCATGGCAGGTACATTGAACAACATTGGTGACGTATACAGAGCTAAAGGTGATTATGAACATGCTATTCAATACTACAATAAGAGTGTGACCATGAACAAAAAGATATTTGGAGACAAGGCACATCCCGACATAGCAGGTACACTAAACAACATTGGTGAGGTATACAGGATTAAAGGTGATTATAATGATGCTATTCAACACTACAATCAGAGTGTGACCATGAACAAAAAGATATTTGGAGACCAGTCACATCCTAGCATAGCAGATACACTCAATAACATTGGTATTGCAAGCATGGACAAGGGTGATTTTAACCATGCTATTCAACACTACAACAAGAGTCTGGACATGAAGAAAGAGATATTTGGAGACCAGCCACATCCTACCATAGCAGATTCGCTCAATAACATTGGTCTTGCAAACTGGAATAAAGGTGATTTTAATCCTGCTTTTCAATACTTCAATAAGAGTCTGGACATGAAGATAGAGATATTTGGAGACCAGCCGCATCCTTCCATAGCAGACACACTAACCAACATTGGTCTTGCATACTTCGGTAAAGGTGATTATGACCATGCTGTTCAAAACTTCAATAAGAGTCTGGACATGAAGAGAGAGATATTTGGAAACCAATCACATCCTAGCATCGCAGATATACTAAACAACATTGGTGCTGCATACAGTAACAAAGGTGATTATGAACAGGCTGTTCAAAACTATAATCAGAGTCTGGACATGAAGAGAGAAATATTTGGAGACCAATCACATCATTCTATAGCAGATACACTAAACAACATTGGCGAGGCATATAGAAATAAAGGTGATTATAATGATGCTATTGAGCACTACAATAGGAGTCTGAATGTGAAGAGAGAGATATTTGGAGACCAGTCACATCCTAGCATAGCAGTTGTACTCAATAACATTGGTGGGGCATACCATGGAAAAGGTGATTATGAACATGCTATTCAATACTACAATCAGAGTCTGGACATGAAGAGAGAGATATTTGGAGACCAGTCACATCCTAGCATAGCAGATACGCTCAATAACATTGGTCTTGCATACGTTGATGAAGGAAAAGGTGATTATGACCGTGCTATTCAATACTTGAATCAGAGTCTTAACATGTACATTGAGATATTTGGGGACGAGTCACATCCTAGCATTGCAAATACACTTGATAACATTAGTAAAGCACATTCAATGAAAGGTGAGAGATTATAAGACAAGAAAATAATTTGAACAGAGTAGATGCATCGGGATCAAGCTTAACAAAAAGTAGACTCATCATACATATCAATGTAAGTCACCAAATTAACACACTAACAAATATTACAAACATTACACAATTATTAACTCATTGCTGGCCAAAGCTATAAGCATAAAACGGACTATATCAACACCCACTGTGCTATGTTTTATGCCATTGTGAAGCCAATGGCAATATATTTCAATTGCACCCAACCATGGTCCCCTAGCAGCCCCTACAATATTTGGTAAGATTATTGGTACAGATCGTGTGACAATTATTGGAGAGCATCCCGTGATATGTAGGAGGTTGGTCAGATACAATTATGAAGTCATAGACGAAATATATCGGGGTTGGTCAGCAATGAATTAAGCCATATACATGTACTTGCATTGAGAATTTCATCCATCTTATAAATACAACTGAATGAGTCCAATCAGAATTAAAGATGATGAACTAGAACAAGACATACAGTTGATATACACCACACTTTTAATAAAAACCTAACAAAATCTTGACATCGGCACTAACCTGCTCTTACATCTGTAAAACTTTCAAGATGAACAAGTAATTTGTTTTTCCGGAATTAACAAGATTTATGTGGCGCCTGCCCACACAGACAGGGACACACACACGAACAATCTTGGGCTGATGCAGTGGTGGATTAAAAGTGTAAAAAAGTGTGACCTCTAGATTTTGACAGATGGATTGACAATTAGATGGACAGACACACAGACAATCTTGGGCTGATGCAGTGGTGGATTAAAAGTGTAAAAAAGTGTGACCTCTATATTTTGACAGATGGATTGACAATTAGATGGACAGACACACAGACAATCTTGGGCTGATGCAGTGGTGGATTAAAAGTGTAAAAAAGTGTGACCTCTAGATTTTGACAGATGGATTGACAATTAGATGGACAGACACACAGACAATCTTGGGCTGATGCAGTGGTGGATTAAAAGTGTAAAAAAGTGTGACCTCTATATTTTGACAGATGGATTGACAATTAGATGGACAGACACACAGACAATCTTGGGCTGATGCAGTGGTGGATTAAAAGTGTATAAAAGTGTGACCTCTATATTTTGACAGATGGATTGACAATTAGATGGACAGACACACAGACAATCTTGGGCTGATGCAGTGGTGGATTAAAAGTGTAAAAAAGTGTGACCTCTATATTTTGACAGACGGATTGACAATTAGATGGACAGACACACAGACAAGTGGGTGATTGCAATAGCCCATCATATGAACTAAAAACTGGTAAAAACACTAAAATATGTTTCTTACTTCCTCCATGGATATAGTTTCTTCTTCTCATAACAGTCCAAGAGCCAGTGCTTAGTGACAATCCTCCCTTTACCAAGGACTTCTTGGAATTTTGGTGTGTTGGAAAATGCACATCTAAAACAACAATATGTGGTACATTGTATATTAGGGTGTCTTGATTGTACATTTCTGAAACTACAATAGTGGAATAAAATCCAAATCATGTGTATTATGTATTTATAAAATGAACTTGTACATTTATGATGCTTTACTCATTGATTATAATCTAAATAATGTTTATATACCTTGTATATTTATGAAACTATATACAGATAAAACATGTAAAATCTACATTATGTTTATTATGTATTTAAAATTGTATATCTATGACACAATCCTAATAGAATAAAATCTAGATTAAGTAATGTACCAACTATACTAGACTAAAAGATTAAGTCTAGATTATGTATATTAAATAGACTGTTTCATAAATGTAATGTCATAAAAAGATGATGATGATGATGTATACTCGTAAGTTTTAAGTAAACATTACATAGATCATTTTTTGTATTCAAATATGGTAATAGGATAATGTAATAATGTTTGTATTTGTGTCACCTTAATGTTCATGATACCATAATGAATATGTTTTGTATTTTATGTACATTATTTTGCTTGAACTGTACCTGTATTGGTGTAGAACTGTTTTAAACATGTAAAATACAAATAAATGCATGTTTTCACATGAAGATTACACTTTCACTTTCTAGACTACTTGTAGTATTGGATATTTACACTATGAAACGATGATTGTACTAGAACAGATTACTTTGCTACTACCATGGTATTAAGGATCAAATTAAGGATTTTGATAAAAATATTGAATAATCATGCACATTTGTTGATGATCAGGTCATTCTTTTTAGACTAATTTTAGAGATACAGTATTTCTGCAAAAAATAGCAAAAATATAAGATTCAACTATAAAATCCTGTAGTAAAGTAGCTACTAAAAGCTGCTACTAAGCACTAAAGCAGCACTGATAAAAGTTGGAGTCTTGATTGGACGGGGGACAGTGCAACTTATTTATGAAATTGGCTGTTGGGGTCAAAATTTTTGTATCTCGTAAGATTTGAAATCTTTTAGGGGTTTATAGATAGAATAGATGCTTACATCAAATGTGTACACTTCTTGTCCCAATCAGGCTTGTATTTTGCCCCCATCTCCAGTGCCTTGTCCCTCAGTTCACCTCTATATGGGTTCTTAAAGCCACTCATCACAAACGTAACTCCTTTTAATATCTGTCTGAAGGGTGTTTTGGGCTTAGGAGCATCAGCTAAAATTGAAATAGACCATATTTTAAGAATCCTTTAGAAGATACTGGTAAATGTAAATCTGTTTAAAAGTCCTGTTTAATATCAAATTAGAATTGATATACAAGCTGTTCATGTCTTGTTGATTGACCAATAAAATAACTGTGATTCAAAAGTCATTGTTTGGGTAAGATTATGGCATTATCATGCAAAATGTCACCACCTGCCATGTGTTACAGATGCTGACCACCAAACACCAACCACCAAACACCATCCACATAATAACAAGCTATAATATTTTTTGTAACTTACATCTTGACTTTTTACGGGGTGGTGGATCTTCTCTTTTGGAGATCTTATCACTTGCAGACGGCTTCCTTGAACTCTCAGAATGACCATCCTCCCTTGAACGCTTTTCTGCTTTATGTGTGGGGGTTGCCTCTTTGACATCATGGCCATTTTTGGTGGTTGATGGTTTCGGGGTTCTGTCATGTACAATAGGAGATGATGGTTTAGGGATGTGTTTGATGGGAGTTGTACCTAGAGCGCCATCTACCTCCCTGGAGGCTGCCCTTACAGCAGCTGCACCTAGCAGCAGAGTTTCATAAATAAACATGTACCCAGACACATATAATAATTATTGACGGGACAAGGTTCCAACTCAATATTCTGCCATGGAATCTATGGAATTATGTCGTGATTACGAAATTCAAAATCAAACAGCCCCATATTTTCACTTCAGACTTGAATCACGAGTTTTTGTCTTATTTCCAAAAAAAAAAATTCAAGACACAAATGATCAAGATATTAGTTCAAATCTTTTGGATGGCTGATTATGAATTTAAAGTCATTTATTTTTTGCCAGAAAATAATGACATTTTCAATGGTGTCGTTGATATAGGTCAAGGTCAATATCAAGTTGGAACACTGGGAGCCAATCCTCCTTTCTTATTTCAAAGATTCCACTGAAATTCAGACATTTACATAACAATACAATGATTTGAAATGGAAAAATCCATATAATATTAAACGTCTTATTCAAACATAGGATTTCCCTACACCATACAGAAGAAAAGACTTACCACTCAGGGGAATATTCGTCTTTACTTCCTCTTTTCCCCGATTTGCAAATAAGCTTCCAGTACGAACAGGACTTGACTCTTCAGGTTTGAGCTTAAAGCCACCAAGTTTCGAGACAGAAGTCTCGAATGAAATAAAGTAATTTATATGCTTCACACTCCAAAACGCCAATACTAACAAAACCACATTATAGGCAACCATTCAATTCAATAAACAGTAAATCTTTATTTGTACAAATTACAATATCCATACCTCTTTCTTCAAAGAAGGTGTTGTGGTTCCATCATTTGGTGTCCCAGGACTGAGGAGCTTTATAAATGAAAGCCCATAATTGCTTGTCTGAAAATATATGTACAGGCAGATATAGCAATTATAAATAAATATGATCTAATGGAGTGAAACACCGAACTCGCTAATAGATGACGCATGACACCATTCCTCTATTATCGTCCAAGTTCAGTCAAAAAGGTTTGCAGAAAAATGCACAAATAGTTTGCAAAATCATGAAAGTGGAGTAAGTTGGAAAACTCGATGGAAGAGGTTTCACTTGAACCACTGACCTATCAATTTCTGTACTTATTTTGACCTTATTACTATTCATGCAGTACATGTATGTCAGGTATATACAATAAAATTAAGTTTTTTAATACTTGGATATAACATTATTTTCTCATTAAAATCCTTATCCTAAACTAGCTCATATCTGTTAAAACGTTCAAATTTATGCACCATGCGAGAGAACTAATCAGTTTGAAGAAGCATCCATGCAATTTCCCAAAAATTAATCCATTAGTAGTTTGTTTAGAAATGCACAGACAAGAAAAGAGAGATGTTGCTGCACACTGCCTTCAAGGCTGACCACAATAATGTAATTTTAGGCACAATAAAATTTGATTTTTGCACAACCTTTCAAAGGCTGATTCTACTTACTCTGTTAAAGGGTTGTGTGCAGATAACCTTTACTTTGTCCCAATGTTCATCTCTTGTTGGTTGTGAGAGTTTCTCATTGTCAAACATACGAACTCGCGTCAAACCATTGTTGCTCCTAGCTTCAAGGGGAGTCATGAATGAAGATGCTATCAGTAAAACCTGGAAGTGAGACAGATGTCACAATATTGGAACTGAAACTGTACTGTAATCAATAAGAAAATTATCAAACTTGAACTGGAGATCATGTATTTTAGGAGTAAGATCTAAACAAAACAAAGAAAATTATCCTTCTTCTTTATATTACTAACAAATATACAAATTTCAATATGGACAATATTCTGACCTTTATTTTAGAGGAATGAGAAATAAAGTGATCTGTTGTACATATAGGAATTAGAAATTATAGTAATTAGATATGGATGAATAATTTATAAGTACTTGGAATTACAAACCTTGAAGTCATCCTCTGATGCCATAGAAGCACGTCCAACAAGGACCTCAACAAAAGCGGAGCCATTATTCCCAATATCCAGACTCAATATTTTGGTCGACTTTTCAAGCTAAAATACAATACAGTTGTTTATTGATGATGATCTCAAGTGGCTCATGACCCCCAAAATACCCCAATATTTTGAAAGTTTGACAGGCTGAAAATTTGCACCATCAATAGAATTAGAAGGAGGAATGTATTCTGGAGCCATATGTTCTTGGGATATCTTTTCTGTATATAAAGCTTGAAATAGAAAGCTTGAAATTACTGGTCACCTTCAATATTATAGAACATTTTCATTTAATATTTTGTCTTCATTTGTTTATCAAGTTATCATTTTTCAAATTGCTTTATTTACAAAAAGAGGGTTTGTATCAAAGGCCATTAATGGAGTGAGATTCGGGATTTTATGTTTTTTTTAAATAAGGGTAATCACAAATTTAACATTTTTAATTGAGGGTAATCATCAATTTATACTTCATTATTACTTACTTGAATCGTTACAGATGCACTTTTCTCACCAGCTTTAGCACACCGCCATTTACTTGTTCCCTCTGGTTTTAAAAGATTAGTTGCAGGGAAGTTCTAAGAGCACAAAATAAAGATACAAGAATGGCAAACGACTTAGTCACGACTTAACACTTTTAAATCACCAAGCAGAGTTTTTAAAACATTGACTTCAGTTGTTATAGTATAAGACTATATACCAAACGAATGTGATCATGTCATCTACAATCTGTTAAAGGCCAATAAGTCCACCTGAGGCAGATGACAGATAATGTACAAAATTCTGTTCACTGATACATTTTAGAGGCAGGAAAACTATTTGTGTTATTCCCACAATGGCCATTGGGATCCCACTCATTTATTCCCAGTTACAATGTTTGGCTCCTAGAATTCAATATCGACATTCTGCCACTTATGGATTCATGTCGTGATTACAAAATTCAAAATAATCAGCCACCATTTTATCACTTCAGAATTCGAATCCCAAGTTTTGGTCTTATTTCAAAATACATAGAGACCCTGGATACAGATTATACATTGAAGATTGCAAGAATGACAAGAGGTCGTAAAATACTTTTAAATGAACAAGCAGAGTTTTAAAAATACTAGATTTTACAACCATAATGTGTGCGGTAACGATATTTTCGTCATTGTCATCACTATTGCTAAAAATATCAGGCAGCCATTCTCCTGATACGTTCTCCTTGATCAAATCGCTTAGAGATTGAAATATAGTGTTAGAAATCTGGGGGGCAAACCTCCCAGTTCTAAAATAATTTTATAAAAAATCTTGAAAATTAATTGAGACTTCAGTTAAGACAATTTCTGACCTTATCCTCGCTACTAAACGAGACCACGTGCTGGAACTTTATTGCAGGCATCTTTTCTTGATGGCTAAGGACGTATTTATGATGATTCAAGGCTAAATAAAGAGTAAATTATACTCAATTAAAAGACATGTTCAAACCAAGCACCGACTCACTCACGATAGATCAATTAGTGAATGGCTTGTGCCTGCCTATCATGATTCACGAAATGATGTGTGTGTGTTTTCAAATATAATGATCTTTACATTAATAGCTATCAATTATAGTATACAATATATATTCAATAAAAATGTTTTTAAACATTCAAACAATAAGTTATGTTCTCACATATATTCTTCATAAATATTTTGAAAACAATCTATTTACGACATGTCGTAATACTGTCAGGGAAGCTTTCAAAAGTAGGTCACGCCAAAATTCGAAACCAATATAAAAAACATTAGGATTTCTCCTTATTCCCTGTCTAGATATGGATTGAAGTGTCAAAAGTCAGCATTATTCAGCCTTTAGGTAAGTGTTTATCAGAAAACTCCAATAAAGTAGCAATTTTACTGTAGACTGTTATATAAAACTAGTAAACAAACTTGTTTATTTTTTCTAGATTTTCTTGGACAAAAAGTTCACCTCAGAAAAATTAAAGCCTCTAACAGGGGGGGGGGAGATTTCCCAAAGATGACCTTTCATATTTGCACGTTCAAAAACAAATTTTATAAACAGGCCTCATTTGCCATTGAACTGCATCTCCTAATGTTCGCTGTAGTTTTGGAGTACTCTCTACAAGTTTAATAGTATTACCGTAGGTTTAAAATGATGGAGACCCTATCTGTTGCAAGACTTACGCCTGGCGTAACCGTCATTATGTTATTCAGTGTTTTTAAGTAGCGCAAGGATCCTGCCATGACCGTGGTAGTGTTATCGTGAAAGGCTGGTATAACCGCGACAATGCTGTATTATATTGCAATGCCTGCCATGACCGTGACAATGTAATCGTGTAAGCCTGGCGCGACCGTAGCCGCTTTATATGACATTTATGACTTATTTCATGTTTCTCCCGTTGCTGCTATTAGTTTTTTTTATGGATTACCTTATTAATTGATCATTATAGAAAGTATGTGCTTTCGAATCGAACCTTCTTGAATGAGAGTAGAGATGTAGTTTGTTCGAAAATCATTTATGACTGAGTTAAAAATGAGGGTTTCGTTGTGAAATTAATATACATTTTTATGTATCAATGAACATGAGTACCATGTTCATGTATAGTAGTCTCGATTTACATATTTAAGGTAGTTAAACACGAGGAAAATTGTCATTAGCCTACAGTGTTCTCATGCTACTTTAAATGTTACTTAATACAACCACGGTCATGAGAGGCCTTGCAACTATTGTCCAGTTCAGGCTTTAACCTTACCACGGTCATGACAGGCTTTGCAATCATAATGACAGTCATATCAGGCTTTAACATTACCACGGTCATGGTAGGCCTTGCAAGCATTGTCACGGTTATAAGAGGCCTTAACATTATCACGGTCATGACAGGCTTTGCAACCATTGTCAAAGTCATATCAGGCTTTAACATTACCACGGCCATGACAGGCCTTGCAATATAATACAGCGTTGTCACGGTTAAACCAGGCTTACACGATAACACTACCACGGTCATGGCAGGATCCTTGCGCTACTTAAAAACACTGAATAACATGGTGACGGTTACGCCAGGCGTAAGTCTTGCAATAGATAGTATGTGAAATGATGTTATTGAACTGATGTTAACGCCATTTCCACGATTTCAAATTTTACTTTGCCCATGCGTAGCTCTGATAGAGTACGTGCTCATGTTTGTTCACGTGATGGCATCCTGCAATTTGATTGGAGATAATGCGGGAGATGACGTAACGGGGGATCCCAGAATACGATAGAATATGAAAGAATTATGGGAGCTACTCACTTCTTCTGAGCCTCTAAAGTCCATTTCACTGTTAAATTGCGTCAGTAAAACCCAAAAAATAGGAAATCAAAATATCATTATGCAATAATATATGGAAAAATATATTCCTATTGTAATTGAATGACATTTGTATATCTTCTAGTTTAGCTTATAAAGTGTGTCGCCTCTTATATTTGGATGCTTCTCTGCCATGTTATTTTCATTAATATTAACATGGCTGAAATTCTTCAAATTACAAGAGGGCACAGGCTTATTGCACAAAAAACCAAAAATCTGAAATATACAAATGTCATTCATGTACAATATGAATATACTTTACCATATATTATTGCACAAATGAATGGTCTCCCGATTTCTTATTTTTGGGGCTCTATTGATACAATAAAACAGTGAAATGGAATCTAGTTGTTTCATTTTTTCTCAGGCCAGGCTGAATTTTTCTCAGATCAAGTTAACTATTTCTCAGATCAAGCTGATTTTTTCTCAGATCAAGGTGATAATGTTTACGCCTAATGTTTAATATGTCTCTGAATCAACTATCTCTGCATCAGTGTCAAGATACATGTATATCTCTGGGTAGCCCTGATGGAACAAAAAATGACCCCAATCCACCAATGTTTAGAACCCCCTTCTACCTTATATCTTACATATCCCCCACAGCTTATTTCCAATACCTCCAAATTTTCTATATTTTTTTGCTCAATTACAATAAGTCGAAAATTGATGATAAATTTGATGAATTTTTGAAAATCGACATTCCAATGTTCACCAATGGGAAATGGGAGGTTTGCCACAAGTCATCTGACAAAATATCAATCCATCCAACTCCTTGAAGTAAATCTCTCTTCAGTTTGCTAAAATATTGGGTGAAATAATGAGATGTGCTGACCAAAGGAGTGGTATTGATATGGAGAACTTTTTGAACACACGTTTCTCTTAAACCAGTCATAAAAAAAATCTAAAAATTTAAAACATCGTCAATTTAATGGTCATCTTTTGAATGGTAACAATATAATTTGAAAAATATATATACTTTCATCTATATCATTTCAGAAAACACATCAAACACTTGTTTTGTTCTTGGTATTTTGTTTCCAGAGTGAAATGAAACATCTTTCCGAACCTCATTGGAACAAAACGACATTAAACACAACATGTTTAGGTCTCTCAATATTGTAATTGTACAAAAATTCTGGTTGATTGTAAAAAAGTATCTTGTTAATGAAATAAAAGGTTTATCTTGATTTTTATCTATTTTGGGGGATTTTGTTCTAATTTTCAAATACTTTTTTAAAATCAACCAAAAATTCCTTTGTATATCTATAATATTGAGAGGACTAAAACATGTTGTATATGCTATTTTGTTCCAACAAGGTTCGGAAAGACATTTTATTTTATTTTCTAGAATTGGTAGAAAGGAGCAAAAAAATTGCACTAAAAAAACAAAAAATGTTAACAAAAACAGTTATACAAAATAAATTTCCCATTAAATTGTTGTCAATCAGTCAACATTACATAAAATACCATGTTTTTTTACAGAATGTTTTCAATGATTGGTTTAAGAGAAAAACATTGTTGAATTCAGTTCTCCATATCGATACCACTCCTTTAACACCCTGTTCAGAAATAACCCTTGGGAGATCATTACATCCTTTTATTATCTTGATGGAATATTGGTGATTATTTCTGACAAAATCAATTTTTGTGACATTGTTAAAGGGTTGATCTAACTCAGATAGACTTGTTTTCATTCTTTTGAATGATCATAATAAAACTGTTCATCCAGCCAAACCCAACCTGTGATTCATAATTTGCATAATTGATTAAATTAGTGAAATTACTGATGTTTACTGCATGCCACAATCTGTTAATGAATCAGAGAACATTTTATTGATTACTTTCAATATTGCTCAGCATCAATACAGGTGTGCCATTGCTTGATTACCATATAAGCTATACTGCTGGATTAACTCAATGTTGTGTCGATTGTGTTTTTTAAGAAATCAATAATCTCATACTGTAGGAGATGAAAAATTCCAGTATCATCTTAGTAAGATTACTTTGAGATATGTTTGTCAGATTTTTAAACAATTAAGGCTCATTTCATTTATTACAGTGTAATTAATGATTATACTGCATAAATCCTGAGATTCTATTTTTAAAGAATTCAAGTAAAAATAGGTCTTGTCTCTTCATATAGAGAAAATATTTCCCTTGGTAGATATTATTTGATTTCTGAAGGTGTTTCTTTTATCCAAATAGACCATGCTCCAATATTAAAAAAGCAAAAGGTGAAAAGAAATTTTTTTAGGTTCAATTGGGACAGAACATTTTGGTAGAGGAACAAATAAGAAATGTTCTATTAAGATTTAATAGTCTGCCTTCTGTAAGAGATACAGGATTGATTTCTTATGAATGTATATCTGTCATGATTATTCATCTAATTACAAGTTAAATTTTGACAAATTAATAGTCTTGCTTGAAGCCATTGTGACACCCATACACCTCACTTCCAGAAGGTGGAGTTAAAGTAGATGGGGGGGGGGTCCACATGGGAGGGGGTCAAAAGACTGAATGCCAAGGTAACACACTGAAAGGCTTAAAGGCTAAAAATCCAATTATTGTAAATATCATATTTGTTGTTAATATGGGTGGAGATATTATTGCATGACTGGGAAAGGAAAGAAATAACATCATAAAGAGAATGCAAGATCAGTGTAACTACTATTGGGACTCCATGCCTCCGCATATTTAATTACAAAACTCTAAATTATTTATTCAACTTCTTGCTAATCAGGCATATGTGTTCTAGCAAAGATATGTTCTTTCATAAGTGAATTCTTCAGTTCTAGATGAAAGACAAATATGACAAAAATATTGTGATTTGGTCAGACATGGGAGAAGACTGTCATCTAGCAAATATAAGACAATTAACAGAAAAGCAAATTGAAATATTTTTGGGAAGAATTCTTAACTGAGCTGCTGAAACTATAAAATTACTTAGGTAAGGCTGATTATTTTTTCATCATTCTTTCAAAATTTGAGCTGTGGCAAATCTGTGGATCAATGCAAAATTTGTCTCTAAGCTAGTCAAAAATGAATAAAGTAGGAGGAATGATACACGTTGGCATATCTCTTATTTCATGGAAATTAATGCATGTTCAATCAATAGAGCTATAAGGCGTTTGATATCGTAGTAGATGATATTCCTTGATTTCATTAATCCATTTAATTTTTGATACATTTTTAGTTTAACCTTCTGACTGCCCAGAGTGACAAGATTTCTCGTCACCTTAGAAATGACCTTGAAACCTAGAGTGATACTATAATCTGTCACCAAATATTTCACTAAAATTGCTCTAATTTGAACAATTTTCATCCATTTTACAAAAAAACAAAACATTTGAAATATGTAGGAATGATATCTGTCGACTACTTTCACTAAAATGGGCATCACCTGCTTTAGAAATGTAAAAAGCTGAAAAAAAACTGGAGGATAAATAATCGAACCTAAATAATTGTACCCAAACTACAAAAAGCAATGAGAAAAAGCAGGTAGACTCTTTGTGAGGGTTAATTGCATTAAATCATTAATAATTTAGAGAAGAGAGAGTTAAAGAGACATCCAATAAGTGATCTCTCTGTAGAAAGTTAGCTCAATCTGATTACTTAACTGGCAGAAGTAAACAATTGTTTTAACAGCTATGAAAATAATATAACCAATCAGTACATGGGAGGTATGAGTAATTAGAAAATAATATAATCTTCCAATTAAGGACATAACAGTTGTAGGGCTTGAATAAGAAATAATTTGATGTATCTAAATATATTACAAAAAACATTTGCTATATAGCAGTAAACTTTCTTAAAGTTGAAAGGTCTGGGTTCAGCAACAAGACAATTATATGGTCAAATACATACCTCATGATTGTATTAGATAATCAGATATGCCAAGTGTCTGTAAAATTTAGTCATTGAATGAAGTGCTAACTCCTGCTCCAGGTATGGAGTTGGCCTTTTTACGATGGGGATTGATTTACATAAACAAGTTGTGGATTGACAATTTTTGCCCAAAAGTGCTTAAAATGGTGATATGCTAGCTGCATGATTTTGAAGACATTTTTTGCTACAGGCCTGTATATTCATGTCTCTAATAGCTTTCCTACTTAGAGAAAAATTTAATAACAGGTACATTAATTTATTTTAGGTTACAATGTATGTGATCTACATATCCGTCCTACTTTGTCTCCCCACTATATGTCTCAGCCAGGGCCTTGTTAGCCTGGATGCTACACAATTCCAAGTGGCAGAGGGGCAGCAGTTTTCAATTCCTATTAAGAAATCTGGTCAGCAAGATGAGGAGTTGAGTGTAGTTGTGCAAGTAAGTGATAAACAAATTAATATAATCACTTGAAAGGAGAATGATTCCAAGATAAAGAATTCTTTGAAATGTGAGAATACCAACAAGAAATGACAATTACCTCCTATCCAGTTGCAATATTTTTACCAAAACTTAACATTTCTAGGATTAGTAAAAATACATGAGAAAATAATACAGTTGTGAGAAAAATCAAAAGAGAATGATGCATATGTCATAATTTTAGGTCCAAAGAAAAGATATATTGAAATAAAAGCATTTTGATGATAGGGGAGACTATAATATACATAATCAGCTTATGTTGTACTTTTTCAGTTACAAAACCCGAGTGCCAATGGTGGTGATGATTTCATCGACATCAGTCACGCAACAGTATTTGCTCCATCTGGTGGTGACATTGTGCAAACTGTGACATTCACAGTACGAGATGACAACATTCCTGAAGCAGATGAACCATTTGCTCTTGAGTTATTCATCACAACAGGTTCTGGAACTGTCTCTGAGCCAAATCTAGCCAATGTGATAATCATTGCCAATGATGGAGCTTTTGGAACATTTAGTTTCTCATCAGTAAGTTTCTCATCAAAATTTTATTACATAATTTTCTGTAATTTTTGTTGGATTATGGGTTTGATAAGAATGAATGCACTAATAAAATAAAATAAAAAGTTGACATTATTCTTGTTATTATATTTCTTTGTTCATCATAGTATCCAACATATTGAGTTTTCCTTTATCATTTTCCAAGTTCTCATCAGATGTAAAACTTTCTTTATTCTGTATTGAATGTTTCAGGCCCCCAGTCTGAGTGTTGTAGAGCAACTGACGGAGACTGATGTCAGCTTAAGTGTGCAACGGTCTCGTGGAACATTCGGTGAAATCACCATTTTGTACCAGGTTAGTAATTTGTTTAGACAGACACTCGTGAGCTTGGCTGTTTTCACTTTCTTCCTAACTAATTTTTTACATTTTTTTTATTTCAAAAGGTGCATAAATTATACAAAACAGAAAGAAGATGACAAGATAAACAGTCAAAACAAACTTATTCATGTTATATGTGTGTTTAGTGATAAATTTTACAATATCTTTAATGTGCCAGCTTACATGCCAGAGGTTAATTTCTTGCCTTAGGTATTTGCTGTTAATGAAGATCCATTGGCTGTGCCAGGAGAGGACATCACCCCAAGTGTGGGAAATATAGTGTTTGCTGAGGGGCAGAGCCAGAGGGAAATTACAATAGCTGTACAGCCTGACCAGGTAGATGTTATAGACCACATAATATTATGCTAATTTTTGAAGATTGGAAAATGAAAATTTGAAGGGTTTATAATTAGCCTGAAATCAGCTTTTGCTGTACTCTTCTTTTGAAGAAGAGGTCTACCTTCCTTTGTTGTCACATGCATATTATTCTGTTTGCATAATTCCAAGGATATCTAATCTACTTCCCATCACATCAGGTCCGTTGATATGAGCTTCTAATAGCTTCAGCTGTATAGCTGTATTATTGTCCTTGGAAATATTACACTTGCAAACTACAGATCTATATGTCATTGAAATAAAAAAAAACTTTAACGTGTTAGAATTGTTAATTTGCTAAACATGTGTATATAAGACTTATTAGATACTTTTCAAATTCTCATTTTAGATCCCAGAAAATGATGAGGTTTTTATTGTGCGGCTAATGTCAGCTACAGGAGGCGATAGTGTCAATCCAGAAGAGCGGCCATTGTTGGAAGAAAGCGGAGTAGAGATAACGATACAGAAAAATGATGCTCCCATAAGGTTTCAAAATGTAAGTGCATGATTTGCTTTCTAGAAATTTGATTCTAAACTAGTTGGTGATGTTAGATTCGCAACTCTCACATGTAATAAAAAAGTTCTTTCCCTAGTAGGTGTCACTCCATGTGAAAATACTTATTAGGGGTACATGTCTTATGATTTCTACAAGGCATTCGATTCACTTAAATTTATGTATTTTTATTATTTTCAGGGTAACTACAGAGTTGATGAAACTGAAGAAATCACATCATTGGAGATAGTTATTCAACGTGGTTTAGGTGACGATGGTGTGTCCGTTATAGGTCCAGTAGATAAACCAGCCACTGTTAATTACTTTGTGCTGTCCGGATCTGCAGTGTGGGATCAGGATTTCACGGGAATTAATGGCACTATAGGATTTGGCATTGGCGTGACAGAATACACCATAGCTGTCAACATACTTCAAGATAGCATCCCTGAAATTGCTGAACATTTTACAATTGAATTAGAGAACCCAAGTGGTGATGTTGTATTGGTCGATCCTGCAGTTGCCACGGTAACAATCACAGCCAATGATGATGAAAATGGTGTCCTCAGTCTAAAAACACCAGATGGGGCAGAATTCCCACAATTTAGAATCAATGAGGATGAAACTGCTCAATTCACTGAATTCGTCGTCACACGAAGCGGGGGAACATTCGGGGCAGTAGAAATTGACTGGATACTAGAACGAAATGATTCTAACTCAGATAATGTATTATTGGATATTTCTCCAAAATCAGGGACTGTGACTTTTCTTGAAGGAGACAGGAGTCAGTTTATCTTGTTGACTTTGGTGCAGGATCTTTTGCCTGAAATAGGGGAGCGATACATGCTCCATTTGCTGCCTGAGACTGTCACTGGGGGAGCAAAGGCAGGAGGTATGTAATGTTAAAAGTGGCTTAGTCTGTACATCCTTATTCTAAAATATACCAACATTTAGAAAATCAAAGCAACCTTTAACTTTCTCCATCAATAGACTTTGATACATTTTTTTCTGTTTGGATACACCTAGCTTTTATTTTAGAGCAGCACCAAGCTCTGTATATCACATTTTCCAAGAATCTTTTATCCTGGAAAGTGGTATATTTAGAAATGAAAGTTTGTGTCAAAGTCTGTAGATTGTTATGTTTTGTTGAAGTAATTAAAAGTCAGAGTTGCTCGGAGCCACTTTAAATTAATAGATTTGATAAAACCTGAGTTAGCTCATGAATACTGACTTAATACATGAAGCTACGAATTACCTCTTACATCAAAAAAGCAAATTCTTTATGAGATGATATATAAATAAATATGACTGCTTTTACATTGGAGGAATCTCTAGTAAGTCAGGCTTGTTGTAGATTTAATGAAACCTGAATAAGCTCATGAATAAACCTAATACATACACGTAGCTTTGATTTCTCTCTCACATCAAAAAAGCAAACTGTTTATGAGAGGAGGAGGAGGAATCTCTTGTTAGTCAGGTCTGTTGTTGAATATTGTTGTAGATATTTGATATATTTTTGTTTGGTATTTTAGACATTTTATCTGGAGAGTTGATCATTGAGGACAGTGATAGTGCATACGGCATACTTGAATTGGCACCTGACTCAGAACAGTCTCTGATTACAGTGAGTATATAATAATATGTAATGCAGTGGCATAGCTAGTATATATGGGTTAGGAAAATTACTGTGTGTGTAATGCCTGGGTCACATTTGCTCCGATCCATCGGCCAGTGCCCGGCCGATTGAGTGTTTTGCTCAATATTGTATTCAATTTTGAACAAAATACTCAATTGGCTGGGCGCCATAGTGAAAATCGGAGCAAATGTGACCAAGGCATACGTGATCCACTATGTGTTCATTTGTTTCATTTTTTTTTAAAGTAACAAGGCCTCACCTAGCTTATTACTAGATTTAAAAAGTGATTATTGAGGATTGCAATAGTCCATTAATATTTAAGGCAATTACAATTTATCAACCCTGCCTTTTTAAATTGACCCCTAGAAAGCAATGCACAGATTATATTGTGATTTTAATTTCAGACAAACACTCCAAGAAAACTTCAGTTGACGCTGACAAGAGATGGGGGCATATTTGGTGATATTTCTGCTTCAATCCACATCAACATGACAGATCCTACCACAGATGTCACAAATATATTAGTACCAGAATTACCCATGAAAGTGACTATTCCAAACAGCCAGATATTTTATAAGTTTGATGTAGCTATAAAGGAGACTGCATTTCTGAAGGTTGACTCAACTTTCGAGATTTACCTCACTGAAGTGGAATTAGCATCAGGTATTCTGTTTACTATTTCAGGAATTTTCTGTGATATACATACGTAAGGAACACTTGATTCTAACTCAATTGTCTTATCTATCCATCCCTTCCTGAAAACTGGAGGAACAATGAAAAGGTCCAAGATTTTCAAAAAGTGATTTAAAAAATTCCCTCCCCTTTCTGATTTGCTTAAAGAAATAATAAAGATTTAGGGACTAAACATTTTTTCTCATATTAGAAATACCAGGCCTACTGATAACATTCTACAACGTTTACTATTTCAGCCGCAGAGGTGGGCCCTTTCAACAGTCCAATGCTAGGGGAGAATACTAAAGCTACTGTTACAGTGAGACAACAAGATGCTAATGGAGAAGTTGGATTTGCTGCAACAGAAGATATCTTTGTAGCTGAGCCAGAAGGCAACTTTAATCAAAGGGTAAATATATGTATATTGGCTTGGTTGGTTGTGGTGTACTTGCTGGGCCTAAGTATAAACCAAAAATATTATTCAATATTTATTTATTCATTTATTATTCACTTTAAAGAAACAGAAATATAATCATATTCAAATATACTCATAATCAGTTTTCTATGTTGTAGATTCCACTTGTGCTAAATAGAGAAGGAGTAAATGGTGATGTGACTGTCTATTGGTCGATGGTTGGGACAGGACGTTATGTAGCATCTGTTACCCCTGACGACACTGGAGTAACATCTGGCAATGTGACAATGCTCTCTGGTATGCCATTAACATTAATTTATCTGAAATTACGAACAAAAGGTTCATTACCAGAAGAATAAGAATTGATTATCTGCTTACTTTGATGTCAACGTTTCCATGGTTACAGTGGACCTGTCATTCTGTTTCAGGTGAATCAACTGCAGAGATAGTCATACAGATAATGCCCGATGAAATACCAGAAACCGACGAGGAATTGATCGTGACCTTGACCTCCGTTGAACCTAGTGGGACTCAAAAGCTACGTCTGGATTCCATCCAAGTGCGTGTGACCATAAAGGAAAATGATAATCCCGGTGGCGTGTTTCAGTTTTCGGGGAGTATGTTATCAGGATATAATATGGAGGTAGGTAATTGGATAAAAATATCTAACACCAAATAAGAATTGTTTTATGAATGGCATAATATGTAGTACTAGTTTATGTGAATGGTTTAAGAACTTCCCATGTTGTATGTGCAGCAGTAGCCAATTGATAAAATATAATTACATGTACTACTAGATAGTAATAATGGAAAGTTTTTCTCTATTTTAATGTATAGTGTATAATATACTGACCACTCCCTAAGATTAGCAGCTAGAAATCTTCATTTGATAGCGAGTTATTTTCATTGTTAATATCGGAATTTTTATATTGCTCTTTTATTTACAATATTCTGAAATAAAATAAATATGCAAAATTTTTGAGTTTTAAATTGCCAGGAATAAAGAGGCTTAAGTAGCATGCTATCAAGAAGCGAACTTCTGGTTGCATGTAGGCGATGTAAATGTTTAGTATAACATAAATATATAGTGTATAACTTATGGATTATCCGTAATCTGATTGGTTTTACATGGTAATGTACAGCTGTCTGAACCAATTAAATTACAGCAATATGAATAGTATAAATGTTTAGTGTTTCTTACATGAAAATTAAACAGATACAAATTCCTTTATTTGAATGTAGATTTTCTGCACAGTAAGTTAGAGGAATAGTATTTTTACACTTATGATAATGCTCATCACATTCACAATGATCCTGTCACTGAAATAGAATAGTAGAGTAGAAAAGAAATTGGGGGTTGACTCAAAAATTGACTTCATTCAAAAGTTATTTTTTGAGTAATGGCCTAGTCACATAGCCCGGCCGATGAGGTTCCGATGAGCCAGCGATGCAATTTTCACCGAACTCGGCCGAACACCGGCCGGACACCGGCCGGACATCCGTGGCGTTTGTTGCTTAAAACCGCATCGGTGGCAGCTCGGTGAAATTTTAACTTCGGAGTTAAATTTCACCGGGCTCTCACCGAGCTCCCTCATCGCAGCCCCATCGTAACCACATCAGAACACACGTCGGCCGGTGCACGGCCGAGTATCGGTCGGTGTCCCGTGCATCTGAGACAACCAGAGGACGAGGTTTTTTTAACGGACACCGGCCGAGCTCCGACCGAGCTCCGGCCGATGTGGGACAGAGCCTTGGAAAGTATAGTACCTGAAGATGTCCGGACGGAGTCCGTTCACGTCACCGAGCTCTGGTTCCGATGAGGAGAGCTCGGTGGCACCAAAAAAATCCACCGAGCTCTACCGATGCCGGACATCGGCCGGGCTATGTGACTAGGCCATAAAAGAACATATCAGTTTTATGAAATCTATTGATTGTATTTCTGGATGTACAAATTGCATTAACAGATCCATTTGATGGACAGAACATTTTCAAAGAATATATTGACTTGACCCCTTATTGAAGAAATTCAAGTGAAATGAGCATAATCTGAGACAAGACAACGTCCAATTCACAAATAAGCACTTGCAATTGCATGTCTTCATCAACACCTCAATAGACAGTACACTATTATACAGTTCAGTCTGTAATACTATTTATCCCATACTTGGACGTGTTCCAGGTACATAAAGCCAGTTTGTAAAATCTTTTATCCCATACTTGGACGTGTTACAGGTACATAAAGCCAGTTTGTAAAATCTTATATTTTAATCAGCGGGCAGATATAGCTTTACCTCCCGTTCTGAGGGGGCAGATATAGTATCTCTGCTCACTACTTCATAATCACCGTTCGCATATTGTGCAGATATATCATATTGGCTATGGGATAATCCCAATATCCTGAACCTCATATAGGATAATCTCTATATAATACATGTACTATACACTTTATGTTTCAATACAGTCTATAATATAATGCAGTCTATAATTCAATTTGGTCTATAATACAAAACAGATTCACTATGTGAAAGAGGCAGTTTGAAATAGTTTATAGCTGTTAAAAAGTTGTTGTTTCTGAAGAGGTGATACCATATAAATGGGATGATAACATCAACATGCTCCGTGGGATATATCAAACTGAATCAAATTGTAAAAAGTGTCCATACTTTGTAGGAGGAAGGTACACCTGTCATAGTCTCAGTGGAGAGAATAGGTGGCGCCCTAGTGACAAGATTCATACAGTATTATATCCATCCTGATGGGGAAACAGAGTTTTATGGAGGGACAAGTGTATTAAAGTTTGGACCAGGAGAGTATGTTAAAAATGATACAATAATTGCCAAAGGAGATGGAGTTCCAGAGGTTTGTAATACTGTTCCAGTATTATAGCTGTCATCATTTTAAGTAGAATATTAAGCAATTTTGAGAATAAAAAGTCTTATTGGAGAAGCAATGTATATTTTTCAATAACATTTCTGTTTGAGGAACAGGCAGAAATACAATGTAGAATACTTTTTAAATATTTTTTTTACAAATTTAACATTCAACTTTTTTTTAAAATTCCAACTCATAGAAATAAGTTTACACAGCTTTGTTTAGAAAAACTAGGGATGATATGAATATGCTTTTGTATGTTTTCTCTCATGCCTGACTGAATTCTGAACTCTTATCAGATTCATTATTCGTATGATATATCTTAATCTCTCAATAATTCTCAATTCTATAACATACGAGTATTGAATATCTTTTTTTGCAGCTGTTTGAGACTTACCAGCTGTTGCTACGTAGCTATGGTGATGATACAGCTGTGATTAGGGAAGGGTCAACCATTAATATCACAGTGGAGGAAAATGATGATCCCTATGGTGTACTACAGTTCCATCCAGACAGCGTTTTGGTGTTTGTGGGTAAGTTTAATAAATATACCTTTGGAGTATAAAAGATTTGTAACTGAATATTTTTGCTTACATTCCTTGAGGTGCTTTATTACTATCATGCAATAAATATGTTCATATGATTTCTAATAAATAAAAAATAAAGAAAAAGTTTGGGAGTAAATATGTGGTACATGGTAAAGTATAATTTAGGAAATAGAAAATCAATTTACCAAGGAAATTCTCAGAATATAAACTATATTAAGTCATAATATTAGCCCAGAGTTACAGAATATTTCACTCTCTTATTGTATTATCCTAGATGAGACAAAAGGCGATTCCAAGTTCCTGGCTGAGATAAGAGTTCTCCGCACCAGAGGCGTATTCGGCACTGTACTACTAGACTGGAGTGTTACGCAATCTAACAGCACTGATCTAAGGCCACTCTCGGGGACATTGCAGTTTGTCGAGGGACAGGATAATGCAATTATTCAGATTGAGACAGTATCTGATGAGGTATCTGCCTAAAAGATTTTGTGCTATAAATAAAATGAATATACTAACTTATCATCAAGATTTGAAATATTATTTCATTAAATCAAGTATATCATGTTTTACTTTGTGTCTATATATATATATTGTGTCTATATATTCTGCTTTCGATATTCTGTATTGGCACTTGACTTCGTTTCGTTCTAATATAATACAGAATTTCTCAAGCAGAATATATCCTGTAATGCACTTCAAATCATTCAATAACTTATATAGTTACATGTAATGACCGTTGTTTTGAATCCTCGAAATGTATTTAAACATATGTGTGTACATTTAAGATATATGGAGGTATTCATGAGGTGAGATACTTCTTTAAAGGCCCCATGTAAAGTTTAAACCACTTTGGCTTATATTGTAGTCTTACCCAATGTTATCAAAGTGTGATATGTGAAACTTTTTTTTTTAATTTCAAAAAGTGGTTTTTGATAGACTTTTTGTTCCAAAATTTGTGAATTTATTTAAAACCAACTTTTAGAGGTCACTCATATCTTTTAATTAGCCACAATTCATACTAATGCATAGCATACATCCTCCTATGTTTTTTGCCGAAAAAATTAAGAAAATCGGTTGATAAACAAGCGAGAAATGAACTTATCAGTGCATGAAAATGGTTCTGAGAAAAATGCATTTCAAAATTTTAGTTCTCATAAAAACCAATGGTACAATGATATCTAAAAAATAATTTATTCTTCCTTTTAACCTGGTCAGACAATCAACATTGTTTTTTTATGAAAGTCTAGCATATTTAGAAAAGATTGACATCGAAAAAAAAAATTCAATTTTTTTCAAAAAGTTTTTGTTACCTTAGTGACATCACTAATGTTTCAAAATATTTTTGATAAGCTAAAACATTGAAGTGGCCCATTAAATATGACATTTTATTATCGAAATAGTGTGTCTTTTGTTCAATCTTTGCATTGGAGTTAAAAATATAATCTTTTTTGAAATGCATTAAGAAATATTTGATGATTAAGAAATTTCAACTTTTTTTGAAAAATGGCGGGAAATTTGAATATTTGAGAAATGAAATGCTCACAACTTTTTTTTCAAAAAAATTTTTTTGTTCAAAAATCTCTAAAATCACTTTTTAAGTCCTGACAAATAGTAAATGAATGATAAAAAAATATTTTCAAACTTTAGACGGGGACTTTAATGATCTTTATTTGGAATATACCATTATAATATTTGTGTCGTTTGTAGCTCCCTGAGGGCAGTGAGGTGTTTGATGTTGTCCTATCTAATCCCACTGGGGGCTCAAGACTAGGCACTCCAACAGAGGCAACTGTTACAATCAACAAAAACGATGATGCGATACATTTCAAAGGTATTCGATCTTTTAGAAATACTAGTTTTTGGAATACCAAAGCTGTCAAATAATCAATGTGTCACTAAGTACATTAGCTTCTGGAATATTTAAATATATATGTATTCCTTCAGTCTACTTCTTTCTTTCCTGTGTATAACTATAAACATGAGCAATCAATAATTTGATTTTCTGAAAATATACAATTAAAAGTGTTTACTTTATGCCTGGCTGACTCTTCAATCTTATTTTGGATTTTAAAACATGACTTCAATGTCTTCATTTCTTGCTGTATGTCCTAAGAAATCTAACCCAATTTAACATGGCATTTACATGTAGCATAATCACAAATTTCAGTGCCCATAACACAAAGCACCTCAGAATCGGGTTCAGTGGAGTTCACAATTGTCCGCGATGGAGAACTTAAAACCCCTGCTACTGTGAAATACCGGACCATAGATGGCACAGCAAAATCGGGAGAACTTGACTACACAGCAGTCGTTGATGGAGTACTGCAGTTTGCCATTGGCGAAATGGAGAAAGTTATAACAATTGCAACACTCGAAGATGAGATTCCTGAGACTGATGAAGTATTCTATGTGAGATTGTATGATGCCCAAGGTAAGAAATTATTAAATTAATCTAGTTTTTCTAATTGTTTTAATACATACTTATTGTACTATATCCTAAGCTTTTTGGCACCCTCCCATATGTTTCTTACTTAATTGTGGCATTTTGTTAACTAAAATAAGGATCTTTTGTGTATCATTTTTGCATTAGAAAAGTTACACTTCACAAAATATACTGCATGTGTGTCCTCAATAAGGTTGGATGGTGGCCATTATCCGTTCACAGGAATATCATTTCATTCAATACTCAAAAAACTTCAATTTACTAGATATCTTTCTTATTACAGGGGATGTAGTTGTATTTGGTAATGTTGAAGCAACTGTCACAATCATGGCAAATGACGAGGCAAATGGCGTGTTTAAATTCTCCCCTCCCTTCATGAAGACTGGTAATGAGGGGACACCGATATCGTTTGAGTAAGTAATTTTGTATTTGTATTAAGAACATATTTTGAAATTCCCCTTCCTGTATTATTCTCTCGTATTTTGAATAATAGTAGTAGCATCAGTAGCTTTCAAATGATGTTTATTGAAATTGCAATTGATTAATTTTTGGAAATGCTAGGTAAATTTTAAGAATGGCATTTTGGATTATTGGCCCATACTCTCAAAATGTAGTGACATATTGCTATAGTATCTAACTTTTTGTGGATGATGTTTAGCAGTTCAGCAGTCGATGTCTGTAACAAATGGCAGGTGGTGCTATTTCGCATGTTCATGCCTTGGCTTACTGTTTTAATCACAAAATCAATGTGAAATATTATTTTAGTGTGACGAGGGATCGAGGCAGATTTGGTGAAGTTCATATATACTGGCAGATCTATAATAATGAAACAGATGAACTTGTTCAACCTGGGACTGATTTTTCGGAGAATTCTGATTTTATCACATTCCTTGATCAGGAGCAAAGTAAGCCTATTGTGCTGACACCTATTGCTGATAATGTCCCGGAATATCTTGAAAACTTCCGACTTGAGCTGCTTAATGCCACAGGTGAGTTGAATAACTGGGCTTTTATCAGTTGATTTAAAACCACATTTAAAAAGTAATAATGATGTGGCATGTGCTATTTCATTACAATTTAAACTCCATTTGTAATGAAAATTAAAAAAGAAATTACTTTTATATTGGAGCCATATTAAAGCACATACCTATAGGGCAATAACATATTTAATAAATCCTACATGACATAACAATTACAAGAAGTTGGCTCGAGTATTTTTCCATTTTCTTGATTGCTGATCTGGGAAAGTTTAATAAATGGCAGTAGTGTTTTAGTATCTTACGCCAAAATTTCCACTTCTACAGTATCTATATATTTAAGATTCTTGACAACAATATTCTATGTCCTATAGGTGGAGGTCCTAGTGGTCAAGTAGGGGTCCTCTCAAACATGGACCAGGTTGTTATGATACAAATAGCAGAAAATGATGACCCCTATGGCGTGTTTGCTTTTCCTGCTGACTCTCGAGAGTTAAGTATTGCAGAGGACTTTAATCCTGGGGAAGAAGAGGAAAGCAGGACAACTTTTACTGTTGTCAGGAAGCAGGGGACTTTCAAGGATGTTCAGGTAAACAATTTGACTATTATCTCACAGGAGGTTTGGTATATAGGATTTATCTCGACAGAAATCCTGGAGGACTGAGGTGTATTTCCTAATGAATGGACTTTTTTTTAAAACTGATCATTCCTTAAACTTTACCTACCAATATGGGATAACCATGATGCTATATATTGGGGAGGGAGAAATGAATAGTAGAGACATCTTTAATATGAGATAAGTTAAATACACACAATACTTTGAAATAAATCGATTCTTAAATGAATGTTCATGTTTACAGGTTCAAAATATGAATCCAAAACACCAAAAGTTCAAGTAATCTAGACTAATTTGAACTCCACATCACTCCAACTATAGTTCATCATCATTATTTTTCCAGGTTGCATGGGAGATATTCTCTTACCAAATAGCAGGTGCTGGTAATCTGCCTAGTCTGAAAGATCTTCTGTTCCTTGGGGATGTCCCTGAAGCAGTGGAGGTTGTGGAGGGTGGTGGGAGAAAGGAAACAGGATCTATGGTGCTCAACTTTACTAGTCAAACAGGTAATTTTCTCAACACTAAATATATTCAAAAATTTACTGAGATGGCAAGTCAGAAAATTCTTTGAATTGTGCAACCATTCAAAAGTTGAACACATGCTTTAGATCCATTTATAGGTTAAAGGCCATGCATGGGTATACTGCATTATAATGATTGGTAAAAGTGACATTTCATACTGTTAATTATATGAGCTCACTATTTCCAGGATCATATGTAAATGTACCGACTGAGTACCAAACATCAAAAGCTGATATAGAGACAGGCTTTAGTATAAGCGTCTGGGTGAAGCCAGAGAATAATACCAGTGGTTATCTCCTATCTAAGTCATCTGTAGGGGGAAGCATACATTACTATGGATTACGGTTAGACCTTGCGGGGGATGATACAGTGATAGAGTTCAGGTACAGCGTTGCCACTGACAAGGTAAAATACACATAGATTATCAGAAAGATTTAAAGATGGATTTAGATTTAGATTTCACCTCAAAATAGTCCATTTTCACAAGCAAACTTATTACATTCCACTTATCTTGTGTCAATTATATTTAGTCGTTTTGGGTGTATTTTGTAGTTTTTAGCCAATTTCTTTTGCCAAAATTGATATTAAAATTTCTGTATGCTGCAGAACAACCAAGTAGCAGTGAAAGCGTCAGACAACAGTATAGAGGATGGGGCTTGGCATCATATTCTACTCACAGTCGACAATGGGCTTGCTGAATTCTTCATAGATGGTGCCTCCATTGGGACAAGGTAGGTGGACGTATTGATATGATGACAACATGAATATACCCACTGTACTATAGTGTGTCAGGGGAAATACATTGTTATTTATCAGTTTTATTTTGTCAGTACTGGGCTGTTTTCTTAATATTCTAGTCACACCTAATTTAAGGAATTTAAACACATTTTTACCTAGTACCTGGGAATTCAACTTAGTGAGTTAGATGTCAAAACTGTTGACTGGTCTTTGGCCAATGAAAAGCAAGATTTTAAATTGCAATACTAACAATACATATAATACCATGGGCATGATTACCATGAAGATGTATTATTTACAGTGTCCTGGCTGGCCTGAATACCCAGGATGGTGTAGGGGTGCTGTTAGTAGGTGCCATTGAGCCAGGTGTAGACCAATATATTGGCCTCATGCAGGATGCCAGGGTCTTCAGTAGAAAGCTGGATGCAGGGTAAATATGGGATTGCGTTCTTTCTGCTAGAAATCAAAAAGATTGTAAATTGGTTATTTAAATTCTTAACATTATTTTAGTCAATAGTAGAATTTACAGTACTTCAGTTGCTACATATGGTTCAGTGATCTTGTTGCTTATATTCATTCCATCTGATAAATTCTAGGGAAATACATGAGCTATATGAAACACCCTCAAAGCTTGACGTCAGTCCTCTATCCGGTTACTTAACATTTCCCGAGGGTGTGGATGCCATGACGATAACTGTGACATCACTGCAAGACACTGAAGAAGAGGCAGATGAGACATTTGCTATAAAGTTGATATCTGCCAAAGGGGGAGCAAGAGTTTCTGATAACGATAATACTGGAATTGTTAAAGGTACTTGTTTAATTTGTTGTTTTCTCTGGCCGGCTAGAAATCGTTGATGTGTTTCTACATGACAAAGTCTTAGTGCTAGTTTGCATTAAAAGGAAGTACAATTTTTCAATCGATATGACTACATTGCCCAAAAATCATCAGAATAGAAAAATATGTATTTTGGTCTTTATTGCTATTAAATGTTTAAACCATTTTCCTTAATGAAGCATTTGCAATGTAAAGCTACTTGCATGGCTAAATTGAAAGAGATAAATAATATAATTTAGGTTTGAAAAGCCTCAAAAAATAGTGATAGAAAGGAAACTAATCAGTATTATTCAGACCCAAATGATACTCAATGTTTACTGCAATGTAACTATACTTTTTTCCAGTATTGAAAAGTGACAATGCCAATGGACTGTTTGGCTTTAGTGATGTATGCTCCCCTGAATCAACCACAAATGAAGCCGCCATTTTCTCCTGTCCCGTCGAGCGTCGTCGTGGTGATGCTGATACAGTGTCAGTAGATTGGGAAGTCCAGCAAATGGTACGGCCCGACTTCACACCATTAGCAACGGAGGATTTCACTGCGTACCAAGGTCAGCTTATCTTTGAACCAGGGACACGATCGCAAGTGAGTACAATGTTTTTGAATATATTTCATGAACCTTAATGAAATGCCATGCATAGGGGAAATTTCATTTAAAAATTCTTTTTAGGTTGCAAGCTGCTTTGAATAACTATACTTCAAATGTGCTTAATTTGCTTTCAAAATTTTGAGTACACTGTATTCTCAAATTAAAAACACCATGCAAAAATATCGAAAATCAATGGAAAAGTCACTAGTTTCAATTCAATTTTCAATTTTCAATTTCAATTCAATTTCAAAATAATTTATTTCAGTTTTCATTACAAAAATTACAACATTATACAGGCTATGACACCCCAGGGGGTGTATGACTGCCCATAATTAAATTTACAATAAACATGATAAACTGTGAACATTTAAAGTGGTACATAGGTCAATACAATAATATAATATAAATACAATATACAAATACAATAATATGAGACAATAAAGAAATGAAATAAATGTTTTGGTTACTCTGTACTCAGGAGGTCAATTTTCAAACGAGATATGAGTGAATTTAATGGTTTATTTCTAATATCTTCATTGAGGGAATTCCATATATATGAACCATGGACCTTAATAGAATTTTCACCAATTCTGGTTCTATGTTTAGGAATATCTAAGTTATGACCAAATCGAGTTATACGTTGATGTATGTTTTCTCTAGTTTTGAAATAGTGATCGTATAATTTTGAAGGGAACTGTACAGATTTGCTTATAACTTTTTTCATGAATGAAACGGTTTGGATTGTGTGAATATGATAAATATTAAGTATTTTAAGATCTTGAAAAATTGGGAATGTGTGAGCTAATCTATCTGAATTTGTTATTAATCTAACAAATTTCTTTTGCAATATCAGTAGTTTATTTAATAGATTCTTACAAGCATTTCCCCATAAAATATTACAGTTATTAAGATGAGAAAAAATCAGAGAGTTATATATTATCATCTTTGAATTTAAAGTATGAGCATAATTTGTTCGATATAACATTCCTATAACATTTGAAACTTTTCTATGAAGAGCATTGATATGGGGAGCCCAAGATAATTTTGAATCAATAATTACTCCCAGGAATCCTATCTCATCTACTTTTTCAAGGTTAGAATTTGCAATTTTTATTTCATTGTTCACAGATATATTTCTTTTATTTCCAAAGACCATGTATTTTGTTTTCTTAACATTTAAAGTGAGTTTATTGGCCAACAACCAATCATTGATGTCACACAGTTCAGAATTTACAGTTGTGGTCAAATTATCAAGATTGGAATCACTACATAATATATTAGTGTCATCCGCATAAATCACCAGTTTGAGTTTATCAGAAACTAGATAGAAGTCATTTACAAATATGATAAATAGGAGGGGGCCTAGAACAGACCCTTGGGGTACTCCACAGTTAACGATTGCTTCTTCAGACAAATATTTCTCGGATAAACTTTTAGAGTATTCAGTTTTCATTTTTCTGATTTTCTGAAAGAAGCTGTTTTTTCAACCATATACTTGTTTTTCCATCATGAGTACTATTTAAGTGACCAGATCATTGGATTATACCTTAAAATTACAAGGTTAAATTTTTTAATAGGAAAGCATATTAATATTTGGCTGTTCTTTGTTTCCAGACATTAACTGTGACAGCATTCAATGATGCCAACCCTGAGTTGACAGAAAACTTTAGAGTTGTTCTCACTAAAGCCCGATCTGCAGATGGGATAGAGGGCAGCACCTTGACAAGTGGGGCAAGTATTGATGAGGACACGCAGAGCAATACTATTACAATTGTTGAGAATGATCATCCCTATGGCTTGCTTCAGTTTTCTACGTCAGAGGATCCACCAACTTTGGATGACCCTATGATTGTCCCTGCTGAACAGCAACCAGAGGTGATTATAACATACTCTACATACTCTCCTACTGCATGTAGTGTCATGTGTGGAAGTTGTAAATTGTAAAATGGAAAGTACAGCATTATACCATATCAGCAAAGATAATGAGCAGTAATCATAAATCACAAAGAGAGGTACATTTGTACTATGTGAAGGGGCCTTAATTGTGACATATTTCTTTGAGGATTTCTCTGTATTATTGAACTGCCTTCGTTATATTACTATTAGTTCCTGCCTTGTCCTAAATTGATCTTTATCCCCAAGCCATGCATTTTTAGCTCACATGGTGAGCTTTTGTAATCACTCACTTGTCCGTCCGTGCGTCCGTCCGTCCGTCCATCCGTCAACAATAGTGGCACGTTTTAAAACCTCTGTCGATAGTATTCCTGTTTTATTTATGATTATGATCTCTTTATTAATTCAGGTGACAGTACAGGAGGAAAGTGTTGAGGTCCACCTGCTAGTGGTGCGGGCACAGGGTCTAACTGGGCGTGTCACTGTGGAGTGGAGAACTATAGATGGCACGGCTAAAAGTGCAGGAAAATCTCCTCCAGATTATATCGTAAGTTCCAATTGATGATCTACTATTTTTCTTAATCTACTAATCTTCATAACTACTTATTTGCATAACTATTTTCTGAGATAATAAGCTTTTTTATTTATGTACTTTGTTTATCAGGATTTCATTTTAACCATATACATGTAAGCAACTGTAACTGTAGTTTATTGTATATTATTCTTGTATTGAAGCTTTTTAGGTACAACTGTTAACAAGCATATTTACAAAATATATATGCAAACATGCAAATATGTAGCAGCGACTATGATGCTCTGTCCTTCTAAAGTGATAATAGCGTAGAGTAGCATTATCCCCCATGTATTTCTTTTAATATAAATCTAGTATCTTGTATCCACCTTCTCATAAGAGTATTAGGAATCTCAGATTTTTTCCAAACTTATGTTACCAGTTAAAGATTTTTGTATATTTGTCAAATAGTATAGGTTTGGTTACATGTTTAAGGAGGAGGTAATGTATATAACATAATTACAGACTAACAAATACAAGTAATCGTACATCAAACACTGGACTAACAGACTTACTGTATATACATTATATATGTGGTATTTGAAATATACTAATGTCACACTGATAAATGTTTATATTAATAGTAGCTGTCACTTTGGTTTTTTTTCTGCAACTTCCAAAATATCAAATATCAATTTTAGCAATTTCCATCTTCTGTTGAGTTTACTCACAAAATTGGACTTTCTATAGTGTCTGCTTGTGAATATTCTCATTCAAAATTCATGTCTTTGAAAAATAGCAGATGAAAGGTATCAATCTGGAAAAATATGATTCAGACCACTAAAAGTCAACCTCCTATCAATGAAAGCCAGTCTCAGTTTTGTCAATATAGCTTCAACCCATCCTACTTTAGTATTTATAATCCCAGGAAGTAAGACAGGGTTTTAGTTCTAAGTGACACCCCATACCCCTTACTGTATCATTATAGAAGCGTTTAATGACTACTTATCTGTTATATTATATTCACATACAAAGTTCAGTCTCTCCGTGCATGGTGTGTCATGCCATAACATATCATCTGACCCATACAGAAGCATACACTGTTGTACTTTCTCCGCTTGTGGTTCCCCAGCCCCCCATTTGAAGAAAGCAAATGGCTTATTGTTATGATTTGTACTCCACATCCACTGACGGTCCTGACCATCGAATTGTCCTGCCGTCCACCAACCTTTCATGTCATCTAACTCTGGAAGAATTTAAAAAGGAATTATTTAATATTAATAGAAATCTGAAGAAAAACTATTTCATTAAATTGAACTTTTCAAGTGACCTGCTGATTAAATAACTAATGACCAAAGCACAAAAAAATGGGAGAGCATAGGTGGAAATTCAGTGAAATGATCCAGACCCAGGTTTATGTGTTATTTGCTCTTGGTTTAATGTCAGTGAGCTTAGACAAGCTTCACCTCAATACAGATTAGGTTAAAAAACATTCATTTTTGTTGTATTATTTTTATTATTGTAATATTTTTATCTGCTACATTTCATTAATAAGAATGACATATATATCTGTCACACATGGACCTAGATCTTTTCAGACTTAGAGTGATGTATAAATCTCTCACAGAATTTTTCCCTAATCTTTCTCTCACTTTGACAATACATGTACTTTTCCAATCTACATTTACAATGTAATTTCATTATGAGTCACTTGATTAAATGGTTGTTTTTAAATGTAATGTGAGTAATCTATGTTTACTTATTTTATTGTATTGTATTGTATTTTGTTTATCACCAATGAAAGTGAAAAATACCTCTTGGGTATATCCCGTATGTACATGGTCGTAATTTACGTAATAAAATTGACCATCACTTAAAATGTATATATTCTATTAAAATACTACAAAAGTAGAATGTGCATGTTATTTACTTTAGCAAAGAAAATACTGCTCCAAAATGTTTGATAAATTGATAAATAGTAGACTATTAAAGTCATACAACCCAGATATTATATTAATAATTCAGTTTTTTGTGAGGATCCCTAATATGATATCGATTTTTGAAATTTTGAAAATGTGCTTTTTAAATGGGGTTAAGATTTTATTGTAGAGTCTATCAAAAAGTGATATATTGATACCTATTTTTTAATAAAAAGAAAATAATTCTATCTACTGGACAGCTTTTAAGTGACATTCATTATATTCAATAATGGTTGATGATAATCTTAACAAATTTTATTCAAGTTAGGCACATGGTGGTGAAACTGATAGCTCACTTGGTTGTTGGATCTTTTTAATTTGATAAATCAAATTAAGTCTGCCAATTTTTTAGTTTTCCCTCAGAATCGGCAAATCACAAAACATTCGTACCAAAATAAGAAGTACAGTTTTGATTATCTTTCTGTTATGTTTTTAAGGCATTCAAAGAGATCCTCTATCTGCCACAATCAACCCAATAACATTCAGTAGCAGTTTTACCTTCAATAAGAATAAAAGACAAAATATAAATTTACCTGCTTTATTTCTGATGAGAAATGACAACAAATAGAACTCCCGGGTTGTTTCCATGGCAACTAAATTAGCTCCCATAGCTCCACAGTATTGTTTAGCTTCATTCCATGATGCGTTGAACAATCCAAATGCGTAGCAAGACTCCCAGTTAGCTACTGTTATATACCCATTTGGGCATTTCTCAGTATTAACTTCCATGGCAACCTCCTCCTTGTGGCCTTCATCTCCCATAATGTTCATTTTATCATCTAGTTTTTTGATGACTTCGGTCACTTTCATTTCGACTCCTCGAATCCGTCGCAGAGTTTTTATCTGTAGTCCATCAATCATTCTTGCGATTTTGATTTCCAAATCTTTCAAGCCTTCTTGGTGCAGAGTTTTGAGAAGTTTATCAGATGGTTGACCTGTTTTGGTAAAAATATCATATTTGCGGCAATCCTCACTCGGTGCAAGTGTTAACTCATAAGTACATTTGTTGTGTCTTACTGCACATTTCGCACTTGGAAATTTTGTCATATTTTTATTTGACAGAACGAGACATGACATATATAGTAGTGTGAAAATAATCAAAAATTTTATATCCATTTTACTCAAAAGGCTCCTAATGTCTTGAGTGCAAGTAAGTCTGATTTGTTTTCTGTGAAATGTAGTAAACACCTCAAAGGTCCATCCTCAAAAGTTAATTTGTGATATATATATTCAATTAAGGTTTTCCTTGTTTTCTTGTTTCATTTCTTAGTCATTTACTGATCACCTTTTCCTCCAATGCTTGTTTAACCCATAGCATTCAAGTTTTAGTTGATTAGCTGTTAATTGAAAGATTTTGGGGCCATATAAACCTCACTCGATGTACCAAAACCTCCAAGTAATATATCTACCAATGGTCCATTAAACCTAGCCAGTTTTAATTAGAAAATGTGATAGATATATTGCCCACCGATGACCAGGATTAGTTAGAATCAATTTGCAGGTTAAATGATGCTTTCAATTGCTGAGTTTTAATTTAAGAGGAAATATAAGCTATCTGCTTGGTAAAGATAACACTTCAGTGATATTGAGTAGGGGCATAAATAATTTCAAATCCGAGACTGGAATCACTATGGTTAACAATTTTTCATTATCGGTATTTCATGGTAAATTAGTTTTTCTCAAATATTGATTAGATTTTGCTTCGTTAACTATAATATTATCTTTGGGATTTTCAAACAGCTCAAAATGACATCCTAACCCACATTCAACCCTCGTGGCATAAAACATGGGAAAAGACTCATGGGGATTAATATCAGTTTTATCTTTTGATTAGTAAAAATTAAATCTGCTCTTCAACAGGATGTGTTAGTACACAGCTCAAAAAGTCGAGAGAATATAGTTAAGGATATAACCCTGGGAGACATTTTTCATCATGACATATTATTTAATGCTTACCTTGAGCTATGCCTTCACAAACATATTAAATCAATTTTATTGCATTGTTCTTTCAGGCGGGGGTCAACCGACTTGTATTTGAAGAAAATCAGCGCTATGCCTACATCAACATAAGCATCGTTGATAATCTGACCCCTGAAGATGATAAGTCCTTTCAAGTACAATTGGTGAACCCCACAGGAGGTGCAGATATAGGTTTGGGGTCAACAATTACTGTTACAATCAGCCACTCTGATAATGCCTATGGTGTTTTCATGTTTACTGGGGACTCCCTTAATGTGATGGCATCAGAAGTGGGAGATATGGACTATAGTTTGGTGAACCTCACAGTAAGTCAAATACCTTGAATATGTATTTGAAAAACCACATTGACATCTGACTATTGTACATTAATAATACAGTATAAAGTTTTGAAGCTGATGAGATTTAAACAATCACAAATGTGGCCTTCTTAGCCTTTTATGGTAGTTTGAATGTGACTGCTACTCATAGGCAGCAGGGAATTATATGGTAAAATATTGGATGAAGTTTAGTTTAAAACAAAGGGTATAATTTTTAGTATAGAAAACGAGGCAAATTTTGCATTTTCCTGTATTGGTCACTCATTTTGATGTTTAGAAAAGCTTTAGCCAGTTTTAGCCAGTTTCTCTCAAGAATATGATTAAGAAATAATTTGCAAAAATTTTGATTTTCCCCACTGCAAAATTACTACAAGCAATGGAGCTTTAAGATCATGTTTTCTCATAAAGCTTGAAAATTCTTTACTTATCGTTTACAGATCGTTAGATCAGATGGCATCATTGGTCCAGTGAATGTCACATGGGAGTTCCCAGAGGCTGCCAAGAATGACATCGTTGACATCACAGGGATCGTCTCATTCAAAGATCAGCAGAGGGAAGCTGAATTGAGCATTAAGATACGTGGTGACACCTTTCCAGAGCTAGATGAAGTATATACAGTTTCACTTGTAGACAGTTCAAAGGTTTGTAAATAATGTACAATTATAACTGTGATTTACTCGCAGTACGTCCCTAAAGGGGTCCAAGACCAAAAAGCTCTCAGTTTGACCTATCTTTAGACCTTATTTCTTTTAATCATGTTGTCACTTTTAATTCATAGTTTTATTTGTTTTACATTATGTTCAAGAATGTTTTCAGGTTTTTTACAGATTTTAGGGTTCAAGAACAATTCTAAACATGATTTTAAGAGGAGTTAATGATTATCCTACTCTGCCTACTTTGAATGCTTCATCCTTGAAATACTAATCTTAAATATCTCTAATATCAACTACATGTATATTTGGAAAAAATGCATTGCATTGTTTTATTTTATCTACATTGTCTCCCCTTTCTAAATGTGAATATTATCTTTTAGGGAAGCCTTGGAACTGAAGTGTCGGCCTTGATCACGATTGCTGCTAATGACGACCCATATGGAATGTTTGTCATAGCAACAGATCATCGACCAATCAGAGTGCTGGAAATTCCTTCAGGTGAGTATCATTTCTATGCCAATTTTTTTTCTGATGGAATTAATTATAATAGATTATAGAAAATGATTAGGAGTAGATTTTTCAAAAATGGTTTCTCTTTATGTCACCATGGAAATGTTGTTTTAATACTTCAATGATAATTTTTCAGATGTGAACCTGACTATAGAGAGACAACGGGGCATGTATGGAAGTGTAAGGGTTAACTATACCACATTAAGAGAAACTGAATATTACCCATATCTCCCAAGCAATATCGCCAGGGCAACAGATGGTGTTGACTTCCTGTCGACAAGTGGCAGTGTCACATTTACACCCGATGAATCCAAGATTGTGATCACAATACAAATCCTTGATGACAGCGATCCAGAAATTGATGAATCAGTTTTCATTATCTTAAACTCAGTTGAGTTGTTAACTGGAGCACAATCGAGAGATGTTATTAATTCTCCGCGTATTGGACCAGATTCTGATGCTTATGGTCAGGTAATCATTAACCAAAATGACGCAGCCAATGGGGTGCTGCAGCTGTCAGCGACACATGTGTCAGTTCATGAAAATAACACTGGGTCAGTTGTTGATGTTGTTAGAACACAAGGATCATTTGGTGAAGTAACAGTAAAGTTTGAAGTTATCACAACAAATGCAACGTATGGCTTTGATTACATTGTCTCGTCAACTGACGTTGTACTTTCTAATGAAGAGAGAACCAAAAGCGTTCCAATTGAGATAATCGACGACCGAATTCCTGAATTATCCGAGGTTTTCACAATTCACCTTCTGAATCAAATTACTGGAGGAGCATCATTAGGAATGATCCAAGAAACACAAGTAGTAATCTTACCCTCAGATGACCCTTATGGCGCTTTTGGATTTGAAAAAGAGCGAATTTCCGTTGAGGAGCCAGAGGATGGAGAAACGTCAACTGCTCAGTTTGCTGTTGTCAGGATAGGTGGCACTCTTGGGGTTGTTGCCGTAACTTGGAAGGCGTCTCTCGCGAATGGTGACGTTGCAAGAGATATCAGCCCCACTACAGGGACAGTGTACTTTGTGAGTAATGATGCGAGACAAAATATTGAAATCAACATTCTACCAGATGATGATGCTGAAGGCGTGGAGGTAAGAGAATGGACCTACAACATATTTTAATAAAATATTTGATTTTTTCCCAAATTATGTTACTCATATGGTTAAAATCAAAGCAGTAATATATCATACAAAAGGAGTAAAACTTGTTTTTGGAATATTAAATTCACTGTTACAATTGACACCTGTCTATAATATTTAATTTAATATGCAACTAATTGTTATGTTTTATATATATGTGTTCTTTATAAAGCCAAGCAACCATAAAACCCAATTAAATGATAAAAATAGATAATAGTCTATAAATACAGTTAGATATTAATAATTACTCAATAGAAGAAGAAATAAAGCTACAACAAAGTAACTAGAACTCTAAATTAACTAATTATTTTTACAGGAAATTGTAATTACTCTGTTGACTTCTACAAGTGGACGAGTCAATTATGGACAGCATCAAATCACGCTTGAAATACAACCCAATGACAACCCACATGGCACTGTACAGTTCACTGCTGCAAGTTTTCAACTTGAAGAAACTAAGACTGACTCTGAGCAGTTCATTAGTCTCAATAGAAGGTTTGTGGATAGCTTTTAATTCCCTTTATAATACAAAACTTTTTACAATTTTTCAAAAAAATTAACGCCATATAGCCATCACTAGGAATTTTAAAATTTTTCCTCTATCGGAATTATTAGAAAATTTATAGTACAAGTTTTGTATATTAACTTATTTAAAGTTAATAAAAACAGATGAAAAAAGCCAATAGACCAATCAGAGGACAGTATTTTACCAAAGTGTAATATATTTGTATATTAATAGACCAATCAGAGTACAGTATTTCAATGAGGTGTGTAATATATTTGTTGATTATGTTTCACAGTGGAGGTGACTATGGAGAACTTCGTGTTTACTACAGCACTGAGGAATTAGACCTGTTAACTGAGGCAATGAAGGGAGGAAAACAAGCAACTAGTTACTTTGGGGCAACTAAAGAGGGAGCTAGGCCCAAAGACATACAGGGCAGCCCTGTTAATGTTGTTGGACTTCCAAATCCTTTGAATGTAAGATATATTGTTTTAGTACAAACATTATTTAGAAAATACATGTGCAAGTGAATCGTTTTTATTAAATAATGAATTGATTACCAGTTTAGAAAGATCACACTTTATGTTTGATATCTCTTTTATTTCAGTCTTGTGGCAGTGTCTGTCTGGCAGCTGTCGCTTGTCTGTCATTCCAGTATAATATAAGCAATCAGGGCTGTACTTGGTTTACAACTGCAGATGACTCCAGCCTTCTTCCTGATCCTTCCACCAATTACTATGTGAAGTCTCTTGAAATGGTTAGTTAGAGTGATTGCAATGTATTGATAAAGGGGGATTACTGAAATAGATGGCAGCATTGACCACAGATAATTTTGAATTTTGATATGACATACTTGTATAAGTATTTCTGAAGGAACGTCGAAAATATATTACAGCATCCGTTCTGTGAACAGCCAGATATTGAATTTCCCGGATTGTTTAAAATGATCAGTGTCATTACTCTTAAAATTCATTTGAATATGCACAAAAATTATTTGCCATGAATGACCAATAAACTTAATTAAAATCTGAGACATTCTACCCCATTTTGTAAAACCTATTTGACATAAAATCTTTCACTTATAGACTAGAACACTGTATGCTAAACAGGCCTATGCAGGGAGCGATTACCTTCAAGTGACAAGTTCCTATATCACAATAGCAGATGGCCAAAGACAGGGTACCATTCCTCTCACCATCAAGGCAGACAGCATACCTGAACTTGATGAATTATTCTTTGTTAAGTAAGGACTATAGCTAATAAATTATCAACCATTTTATTAATCATTTATATCTTTAAATATTATGTGGTGCTTCAAATGTGCAATGAAAGTATTATATTACTTATAGGTTAACAAGAGTGATACTGATGAATATAGATGTCACTAATACCAATGACAACCCAACAGTTGGGGCTCAGAGCTCAGCAACAGTTGTGATCGCTGCTAATGATGACGCTAATGGTGTGTTTAGCATCAGGAGTATGGATCCATTTGCAGAAGATGATGGCCATGTTGTCCCTGTTGAAGAGAGGGATCGCCTCTCAGTGGAATTGATTGTAGAACGAGAGGGTATGTTCTATTTGATTAATATCAGAGGTGTTTCTGGTGCAAGTCAGATTCAGATTTTGTGGGTTGGACCAGTCAGAGGTCAACTGATCTATCTCTATTATTCTCATAAGTAGTTCACATTGATTATATTAACACATTTGATAACTTGTATACGAGGGTTGTCCCAGAATTAATGCACTATATGCTCTAACTTTCTTTAATATTCCTCAATTCAGCTGAAATTTTGTGTATATAACAATTGAAGTTTTATCTATCATATCCTGAAGTTTCAGCATCAAACATTAATATTAAGTCTTAATATTGTTGCTATAGCAACATGGGGGTAGGGGTGGGCGGGGCAGGTACCAATTTTTCTAAATATTTAAAGATCCAAAGTGTTATTTTATTAATATTTCTTTCTTTTAAATGATCAAAATGTTTCGGAAATTGTTAAATTTATTCAGCATGATGTTAACCAAGTACAAATAATGACATTTAGCACTGTCATGTCATAATACCACAGTTCAATAGTCACAAATTCAAATACAGTCCCAGTCAAGAAATTGCAAAATGGCTGCAATTCTCACCTGATAACAGAAGGCCTTGCGTTTGGTGGCCTAATTTCATACTTAACTTGGACTCACAGCCACACAAAACTGATGCTACCATGAAGAAAGTATAAAATTTGAGTATATACCAGATAGAACTACACATACGAGATGGCAGAAGAGATTTAAAAGAGATGACTGGACCCTGGATGACAACTCCAAACATGGGAGGCAAAAACTCAAGTCACAGTGGAAGAAATTGCCAAGAGTGTTTTTCCTGACAGGCATCGAAAGTTCATAACATGCAAAGGGCAATATTTTGAGAAAACGTGAAATGGGACACTACATGCAATGTACATCCATTAAATCTAGGACATGCTCATAGTAATTTAGTATCTTAAAATGTATTTTTGAGCATACTTCTTATGGCTACACAAAATATTATTTGTTGATTAATTATTTCATATTTTCAATGTTTTATTCATTTTGACGTGACTGTACAGGGTGTTCCATATGTTTCAGGAATGATGGTGTATTTTAGTGGTTTTCTTTTCAATCGAGCTGAATTTTTTACAAAATGTGTCCAAATATGTTGTGAATAAGTTGGTAAAGTTTCATATCATGAAGCGCAATAGACTTAATGATATAGTTGCTATAGTAACCCAGGGGTAGGGTAGGTGGAGCAGGTGTAACAATCGGCAAAATATGTCATATTTGTAAAAATAGTCATTATTTGTATGAAGTGTTAGAAAGTATTAGGTTGTCATAGTTACATCAAAATTGTCAAAAATTAAAGCAAATATTAAGGAGGATTCTTTGAAATTAAAAAAATGTCATTATTGATGGTATCACAATTGACACCCATGGCATGACATGACATGAGTCACAAAGGAGAATGATCACTGGTCATTTTGGCTGAGCGTGCAGCCACATCAGAAGTTTTGGATTATCTGTCTCAGATTCCCTTGATTTGAATCCCTTATACCACTCATACACTCTTGGGGTTGTTGTCATTAAGTCCCCATATATACTCCCAAGGTATTTAATTTTAACTGCTGCAGAAAACTTGTTTTCCACAGTCTTGGACTGTTGTGTGTTACCTTAGTTGAAATTCATGTTTTACTGATGACATTTTCACTTTTCAAGATGGCCACTCAGTCAAAATGACCTGTGATTATTCTCCTTTGGTACCCATGACAGGTTTTTCAATTGTGATATATCATCAATGATGACAATTTTTTTTAATTTCCAGGAATTCACTTTCATTTTTGCTTAATTTCTGACTTTGATGCAACTATGACAACCTAATACTTACCCACACTTCATACAAAAAACGACTATTTTTACAAATATGACATATATTTTGCAGATTGTTACACCTGCTCCACCTACCCTACCCCTGGGTTACTATAGCAACCATATTATTAGGTCTACTGACCTTCATGATATAAAACTTTCTCAATTCATTCACAACTATCATGGAGACATCTTGTTAAAAATTCAGCTAGATTGAAAAGAAAACAACTAAAATACAGCATCATTCCTGAAACATATGGAACACCCTGTATAACCTGCCCCACCCTACCCAAACTCACCAACTTGATTTTATTATAACATCAATATAGTTTTATCAGTCAACATGAAAATTTGTAGAATAATCAAAATGTCTCTAAGGAACATTTACTGAACATTTCATGAAAAAATATTAATTATTGATAAAGTTAGAGCATATAGTGCATTACTTCTTGGACAACCCTCGTACTATGAAAAACGTGAAATTTAAAGATGGCAGTTCCCTTAATCCATGGGCTTTCAAGTCCACGCATTCTTAATAAGCCCTCAGTTTTATAATTTAGTTCGTAGAAAATATAACATTGAATATTAGATATTTGATAATCATTATTTTATTTCCATGCAAATACATGTATCTTTTTAAGGAGGAAGCATTGGAAGTGTTTCAGTGACTTGGGGAGTAGTTGGAGGAACAGCTACTGCGGGGAGTGACTTCACAGCAGATGGCGCCACTCTCAACTTTCTCCCAGGAGAAACCACAAGATGTAAGTTGTCAGCTAAGTAATGTTTAAGTGTATTGTATTTTATTGTATTGTATTGTATTGTATAGTAATGTATTGTATGGTAATGTAATAAAGTAGTTTGTATCCTCTATTGTGTAATTATATGCTATTTCAACATGACATCATCATTAAATCTTTATTGGTAGTCTGCTAATTTTCATATTTTATATATTTCAGCATTAACATTAAGCATAAAAGATGACACCTTACCAGAAGATGATGAAACCATTATTGTTGAACTCTCCAATCCTGAAGGAGGTTCAATCCTTGCTCCCCAGAAAACAGTAACTGTTATTGTGACTGCAAATGACTATGTTGGAGGCCTCATTGGCTTCACCGAGAGCTCATATGTTGCAAAAGAGGGTAAGTTTGGAAATGATTTAAAACCTCTAATTAGTTCTGATCAAGTCTCTGGATTAATTTCCCCATATTTATATTTCTTGGTCCATTGTAAGTTTTAGAATGGATGCAGCACAAGGGCATTTTGCAGGCCTAAGTTATGATGTATTAATGATATTTTTGCATTGAAATACCATGCAATGATACACCGTGATGATAAAAAATAAATCAATGTTTGAGCATATGAATAAATGATATTGATGATGGCTAGTTCAAGTTAATGATTTTATTTCACTTGTTGAAAACAATATAAACAATTACATGTAAAAGCATACCAATCGCCATTTGGCATTACAGGTTGCTTTGATTAAATTGCTTTGATGATGGCTAGTGTGATGGTAATTTAATAAAACAAATATTTCATTCTATTATCGGTGAAACCTTTGGCACTTTGTGAGATGATATTCCACTAGCCCTTCACAGACTTCATGGAATATCACTTGTGAAAGATGTACAGTTATTCACCTCAAGTTGAATATTGATAACATAGATTTATTTTTTGTTTAGGTGATACATTGGAGGTGAATATAGCACGAAGTGAGCCAGGTCTGGGCAATGTGACAGTCGACTGGGTGATTGAGGCTCTTGGGACAAGTCTACCCTCCTTTCAGAGGTTCACTACATGGAATGGTACTTTGAAATTCCCACAGGTAATTATCTTATAAATTGGAAAAACAGACATTTCATACCCGGATAGTTTTTAACTCCCATATTAACTCAATCTACAATTGTGTATACTCGTCGAATTAGCCTTGCTCATGTGTTTATACATCCAAAACACATCATTATTGAGAGCAGATCAGACTGTGAAAAGTAAACCATATTGTGTTTGAATTTTCCAGGGTGATTTGGACAATAGTTTGACTCTTGAGATTCTAGTGGATGACATACCAAAGATCAACCAGGAGTACAACATAATACTACGTGAACCACAAACTGAAGGTATAGAAATACAGGTCACTCTTAGAAATGATAGGCAGAACATGTGCTTAATGCATAAAATTGATTATATTATTAGTTACCACATTTCACGTTAAAATAGCAAAAATGCAATATTATAAAGAAAGTGCAATAACACCATTGGAAAGGGAAAACATTATTATAAAATACCATTCAGTATATTTATTTCAGATTAGAATGAATACAAACATTTGTGATAACTAAAGTTTCAGCTGTATAAATAGCATGAATTCTATTGAGAGTTTTTTGTTTTATTTGTATTAAAGACATGGGTGGCAAATATATGATTACAATGAAAACATAACATACAGTATAATAGATGTATTTGTGAACAACCCTAGGGAGGCAAATTTTGCTCCACATGTGGTCTAATTCCGCACTGCTTTCAAATGTAAAGAACTGAGCATGATCACATTCTACAATCACACTGCGTTTATTGTTTCAAACAGGTGTGCGGGAAAGTGGGGGAGCAGCTGTCGACCCCCAGAGTTATGTGGCTAGTATTACTATAGAGGGAGGGAACAATCCACATGGGGTATTCAGCTTTGCCAGCAGCTCGAGGAAGCTCTACACTCAAGAGGGAGATCTAACATTGAAACTTATTGTGGACAGGAAATTTGGTTCTATAGGTATAGTAAAATCGCATTATAATATTGTACATGTGGGGGAGTAAATTGATTGTGAAATATTCAAATGGAACATGGAATAAACAATAAGTTTACGAATAAAATTTCCAAACAAATAGAAAGTATTCTGTACTGATGAGTTTTGAAACGCATTAGATTTAATAATATGTATACATTAATTAAATGAATTTAAAAGTACCCAGTTTAAAGACAAACTTAACAAGTATGATATTTTCTTATAGGTGCTGTGAATGTGTTCTACACAATCAGGAATGGCTCACTGCTGGAAGACACACCACCAGAGGGCCTTGCTGATGCTGGGCTAGATTTTACGGCAATCTCTACCTCCATTGAAATAGCTGATGGTGCTCACTCAGTTCAATTTGAGGTAATTGTTATTATAGTAGTAGCCTGAAGTATACAAAAGAAACAACAATATTAAAGAATTCCAAAATCTTGAAAAGTTTTTTTGTGTTGAAGCTTGTTATCAACGAGTAATTCGCATCTTTTCTTTTAATAGAATGATTGCTGATTTCGTGAGACTCACATTTCCTTGCTTATATGCTTTATAATTTGACTTGCAGGTGACTGTATTTGAAGATGACATCCCAGAAATTGATGAGGAGTTTATTGTTGAGCTAACCAAAGTAGAACTTGTTTCCCCTATTGGTAGCAGCTTCAAACCAACCATAGGTCAGTAAGATCTTTGCATTAATGAATTAATTAATTATTCTGCGAACTTTTGTTTTCATTTTAAAAAACATGGGAAATAAAGTCTGATTGATGGGTGAAATGGTCAGACTACTCGGAAAGTTAGTTTGCTTTTTCATCAAACAATGATTATTTTATTTCAGATGTCAATGGGGCAAAATCTCAGGTGACCATAGAAGCAAATGATGGAACAAAGGGAGTGGTCATCTTTAGATTACAAGATGCAAAGTAAGTTACCAACTAAAGATAGAACAAAGGAAGTGGTCAGATGTATTTTAACTACAAATAACCTGTTTGGTGAATTTTAAGAAATAAGTAAATAAACTAAAATATTTCCTCTTCAAAATACCTTTCAATAAAAATATTTTTGGAGTTGTAAAATTTAAAAAAAGTATCAGCTGTTATATAAAACTGAAGATAACATCTACTTTACAAATACAGAAATGATAGAAAAGCATACCAAGCATATATGATTATGTTGAAATTGAACTCCTGTTTTATTTTAGAATTGAGACCAATGAGACAGATCGGGACATCCCTCTGTTGATCAGGAGAACTCAGGGTACATTTGGCAATGTTTCTGTCTTTTGTTATGCCCAGAGTTTAGGAGATGGGGCCAGACCACAGCTTGATTACATCTTTGAGGCTCGTGTAAGTAAATATGAAAATGATTGTGTATCAATACAGAATATAGAAGGCATGTTACTCTAAAAAACCTGTGTGAAATGATATGTAGTTGTGATTGGAGTTCAAATTATTCACATTATAGTAATGCACTTGACTTACATTCAGTGTTATGTATTTGCATTTTGCAGGACATTGAGTTTGCTGCTGGTGAGAGTGAGAAAATTGTAACAGTGAGGATAGTTGATGACAATGAACCAGAACCTAATGAGATGTTTGAAATTATACTTGCAAGTCCAAGGGATGGTCTAGCATTAGGGGACCCCAGTAGAGGTTTGTACATACGTTCAATTAGTCAATAATGTAGAGATATTATTCACCATTAGATCTGTATGCAATATTATTTGGATAAGACAATTACTGTTTTTATATATATTTACCCTATCTTTTACAGTTTCAGGTATAGCTTTAGACTTCAGTATAAAACCTAGGTGGTATTGGTCACTTGCAAAATATCACTAAAATAAGTCACCATTCATATTTTACATCTAAATTATTTATCACCCAGGCACATTGAATTGGCTAAGTTGAATAGGTATGGTTTGCACACAACTCACAATTTTGTTGAAATATTATGCACTTCAATTTCGTGCAAAAATCAACATTGTGACATAATATATTATATAAAATGCACTCATCAATTTACTAAATATTGTAAAGAAATACTTAATTTAGGGTCCCTCAAAAAGATTTCACCTACTGTTTCTATAAGTTAAATATATCTCACCTTGACCCCAATCATTATTTGGGTATTTGTTCTATATTCACATGTTTCGTATTTTCTTTTACAGAATTCTTTGTCACATCTAACGCTGTTAGTTGTAATTTGCAGCATTTAATATAGTATTGCCAGTTAGATCTCGGTATACATGAAGTTTTAAAAAGACTTGGACCCATACAAAATATTGCATAGCACATAGTGGTAAATCACAAGTTTTGGGTTCACTCTTACAGGGGTTTCATTAGAATTTCTCTCAACAGGCTAAATAAATGAAAACAAAGGCAAAATTAATGGAAATCATTTTAACATGGTATAGCTGAGAAGTCCCTATAAACAACAGGTGATTTTGTGAAAACAACCGGTGAAAATCGCCTGTTGCCTGCTGCTAATGAAACCCCTGCTCTTAGCACTTGGGTTATAATGTGTTTTCAATATTTTTTAGCGGTAATAACGATCCTTGAGAGTGACGGAGCAGGAGGGAGTGTTGAGTTTGCCAATGAAGACAACATCACACTATCTGAACCATCTGATACATCAACAGCCAATAGCAAAGCAGAGATTCGACTAACTAGGGGCCCAGGGTCTTTTGGGATCATATATGTACCGTTTAGAGTAGAAACCTTGTTTGGTGATGGCAATGTCACAGATGTACAACCAAATAATGGATATATCACATTTCTCAATAAAGAGGTTTGTAAAAGAAGTAATTTTTAAGAGTCGTTTTAATAATCAGCTGCTGCATAATGCTCAAAGTTAGTTCATGCATGAAATCTGACAAACCAAAAAATGGGATCCCGGATTGTGTTTCTTTCAATACTCATATTACTCAGTGGCTCAAAGTTCAAATTTTCTTGAATTAATATCAAAAAAATTCATAGAAGCAGATTAACTGTACTATTTAACAGAGGCTCATTTTTTTATTTTTTTTATTTTACAAATAATCATTTTCATTGCTTTGTCTCCAGACATCTGCAACAGTGGAGATCAGTGCGACACCTGATGTGCTACCAGAACAGGCAGAGCATTTCAAAATAATTCTAATGCCCCCTGAGGGAGGGGTTGGAGCTGGATTAGGAGACACTATCACGAAGGTTATCACAGTGGCAGAGAATGACTCTCCTTATGGTGAAATGCAAATATACCCAGCAGGATCCAGGTATAAACATTTATTACACACCTTATAGATTATATCTGAAGATTTTATTCACTAATGATCAGTACACACTATAAAGGAAAGTCAGCTCTTTTCATTCACATATTAGATTAACATAGGCAAAAGAGAAATAATTGCTGTATTTGGAGAATGGCTGTTTGTTTATAGGGAGTCTTCCATAGATGTTGAAGAAGCTTATCAGACTCTTTACTTTGATGTTGTACGGGCATTTGGTACAGTAGGACGAGTCTTTGTTGATGTAGTGACCAAGGCAAGCTCTGCTACATATAGCACTGGAGGGAATGTGACAGTCTCTCTCATTCAACAGGTATTGCATTTAATTGAGGATATTAATTACTGCATTGAGGGATATATTACAGCATTTGGGGATATTACTGCATTTAGGGATATTACTGCATTTTGGGGCATTGCAACATTTGTTACATTGCTGCATTAAGGGGATATTGCTGCATTTGAGACATTGCAATATTTGGGTGATTACAGCATTTGGGTCATTACTGCATTTTGGGATATTACAGCATTTAGGGTTATAGCTGCATTTGGGGCATAACAGCTTTCAGGGATATAATTATACACTGTATGAATAACATTGTAATATTTGTGTATTCTTCTTTAGATTCCTACCAACTCTGTAAGCAAGTGGTATGCATTTGAGACTGGCTCTGCCCCAGATCGCTACCTCATACTGCTAAATGAACACAGAGAAGGTGCATTGACTACATCTATTGGAAGTGATGGCACAGATGGCAGTTATAATGCTGATGATGTCACACAGAGTGTCATCTATAGGTGGCAGGGAGTCTACGTTCCAATTCAGGTACACGTATTTCCAAAATGCCTTGTTGCCTTGGTGTCCACAGTATTGACACAACAAGGCTCTGCACTGCATTCTATGTTAGACATCATGAAAAACTGTGATTAATTGATTAAACCAGAACTTTGCACTCAGTTGAAAAATGTCTCACTTAGTGATTTTGTTTCCAGAAAAGTTTGTTATGATATTGATTCGAGGCTTAGAACTTCAGAACATGTCTTCATATAAAAGTAATGCAAAGCTATTTAGCTCATATGAACTTAATTTTGAAAATTAATTAATTTGTACTGTTTACTTCAGACAATTGAGACTGATGGAGCGAAGGCAGCAATCGCTTTTACAATAGATGGAGCTAATTACCTCGCTATTGGCAACCATGGTAGTATTGGGCGATATGAAGCACGAACTAGGATATATAGTATGAAGCAAGATGGCTCTTTGATAGTGGTATGTACTTAAACAATTATACACTGGTTGATAAAACTGAATTACCCTTTTTTCAAACATAATAAAGTTGACTCCCAAAATATCAATAATCTTTGTGAAAATAACACATCACCTTTGCATTCACTCCCATGTAAAATAATTCACCTTTGAGTTTAACTTATTGAAACACCATCCGAAATGTATTGTTATTTTTGTATGATTTTAAAAATAAAATTATGATCAAAGAGTAAGAGCATATGTCATAAGGAAAAGTTCAAAAGTTCAAAAATCCCAATTTGTGATCTTACACAGTGTCTAAGACAGGATGGTGTTCATTATCGACTTTAACCAGATAGTATGTTATTTAAGTCAAGTAATGTTCTCCTCATTCTTAGTCTTTATGGTATTCAATATAAAATAATTATCTTCCAGCATCAAGATTTAAAGACAAGTGGTGCGATGGATGTTAAATTCCTCGAGGTTGATAACCAGCGATACTTGATCATTGCAAACCATTTCCTAAACTCTGGAGAAACACGAACATCAACAGATGTTTACCTTTGGAACAATCTGATTGGTCAATTTAATATTGTTCCCGTTCAACAGCTGCAAACCCGAGGGGCATCTGCTCTCAAGATATTTGATATAGAGGGCACTGTTTTCATGGCTGTTGCCCAAAAGTATGATTCAGGGGGTGCCACTTATGAGATAAAGTAGGTTGATTTTGTAGAATAACGAAAACATATACCGCTTTACAGGGTGTTTGAGAAAAAAGGTTTATCACTTTGTATTTTTATTTCCTTACACCCTGTATGGTCTTTTAATCTCTAATTTTGTTCATCACTTATACAATGCAAAAGCTGTTAAATATAAGTTAATATTAAGATGTTTTAGTCAGTATGATTATCTTAAATTGCTAATTCATGGTTTATTTTTTTTAATGTTCACATATTGTATTGAGTAAGATATTCAATCCATCCCACAATTTATTGTAATATATTATCTATGCTTTGATTTGCTACAGCTCTGTCCTGTACAAGTTGTTCCCAGAGTCCAGTAACCAGTTTGCAGTATTCCAAAGTATTCCTACTCAGGGCGCAGTTGACCTTGAACACTTCACCATAGGTATGACAGTTAATCTGTATTGTATGTGTTATCATGAGAAAGTTAATTAAAAATGGAACTTTATACATGTTTTATACAACCTTAGATATTAATATGTGTAAATTTATAGATAGGTTTTCCCAGACATCATTTTCTGAAGTAAAATTACATTTTAGCTCAGTCTGGACTTTTTCACTGGATTTGCACCTGTTGTCAGCTACTTCTTAATAACATGTATTTTGGATGAATATACTCATCAGCAGACACTAGAACTTTGACCTAGTTAAACAAAACACTAGTTTACTTATAAATTCATTGTGAAATCTGCCACACTGTCCAAGTATGCTAACTAATGACTTGTATTCCAGGTGACCTACATTACCTGGCCATTGCCAACCACATCGACAACCTAGGGAGCATGAACCAAAATGTGGTCATATATCAATGGGATGCTGTCACTACTACGTTTGAGTCAATCCAGGAAATAGCCAATGTACAAGTCCAGAGTGTACATTCCTATGTGGCTTCAAATGGCTTGCGTAAATACATTGTATAAGTTCAATGATGTAATATATGTGTATCAGAAAGGGGACATAAAGTTAAGAAAAATGAGATATTGTTTCTATTTAGTTTACTTGTACTTATATAATATGAAAAGAATTATTTGAAAATGAATAGATGTACAGATTGTTCTGATTTCATTTGAATTTCTTACTTAGAAAATACTTTATATTATTTTTTGTAGGTCACTTGACGGTTGCAAATGCTAAAGGTCACTCCACTATCTATACCTGGAATTCTGAGACCAGACTATTCACTCCTATCTCCATGACAACAGCTTCCCGTGATTTATATCCCATAATTATATCAGGGAATGCTGGGAAACAAGAACTGATGGCAATAGCATCTACACAACCAAGTAACGTATCCAGTATCAACATGGTATATCTACTGGGAGAAAGTGATTTCATACCAAGGTAAATATAGTTAATTGAGGTGTTTCACTAGGTAATAGTAGACAATTGGTTTTAGATGGAAATGGGTTCTTCATCAATTCTAGCCACTTTTTAAAGTGAGAGAGTTGACACTGAATTCATTGATTTTCACTTAATGACTTGAATTCTAAATAAAACAATAATCAGGCATAGGTTTTCTTTAAATTTGTTCTGTATTTCTAGATCTATGAGTTTGACATTTGAGCCAGGCCAAACTGAGATGCGTGTTGCTGTAAATGTACTCGATGACACCATTCCCGAGGATGATGAAATCTTCTCTGTATCCCTAACTAATCCTAAAGATGGCGCCAACATTGGTGGAAACAGTGATGTCACTGTGAACATTCTTAGTAATGATGATGGACATGGAGTCATTGAATTTGCAGAGGTATGGAGTTCAATGGAAACATGTTTTTATTTAATATGGTTTTTATGTCACCACCACAAGTGGCGACATATTGTTAAAGTCTCAAACTTTTTTGTGGATGGTGTTTGGCAATTGATGTTCACCATCCGGCGTTTAGCAGTCAGCATCTGTATCAAATGGCAGGTAGTAACATTTTGCACGTTCATGCCTTAATGCTCATACATAAGAATCACACGGAGACATGACGGGTCGTGACATTCATGTTTTATTCATATTCTTTCCAACTTTTTTGAAAAAGTATTTTGCATATTTCAAGTTTGACAGAATAATAATTGCATACCATTCATAAGTCTAGGCTTATCAGTGCTGACTCTAATTGTCCAACCTCGAACCCTATGAACAGTAAAAACATGAAATACTGATTTATTTAAAATAAATGTAATTGTCTTTCACCAATGCTTGTTCATCATCCACTTGAATAACTACTGAAATTGAATTCTTTCAATCAGATATCAGAGATTATCAGATGCCCGAGGCTGAGACTGTATATACTTTTAAAAAGTGTTACCTCATAGCATGATCTGAGCTTCCATCATATTCCAGGATTCACTAGAGGTTACTGTAGAGGAGCTCTTGGGCCGAGACAACCCTGTCCAATTGAATGTCATACGCAGCAAGGGATCAGCTGGGCGTGTTGTTATCAAGTGGAGAGCCACAGGAACAAATGGGGATATGATTGATATACTCCCCTTAGAGGGACAGGTTTGTTATCATTTTTACAATTACTAGAATGGAATAAAATTGATGAAGGAAAAACTATTTCATGTTATTTTTTCAATCTTATAGGGATCATGTTATTTCTTGAATCTTGTAGGATTTTTCTTCATTGCATTATAGTCCAATTATCTAGTCAAGTCAAAATTGTCTGCCATTTTTCTGTCTAGAGCCTATAGAGATGTGCCCTTTTGAGTAGAACCTTTGACTACGATTGAAACATCACACATATTCTGTTTTACAAGTGTTATTTCTGACTCTAGGTTGAGTTTGCTGCCGGACAGAGTGTCTCAACTATTACTATATCTGTGAAGGATGATGTGCTACCAGAGCTTCAAGAAGCTTGGACAATAACACTTGATGAAGTCATAGAATCTGGGAGTAGCCAAGAGAGTAGAGGTGCCAGGATAGGTGAGATACTGATACTGTAAAACATCTTTAATTCACTCATGCAGTTGAATGTCACAAACCAATATTACTTATGGTTTTAAAGATATGGCCTGTGTATATGAAGCAGTAAGGCTGAAATAGATATATAGAATGATAAATAAAAGATTAAGCACCTCTTGGGTAAGGGAGGAATGGTTGAGCATCTGGTCCATTCAGCCTGCACATGCTGGCTTCACAGAATATGCATTATCAACTCCAAGTCAGTACTCTAGATTTTCATGGATTTTGAATTTTCTTAAATATTTTGCTTAGTGACGGTTACACTATTCATGAACGTTTGTACAAGTACTAATTGATTCATGATGTTTTAATCATTTTTGTTAAGAAATAAAAAACTTCAAAACTTAGTTGTCAGTTGTCACATGTACAATGTAAAATCTGAGTCACTGGCTTTCTTTGACCAAATGAATAATTGAACCTTTGTAACCTCAGGTACCAACTCTGTGGCTTTGCTGTCAGTGTTGGCCAATGACTCTCCTCATGGAGTAGTGTCCTGGGAGCTCCCAACTGTTTCCACCATAGAACCTGCCACCACCAGCACAGTAACCGCCTACATCCTCCGTCAACAAGGCACCAAGGGAACAATACAAGTGTTTTACATGTAAGTTATATTCAATGGGTGAAGAGGGTCAGCTCCTAGTCATGTTAGGGGTGATCATTGTCATATTAGTCTTTGGACCAACATGGGACTTGATTCAATTTCAGATATTTCTGAAAAATCATAAACCATGTATTGTTGGATTAATCATCAGAGCAAGCCACAAGTTAAAGTGTTTTTACATTGAGAAGATGCAAAGAAAGAAAATCAATGCCATTTCTTATTGCTATTCCATTCCATATTATAGAAATCACAGTTGCTGGTCCAAGTTTTAGTATGAAAATGGGGGTTTAGATGACTAGAGGTTCACCTGGTGTTGGTTTGACTTCATACTTACAACAATACAATATCTTAGAGAAAATAATGCAAATTATACCATGTCGTTTCCAGCACTGGTCAAGATTACAGTATTCCTACTAAGGAACAGGCTGTCTCTGGAATAGACTACATCACACGTCAAGGTGTGGTTACCATGACACCCAATGTGACTAGAGTTGCAGTGGAGTTTACAATACTTGCTGTAAGTATTCTGAATGACAAATTCAATAAAAAAAATCTGAACATTTTCAGCTTGAAGAGAGAGTGACATTTTTCATTAAAAGGTACTATTAGAATGTTACAGTGTTTATAAAACTCCTGATTAAAACTGCACCATTAAAACATCTATGGATGTTTATTGAGAACATCGGTATCATCATCACCATGACTCTGTATAGTGGTACTTTAAAGGGAAGAATGACCATTCTATCTCAAATATGACAGAAGAAGCTAAGTGGTTCTTGAGGTGTCCTAATTGCAATGAAGCTAACAAAAAGGTTTAAAGATAATCAAAGTTTATTAGATGTTTTTTATATTATTTTCTATTGATATTCATGTCCAGGATGACATCCCAGAGGTTGCAGAGATATTCCTGGTTAACATAACAAAGGTGGAGCTAGTAGGCGGAGGTGTTTCCCAGGATGCAATGCCATCTGTTCAACGTGACATCATGCAGATTGTGATCGGGGAAAATGATAATGCTAGAGGAATCATAAGCTTTGATGTTACAAAGGTCAGCAATTTATTCAAAAGTTTTTGGTGTTTAATTTAAAATTACATAGAATTAGTTCATAAAATCCTTCATGACATGTAAGCCTGGTAAAAGCATTTTATTACGAGTCACCACAAGTGTTGACATACGAGTTGTTATAGTGTCCAACTTTTTTGTGGATGGTGTTTGGCGGGGACCACTCGGCATTTGGTGTCTGCGAGTGGTAAAATTTTGCATGTTAATGCCTTGTTTACTGAAATAGTGTAATTAGTAGATACATTGTTCATTTTATTGTTGAGTTGAATGTTTATCAGGAGAGGCTTGAAAAGGAAAAGAAACACTGGTAGGTGTTCATCTTCATAAGAAGATTGGATGTAAACCAATGCGACCAAAAGTGAAACTGTAAATTAAATATACTCGCTACCAAAGTGTTCAGTTTAGAGAGTGTTCACATTTTAATACTTCTTTTGGATTTCCAGGGCAATGAGGGCAGAGTAGATGCTTATGAGGGTCAGTTAGTTGATTTGAAACTTTCCCGTACAGATGGTTTCTTTGGAGCAGTGTCAGCTATTTGGCAAGCAATGCCCATAAGTCCTACCACAACAGATGATTTCTCTCCAGCTGGTGGGGTAGTGGAGTTTATAGAAGGACAAGAGGAGGCTTACATTAATATAAACATAGTAGATGATACCATTGCGGAAACACTGGAGGTATAGTAGAAGTCACATAGTTACCCACAACCCTACAATGTACACAGTTATGTCTTTTTGATAGGAGCTTATATTTGTGCATAACTGATCTTAGAAGTTTTTTGCAATATTTCATATCAATGATCTTATAATTCATTTCTATATATTAAGACTTTACACACGTCATGTTCCAGTTATTTGACGTTCAGCTTCTACGGGTGACAGGAAGTGCAGCTCTTGGTGCAGAATCTTCCCGCACTGTGAGAGTTGGAATAAGGAAGAATGACTCACCAAATGGACTCTTTGGATTCCAGAGCACAGAGGTACATGCATGTTCTTGCACTCGTTGTTACTGTAGACTTTCTAAGGGTTAATGGGCATGGTTCAGCATACTATCCCCAGTCCATCCAGGACACATGTTTTTCATGGTGATACAGTGTCTGTTATGATAAATGTGCTTCTGGGTTCAATTCTTTTGCCTGATGAAAATTACCAAAACTTTAGCTACTTGTTTTAAATGTCATGTATGCTTGTAAATTCATACCAAGGGAGAAAGATCAATTTCAATTTTTTTATGTCACCACCAGAAATGGTGACATATTGTTAGTTTCCAATGGATGTTGTTCGGTGGTTGGCATTTAGTTTAGCAGTTGGCATCTGTAACAAATGACTGGTTGACATTTTGCATGTTTTTGCCTTGTGACCAATTTTATTTATGTATTGTTTAGATTGATGTTAAGAGAGTGCATCCTAATGGTTTTGATGAACAGGAAGATGAGGTTCTTTTTTAGAATTTTGTTTTATTTTCTGAATTAGTAGACATTATACGTTCATTGTGATATTTTGGATATTATACAACAGGAATTGTAAAGATGAAGTATTGTAGTCTTCCATTATGTTAGTTCTTGCATGTAGCTTTATATCTATGTTGGATACGGTGGTCCTATAGGTAGTGGTCCTACAGGTGGTCCTACAGGGGGCACTTCTCCAGTTACACACTCATACGGCATACCTGTGTCAGGATCTATATATATAGGATCATCTGGACACTTACACTGTATCAAACCATTAGAGTTGACAAGGAAACAGGGTGGAGCAGCACCATTTACTGTTCCCTTGCAGCTGAGGGAACTTGGGCATTCAGTTTCCTGTGGAGGGTTATACCATTGTGGGGGAGGATTTATCTGTACACAACTACTGCCATCTGTCATGAATTTATCTGGACAAGCGCATGTCTGAAACGTGGAAAAAACAAACATACACCATTTGGGCATAGTCTTCTCAGAAAGGATGTCTGATATTAGTGTGTATTGTGCATTTTGTTTTTGTTAAGCATATAGCTGCATGCATGTCCAGCTGCGTGTGAACTATGAATTAATAACTTGCCTGAAAATCATATTGTATTAAACATGGTGCCGGGTCCATCCCAATTTTACCCATACATTTTTGTGGACATCTTTCCTCTGAAACATGTTAATACACTGTACAGGGGCACAGGAAATAAAGATAATGATGTCATAACTTTTTTATTATTTGTTCATGGATTGCATTGAAAGTTTCAGAGATTATAGTTTTAACATATTTGAACTAATTGTTGAAGTTTCAGCTTAAGGTGATTTGATTGGTTGATTCTGTGGTTGTCATAGCAACGTGAGTAGCGCTAAGGCGGGGCTGGTGGAATAACTGCAGTATATTTGCATGTTTTAAATGTTTTAAACAGAGATTCTATCATGTTTATGACTTAAAATGGATGCTTAAACATAGTTATAACTATAAGCCTGAAATTCTTTGCCACTTTATCAATTTATTCTATATAATTTTCTCCATTTTAGACACAAACTCTTTGCCTCTTGAACCTTCCTAAAATACTTCACAGAGTTCTTCTTGACTCATTTCCTTAAGTCTGTTTAACACATGTCAACGTATGGCATGAGTATTCTCAAATGCATGTCCTCTTAAGTCCCGTTTTGATTCAGCAAAGAAGTTTAAATCATTTGGTGCTAGGTTGGGTGAATAAGGTGGATGCTTGAGTTGCTCTCATCTCAGCTGTTCAATTTCTTCAGTGATTATAACATCAGTATGGGAGGGGGAATTGTCCAAGTGGAAGAGAAATTGCATCTCGGTCGCTTTCTATGTCATGCCTGCATTAAGTCATGAAAATCCCATTGAATATCATTAAAAAAGCATTTATTTGACTTTTATATCATGAAACAAAACAATAGAAGAATTTTATCATGGAGATGCATCAAGAAAGCTTTAAATATTGAGTCAAATTGGTTTGCCATGCTAAATGTAACACAGAAACTACTGCAGTTATTCTATGTGGCCCGCCTTAGCGCTACTCGCGTTGCTATGCCAACCACAGAAATGACAAATCAAATCGCTTGAAGCTGAAACTCCAAAAGTAACTTTAAATATGTTTAAACTATAATCCCTGAAAATTTTATTGAAATCCATGAATGAATAAAGAAGTTATGACATTATTTATTTTATTTTTTTTATTTTTTTTTATTCCTTTTTTTTTATTCATAGAAAACATTTGAAAGCAGTTACATTAACATATACAATATTCATAATATCATAGAAATCACACAATTTTCCATCATATTCTTTTTTTTAAGACATCTAACCACACTAGTCTAATCTAATCTAGAACCCATAATTTCCCACCTTTTTCCTCTGCCTATTTGCTTATCAATATCACATCCTTTAAAGGTAGGTCTTAACATTGAATACTTGCATAGGTACACATATCTTTTAAATATACTCCACATATTTGTCAGGATAATTGTTCTGTCATTTATACATACTGGTCCTATTAAAATATTCTGTTTTGTACAAAGTCCTGTCAATTCCTCTGGTAACCAGTTTTTAATGACTACTATCAGTTCCATTATCACTTTACAGTCATAGAGGAGATGCCAAATTGACTCTGGTTCTACTTTACAAAAGGTACAAAAAGTTATGACATTATTATCTTTATTTCCTGAACACCCTGTATATGAGTGGGTGACAGGAAGTACAACTCTGGGTGCAGAAACCCATATACAAGAACAAGCGGTGTGGATATCATATGCATATGCACAAGGTGTAGATATAAATGGTCATGTTTGAATTTGATTTCATGATATTTCACCAGCTAAGCCATACTCAGTTATATTCATACATGTGTACAGGTTCTCTAATAAGAATCCTTTGGAGAACACTGAGAATATTTACTGCAATCAAGCTTACCTGTCTTAATCTCACAATATGTGCCAGTGTAATGGGGTCTACAGTTACAGTAATTTCCATCCATCCATATTACACATCTTCCATTGATTCCACAGACAGGAAACATACAGAAGTCATAGGTTCCTAGAAGTTGAGTAAGGTTTGAACATAATAATATTCCAAAAGTCTGTAAGTTGCAAAGTTGATTAATTAGTGCTTTCATGAGCAGGGAGCATTTTTTACTTTCTAAAGTCTCAATTTTTTTTCTTTCTAAAGTCAATGGAAAAAAGGTTTTGTACAGATGACTTATTTTTCATAAAATTTTGAAATGATATTTGCCCTTTGACCTTAAATGACCTTTATAGAGAATCAATATACAGTAGTTTTGCCTTTCTTGAAGTGTAAGTACTTGATATGTAGTATATGAACTATTGAAGTGACCAAGTTGAATAAATTATAAGATATTATGAGAAAATGGCCAAACAGGCCTCTGTCTATTATATCCGTATCTCCATTCATCTGTCTGTTTGTCTGGGCGATAACTCAAATACAGTTGGCCCGATTTTGTTCATATTTTGTACACATATACCCTATTGGGGTTGAAGTTCTGCTCACAAGCTGATTAAAAATGGCAGGCATTTGAGTGCCGATTTTACAGTAACCTAGATACAAAATGTATAAAACAATTTGGCTAGTGAGCGACCATTATGAAAATGGTGGGCATTTTATGTGTGTTATTTTACTAAATTTCCTATAACTGAAAAAGAAGTAGAAGGAATTTGTGAAAATGGCAACCATGGATGTTCGATGGGATTTCCTATGCTTTGGCGTTGCTGTCGTCATCTAGTTCTCCTTGTATGTCTTTGTATCACATTTGAGTATATGAATGTAAAAAATAACATATAAATCACTTTCATTATTTTTCATTACAGCCCACAATAAATGATCAAAAATATTTTTAATCTGTCATTTTTGGCTCACACAGTGAGCCTATGGGATCAACCAGGCGTCCGTCCGTCTGTTGGTCGGTCCGTCCATCCGTCCATCCGTCAAAATTGTCCGCATAGATTAAAACTGCTATTCGGATTGAGTCATATCCACATTCATTTTATGCATATCCATAATGCCTATTTGACCTATCATCGCCATTTCCCCAAGTTTGCCTGGTTTCCGAGAAATTGCTGATTTTGACGTCAAAAAGTCAAATTTTCTGTAAATACTAGACACTTTGTTGAAGTAGAACTTTCAAATAACTTGTAGTAGTTGCCGTATATGCAACTTATTGGTGTTTACTCTATAAAATTTGACAAAAATAGGACTTTGTCATGTATAAAGTCAATCATCATTGGCTGCACAAAACACTGTGTGAGCACAGGACCGTGGGTCCTTTATTTCTTTCGCAATTTGAAATGAAAAATGTTCATTCTGGGTCTATTTGTCGATACACCATTTATTCATTCAAAACTAATTTAACAACTCTTCTGAACTTCTCAATGCTGTTTTCCAAGTGGGTAACTCTGCTCATGTTGCTGATATCAGGAAAAATATAAACTGATTCGTCAGAACTATTTCTTGCATGTTTTCATTTTACACCCAAAGAGGTTTTTTCCTCAAATAACAGCTTTCTAAAGGTCTGTTAAATTATTATTATGTAAAGAACACTTACTTTCGACCAATGTATTTTTACTGGTCTCATATGCCTTCACACTTTGGTTTACATTGTTCGTTTCCTCTCTCAATTTCATGATCATGGAAAGCATTCTGTTTGAGCTCCTTCTTAGCTGATGAAGCCTAGCTTCATTATCCACAAAGGCTTCAACAATAAGAGGAGGCCTACTTTCCCCAAAATCCCCAGTTGCAGTTCTCATACGTCTGTAGTATTTCTGAAATTAAAACATTTAATGCATTCTATAGATAAAAGAATGAATATCCTTAGAAAGCGTGTTCTGTTATATTTGATCAAGTGAAATGTGTGTAAAGAATGGGTATCGATATGGCGAACTTTTTGAACACACGTTTCTCTTAAACCAGTCATCAAAAATTTCTGAAGATCTTACAAAATGTCAATTTAATGGCCATCTTTTGAATGGTAACAATATAATTTGAAATAGATATACATACTTTCATCTATATTGTTTTAAAAAACACATCAAACACTTGTTTTGTTCTTGGTATCATGTTTCCAGAGTGAAATGAAACATCTTTCCGAACCTCATTGGAACAAAATGACATAAACACAATATGTTTAAGTCTCCCAATATTGTAATTGTACAAAGGAAATTTTGGTTGATTTTAAAAAAGTATCTTGTTAATTTTCTTGATTTTTATCTATTTTGGGGGATTTTGTTTTAATTTTTTGAATAGTTTTTTAAAATCAACCAAAAATTCCTTTGTAAAACTTTAATATTGAGAGGTCTAAAACATGTTGTATATGCTATTTTGTTCCAACAAGGTTTGGAAAGACATTTTATTTCATTTTCAAGAATTGGTAGAAAGGAGCAAGAACAATTGCACTAAAAAAAACAAAAAATGTTAACAAAAAATGTTATATAAAATATTTCTAAATAATTTTCGCATTTAATTGTTGTCAATCAGTCAACATTACATAAAATACCATGTTTTTTTACAGAATATTTTCAATGATTCGTTTAAGAGAAAAACATTGTTGGATTCAGTTCTCCATATCGATACCTGTATATCTTTAGATCTTCAGATATTTTTCCTTTGTACATTAGATTATGGTTTTTAGGATATTGAAAGTCTGTTTTGTCTTTTTGTTTTTCACATGCGGCACCTGTTATAACATTCTGTATACTGTATTTATCTTTTGACTGCAATTACTTTTGATACTTGAACAGTTATGACCTCAAAAATTTTAAAAATTGTCTCTTTTACCCTGGCATGCTTTACTGTCCTTTTTACTATTTCTTTATCCAATGCTATCAAGATATCATCAATAGCTTCAAGGAAGTTGTTGGTTCTGACTTGAAGGGCCGAAATTGAGTCTATGGTAACGCCAAGTTCACTTGATTTCAGACCTTGTAGTATATATTCCTGTTTCCAAGCCACTTCTTCAGGTGTTAAGGCATGTGTTTCACCAAGGATACACAGTAGAAAAAACAACAAACATACCCTAGCAATTCCAGCGAAATCTGAAAAAGATTGAATTTGTTTTTTTTTATCAACGCCAACACCAAGAGATAGTGACAATGACACTAGCTCTTGTGGTGTTGACAAAAACCATATATGTATTACTTTTCTACTATGTTATAATATAATTCAAATTATAGACAAAATAATTTTGAATATTCAATAAATACGCATGATCAACAGTTTCCTTCTAGAATGAATCAAACTTTTGTGGATATATCAGTTGACTGGTCAGTCGAACATACTCAATTAATACTAATCATAATTGGAATCTTACCATGTGTTTCAGATAACATATCACCAATCCGTCAAATGTTATTCATGATTTGAAGTTCACAGTAATTAGAAAATGATTACAAGAAAACAGCTTTGAAAACAGTTAACATTTGAATTTACCAAATGCTAATGATAATTTAATTAGAATTTTGGAGACAATTGTTCACTTTTTAAGTTTCTCATTTAATTTCTTTGAATCTGACTAGAAACTGTAGCATCCATGCGCATCCAAAGGATTTCAAACTGATTGTTCAAAATAGAAGATTGGACCATTCGCAATATTATTTGGCTTATCTACTGAACACACTGTCCAGATCAAAACTCAAAAATTCATTGACATTGCATTTTCCTTTAAATCTGAGAACAATTGAATTTTCAGAATGGATAAATTGGCCTTTGTGTCATCACTTTCATAATAAAGGCAGTATGTCGACTGTCAAATATGACTGAAGGAAAGATTATTTGTTTTCCAATAGTGTGTTTAACCACATACATCAATTTTTTTTTCAGTTGAGTGTTCGTGAATCTGACTCGCCCAATGACCCACAAGGAAGAGTGACTGTGGTGGTTGAAAGAACCATGGGGACAGAGGGGGTTGTCAACATACAGTGGCAACTCTCCCCTGATGCTGCCTATGACTTTGAGGAGCCTCTATCAGGGAGGATAACATTTGGTGTAGTAAGTACAGGGTTTGCTCTGTATGACTTTGGTGGTAATTTGCTTTAATTTTGTGATTCACAAAAACCAGTGAGATTAGATAATGGGCCAAATTTTTCATGTTAAATAATGCTATACTTTTTCAAACTTATATCCTATACCCTTTCTGACAGTTTCGTCATTTTGCCATTTTTGATTTTTGTTCTCAGAAAGTTGTTAGTGGTACGAAAACTATAATAACTATAGATATATGTTGTTTCTTTCATAGGGAGACTACATAAAGACAATCACTCTCCAAACGTCCCCAGACAACATCCTAGAAGGACTGGAACAATTTACTATCTCTCTACTCTCTGCAGACAACAACGCTGATATTTCACCAACACATGCGGGAGCCACCATTAGTATACTTCCTAACGAGGGCTCCAGTGGTTTAATTGCCATATTAGATGATTCACAACAGGTGACTTTTTATTGATGGAGTTTTTTGTCACATTCATATTTGTTTTTGTTCAAAAGTTAAAAATATTAATTTCATCAATTTTGTATCCGACATGACCATTATTTACATGTAAGCCCATTTAATTTAACTTACATTGTTTGAGCTGTATTGTGTAGTATAGTGTGACTGTGTAGTTGTCTAGTATGATATGCTCTGGGATATTGCATGGATATTTTTGGAAACATATAACACAATTGCATATACGAGTTAAGCTAGCCGTACACCAATGGGACATTGTCCAATTTGTCCCAACTTGTCCGCTCTTGTCCCCCAGACATTATGGGACATCATGGAACAATGTCCTATGTTGTCTCATTTTGTCCAATGATGTCTGGAATATAGCAATGTAATCACGTAATCATTCAACAGGTGATAATTGGAGAGCCTACAGACAGCTATGATGGGGAAGTCCAAATACGGTTAACCCGTGGAGAGGGTATCTATGGTGATGTGAGAGTGACATGGCAAATTGCACCATGGGATGCAAACTTTATACAGAATCAAGGAGATGTTCGCTTCACAGATCTACAACAATTTGCAACTATTGTCATTAAGGTATTGTAGTGTGCACAACCCTAATTATCCTCACTATTGACCTTTCTCTCCAAACTTGATCTGTCACATTTAGACTAAAAATAGTGCATCATCAAAAATTCTGATTTTATGTCACGCGAAAATTCTAATTTTCTCCTGTTGACTCCATAAGCCTACCATTCTCTCAACATTTTTTTAAACAAATTATTATTTACGTTTAAATTTTTATTTAAAGATGGCAGTCTGATCCAATATTTTGAATTTGATCAATTTTAGGCCATGATGGACATAAAATGGATTGAGTTGTAGTAAATTGAATTGTGATGAGGAAGTACGAAAGGCAACATTTGGAAAAGCGTTCAAGACCCTTTAAATTCGTCAAATCCAATGCAGTTACATTTTTAACCATTACTCAAATAGGAGTAGTATTAAGTAAAAAATATTTACAAAGTTGGATATTTATTAACCTCTCAAATAGTTACATTATTCGAATTTTTTCAGAGTAAAGGAGATGCAACACCTGAGCTGAGATCTCAATACACTCTCACCATAACATCAGCAGACAACAATGCCATTATAGATGGCGTCAAAAACCAAGCAGCCATCTTGTTTGCTGCTAGTGACTACCCACATGGTCTCTTTGAGTTTGCTCAGCCACCAGAGATAGTAGTAAATGAGGACACTGGGCAGGTACAGTATATACACAGTAAAAAATAGAGAAAATCATAGTTGAGTTTGTGTAGCATTTGTACATTTTTATCACTTTTCAAAAATGAGCAAAATTGTAAGGACAGCAAGAAAATGACCCATATGTTTAATTTGGAATTTTTGATAGAATATCTTACCAGGTTTTGGAAATGCTTGGTACACATACATGTACAGTGGCCATATTGCTTTTAAAGTGCAGTGTTTATATATTGAATCAAATTTTATATACTGTGTGTCTTGTTACTTACATGTATCATAGAAATGAAGACAGAGATGATCATTTTACTAGAATATCTACATTCATAATGGTTTTAAACATTATCCATTCAAAGATAGCTTTTTCTGTGGAATGAAGACTATAAGTTATTGAATGATTTGAAGTGCAATACAGGATATATTCTGGTCGAGAAATTCCGTATTGGAACGAGACGAAGTCGAGTGCCAATACAGAATATCGAGACAGAACATATCCTGTGTTGCACTTAAACTCATTCAATAACGTTTTTATCGTATGATCCTCTGTATTGCTACTGAGATCGTCCCCTCCGTACCAATATTTTCTGTATTGCGTCGGATATGATCAACGGGAACAATCTCAGTAGCAATACAGATTGGTACAGCACAAGAACTGACCAATCAGAGGGCTTCATTTTACAGATCATACGATAAACATGAATATTGGTTGGTCATATGAGAAATGATTATAAAGCCCTCCTAAATGGTCTGATAAAACAGAGCAAAAATCATTTTATATATCGTATATATGTACACTGTACTCCAAATATTCCAATTGATACTCCTGCAGGTGTCCGTAACAGTGGAGCGTGGTGCAGGTCTAGTAGGGCAGGTGAGGGTGGCCTTCTCTACAGTAGATGGCGAGGCAGAGGCAGGACAAGATTTTGATGGCAGCTCGGGTTCTATTACATTTGATCAAGGCCAGCAAAGACAGAGTATCATCATAAGCATACTGGATGATGATAAGCCAGAGGGTCCTGAGCACTTTTATGTTAACTTGACCAGTGCAGAATTACAGTCACATAGGTAAGGACTATACATATGATATGTAAATCTATTGTAAGAATGTTAATTTTAAAATTTGAATTTGAAATACATTTGGCTGACGGATAAATAGTCAAATCTGCAATAATTTTTTTTCTGATCAGATTATATTGATTTTTTTAAACAATTAATAACCAATGAACACCTTATAATACCAGTTGTCCAATACTATTGTAAACATGATTGTCACAATTTACTGTATTGGCAATACCAGTTGTCCAATACTGTTGAAAACATGATTGTCACAATTTACTGTACATACTAGACTTCCAGTTTTTCAAAGTCCATTTCTAAAAGAGAAAATAGATGAACATTGGCAATCCTTGAATCCCACCTTGGCAAAATACACATTTCCAATGCACAAGTAGCTAAACCTCAAAGTGAGAGTACCAAAATTATCCCTGCTAACCTTAGAATACCTCCGGAAGTTGTTGAAATAATTACCTAACTTGGGCCATTATCAATACAGTTATCACATACAATTAGCACCCCATCTCTTTATAATCACATGTATTATTTGTTTGCTTATAACTACTTTATAGTGATAATAACTATACAATGTTGAATGGTGTTCAACTAGACATGGCTCCAGGCCTGGGTCCCTTGGCTGTTAAGTCAGTGACCATTGAGAAGAATGACAACGCGGAGGGAACACTTGAGTTTGACACCAAAGCTGCCAGCTTTATAAGTGAGTATATGTATGAAATTGTGCTGTACCAATCTGTATTGCTACTGAGATTGTCCCCATTGATCTTCCCCATAGCAATAAAAAAAGGTATTGGCATGGAGGGGACAATCTCGGTAGCAATACAGAGGATACAGAATATTTCCTAGAGATTACCTCCTAAGTAAAATGTATTGGCCTAAGATCACACAATGAAATCATTATAGAATGATTTGAAGTGCAATACAGGATATATTGTGCTCTCGATATTCTTCGTCTCGTGCCAATACAGAATTTCTCGAGCACAATATATCCTGGATTTTACTTCAAATCATTCAATAACTTACATTTATAATACATTAAGCACATGACCCAATGAACTGTAGGTGATTTGATGCATTTGCTTATTGTATGCCAGCATTAAATCTTGGCATAAGAGGAGATCTGTTTCAGGACTGCAAACAAAAATCTAATTGATTAAAGCAACCACAAGTCGTAATGAGACCTGGGCTTATATCTTTGAGTATATCTTGTACATTATATTGTAGATTTTTTCTGTAGTGACAACTGTTGATCAATCTTAACATTTGTGTAGTGTGGATCAGAAAATGAATTTTAAGTAAATCAATGAATTTGCTTATTTTGGATTTCATGAATTTATGTTTCAGTTTCTGAAGATATAGGTGTCGCCAGAATTCCAGTCACAAGGTTACAGGGCAGTTATGGAGTTGTCAGTGCCACCTTTACCTCCCGCAACCTCACAGCAACACCTGGTGTAGATTATTTCATCAATGATGGGGAAGTCATATTCCAAGATGGCGTAGATCACATGACCATAAATGCATCAATATTCGATGATTCAACTCGGGAATTTCAAGAGCAGTTTGAAGTTGTCTTAACTGGTGCCAAAGGTATGAATAATTGCCCTTCGAAGTCTTATTTAATCTACATATCACTTAAAGTGTATGCGGATAATGGAAAATGTATCTGTTGTCAATATTAGCGATATTATCGAGATTTGGCAACCGCACTTATAACGTGTATAAATCCCTTATGTTTATCACAAATAAAGTGTGTGTACTATGTCATCACTTGTCACGTAGCTCTGTTCATTAATCCGGAGTCATCATGTACAAAACTATCTTGTTTAGACATTGTTATTGCGATATAGTTATTGCTTTCATAGTGATATTTGGAATGAAGTCTGGAATTTGGAGGGGAAAAAGATTCATACTTGGTAAAGAGAACATTTGAATTGATCGAACAAATATTCATTTCTATACGTATAAGTACATATTATAGTTTAGCTATACATATAAACATAAGTTATGCTTTCATGTATGAGCATTAGGTCAAATTTTGTTGATATGTCAGAGAGTATGGTATACAAAACTCCCTGTGTGAGAACTAACAAACTTAAGATAACTATGAGCTTTTATTTCATCCATGTGGTTGCACAATTATACTGAACAGCACCCTTGAGAGCTCTATATTTTAGCCCATGCAATTATACTGAACAGCACCCTTAAGAGCTCTATATATTAGCCCATGCCATTATACTGAACAGCACCCTTAAGAGCTCTATATTTTAGCCCATGCAATTATACTGAACAGCACCCTTAAGAGCTCTATATTTTAGCCCATGCAATTATACTGAACAGCACCCTTAAGAGCTCTATATTTTAGCCCATGCCATTATACTGAACAGCACCCTTAAGAGCTCTATATTTTAGCCCATGCAATTATACTGAACAGCACCCTTAAGAGCTCTATATATTAGCCCATGCCATTATACTGAACAGCACCCTTAAGAGCTCTATATTTTAGCCCATGCAATTATACTGAACAGCACCCTTAAGAGCTCTATATTTTAGCCCATGCCATTATACTGAACAGCACCCTTAAGAGCTCTATATTTTAGCCCATGCCATTATACTGAACAGCACCCTTAAGAGCTCTATATTTTAGCCCATGCCATTATACTGAACAGCACCCTTAAGAGCTCTATATTTTAGCCCATGCCATTATACTGAACAGCACCCTTAAGAGCTCTATATTTTAGCCCATGCAATTATACTGAACAGCACCCTTAAGAGCTCTATATTTTAGCCCATGCCATTATACTGAACAGCACACTTAAGAGCTCTATATTTTAGCCCATGCAATTACACTGAACAGCACCCTTAAGAGCTCTATATTTTAGCCCATGCCATTATACTGAACAGCACCCTTAAGAGCTCTATATTTTAGCCCATGCCATTATACTGAACAGCACCCTTAAGAGCTCTATATATTAGCCCATGCCATTATACTGAACAGCACCCTTAAGAGCTCTATATTTTAGCCCATGCAATTATACTGAACAGCACCCTTAAGAGCTCTATATATTAGCCCATGCCATTATACTGAACAGCACCCTTAAGAGCTCTATATATTAGCCCATGCCATTATACTGAACAGCACCCTTAAGAGCTCTATATTTTAGCCCATGCAATTATACTGAACAGCACCCTTAAGAGCTCTATATATTAGCCCATGCCATTATACTGAACAGCACCCTTAAGAGCTCTATATAGTAGCTCAGGCAATTATACTGAACAGCACCCTTAAAAGCTCTATATATTAGCCCATGCCATTATACTGAACAGCACCCTTAAGAGCTCTATATTTTAGCCCATGCAATTATACTGAACAGCACCCTTAAGAGCTCTATATATTAGCCCATGCCATTATACTGAACAGCACCCTTAAGAGCTCTATATTTTAGCCCATGCAATTATACTGAACAGCACCCTTAAGAGCTCTATATATTAGCCCATGCCATTATACTGAACAGCATTTATATAGAGCTCTATATATTAGCTCAGGCAATTCTACTGAACAGCACTTATATTGAGCTCTATATAGTAGCTCAGGCAATTATACTGAACAGCACTTATATAGAGCTCTATATATTAGCTCAGGCAATTATACTGAACAGCACTTATATATAGCTCTATATATTAGCTCAGGCAATTATACTGAATAGCAACCTATATAGAACTCTGTAATAATTTTAGCTAATCTTTCAATTTCAACCAGTTGGATACATACATGTATATGAGGAGCCAGAACAAGGCTGTTGCATACTTACAAGCTTCATGCTTGGACTGGGCCCCACTAACCACAGCTTCAACTTCTTTTATATTAATAGGGCCTAATCTTAATTCATATTTGATATTCAAAATGTTAACTAAGTTTGAGAGTATGTTCTCTTTCATCAAAAGAGAAATATTTTCCCAGTTAGGTTCTGGATGTTTTATAGGAGTAGCATAGTGAGTCCAAAAAGACATTGTTACCTTGAGAAATGTGTCGTTAAAAATGTTCTCTCCAAGCTCTTCAACATGTATATCCTTTCCATTTAGGTCTATGTCAAATGGTGGAACCAATGTGTATATCGCATTTTGAACAGCTGATTTCATTTTAGGTCCATACACAATATCCCATATCCATGTACTACTTAAATTACCTTCAAATGTTAGATTGCCCCTTGTTTGAAATAAATTATGTTTTGCAGTTAAGATACATTTACCTGTCTTAAGGGTAAAATTCTGTGGACATGTTTTGACTGTACATGCTGCTCCTTTCAGTCCATTTGTTACATGGCATTTACGGTTCCAAATGCGCTTCCCAAAACCAAAATGATGGACTTCATTTTGGATGTTGTATTCATCCTCATTTTTATAATCTACAACAATTGTGAATGTAAAGAAAGACAGTTCTTGTTGTAATGTCTGCAACCCTTGCCCCTCATTCATTTCACAATCAATTACTGATTCATCACTGTTCCATTTCCAACACCAAGCACAGTACTTGTTTTGCGCTGATATTCTTCTAGGGTAATTGTTGTTTAATTTTGCACTGACGAATGGGTCAAGTCCATAAGACCTGCACTTATTCTTTAGATATTGTGGAGATTCCTGGGGACAATTTTCTAAACTGTGTGACGCACAGGATCTTGGTTTCATACCCGATGGAATATTATCGAACATATATTTGTTTCTACAATTAATTTTGAAAGAATATTTCATTGAATTGCCTTGTCTTATGTATTCCAAATAGGTCATTTCTAATTTTTTGTTACATGTTCGATTTGTTTTCCAAAATTTCATATTAGAGCTCTTTACATTGTTACATTTTGCACAGAACACTGACTTATAGTGTTGCCCTGTAGATATGTCAGTAACAGGTATCATATCTAAATCGGAGTATTTTTCATTCATACATCTCTCCACAGTGTTGTTTTTTGCACTCTCCGGACATTTCTTAATAAGATAAAACCAGTTTTTCCCATCTGTTGTCTCACACGTCATTCTGGATGCAATCTGGTTTTTAAACTGCTTTGATATGAGTGGGCAAGTTTCATCAACATCAGAACAGCAATCTTTGTACTTTCTACACTGGCTATCACAGCGACATAGATATCTACCCTGGTCTCCATTTCGTTCAGAATCAGAATCACCACATCGATTTCTGCAGGTTCGCCTTGTTCTGTTGCTGCATACTTTAATTGTTTCTGCGTCCCTTTCCGAAATATACTCACTTACACCACCTCGTTTGATTCTACCACTTAGTATGTTGTGATCAGTAGTTGGATCTATTGAATTTTGTTTCAGCCTACAGATTTTGGTAACTGAACCTGACTGACCATTTCTCTTATGATTCTCATCTGTTTTTGTGCTCCAGTGAGTCTGTGGGCAACAGAGTATTATAGAAAAATACAATGCCCATACAAACTTCATGCTGAACCCTCTGCTAGGAGAATGATCTATTTTAACATTATTTGCAAGTTATATACAAATACTACATTAGTCACGACAATGACATGACAACCTTATAATTATTTCTTCTATGATAATAGATTGTTTAAGACAAAGAAATATGAACCCTATGTCTGATAAATATAACATTTTTATAACTTTGAAGATAACTAACTTTTCAATCTCAACATAGAGACATCTTCAGTAGTGAAGTATAGTAATTAGAAAATCAAATGAAAAGTTTTTAATTAATAAAGATGACATCTAATATAACCTTACTTACATCTATGTTGGCAATAATGCCTTTCATGTTTTCTTTATAGAATATAATTTTGATTACAGATATGTTAATTGTCATGTATATTGTCAGTAGATCAAAGTTTAATTAATATATTTTGACAGCCTTTGATAAACATTCGTGAACATTCTCATAAAGTAACTATTCGGGCATAGGGTGAAATGATTCATTTAATTTTACATTAGCTTTCCAGGTGTTATATGAAATCTCTTTTCAAGTTGTATCATCTTCATATTGGCTTGTATCATCTTCATATTGGCTTGTATCATCTTCATATTGGCTTGTATCATCTTCATATTGACTTGTATCATCTTCATATTGGCTTGTATCATCTTCATATTGACTTGTATCATCTTCATATTGGCTTGTATCATCTTCATATTGACTTGTATCATTCATTGATGTATTCTTTTATCCCAAAGGTCATTGAAAATTCATTCTCGAGCAGAGGTCCTTACCACCCTTGTGTCTTTTAAATTCTAACCAAATGTGTCAACCAGCATTTGAGTAGCCAGCCACACGAATGAATGGATGAATGAACAAACCGATGGACAACTTATCAATATCTCGAACTTTGTTCGGTTAGATAATCATAGAAGACCTAACAGACCACGCACCTATTCATTTAGCAATTTATTGGTGAAATTTGTCATAAAAAGATCTTGCAGTTTTATCTAATTTTTTACCCAAGACACCGCCTACTTCCCAATCAATAATGTTAAGAAGCTTGGATAAATATTTCGTAAAAAGAAGCTTTGATAAATATTTCGTAAAATTTAAATGTGGCTGCTATTTTTATTGCCATGAAGCCATGTTTTCAGCTCTAAGTCATCATAATGGCATTCTATCAATTTGCTTGAAATGGTATGGCTAGCTTATTTTTGTAAAAGTTAAGAATAATGTTTATAAATTTCTGAACTATCACTTTTTATTTTATGAATATAAAAGTATTACATACTGTGATTTGGTTGAAATTGTACAAGCTGCTGCTAAGTGTATACTTTAACAAAAGCAAAATATCTTGTTAATTAAAAATGGCCACCTCTTTTATTGCCAAAAAGTCATGTTTTCAGTCAGTTTTTTTGAATTCGCTTTCGTGTGAGACCAGTGCCCATGGTACTATATATTTATTTGTTGAATTAACTTTATGTTTCACCAACCATTTGATATATATTGCATTATTATTATTTACTGTAGGAGGGGCCAGTCTTGGGGACAGACAAGTATCACTGGTGACCATAGCTAAATCAGACTACCCCAATGGAAGATTTGGATTCACTGGACAAACTAACATTGTAATAGAGAACCCTGCTCAACCCAGACAATTCACTCTGAGTATTGAGAGGACTGGTGGCTTACAAGGGCAGCAAACAGTGAGTATAGAGTACTTAATACATATTAGCACAAGTGCAAACTAACATCGTAATAGAGAACCCTGCCCAACCCAGACAATTCACTCTGAGTATTGAGAGGACTGGTGGCTTACAAGGGCAGCAAACAGTGAGTATAGAGTACTTAATACATATTAGCACAAGTGCAAACTAACATTGTAATAGAGAACCCTGCTCAACCCAGACAATTCACTCTGAGTATTGAGAGGACTGGTGGCTTACTAGGGCAGCAAACAGTGAGTATAGAGTACTTAATACATATTAGCACAAGTGCAAACTAACATTGTAATAGAGAACCCTGCTCAACCCAGACAATTTACTCTTATAGAGAGGACTGGTGGCTTATTTGGGCAGCAAACGGTGAGTATAGAGTACTTAATACATATTAGCACAAGTGCAAACTAACATTGTAATAGAGAACCATGTCCAACCCAGTCAATTTACTCTGAGTATTGAGAGGAAGTGGCTTATTTGGGCAGCAAACAGTGAGTATAGAGTACTTAATACATATTAGCACAAGTGCAAACTAACATTGTAATAGAGAACCACTTGTCCAACCCAGACAATTTACTCTGAGTATTGAGTGGACAGGTGGCTTATTAGGGCAGCAAACAGTGAGTATAGAGTACTTAATACATATTAGCACAAGTGCAAACTAACATTGTAATAGAGAATCCTGCTCAACCCAGACAATTCACTCTGAGTATTGAGAGGACTGGTGGCTTACTATGGCAGCAAACAGTGAGTATAGCGTACTTAATATTAGCACAAGTGCAAACTAACATCGTAATAGAGAACCCTGCCCAACCCAGACAATTCACTCTGAGTATTGAGAGGACTGGTGGTTTACTAGGGCAGCAAACAGTGAGTATAGAGTACTTAATACATATTAGCACAAGTGCAAACTAACATTGTAATAGAGAACCCTGCCCAACCCAGACAATTCACTCTGAGTATTGAGAGGACTGGTGGCTTACTAGGGCAGCAAACAGTGAGTATAGAGTACTTAATACATATTAGCACAAGTGCAAACTAACATTGTAATAGAGAAAGCTGCCCAACCCAGACAATTCACTCTGAGTATTGAGTGGACAGGTGGCTTATTAGGGCAGCAAACAGTGAGTATAGAGTACTTAATACATATTAGCACAAGCGGAAAAGAGGTAGACCAAACAGTACTATTAAGCATAGTTAAATAAGAAATATCTGATAATACAACCAGACATAAAACATCATTCAAACATACCAAGTGTGTTTCAGCCAATCAGCTTAGAGCATTTCAATTCATTAATTTACTGATATATGCATGGAAGTTATGTTGCTGTGCATTTAATTTTTGATATATGCATGGACCAAGCAGTGCTATTATTTAAAAAGGGGCAACAGCATATCATCAGTATGTTCTTGCATAAGTAATGAGAAATCCCTTGTAGTATGTATCAATATAACTTTTTTGTATAAAAAGTTGAACTCTGTACGTTGAATTTTGGCTTCAAATGTGCACTTTGTACATCTTACAGCTGCACTGGCGTATTATGGGGCCAAACAACCCAGAATTAATCCTAGATGAGACAAATGACATAGGTGTCACTACGGGTGTCCGGGAAACAGTAGAGGGCGTCCTAACCTGGGATGATTCAGAAGGAGGTGTGAAGATGCTTACTTTGAACATCAAGCCATACACTGATTGGGAAATTGAAAAGACTTACGTCATAGAAATTGCCAGAATAGAAGGATCGACCCCAACAACAGGAAACGGGGAATTAAGTCCGCTGGCTGGAAATGTGACTCTTAAAGTAAGTATGAGGGCGGGAAATTAATTGTTTGCTTTAAAATGTATACTGATACTGTAAGGTGGTAATTGATTAAAAAACAATTGATCTGACCTGGGTTGAAACATTCCATGTCATGACATTGTTTCAAAATATCTGGATTTCTTATAGTTATCAGGCATTTTTTAAGGACTTTGCTTTATTAATTTGGGCATTTCTAGATCTTAAATTTCAATAGCTTGTAAATTTGATCAAATATATCTTTGTTCCGTTTCGTATAATATAATAAGGATTTGTAATTAAAACATTAGCCCGATTTTTGAAAAAATTGATACCCCCCTTTGCTGCCATTTTAATCACACAATGTCCCAAATAGAAAAGTTTAATAAATCAATTAGTAAATTATTGTTGAAAATAGCAAGGAATAAACATTTTCACACTAAGCTATTTAACAAGATTTTGTTAGACTATTATCATATCAACTGACGGCCAATCTTTGAATTGTCTTATGCACAGATTCAACATAGGCAACCTGTTCTTCCATTTTGGCACAATCACCTAATTGAGTACTTTCAAATTGCTGTGAGCTTATAGACAGGATTTAATGTTGCAATGAGATTATTGCTGTGAGCTTATGACTGTAGAATGACCTTGACATGATCTTGTGTTTAGATACTAAAATATGGCCATCCCAATGGCATAGTGAAGTTTACAGGCATTGCCAAGACGACTAGAGGTGTTACCGAACCTACTAATGGTCCATTAGAAGTGACATTCCCAATATATAGGAGAGAGGACACTGGTACTGTAGGAGATATACAGGTATTTACTGGGAAGAGAATGTGTGATTAAAATTATGTTGGCCTGATTTTTCTCAAATTCTGGAATGTGGAGTAGTTTGCTTTTTGAATACTGTAGCTTGAATTTAACTAGGTACATACATTTTGTACAAGGTAAACATCATATCAGTGACCAATTCTGCCTACATCTTGTGAACTCATGGAAAAAGAAAAATCGCCATTTTGTTATCAAAACAGATCCATTTTTGAAGATCTCCACTCGTGTTAATATGAATACTCTTTTTGTCCCATTTTAATCTGCATTAGATTTCCATGTTTAAGAAACTTTGAATTGTGAACCTGCCAATTCAAACACTCTCAACCTGTCCTTGTGGTGTTTAGATTAATCAAGTTTTACTGGACTTAAACTTTAGGAATTATATCACATTAATGTTTTCCTATTTCAGATTCAATGGAGGGTAACAGGCCCAGGCGATGACGTCGGAGCTGACATTGGGCCAGTAACTGGTGTCACATCTTTGTTGTCAGAGAAACGAGAGGGCAGCATAACTCTATCAGTCCTCCCTGATTCTGTCCCCGAACTTAGCGAGACCTTCACATTGGAGCTTGTATCTGTAGAGGGAGGGGCAGAGATAGATGACACTTTTAACACTTCTTCTATACTTGTCATGTAAGTTCACGCCTGGATACAATGTTCTGTTGAATATTTGACTGGGGGTTATGCAAAATTGAGTGAATCTTTTGATACATTCAGTGTACTTATACCCTTTGCATTAATTCGACTTCACTTCTTAAAAGAGAGCTTCGTCTTTACTCTTTCAGTTTACAATAAAACTCTGATCTCACCGAGCCAATCAGAGTTCGTCGTCAAAATACAGACAACTTTCTATATGGTCATTTCCTCTGACATCACTGCATAGTTAATGAGCATGTATTGAGCACGTGTTCCTTGCACTTCACTGATTGGTTGAGAAAGGGTCAGCGTGGTAGATTTGAAATGATTTATTACCCGGGCTGTCACAGGCACAATATTTGGGGTGGGGCTGCTGAACTGTAATTTAGTCTATACTAGGCAGAGGGTAGTTTATAACTAGACTCTGCGCACAGGGTAGTGTACTAAATGTTAAATGTTTGAGTTAATCATTTGATGCATACTCTTACTATTTAGATATTTAAAGATACTGTCTTGGAGGTCATTAACAGAAATATTGTACAGCAATTTATCGATTGATAAAATAAGTAAGAAGATAAGTGGAGTTATGAATTTAGAAAGCTTATTGACTTTGATGTAGTGCACATAGATCATGTGACCTTTTGTTTTGATCCTGCCCTTGCTACATGTTTTTCTTGTCCAGAATCCATCAATGGGTTCACTTGTACTTTAAACCAATCAGGACATAGCGCTCAAGACATGGCCAGAATCGACCTTAACGCGGATTAGTTTCCAGCACGTGAAATCATCTGCAAGTTTATTTTTTTCATATTTTCCAGTTATAACGATGATCCGCATGGTGTGTTTAGCATATTCTCACAGTACCAGACAGTCGTGGTTGACCCTGCTGACCTGAATCGTCGATATGTTCGTCTCAACATCACAAGGGGAGCAGGGACATTTGGTAGAGTGCGAGTAAGCTTTGGCATAACTTATGATCAGGTAAGAAATTTTATTGATTTTAACAAAATTTTATCAGTTATGGAAAATCTATGCACAACATAGTTTTCTTTCACAAAGCCGTAATGCAGTGTTGAGTGTATAGGATCAATCATTTTTCATCAAAAAATATTATTTTAATTTTCTGTAATTTTATGTAATTCCTTATCTTTTTATAGTAAAATAAAGAATTTTGTTTTTGTCCCAATTCCAGGTTCAGACAGGAGTGTCTTATATACCCAGTGCTGGAGATGTCATATTCCAGGATGGTCAGATAGATGGAGTCACCAATATCCAGGTAGATTGTTTATTTTCATTTTATTCTGATTCTAACAGTTTGCTGTCAGGGAGCCTAATTAGTACAATTAAATGATAATTTAATTAGCCCAATTAAAGGGATATGTTTCATAACTTACTTAGAAACATCCCTTAATTAGCTTAATTAGGCTAATCATCTATTGATTCTTATTAAATTAACTCATTCGCTACTAAGGACGTGATATGACGTCATAAAGCACATACGTTGACTACTGAGGACGTGATATCAAGTCCAAGCACAAACCCAATGTATTTTTGGGAATCTTGTAACCATGACAACTTATAAAATGGGACTTAAAAAACTATTCATTCTGAAAGAGTATATCATATACAATATATATTATTTCAGAGGTACCATATATGGCAATTTTCAAAATATCGTCAGTATTATAGTGCTTTTTGCCCCAGTATTGAATGAGTTAAGGTGGGACATACGTCCTAAAGATATTTTATTGTTTGGCTTACCTTAATATGTTCAATTGTTATCTATTTTACCCTAAATTTCTTGGTCCAAGGGTGGGTTGTGGGTTGTTCTCAGTAGTCATACTTCTTTGAAGTTAAGTGGAATAATGAAGTCCCAGTTACCTCGTGGCCTTGACATCAGTCATGTGATCTTTGTCCAGGGGATGGATCATTCTTACTTCATTTTTCTATACTTTCATATGTACTACTCCCCTCAACAAACTGTTTATAATTTCATAAATCCAATTATTGCATAATTATTATTTATCGTGTATGAAATTCTTACAAATACATGTACTGAATGAAAGTACATACTATGTTAATCCTAGTACCACTTAGACCATCTAATCCATGGACATTCAAGAGTCTATCGTAATATTCAGATTTAAAAGTGTCAGCATATTCAAATTGGACGACAATATCATTCCTTTTTAGGTACATTAAAAACTGGGACTAAAAAATAGTTTTCTCATTGGGTATGGTTTGGATAGGTTTGGTAATTATTTACAGATTTTACTGTAAATTAATTTAATTTTTCAGGTGGAATATGACGCATTTTTAGAGCTTGATGCCACATTCACTGTCAGACTGAATGACTTGACATTTCTTGATGCTGAAGGTAAGTACAGGATATTATGATCATAACTGGTTTTATGTCACCACGAGGCACTAGAAGAGGTGGCATATTTGTTATAGTCTCCAACTTTGTGTTTGGAGGTTGTTGTTTGGCGTTTAGCAGCTGATGTTCGGTGTCTATAACAACTGGCAGGTGTTGACATTTTGCGTGTTATAATGCCTTGTTGATATAATTGTTATTAGTTTAATGTCTGCTTGATCGGAATTTCTGTTTGCAGTTTAGCAATATAATATCAAACTTCCTCACTCTTTGATGACATAAGGCAATATAATATTAGTGAAATAAGTCCTATTTGAACTCACTTTATTACTAACTTGTAGTCGCAAATGCAACTAACGCCTGTCAGCTACCTGATTAGCCTCCTATTTCCAACTCATTTAGATATAAATGGAATAGTGGGAGGTGCTATTCATATTTAAATGAGTTACCCATAAAATAGTAGGTTAATCCGGTAGCTGACAGGCGATTTCCGAATACAAGCTAACCATCATCAAGGTTGCATTTAGTTTGTCATCCAGTAAATACTTCAATATAATGCATTTCATCGCAAGGCAACAGGCACGGCCAATCACATCAATTTTGTAATTTCCAATAAACAAGATGCGAGAAGAAATAATCTTGATTTACGCCATTCAAATTTCAAAATTCAGTCAGAGTGATATCATATTTGAAATCACAACTATAAATGTGGTTTTAAAAAGTGTTTATCATCTTTGAAAATTTAAGTTTCTTTGAAAATGTGACTTCTAGGTCAGGGAGATTCCTCATAGACACCTTGTTATAAAATCATAAAAAAAGTGAAATATCTTTTCTAATATTGGACAGATAGTATTTCTCTTTTACGAGACATATTTTAATATGTTTAACTATCAGATACTTAAGGTTAATATGAAAATTGAACCATTAAAACTGATGAATTTTCTAAGTTTAAGGGAACTTTCTAACACCCTACAATGTAACACGGTGGTGAAAATGGTAACTACCTACTCACACCTTGGTAATGACAAGGGAGGTCTCTTTGAATGACATTTTATTAATAACAGATGAAAAAGACATCGCATAATATGAGTAAAGCAAAGTCATATATACCTTTATGTAGAGATTTGAAGAAAGTCCACTCTTGTTCATTATGGATAGTTATCTTAAAAGAAATTTGATTTTTCACAAATTAACACTTTTCATACTTGGTGATCGCACATTACAGATAATTGTTTGAAAAAGGTTCTTAATAATGTATTGGTAGCACTGTACAGGATTTGTAAATTTCCCAACAGAAGCATATACTAATCTCAAACTAAACTCAATTTACATGTACAGGACTTAAATCAGTTATGTATTTCAAGTTGATGGACAATAAAAGTTTATAATAGCATAAGAGAAAGACACTCCAGGGCTGAAAGAGGAGGTCACTGATATAACACGTCAAGTTATTGCTATGGTAACAGATACCCACTGGGAAACATTGCTCCGAGTCTTTATTGAAAATCGTGTCAATTTACATGGTTGTATCTTGTTCTGATTCCTATTGTTTGCAAATCTTAAATTTCTGAATAAATGTACACATACATACAGGGTGGGCCAAAATGGCCATGTCTTTTTTGGATGATGACTTTTTTTTATAAATAATCAATTGATTTATTTTTTTTCCAAAATGGGATGAATAAATCTGAATTAAAGAATGGTGAATATACCAATGGCATACCAAACATACAATGGTATGACTTATGCATTTCCAGGAAAAATACTTTTGAGAATCATGTTCATGTCTTATTTCAAAAGTAATGGCAAAATAAAACATATTGACATTTTTTGACCCACCCTGTAGATCCATTGTCAAGGGACTCAAACACCCACGAGGGAGTCATTTGCCAACATTAAATATACCTTTCATAACTTTAGAACAAATATTGAAAACATGTTTGCACATAAATCGTTATATTTTATCAACAAAATTTTGCTTTTATCTTGGCCAATGTATGACTTACTTTGGTTTTGTAAAAAACACCCTAATATCTTACAGCAAATCTTAAATCCTCACAAAGAAATATTTCATGATCAAATAGATAAATCATTATGTTTTATCAAAGAAATTTTAACTTTTATCTTGGCTAATGTATGACTTATTTTTGTTTGTTTAAAAGACACCCCAAGCTCTTACAGCAAGTCTTAGTCCTCACAAAGATTTCATAATCAATAGATTGTCCTTTCTGACCTCTCATTAAAGGCACTTTGTTATATTTATAACTCTATTGATTTGATCACTTCATATGATGCTTATGTTTTCCATGATCCCATGCCCTCTGTTTTCAAGTCAAACAATAAAAATTCCTGAAATTGATTCTCCCCACGTCATGATGTTATATAAAACTCTCTCAAGGATATAAAGTTGATCATTAATTGTTCTCCACAGTGAGAATCCTCGAAAGTATTGTTATAAAGAAATGTTTAAGAAATTGACAATTGATACCGCTACTTATAAATTGATACATATACATTTTGCGCTTATCATCATTTCAAATAACACATATAAAAATAATATTAATAATACAGATAAAATAACAACTCCTCAAAAAACTGCATGAATAACACTAATTATAAGATAATTTCCCTTACTTCCTGCGAAAGCTATTTTGATTTTGATATAATAGCTTTCCCACGGAGCATTTGGACAGCTCAATGATCGTGACCTTTGAAATCGAATTAAGTCGATCCGCGGCTTACTTTTGGTCTCTAACTGTGTCTTACATCAGTATCATCAATCCGTGTAAGTATTGGAGCGCTGGAGTACTTCTTTTTCGATCAAGACTTGTAATTGTTAGTCGAGTGAATCGTTTTACTGCCAAATTCCAATATGGCGGTTTCTGCTCGGACATTTTCGTAAATCTCCGGAGGTTGTCCGAACCTAACTAATTCTCAAAATTCATTTCGTTCGTTGCGTATCTCGCACCTAGCAAACCGCCATATTGGAAATAGGTCTGTAAAACTTTAACTCGATGAACAATTTACAAGTCTTGGTCGAAAAAGAAGTACTCCAGCGCTCCAATACTTACACGGATTGATGATACTGATGTAAGACACAGTTAGAGACCAAAAGTAAGCCGCGGATCGACTTAATTTAATTTCAAAGGTCACTATTGATCAGCTGTTCACTTCTCCGTTTGAGAGCCATAAGTTTCAAAATCTAACATGGCTCTCGAAGTGAGTAAAATTTCCCATCATGTCGGACACTTCAATATGGACAAAACCAATATGCACCCAGCCACCAATTGATGCTATATCATGCATACATGAAAGTAGCAATGTAATTATGACATCATGCGATTATGGGTGTATTATTCTAAGATGTATTGTCATTTGGTAAGTAGAGAAGTGTTATTAATAAGGCTCTACAAACAAATTAAATACAAGATAAATATTAACATAATGCTTTTGAATATACATCTTATTATGAGATATAATCAATGGATTTGTTCTATGTGGAAGTTAATTAAGACTATGGTAATATAACACTCCTTGGTGGCCAAACATACAATAATGAGGTAAAATGATATGTATTGATATGAACATGAAAATGACTTGTTTTTTAAAACTGTAATAATTGTGTAATATTCTAGGTGCTGTATGTACCATTTTCATTTTTGCAATTTACTTCTTTACAACGTTATTTGAAACTTTATTATGCTGTCTTACTGCATGTTTTACTTACGCTTTGATAATTCACTCATTAGAGTTACAATATGAGCATTTCATCTTATGAAAAGAAAAAACAACGATCAAGTGGGAGTTATTGCAATGCTTCGACATTCTCACGTTAGTTTGTCAATTATCTGAATTGGATCAGATTAGCGATATCTGAGGTCAAGCTCAAACTATAACTTGTGAGTGCCCAGGCTTTTCGTATTTTTCCCTCTGTAATTGCAATGAACCAATAATGTATAATTAATTCAAATATGACCATGCTTTATTAGTCTCTCATCCAATCAGATTGCAGCATAACACTCTCTTATTCTCAATAGATGAAAGACTGTTCATTATGCAGTCTTCACCTCGGATCTCTGCATTTTGTAGTGACGTCACATCTAGGGCTCTGTCTGGGCTGGTCAATGATGAATTTCTATATGAAAATTGATCTTCCATGGACATCCATCCTCATTCTTTCGAACAATGTTCACTGTATTAAATGGCATATTATTATTTACTCCTTGAATGTAATGAATCAAATAAAGTATCTTGAATGTAATTTAATACCTCTGAGTTTGTTTTTCATTTTCAATTACCATATTTAGGGCTCAGATAAGTACAGTAGAACCTGTTTAAGTGGAACACCCTTCGTTCTGCCAAAAAGTGTTCCACTTAGGAGGTGTTCCACTTATGGAGGTTTTGGGGTCACTGGGATTTAAAGAGCATACAAGATCAAATATTGACTGTTCTACTTAGCGGGTTAATTTTTTTTTTTAATATGGGGTGTTCACTGTTCAAGTTTGGAAGTGTTCCACTTACAGAGGTTCAATTAACATTATAAGTCAATGGGTTTTTAAAATGGGACTTTGAAAAAAGCATTCCACTTGCAAGGTGTTCCACTTACAGAGGTGCTCCACTTTTATTTTACGATAAAGTTCATAGAAATCCTGATTCTCATCTTCTTTTAAAACAAATGGAGACTTCGGGGTACTCATACACCTGTCATCTATCACATGTCAACTGAAGTTTATGTCATTTATATTGCTTAATTGACCTTTTGCGATCAGAATTCAGGAATTTTGTTTATGGATACTGTTGTCACGTATTTCGTCTTATTGGTGTGACGTCATATAGAAATGAAATTAGACATGATGGAATCACAAAATGGCAGACACGTGGCAGTTTTGAGCTAAAAATATTGTCGTTTCTTTTATGAAAACCATGGGTCGGATATTTACCAGGTATGCCGATTTGACTAGATCATGAGTATATCTATATATGTGCGAAGTTTGGGTGAAATTCATACTAAACATCGATGCCTATAAGCGCCCCCCGTTTTTGTCAAAATCGGGGGGCGCTTAACCGCTATCTAAATCATGTCAGTTAGATCTTAGACTTGGTATGTGCTTAGCATGAATGTTGATCTAGTCAAATCGAACGCTTTCGTGAAAAATAAATCAATAAAGCATGAAATAAAGAAGATAATCTTTCAAAATCAAGCATCTAAAGCTGGGTGGCCTAATTGTGACGTCACTAAAAGATAGAATCCATTCGGTGATCGCAAATCATCAATTGAAGGAGTTAATTTTATATCATTTAATCCATATCAGTCACTGTTAACGCCATTAAAATAAATAACATTTTTGATATTTTTTTCATTCACATTTATTAAAGCTAATTGAAACAGCTAATGGTACACATTTTATCCTTTAATGGTACATTTTGGGAAAATAGAACATTTGTTTTCCAAATTTGAATAACAATAATAAATTAGATACAGAAAGACCATCTCTTTCATAGAACTTAATCTTAATTTTACCAAGGTAATTAACAACAATATTGAGATATATTACAACACAACTAGTATTTTTGCATTTTCTGTTTTGACGTGGTCTTGAGACATATACAACTTATACATAATTGTGAAATGTTTTACTTTACATTTGTCAGATGCAACGTCCTATTCCTAGAGATTTTAGCCCCTTTCTTGTCAATCTAGCTTCTACATTTTGTTTTATGATTGATCAGTTAATTGTTTATTCTTAAAGAGACTGTATATACATTACAAGCAGTATTTGACACATAGGCGTAGCCAGGAGGGGATGCGCACCCCCCCCCAAATTACCAATGAAAATATAACCATTAGATAGAGGAAGAAAAGAGCTTTAAAATGCTTTTGATTTATAGCTTCCAGCTCAATTTTGAAGGAAGTTACATCAATTTTTGTAAAATTTAAAACAAATCTTAATCTTTTTGGGTTGCTAATTCCACGATCATACCCCTTGACTAAAGACCGACATTTTTTGGCGATCGCAGCCCCTGACTGAAGACTGGCTATACCCCTGTGACAGAACATAAGTCAAGAGGCTGTACATTTCAGGCAAAGACTGTATATACCAGTTCTTTTTTTGAAAATTAAAGAGACTATGTTCTCGTACAATTTGTAAGCCAAAGACACTGTATATATCCAGTACATTTTATAAACAATTTATTGATTCATTTTATAATAATTAATTTTTAAGCCTAAGAGACTGTATATTTCAGTACTCTTTGTAAGCTAAAGAGACTGTATATTTCAGGTTTTTTTGTAAGCCAAGGAGACTGTATATTCCAGTGCTTTTTGTAAGCCAAAGAGACTGTATATTTCAGTACTTTTTGTAAGCCAAAGATACTGTATAATCAGTACTTTTTGTAAGCCAAAGAGACTGTAAATGTCTCAAACCTTTTTAAAGCCAAAAAGACTGTATATTTAGTAACTTTGGTAAGCCAGAGGACTGTATATTTCAGTACTTGCAGTCCAAACAATTCTTTCTGAGTACCAAACTTTTCTAATTTAGCTTTTTCTACAGTTTGTTATTTGGTTTTGGCTCGGATGAAGCAGTTGTTGCAATAGATGTGCTAGAAGTCATTGTGCTACTAGTTGTCGCACTGATGGTCTGCTGATGCCCCTTCTTCACTCTGGATTTACAACGAAACAAAATCATCATCTCCGTTCTGAACCTCTGCCCGCTCAAGCAATACATAAAGAAATTGATGCAATAGTTGCTGTAAAGAAGCATATTGAGGCATGCCCAGACAAGCCTCTGCTTGGCAACTGAACCTGGAAACCGATCATACCATAGATTCCTGCTAGCCAAATAGATGACAACAGGACACGTTAACAGGAGGAACACGATGCTGATTACGACCAACATGATAGACATAGATTTAGTACTGTCTCCAGCTTGTTTACTGACATTCATTGTTTTCTTGCGCATGTTAGATGACCGCACCAACTGAGTAACAATGAGAATATTGCTCATGATCAGGACCAAGAAAGGGAGGTACGAAGCCACTATGGAATCAATCCAAGGCCAGACATCTTGGTGAAAAATCTCATTATCTTTATAGGTGCATTTATCCACATAGAAGGTATCATACCATGGTAATGTAACTGGACCATAGTTGAACAGCTGTTGGGCGTTTATTCCAATAATGAGAATAACAATGATTGTAATAGCAATTGATGCATTCTTCTTGGTGCTGATGCGCCTTGCGTGGAGTGGTTTATAGACAGTAATAGCTCTATCAATTGTTACAGCAACCAGTAGCCAAGCGGAAATGTCAATGAATGTATATGTTAAGAACAAGCTTAGCTTACATGCCCATGGATGTAGGTAACGGATGTCTTTGCCCCACTGGTATATACCCCATTGACGGCCCAATCCACATATCAACACTAGACAATCACAAACAGCCAGAAAAGTAAGATAGAAAGAAGATGTTGTTTTTCTCATTCTTGTTGCAGTGAGCACCGTAATTGACAGCACATTACCTGTCAATCCGATGATAAGCAGGATAGGGGAGCCAACTTTCCAGAGTAATCTCGCTTGATGGTACTCAGGAAAGTCTGTTACTCTAATGTAGATGATCTCTTCCTCCGTGGTTGCTTCAGCCGGATATTCAGTCGCATTCATTGTCAGTTCATCAGCTGCTGCGTTACTGTCCATATGTTTAGCTGTTACTTTATCACTTGCGAGTTCAAGAGTTCCATCTATATTTGTGGTCATTTCAAAATTGTTTTTTCCCGAGGTTGATGTTTCATTGCTGTAAGCATTTGCAACTAACAAGACCAGGATTGCTAGTAGGACTCTCATCTTGGTATGGGAGTGGTTATTTCCCTGCATTTTCTTAAATAAGAAAATATCCGCAATAAGCATAAGCTGTGTATTTTTTTTTATTTACTCATATTTATTTATATCAGTATAATGTATTACATAAGAAGCTCCTCAATCATTTCAGCATTATAGTGGAGCAAGTAAAAACAAACTGTGTATCAATATTTGATTGTCCCAAACCTTACTTACTGATGCAATGGCAAAGCAGTCCCAAACCTTACTTACTGATGCAATGGCAAAGCAGGACAGCCAACATGAGAAAAAGAAGTCAATTTTTTGCTCTAGTTTCAAATCTAAGTATTTAGAAATATAAATAGTTATGTATTACCTCTATATATTACACAATTTTATTATTTTGTATTTATTATAACTTGAATTACTATTTGTTGAAACCTGGATAAAAAATAAAAATGAACACACCTTTACCTGGAGCATTGATTCCAGTGCACCCCTGCTAGATCTCGTCCAAATTTCTAACTAACTTATATACATGTGAATATATGTTTAAGTCAGAGCATCAAATGTGAATAATGATTGATTTTATGATATTTCTGAACTATATAAGTGCTAGAATGTAAATATTATGTGTTTGGATTATGGAATTGATTAACTTCTGATGAGGCATAATCAATCATTATTGGAAATGAATCCTTATATTTGTAAATAAACATCATATTTTATTTAGATGCTCCATGAAGGCCCCATGTGTGTGCAAAGTAAAAATATTTCCCCTTTGAAAATTTGAATTATAAAAAAGTTGCTGAACATGTGTCTCTTGACTAGGGAATCTTTTAAATTCTATTGGGCATAAATCAACTGCTAAAACTTTTTTTGAAACAGTTGATTTTTTAAAACAAAATTGTGTTTCCCAATTTTCAAATATTTGAATTTCCAACCATTTTAACAAAAAAGCTGCGCAATTTCAGATTGTGGAAAAGTCTACTGAGGAAAATTATAATTTCATGGTTTCATATTTTAATTGAAAAGACAATATGTTTTATTTTTTCATTTTTCAACCATTCAGTCTCATAATTATCATTCTAAAAAAGTCAACATTTAAGATTTTTGCAACTACATTTTGGCAAGTTTCACAGGTACTATTTGAGTGTATTTCAGTACATGTGAAATTTCATTAAGATATTGTTAATAAGGCAGATGTCGTTGTAAGGCATATCGATTAAGTGTTTACACAGTAACACGTATAATTGTTGTTAGGTAAACACTTATTTTAATAATCAATATACCATACAACAATAGATTGTTTGTGATGAGAGCTTCTGAATTACATGACTTATATAAGCCTAGGTGTTACCCAGATATTAGGTGCATTCATTCACCCTCTGGGTCTCTGAGGATCGTGTTGGCCCCAGGGGTGCATAACGTGCAATGTAAATTTATCAAATTTAAGAAGTGCTGAAAAGTCCGGATCTGATGTTTTTGACTTTTCTCCAAAGATCTTACCTCAATCTTGAAAATTCTTTCACCACTGGATAGCAGGACCAAAAATCTTCAAAATGAACCCATAAATGCCTCGCTTTATTACAGTAATTATGTGTAATCGTTGCAGATAAGACGAAATTGCATTTCCGACCGGTCTTCTTGACATTTTCGCTGACCTTATTTCAAGTGCGCATGCGTTGCATAAATCAGTGAGATGATCACGTGACGTAATTTGATGATCACGTAACGTAATGTTTTCCAATAACCAGTTGGTAAAACTGCTATAGTGGATTCAATATGTTTGTTATCACTTGTAACTGTTCTGGCTTCAAATCAAATCCAAACTTTGGTTTTATGTTATGCGAATAGAGATCATTGATTTCTTCCATCGAATACATGATGGTCGAATGAATGATTTAAACTCTGTATTGTTAAATAGATGGCAGCAATATTCAATGGCTACTCTCGTCAAATCTCGTGAGAATAGAAGCCGCCATAAAGATTTTGTGAATAGTAGCGACAAACGGCGATTTTGCTACAAAATTAGCACAATTCAACCTTCTACAACCACAAAGCTATGGTAATTTTTTGTATAAATCATCAATATATCCATTTTGTTTATATTTCTCTGTAAATGACGCAGAGATTCTAAGCAAAAGATTAAAATAAAGTGAACCGTCAAAAATAATCAAGAAAAACTTAGATTGGCATGAATTTACAAGGATAAACACCGCCTCTAATGCAAGTCCATACGACAATCCAACGCATTAGAGGCGGTGTTCACCGTCTACCCAGATATAAGCATTGTTTCTGAAATGCAGAAGTATCAGGTTATCTATGTATATTCTCATATATTGTCTCAAGTACTCACGTAGTCATCGAATCGTCTCGCCAAGGTGTTATAGAATTCGGCTTGATTAGGAGTTCAGATTTCGCGAATTATTACACGAGTCTGAGACTCGCGAATTTGTATTCGTATTCGCGATTTCACAGCGAATCCTGACGTCAAATGCATTGTTTTTTCTTACAAACAGGGTGAAACTATGTACAAATGATTGTTCCGTGTATCATTTGTTTTTATTTGAATGAATATGAGTAATAAATCTAATTTAAATGAAATATTTTTGAGTCTATTTTTTAATTCCATGATTAATTCAGTCCGTAGAACCGGAAATGAAAGTGCTGCAACAATGTGTGGCGGGAAACATAAAATAAACAATATTTCAATTTTTGTCGTAATTAATCGTAAGTATTGTTATTTAAATCGGTAGATATGGACAACTCTTGATATACCTAGCGTACCTAGGGTATTGTGCAAGTGAACAACATTGAAAAAACGACTAAAAAACGACCATATGACATGCAATGGTAAGATTTTTTCTTGTTTATTTTTTTGATGAAAAATCGCGATTCTTATTCGATCTCAGACTCAAAATCACGCGAATTACTCGATTCCAAAAATCCCCGCGAGTTACAACACTACTTTAAACTCTAAAATTACAAGTAAATATATTGGAAAATAAAGATATTGTAATAGATCATGGAAAAATAGAAACATCTGTACATGACCCTTTTTCATCAAATTCATTGGAATGTGCTAGAATAATGGCTTCCTCGATAAATGACAAATAGTATAATTATAGGCTCATTCTATGATTTGGGAGGTTGAAATTACCCTACTCTCCCATGTTGGTATATAAGCAAGTAGGGGATGAACAGATCAATGTCAGAATTTTATCACTTTTGGACATTGGACAATTCAGTAGCTTAATTGTTATATACAGTATTTTATCTAATTTTTTTGTTTTTGTTAATTATACATCAAAGTGCAACATATAAATTTTAACACTGTATTCCTTACAATATTCAGTACAATATCACATAATATAAGAAAGAACTATGAACTACATGTATGCATAAGTGTTGGACATTTGAATCACCTCTTGCAAATGTATTACTACCTTAAGAGAAAAGTTTTCACAAGAATTTCTTGTTGATCTAAATTAGTTTTCCCATTAAGGATTGCAGAGTTAATTCATTATTGACTTATCATGGAATCAAATAGCACTTATTCATAGTCAAAGGATATTGCCTTTCAATGTTCTTGTCTTATTATTAGGAATGAATGATATTGATATTTTTCAAGCAACACTTCTTCATTTCAATTTCTTCCTTGTTAACTGGATACAGGGTGCCCCAAAAGTAATTGTATTGAAACTAAAACTGTTTATTTCAATTATTTTAAAGAACCATGCTGCTTGTCCGGTCCTTGTTTCCTCATAGAATCAGTTGTCATGTGAAGGGCCAGAATTTGAAAATGATTACTTATTTATTTATGTACATAATGATGTCACAAGTTCAAAGCTCCTGGTCTATGCCATCCATTCATTGTAGGGTAAACTATTTGAATTATATACACAGTAAAGTGGTGTTGTGACATTCATTTCTTTTGAGAGTATCTGGTATTCGTCAATATTACAGTTTGTTGTTTAGTGATGCCTCAGATGCTGTCGTCATGGAAACATTGTTGACAGAGGCCATTGTGCTACCAGTTGCCATGGTACTGTTACGCAAGTGCCCATTCCTTTTACGAGATGTACAACGAAACAGAATCATCATCTCACTTCTGAATCTCTTCCCGCTCAAACAATACATAAAAAAGTTAACGCAGTAGTTGCTGTAAAGGAGCATGTTGAGGCATGCCCAGACAAGCCGCAACTTGGATATATTAGCATGTGATTTATCTTCATGCCATTGGTCCCATGTAATGAGGTAGACCACAACTGGACCAGTGAGTACCAGAAATACCATACTGATAGTTATCAACATGATGGACAAAGAGGCTGTGCTATCACCAGACTGTTTAGACACATTCATTGTTTTCTTACGCATCTCAGCTGATCGAAGTAGTTGGATTGCAATCACGATATTGCTGATGATCAAAATGAAGAATGGCAGATAAGATGAAACGGCTCCATCAATCCACTTCCAGACAATGTTATGGAAGAAAACATTGCCATCGTTATAAGTGCAGGGATATGTGTAAAAGCCACCGTTCCATGGAATCGTTCTGTTGCCATGTGTGAACAGAATTTGTGCATTAATCCCCATGAGAACGACAAATGTAACAATAATTGCTATTGCTGCGTTCTTCTTTGTACTGATGCGCCGTGCGTGAAGTGGCATATACACCGTGATAACTCGATCAACAGTCACTGCTGCCAACAACCATGCTGAGAAATCTATGAATGTGTATGTGAGAAACATGTGAATCTTACACGCCAATTCATGCTGATTACGAATATCTTTACCCCACTGGTATGACACCCAACGACGACCTAGACCACAAATCAACACCATACAATCACTGATGGCTAGTATTGTAAGATACAATGATGATGTCGTTTTACGCATTCTTGTTGCACAGAGGACGGTTATTGTCAGAATGTTTCCAATCAGTCCAATGCAAATAATTGTTGGAGAACCTATTTTCCAAACTAGTTTTGCAGTCTGTGTATCCGGCATATCTCGCCAATCGATTTCCTCAATTTTGTTTTCATTACTGGCTGTCACATTGAGGTTCACCTTAGTGGCATTAATCATGGAATCATCTTGTTGTTGACTTGTAGCTTCAAGCAGGGAGATTGCAGTACTCAAATGTTGCCCCATTGTTTTACCTGTTCCCATGGTTGTGATGTTGTCACAGGTAACCTTGCCAACCATAGAGACAATAATACATGCCAGGAGTTGCATTATGGTCTTGATAAGCTCCATGCTGGTTGAAATTTCTGCAAATCAAAACATCACTATGTATTTCTCTACTTTTTCCTAAGTCGTATAATTGATTAAATGTCATTTGTAATTTGAAAACAAATATGTCTGTCAGCTTGAAAATATTGTGGTTATATTAGTTTATTATTGACTTGTCTGCATGGTTTTAGATTTTACATTTTAGGCATGTTTTACTGTCATATGTTCAACCTGATATCCTTTTCCAAAGTTGTACATGTATATATTAGAACTGTCAGTGAGTAACTGTCTTGATCAAAGTTAAAATATATTAAAACTGAACAAAGTAGAAATTATTTCAGTAAATGCTTTTCTTTTGTTCAAAGTTAAGAATATTTAAACTGAGCAAAGTAGAAATAAAATCAGTATTTGTTACTTTCTTGATCAGAGTTGAAGTGAGCAAAGTAAAAAAAATTTCGGTATGTGTATATGTATTCTTTTCATTATTTACTAGTACATGTACCTATTTCTATATAATTAGAAAATATAGTAATTTATACAGCACGTTTTTGACATTTTACTAAATTATGTATACATGTTATTGTACTGATACAAATAGTTTAGTTTCAAATACTTAAAAGCTCCTACCTGAATGTTGAATTCTGATTATTTAGTCAAGCTCAGATCAAGTTTGAACAGCAAATGCTCATTGGGTACTACACTTTATGAGTATGACATTTGACGTTTTATATTTTTTGCGATAGTTGATATTGATCATTTATACGAGCTCTCATCCAATCATATTCAGACGGAAATACTCTTCCCTAGTAACAGAAATTTTAGCAACCATCACCTGTCATTTTATGTATATAATGTACTTTGAATGAAAATGGGGGCAATTATTCACTTTCATTTGTTCTTTGTAGCCTATTTTCTTAATTGAAGATGTATATGTATTGTTTAATATTGTATTGCAAATTAAGTTAACAACTTTATGTGAAGTCGATGATGTATTATTGCAAATTTCTTCAGCGGTGCTATGAATAGTTATGATATTCTTACTAGTATAGTACGGGTTAGTGAACAACTTCACATTTTCATTGATGTCAATATTTATTGTTATTTGTCAAGTTCATAAATTATGGTATAATCAACCTTTTAACAATGCTATTTCACAAATATTTCATTCTATTTTTGGAGAACATCTGTGCATCTTTTCGAGTAATAATCCCCAAAGCTCAGAAAAGAATTAAAATAACTAAGAGAAGGAAATATTCCCTCCTCAGAATTAGGTACATATATATGAAACTCATTTTTGGAGAGATATTAAAAATAGAGTCATTTATTATGTCAACACCAGAAGTTGTGACATATTGTTATCGTCTCCAACTTTTTTTTTTATTAATTATGGATGGTGTTCGGCTGTTGGCAGTAGCAATTGACATTCAGCAGTAGGCATTTGTAATTAATGGCAGGTGGTGACATTTTTGCATGTTAATGCCTTGTTAACCTGTTAATGCCTATGTCATGTGATGCATGTTCGCCCAATCACAGAATGAGAATCATGACAGTGACAGTGAATCTGTGTTACTTTCAGGCCTTTGAGACAAAAAAGGGACAAAACAATTCAAAGCAAATGCCTGACATATACGCAATTCGCGTGAAAATTCTGAATGTATTGCAAATGTTTTTTCTCCATTCTTTTTTTTGATATATCGTTGCTCGTTTTTTTATGTTCTTCTCCAGAAATATTTTTGCTTGACAATAATGCGTATTTGTGAGACATATATCCGTATTCTGTCATGCAAAAAACTAGCATGACTTCATTTTCTTCAGCAAATCCGTGACAAATACACAAATTGCGGGACAGTTGACAGACTATTATGTTAATAGTAAAAATTAAAATCATCAAATTGAACAGGTTAATTAATGTTATCACAAGGCTAATGTTATCACAAGATATATTTTTTGGGCTTTGCAAATAATGAAGACATTGAACTAAGATGAGAACCCTGGGAATTAAAAATTGATTTATTTGCCAACACTTTAACGCCTTAGTGTCATGTACTTGAAGTACTCAATATTTTGATTTGAGTAATAAAGATAGCAGAACTGTATTATGTTACAGACCCATACTGATTGACTTCTGAGATTGGAGTGTGTTCTTACAAAGACAGGAAATTACATAATGGCATCTTGAAAGCCTTTTTAGTCATGTTAACTTTGACTTTTTACGCTTGCTTAATGTGACACTTGCTCTCGTGTGTATAATATACAGTTTTCCTCCATTTGGAAAAAGACCACGATCACATAGTACATTATCCCATTTGCATAGAACTTATGTACATCTGCTAAATGACCAAATACTTTTTACGTTAATTTTTTAAAATCACTAAGAATGACTTGATATACTTGGGTAAGATCAATTTATTGAGTTCATTAAAAAAAGAGAACTTGTTGTCAGGTAACTATTTACTCCGCCAAGTTCATATTTATAAAACTTTCCTGTTAACCTACTGATATTTCTTTATGATGGTGGCTTGTTGCGATAACAAGCGTCTTTACTTCCATAGTTGTGTTCTAATTAGTGATGACATAAAACTTCAATTTAATACATAAATATAAGTGTCTGATTTAAATATGTGCCCTTCTTCCAAGAGACTCATATTATAGTAATTAACTGGCCATGTACGATGTTTGCTAAACCTTGACTAAAATGCCAAAGGAGTTCAATTAAATGTTTTCGTTTCTTTGCCCACATCCTAATTAGCAATGTTTACTCAATGCCCTATACATGTTGAGTCCTTAAGTAAGGGACAACACATTTGACATCGAATCAATACAGGGTGGACAAATAAAACTGGGACATTCACATATTCTTTCTATTTACAAAAGCAGAAGTGAACCAAATGTCATTAAACAATTTCAAATAAAACAATGGAAGTTTTCATTATAATTTTCTTAAAGCAAGAAATGTGATGCATTTCCACAAAAACAGCATTTGAAATTGATTTTAGGTATAATCCTTTATTTCCCCACCATTTTACTCATATCTAGCTAAAATATCATTGTTATTTGTAGCATTAAGACACTCCTTTGTGTTAAGAGTAAAATTATGACAACATTGTGACTTTTTATTATAGAAACTAACCTTAATGGGTGTTGTATGAATTGTTCCAAAAAATCAAGGTTTCTATCAAAATGGAACTATGTTATGATGATAGGTTTACTAAAGCATTAGATATCGAAACAAATTGAGATTAGAATGACTTATGGTAGCAAAAGTTTCAGAAATGTTGTGTCATTTGACCATAAGAATTAAATAGGCTGCTGAACACCATTTTTCACATCATAACCTTTCTTGTTTTATAATTCCAGTGAAGACTCCACCTAGATTTACAGACGTCCCCAGTGACACAAGTGCCAAGGTAACAGTGCCATCTATTGCAGCAAATAGTAAAGTGGGCTTTAGTGCAACTGTTATCACTGCAAATGAAGGTTAGTTATTCATTAATATATTTGATATTGATTTTTCTTCAAATGTAAATCTGTAGTTTATTTAAATACACTTACCATTTAAGAATATTTGATACCTTGGGAATATTCAAGAACCTTTGAAATCTTTTAATTTTTTCAATTGTACGATGTTATTATCTGATTTGAATTTGTATTTCTTAATCATTAAAAATATGAATGAATAATGTTGTTTTCATCGCTAGGTACAGGTCTAGTTGAACTCACAGTGGAACGTCTGGGATCATATGGTTCAGTTGACGTCAGTTGGGTGACAGGGTACCCAGGAAATGAGCGCCCTCTGGGATTCACAACTGGGGCATTGACTCCAGATTCAGGCACAGTCAGTCTAGATCATGGTGAAGAAAGCAAATCATTTACAGTGCAGGTTTGTATGGAGAAGACAGTGACATATTCTGGTCCATAGTGGATAACAAGAGCAACTTAGAATAAATGAATAATATCGACATCTATAAACAAAACTCAGATCAGTTGTCTGAATTAATTTCTTTCATACAAGGTTCTAGATGTTTGTTCTGCTAAATTACATAAATAACATGATTAACATATGTATGACATCTATTTACCCCTAAAATAGCTATTATAGCACCTTACAGCCTCTTAGAATGTTCAGTTTGGAGTATGTCCTGAAAATGTTCTGAAACCCAATTTGAGGTTCACAGTGGAGGGTATCATTTCCACAGTGAACCAAATAGAGATATCTGTACACTTAGACGTGCATATAATTGTTTGTTAATGTGATTACTGGAAACATAAATAAAATAATAATGTCATGTATATCATGTACAGTCTGTGTATATAAAAAAAATTCTTATAAAGAAAATTCTATTTTCATAGTTCTATGTAAGTTCATCTCTCTGGTTAATATATCAGAAACAAGTCAAATTCTTTACTAAAAAATTTTAAATTTTAAATTTTCTTTTAAAATATTCTCTGAAGTAAAGAATTTGACTTGTTTCTGATTCTATTTTCATATTTTATCACCATTTTCTTCTAGTTATTGTTACGATGTCATTTTATGGGAATGTTGTCTATAACTAGCAATGTCGTATTTTGGTCTTATATTCAACTGACCACCCTTTCTCAATCTACAATCAAACTTGAGTATTCAGATTGTTGTACTTATAATGCATATTATATTATTTTAGCTTACTCCACAAGTGGACACGGCAGAGGCATTTGCTACTCACCTACCATTGAAGCCAACCAGTAACATAGGGGGAGGCGCGAGACTGAGAACAGGATTCACCACATGTAGAATAGACCCCCATGGAGTTGTCAGATTTGCTGAGGTCTCGAGGGTTGTCAAGATAAGTGAGGAAGTGAGAGAGGTAGGTGTTTGATTATTATTTTTAGAATATGCATTATAGTATTTATTAAAGTATAGTATTATGTTCCTCACAACTTTAATTTTGAATAATTTGCATCTGTTGGTATTCATTTACACATTCTATACAGTGTTTTTCCTGGAGCGTTATTTGCACATACACTGTAAATGAATTCAATAAAACCTTTCTAATTCAAGGCCTGATCCCAACCGAAAATGTTTTTATTAATAGGTGTTCACATTTTTAAGTTTTTTAAAATGGAAGTCTATGGAAAATTAAAAGAGATAAATTCATATTGAGATATTCATATTTGAGATGAGTTTGATATACAAAAAATTAAATGTACATACCGGTATGTATTTCAGGTTACCTTGACAATTGAGAGAATTTATGGGTCACTTGACAACATCCAGATAGACTACCAGACTATAGATGGCACTGCTGTAGGGGGTAGCCTTGACCCCCAATTTGACTATGTCACCATAGACCAGGGTTCTCTCACCATGGCTGCCATGCAAATATCCGCCACCATTCTTATACAGGTACATAATGTGTGCTTTTAATGTTTCTACAGGTTGCCATCTATTTTTGGTTTGAAAGTAGATCTCTGTGCTACTTGTGAAGTTGTGATGCAATTCCTTACAAATTGGCATATTTCTCCTTAAATCATAAGAGAGTATGCTTCTTATTGCAGTGTTTCACCTAATTGCTCTTAACTTAATTGTCTCATCTCCTTGGGGGGGGGGGCCTATCAAGAGCACCTTAATTTCTAATATAATATTTATGTTTGCTTACAGATTAATCAAGACAACTTCCCTGAGCAAGACGAGAACTTCAGCATCCATCTGACTCGTGTCCAGAAACTCCCCAGCAGCTCAGGGCCTTTTGCTGATGTCTCTCCCAGAGTCAGTGGAATGTTTTCCACAGCAAATATCACAATCCAGGGTAACGATAACCCATATGGTGTACTCAGTGTGATAGCAACGCCATCTTTGGTCCCAGAACCTGGCGTAGCTCAGATCCGCGTTAGTAGAGGTCGCGGTGGATCATTCGGCGAGATAAGTGTTCAATTAAGGACAATAGGTGGCGGGGAGGCATGGAGCAATACAGTCGTACCTGAGGTGTCGGATGCCACAGATACCATTGCACAGGTAAATTACACAATATAAATATAATATAAATTAATACCATATTCTCTGTAATAATCGCCCACCCCCTAATAAATGCCCATTCCACTTCACATAGTTCAAAAAATAGTGAGGAATGACCAAGTATTAACAAATATATCAGAAAAAATCAAATTTCCAAAGAAATTGTAGAGGCCGATAATAGAGCACTTACACTAAACTTCAGTAAACATGACGCATTTTGTAATTTGATGCATCCTCCCGATAAATATCTATCTTTGGGTGCTTTCCACAGCATACTGAACTTATATTATCTCAAAAGAGTCCATTATGAATGAAGGAAATGTTAAGGTTCAAGAATTTTGATTGACATTTTACCAAGATAGTTTCTGCGCAGGATTTCTGTGTACGACAAAAGATTGTCACATTTCTCGTTTCGTTTTAACATTTTTCTCTTTTAACACAATTTTACACGAAAAATGACGATCTATCATCAAATTAAGAAGATAAAGTATAATTTTTTTAGATTGATATCGAACAGTCTCCAGTCCCCAGATAATCGGGGGAAAAAAATTCTTTCAATTTGAGGGGCTCTGTTGGGGATTTCTTCAACCACTTTCAACATTGTCTAGTTAGATTCTTGCAAGTTCCTTGCTTCATTTTAGCGATCTTTACCATGATCTCTTCAATAACAATACATGTCATTATAGTAAAAATATGCTGTTACTTCGTTTTGATGTTGAAAATAAGGCATTCTTGGCAGGAAAAATTGCCATGCATGAAATTCCCGGGAATTTTTGACTTTTTTCATATGTGAACGCTTATTAGAATGGTCTAAGGATGTATCTTTAATTTCTTAATCCCCCGGGCATCAATTACAGGGAATATGGTATGTGAGTCACATGTCTACAGGGCAGGTAATAGAGAATGTGTGAGTCATGACAAATGTCTTTTCTGTAAACAACTTTAATACCACATATTTGATATGAGTCACTGATATTGTGGGTTTACTGACATTGTCATATTATCAATTACATGTAGTTCATTCTCCAAAACCATCATAATATCTTATTATGGTCCTTATTTCAAGTTCTCTTTCAAAGCCTTTATCTCATGGTCTTTTTCAGTCCATTTATTGTTAGTTATTGGCCTATACTTTATGTTATGATCTAGTTGGTTGGAATCATAAATGTACTAAAACTTCTGGTATTAGTCACTCAGATAATTAACTTATAATTGTTATTACTGTTATTCAAGTATGTTGCTAATTTAAGCTCTTCAGGTTGTTTTTTTTCATTTTGTAGGCGTTAGGTGTTAGGGATGAGTCAAGAAGGGCTTTGGGCGGTCAGGATTATGTAATCCTTGACCAGATGATTACTTTCACCAATGAAGATACAGAAGATAAGTTAGTGACCATCACAGTTGTGCCTGATAACATCCCTGAGCCTGATGAGTCATTATTTGTCTATCTAACATCACCAACAGGTGGCGCTAGAATCGCTGGTGGGACTTCCGACGGGGGTCTCTTTGGTTATGCTATGGTCAACATCACACGTAACGATTTATGGAATGGAGAAATCGGCTTTACAGATGATTCAAAGTTTGTGACAAGTGAAGGGGAAATAAAGGCGACGTTAACATTGACAAGGGGAAATGCTTTCTATTATGATGTCATAGTTGGGTGGGTGGTATCGGATGAGAAATGGCGGGACCAGTTAGTGAATACGGAAGGAACAGTCCTATGTACAGGAGGATTTGACAAATGTGAGTTCGATATATTACTGGTAGATGACAACAAACCAGAGTTCAAAGATTCATTCATCGTTGAACTTGTAGAGAGCAGCATTCGCCCAACAGGAAGTGCAACATTGGACCCACGTCGTACAATCGCCAATGTCACAATACCAGATAATGACTATCCCAATGGACTTGTTCTCTTTGATGAAAGTTCACGAGTAAAGAACATTGACAAGGATGCCAAGGTTGTACGTCTTAAAGTTGATTGTCTTCAGAGGGTGTCCCGGATGGAGAAGATTGTGAAGGTCAATTATGAGACATTTGAAATCCAAAACACCAACATGCTTATAGCTGGAGTAAAAGTTTACCCTGCGTTAAGTGGAGCTGATTTTATGAGAAAATCAGGAGTAGTGACATTTGATTTGAATGTTGATTCTCAATTCATAGATATCACACTTGATCCCTTCTCGGCATCAGATAACCCCTACCCGAAAATGTTCCAGATTGTTCTCAGCAGTCCAACTAATCAGTCGAGTTTAGATAGTGAATTTTCTGTTGCTAACATCACCATAATGGACCTTCAAGAAATTGATATATGGAATATATTACCCGAAGCCCAGAAACAGCTCACAGATACCACCATTACAAGTATTATCAACGATCTTGATGATGCGATTCGTAAGCCATTAGTTGAAAATGAACTCCACGTTACACAGGAAATCCTTGATACAATCAGCGAAGAGGGTTCAAGGAGAGTGCTGCCATCTGGTATCAAAGCAAATATGATGGATGTATTTTGTCGGCTTTTGGACCCAAGCAGGACTGATAGTACAAGGGGTTTCTGGAAATTGTCTCAATCTTATGAAAGGTTTACATATACATTCCTGACTAATGAACCATGTGAAACAAGTAACTTGATAGTGTACAATGAATGCAAGTGGTCCAGATTTTCTGTTGCTAGATGGTACCCTGACTCCCTCAATGGTTATAGGTAAGATGTTCTATGGTTTGTAAAGATACCCATCATCAAAATTGTAATTTTTTAAGCATGATTGATTTGGATTTTTTAAGTTTTCTCCTTGTAAATGATTTTAAAGTGGGATTTTTTTATAGAAATAGTATGATTCCTCAAAGATCATTTTGCTCCATTTGGTTTCTGAAACCATATCTTAACACTCACCCACTATTTGATTGTGATTGCATGTAAAGTCGAATGTGAAACAAATGAGACAGTATCATAAGAGAGCATATACTTGTATCTAAATATGGGGGTTCTGATTTCAGGTACATGGCTTCCAGAGATGATTACTTCACAATCCCAAGTGCTCTTCTCTCTGTGGAGGATGGGAAAGACTCTGATAATCCTACATGCAAAGATGCCCACTTCATTGAGTACCTTAGCGAGCAATGGTTCCAAAAAGATGAGACACCAATGTTACTTAACAACCGAGTCATTACAATTGGAATAAAAGGTCGGGCTTCAAATTTCATTGATCAGCCTGTCAAGTATCGTATCCACACTCCAAATCGACAGATTGCATCACGGAGGTCACAGTGTGTGTACTTTAACGAACCAAGTGAACAGTGGAGTGGGGTAGCGGACGTCTGTGTCGTGAAAAATAACCTGGACTTGGCCATTGATAATTTTGTTGATTGTGAATGCAAGCATATGTCCAGCTATGCCGTGCGGGCCGATGTCAAGGATCCCAACCTTGTAGGGTATCCCATATGGTTCCACATCAGTTGCTTCATATGCATGGCTGGATTGTTATCTGCCATACTGTCTCATCATATATGTGCCATGCAGCCAATGTTTGCAGCCAATCTACTGATGCACATGTGTTTTGCTGCCATGGCAACTCAGGTATGTTTGTATTTTGTATCTTTAGCTCCATAAAGTGCCAAAATTATTGCATTGTTGGCTGAGTAAATTGAGTAAGAGAAAAAGAATTTGTTTGTATCTAACATTATCTTGATTTGTGGAAGAGTGGATGAGAGTGGATAGATGCTTGGAGAACAGTCTCCTGGGCTAATAATTTTTTTCATGAAAAATATAGAAATATTACCCAAATTAAACTATGAATATTCAAAAGAGGACATTTAAATCTACAAGATGTAAAAATAACAAATTTGTCTGAAGCAGGATAACGCTCAATTAGACAGATTCAATAAAATACAAGTCTCGATTTGGGGAAAGAAGTTCATCATTGTACTGCGCTAATATTTTTTTGAGAAAAATCTAGAAATATTACCCAAATTAAATTATGACTATTCAAAAGAAGGCATTCAAATCTATATTATGTAAAAAATCAAATTTGTCCGAAGCAGGGATAATGCTTATTTAGATTGATGAACTTCGTTCTCCAAACTGAGAATCGTCCTTTGGCTAAAACACACTTCTGTAAAAGTAGTTATGAGCAATACTACAAACACACCCTCTATATTATAGCCCCATGGGCTTCCAATAGAAAGCCCATGATGGCCCTCATTTTCCTTAGAGTGTGAAATATTTGAAAAATCCTGAATGAAAATGTCAAAGATTTCACTCATAGAATATTGTTATTAATACAATAAGATCATCAATTTATTAAACATACCATAACTCACGTTAATAAACCAATTTTTTTACAGGTATGTTATGTGGTAGCAGCTTACCTGAGTCCATACTACATTCTGGTCCAGACACTGGATGTGAGCAACTATAAATGCATAGTCATGGGCCTGTTCCTACATTACTTCTTCATGGCACAGTTTACATGGATGATGACCCAGGTATGGCTGTTAAAATGACACAGCCTTTAAATAAAGATAAAATTGTAGCAACCTGTACTTATGCTATTAAAGGACCATATGATGCTACAAAAACTGCTATGTAAGCAGCATTTGAGAAAATAATGTCTTTTTGTTATTGTGTCCCATAGAATTTTTGTTAGCCAACCAGCAAGGTGGTATTGTTCTTATTGTAGTCGTGATGACATCCTGCTTATCACCCCAATATCTATGAAAAGAGTTCCCTCAATTAAATGCATTCATACAAATATTACATGGTATCATCTTGTTTATCATATTACCTTCTGGGCAGCCATCTTGAATTATGTCAGCCATTTTGGATCATTTTTAAACTTGATAATTTTTGTCATCATGATTCCAGCCTTAATTTCCATAAATCATAAACAGTTGTAAATCATGTACCTTTCAGGCTGTCAACCTATGGAAAACACTAGTCATGAATGATGAACATACAGCCAGAAAATATGTGTTGTTCTTTCTACTTGGTTGGGGGACACCAGCCTTAATTGTGGCAATATTCTACGTGGTCACATACAACCTCTACAGATATGTCTACCCTGATATGCCAATTGACTTCATCTATGGTGATGTGGGCAACAATGGAGAAATGTAAGTTATGATTTAACCTTGTGGATGAGGTTGACAGAAAGAAATGAGCAGATTGTCAACTACTGCCATCTTTATGTCAACCTGTTGCATGGTATATAAGAGAAGGGAGTTACCCAGAATGCAAAAATGAACATATGCTGGTTGTACTGGTATATAAGAGAAGGGAGTTACCCAGAATGCAAAAATGAACATATGCTGGTTGTACTGGTATATAAGAGAAGGGAGTTACCCAGAATGCAAAAATGAACATATGCTGGTTGTACTGGTATATAAGAGAAGGGAGTTACCCAGAATGCAAAAATGAACATATACTGGTTGTACTGGTATATAAGAGAAGGGAGTTACCCAGAATGCAAAAATGAACATATGCTGGTTGTACTGGTATATAAGAGAAGGGAGTTACCCAGAATGCAAAAATGAACATATGCTGGTTGTACTGGTATATAAGAGAAGGGAGTTACCCAGAATGCAAAAATGAACATATGCTGGTTGTACTGGTATATAAGAGAAGGGAGTTACCCAGAATGCAAAAATGAACATATACTGGTTGTACTGGTATATAAGAGAAGGGAGTTACCCAGAATGCAAAAATGAACATATGCTGGTTGTACTGGTATATAAGAGAAGGGAGTTACCCAGAATGCAAAAATGAACATATGCTGGTTGTACTGGTATATAAGAGAAGGGAGTTACCCAGAATGCAAAAATGAACATATGCTGGTTGTACTGGTATATAAGAGAAGGGAGTTACCCAGAATGCAAAAATGAACATATGCTGGTTGTACTGGTATATAAGAGAAGGGAGTTACCCAGAATGCAAAAATGAACATATACTGGTTGTACTGGTATATAAGAGAAGGGAGTTACCCAGAATGCAAAAATGAACATATGCTGGTTGTACTGGTATATAAGAGAAGGGAGTTACCCAGAATGCAAAAATGAACATATGCTGGTTGTACTGGTATATAAGAGAAGGGAGTTACCCAGAATGCAAAAATGAACATATGCTGGTTGTACTGGTATATAAGAGAAGGGAGTTACCCAGAATGCAAAATGAACATAAACTGGTTGTACTGGTATATCTTCAAATGAAGATTACTTCCTCTTTGAATTCTGGGTGATTTCCCCTCCAATGGTAATCCATGAACCTTATCTATCTAAACAATACAAATGATTTCATAGTTTATAAATGGATGGATTCGAGAGTTCAAAAGTCAGTGGATTTATTGGATTATAAGTGCATTCAGCCCAAGCCTCACCAGAATGTTATTGAACATTCCTTCAATATGTGAATCATTATAACATTTAACTTGCTTATGTAACTAACATTATTATGTGAACATTACCATTAGGACATATACTGAATACTCAAAAGTTAACCGTTTCAAACTCAAATTGTTTTTGTTTTTCCCAAAAGTTCATAGTCAACAAGTCAACAAAGCTTATAAGTCAACAGTCATGAATTTTGCAAATAGGCTTGCTTGAAGCAAACTCCCTGTCCTCTCATTATAAAATCACTAACATCATTGTCAATGATGATTGCCACCATTGTTTTTAACTTGTCAGTCAATGTACTTTATATTGTATTAATTGGAATAGAGAAAGATGAAAATGTTGACTTTGAAGTAGATCTGCATCATGAGAACTGTTATGTAATTTTCACAATTAGAATGACTAATGAAATGCAAAATATTTTTCCCTCAATTAACTACCATGGGCGTAGCCCTATTTTTCGAGAATTAAGGTGGGTCTGGGGGTTCTCCCCCACGAAAATTTTGAAATATGGTTGTATTTAGAGCGAATCTGCAACCATCTGGTACGCCTGTGTGTACCCAGCGTACCGGGCGCTACGCCCATGACTACCTTAAGTTACTTCACTATTTATAAGTACATATAAAAGTTCAATGAATCTGATGTGAGTTGGTGCTCCACATATAATGCTATTTAATCAATCAGTAGCCACTACCATTGTAAACTGAACTGAAGATGCTACTTGCACAACACACCTTGTATTTTATATTAAAAAGACTTCACAAGTAATTTAAAGTCTCTATTGTCCATTTGAATTTTTGGCTTTCTTATTTCAGCTGTTTCATCACCAATGCCTACGCTGGTCTAGGGGGTATACTGGCTCCTGTACTGATCTGTATGATGGTGGTTGGAATCATATTCATACAGGCATACCAACTAAAAGCACAATGGGAAGCCTATGATGATATGTACAGGGGACGATTCAACAAATATGGTATGTGCATTTTTCAAATACAAGTCATGTAGGTTTCATCAATATTTGACTGCACAGTAAGCCTGTGTAAGGGAATAGTGCTCCACTTGAGAGGTGTTCTATTTCCCGAGGGGTTCACTGTATACAAAATTTGGCGATGGTCCTAGGCTGAACCCACAGATATCAATATATTCCCATACCAATCTGTTAAATGTGTTCCCATACCAACCAAAATAACGCCCAAAAGCCATACCAAATGTCCAAATGTAAGACCAATGCTATACCTAATATCCAGATATAGGACCAAAGGCATTCAAAATGTCTAAAGCCCCAGAAAGAAGGCAGATCTTTGAGGAAAACGATCCAAAATAACCTCTAATTATGGATTGGTGTAACTGCTAGACCAATGCCATACCACAAGTGAGAGGTACATGTAACATATTTTCTACGAACATTCTCATACCAGAAAGTGAAAAAATCCAACCATTGCCATACCTCAAAAGTCATAATTTGGGGGGGCCTAAAATTTGGGTCCATTGCCATACCAAATGTCAAAAAAGGTGCCCCATGTGCGCTGAGAATCCCATCAAGGTTTATATAGTGAACCCCCTAGGTTCTACTTGAAGAGGTTCAAGTTTTCTACTTATGAAGGTGTTCCACTTACAGAGGAATTTTTACTCTACTTAGTGTACTGCCATATTAGCACCAAGAAACTCACATACTCCAAGCACACAATAAATACAATTCGTCCAGATCAGAGTTCATCAGAATACTAGACGAGTAGGGATTTGCAAAAAATAAAATAAAAAAAGGATCGACTGACCCTGTTGGGTTTCTTGGTATTATACAGTGTGGCCATCAGTTAATATATCAAACACAATAGGCAACATTTAAGAAGCACACAAGTTACATGGCAAACCTACCAAATGAATTATTATATTGCATGATAATTAATGTAATTTTCTTACTTCATACTTTCAGAGATTCGTACACTACTGCTATTCTGGACCTTAATTGTTCTCAGTTGGTTGTGGGGTGGCCTTCATTTAGCCTATGGTCAGCTCTGGATGCTTATACTATTCTGTATCTTCAATATCCTACAAGTAAGTTCTTTTCTCCAAGTAATTTTGAGTTGATAATTGGGACATTTCATGGGACATAATTGGTATGTTGGCCAATTTAAGCGGTATCATTTACACATTTCAGTTGTATTTAAAATGTTTTCTCGCACACTGACTCATAAAATTATCCAGTCAATTACTTAATAATCATGACTATTACTAAAACAATTTAATTATCTCCTGCCTGGGGATGCTATGTTACATATACTTCATAGGTGTAGCCAGGGGGTTAGATAGATAGAAGAAGAAAGGAGCTTTAGCTCAGTTTTGAAGAAGTTACTTCAATTTTTGCAAAATTAAAAACAAATCTTAAAAAAATATTTTGGGCTCGCTTATGCCATGGTCGCATCCCCCCTGACTGAAAACAGATCTTTTTTTGGCAATCACACTCCCCCTGACTGAAAGCTGACTACACCCATGTACTTAGCTAAGGGATGATTTTAAGTTCAGTTATGTATTAGAGATGGGCAAGACAAAAGATGCTGTATATTAAAAAAGAACAAGATTCCTGGAAAGTGGACAGTAGTATTAAAGAAATGGTCGTCATCAATCTCAAATCAGATTCATCAATCTCAAATCAGATTCATCAATCTCAAATCAGATTCTATGACATAGTGAGACTTTCCAGCTGAATATTTTTAAAAAACTACATTTGTACATTTTGAGATGGTCCCTTAAAGTACATATCCCCCGAATACTTTTTATGTCCCCACCACATAGTGTGGGGCCATATTGTCTGCCTAGGCGCGTCCGTCTGTCTGTCCGTATGTCCGTCTGTAGATATCCAAATGTTGGTCTGAATTTATCTTTGTGGAAAGATTGTATGCTTCAGTTGCTCTTTAACAAAACATGTGGGACAGTGTATCTATATATTACAAGATGTCCGTACATCCGGCAGTTTTCTCCAAAACCGCTACAGATATCACCTTCAAATTTTCAGGGATAACTAATGAGTGCATACAGATGTGGATGAAAAACATTTAATTCGAAACCTACTTCCTGTCGGCCATTTTGTAGTCAAATGCTAAAATCCTTGCCTGCAAACTTTAAGAAAAACGGTTTCACAGTTGCTTTTAAAACTAGCGCGGGATAATACTTTGTATCATATTGAATGGTGTTTTTCAGTTTTCATACTTTAAATAATCTTGTCTATAAAGTCTTGTCTACGTGTTTTCAGGTGAACCGTTTCATAGATCAATTTCAAATTTTCAGGGATGATTCTTAGTATGAAAATCTAGATCTGATTAGTTTTTGGGCATTCTGGGTAAATTTCAAGGCAGCCATTTTGGATTTTCCGTCCTAAAATCTTGTCTGTAAAGTCTTGTCTACGCATTTCCAGGTGAATCGTTTGGTAGATCAATTTTTTGGCATTCTGGATAAATGTCAAGGCAGCCATTTTGGATTTTCCGTCTTAAAATCTTGTCTGTAAAGTCTTGTCTCCACATTTCCAGGTGAACCGTTTGGTAGATCAATTTCAAATTTTCAGGAATGATTCTTAGTATGAAAATCTAGATCTGATTGGTTTTTATCCCATCAAACGAAGTTCGGAGGGATATAGGGAACGCCTCCGTCCGTCCGTCCGTACTTACGTCTGTACGTACGTCCATCCGTCCGTCTGTCCGTCCGGGCAATAACTCAAATACCGTTGGCCCGATTTTGTTCATATTTTCTACACATATACCCTATGGAAGTAGAAGTTCTGCTCGAAAGCCGATTTTCAAAATGGCCGCTCATTTCAAAATGGCGGCAATTTTAGTGCCAATTTTACAGTAATTTAGGTGCAATATGTAAAACTGTAATAGCAATATGTTTTAAATGTAAAAAAATTATAAAGGACATTAATAATGCTACAAATGTAGATATTAAAGAAGCACATGGCAGCCATCTTGAAAAATGGCGGCCTTTACTTGTCATTTTACGATTTTTGCTGTAACTCAAAAAATAGTGGAGCGATTTTGTTCATATTCGGTATGTGAATACTATAAGCACTGCACACTGTCTAAAGACAATTTTGGTAGAAGTTAAAATGGTGGCCATTTTTCAAAATGGCCGCCATTTTAACGTATTTTACTATAACTGGAAAAGTAGTGGAGCGATTTTGTTCATATTTGGTATGTGAATACTATAAGTATGGCATACTGTCTATTTCTATTAATGACACTTTTGGTAGAAGGTGGCCATTTTGAAAAATGGCTGCCATTTTAACGTATTTTACTATAACTCGAAAAGTAGTTGAGCGATTTTGTTCATATTTGGTATGTGAATGCTTTAAGCATGGCACATTGTCTAATAAAACTTTGGGGAGTAGTCGGCCATTTTGAAAAATGGCCACCATTTTTATGTGTGTTATTTTACAAGTACGCGGGCGATTTTTCAAAAATTTTAGAGGTGGCTACTTAAAAGCATATTATTTCTTCTGATGACAACTTGGCTAGTGAGCAACCATTTTGAAAATGGTGGCGTTTCTGGTGTGTTGTTTTATGATATTTGCTATTCGTTTGTAAAAATGCCAGCCATTTCTGTTCGATGGGATTCGCTACGCTTTAGCGTTGCCGTTGTTCTGGTTTGGCATTCTGGATAAATGTCAAGGCAGCCATTTTGAATTTTCTGTCCAAAAATCTTGTCTGTAAAGTCTTGTCTACGCATTTCCAGATGAACCGCGATGATTCTTAGTATGAAAATCTAGAACAGATTAGTTTTTTGGCATTCTGGATAAATGTCAAGGCAGCCATTTTGGATTTTCCGTCCTGAAATCTTGTCTGTAAAGTCTTGTTTACATGTTTTCTGGTTAACTGTGTGACCGATCAATTTCAAATTTTCAGGGGTTGTTCTTAGTATGAAAATCTAGAACTGACTAATTTTGGCATTCTGGGTAAATTTTAAGGTGGCCAGTTTGGATTTTCCTTCCTCAAATTGTGTTGGTAAAGTCTTGTCTACTCATTTTTAGGATAACCATTTGACTGGATCACCCATAGGTGAGGACATTTTGTACACATTTTATATATGTATATGATTGAAGTGCAAGTGCATTAAAAATTACTCACTCCTTAACACCCCAGTCACATTTGTCGTACGGCGGCCTTAAGTCGACCCCAGATCAATGAAATCAGTGAGTTTTTGCGGCAAGCGTAGGAAAACAACGTCCGCCTTGCGGTCTCCGTGTGGTGTACCCAGTTTTTTACAGGCCGCAGGGAAGGTGAAATTATAACTCGGAGTCCGTCCGTCCGTCAACATTGGCCGCACAAATTAAAACTGCTATTCGGATTGAGTCATATCCACATTCATTTATTGCATATCCATAATGCCTATTTGACCTATCATCCCCATTTCCCAAGTTCGCCCGGTTTCCGAGAAATTGCTGATTTTGACGTCAAAAAGTCAAATTTTCTGTAAATACTAGACACTTTGTTGAAGTAGAACTTTCAAATAACTTGTAGTAGTTGCTGTATATGCAACTTATGTCCTCTGAAGATTTCAAAGCTCTTGGAATTACAGTTTTTGGTGTTTAGGTGGTGTAGGACTTTTCAGTCATTTTCAGGAAACTTTCTCATGTATAAAATCAATGGCATGTTTTGTGATTGACAAGTTTCTCAAAGTTTGCCTTATACTTGATCATTTCTTGCAATGAATTACATCATTACTAGATTTAAGCATTCCCTACATATTGCTCGATATATGTCAGCATCAAATTTTTACGGTTTTTGAGATATTTGACGTCAAAAAATAGTAAAAATAAGTTATTTTTCAACTTGCTTCAATTTGACCAAATTTTTTTTGGGAAAATCATCTACAAGTTGCCAGGAGTTCAAATCTGACATTAGTTTTAGGATTTGACCTTTACTTGACCTTCAGTCACCTTCGGAAGGTCAAAAAAGCTGATTTTTCAAATTGATTTTTGGATGTAAATTTTGGGCAGCTTCACAAAAGACCTTACTGAGCTCTGAATAAGTAAAATTTTCAAGGTCAAAATTCATCAAACTAGGTCACACAACTGTGCTATCTAAGTTTCTCAAAGTTCGAGACTTCAAATCCAAATCAATATTTTTGTTTGAAAGTCAGGATAAACATTCCTCTGAAGGTTCCAAACTGTGTGAGCACAGGACCGTGGGTCCTTTTTTAACAAAATACTCATTGGCCAGGCACTGGTGTTTAAAATGGGAGCAAATGTGACCATGGCATTATTTGCATACTTTTGCCACCAAAAAGCCCATCTTAACAAGGCTTTTTGATGATTTCCAGGGATTGTACGCATTTGTAGTATACTTCTGTCTACGTAATCCATGCCTACCATGCTTCCATAAACCGGAGAAACATGGGAGCTACACAATAAACATCACTGGGAGTGATCCTAATGCCACTGCAGACTATATGATTCATCCTGTTTCTGGCACAGGCAGTCTTCATGGGTCAAAGGCATCCTTACTTAATGAGGTATAGTTGTTATTGTTAATTTTTTGGTATGGTACCGTATTAGTTGATTCCATGAGTAAACAAAAATATACAAACAATTGATTGCCAAAGTTTTATTAAAACTTTTTTTTTAATTTTTTTTCTTTTTTGTTGTTCTCAATCAGAACTAAAACTAGCTCGATCTTTATATCTCAGTAAAATAAAAAGTATAAACAATAGTTTTTCTCATTTCAATACAGGTAGAGTAGTCTATTTTTATACTCCTTGTCAGCGCACGATGATACAATTACTGAAACAATTGGTGAATATTTTACAAAAATACAAAAGTTACAAAATTGACGTGAAATCATTTTATCCCACTAACTACTTCGTGATTGTTAAAATTAGATCGTAATTATTATGTTTTACCATGTATGTACATGAATGTTTTATTTGTTATTTGCTTTATGGGACTTATATCTCGATGTACCTTAGATGTTCAAGAGACCAATAAACTTATTAATAAATTAAAAACATTAATAGCAATTAAAAGTTGTTCATACAATTAAATATCCATAATTACAGGGAACCATTTTTACATGGAACCACTATTAAAAGAAATGAAAATATTTTTAAAAGTTCAGGAAAATTCAGGAAAATTGTGTAAAGCATTCAGTAAATTTGCTCTCCTCATTTCTGATTTTCCTTCATTTTTAAAGATGTTGTATATAACCATAGGTTTCCTAAATCATTCTCAATGACAATCTATGATGTCCCATTATTACTTAGATAATATCTTACTAATACCTTAGATATATCTTGAGACCAACTTATTGGTTATATTGAAATAATCATCAGAATAACCAACCATCAGATTTGAACACAATGTCGCAGCGATAGAAGGGGAATCTCTGTCAAATGACACAAGTGCCCACAGGTGCCTTGAACCAGGCAGCCAATCGGGTTCATGATAAATGACCAATCAAATAACAGAGGGATTTCCCTAGTATACTAGTATTCAAACTTCAGATTTAATTGATTTCCATGGAAGTAATTCGTTCGTCAGTACAATCGCAAAGTTAGCACTGAAAGAGGGATTTGGGATTTCTTTGTAGTTACCGGATTTTCTCGCATATACGCCCCCCTAAATTTAGGCCCATGGGCCAAAAATCGTAGGTAGTACGCTTATACGCCCATTGGCCTATAAAAAATGACTATTTATTGATTTTTTCAATAAATTCAAGAGTATTTTGTCACTGGCAGATCGTTCTGTCGTTACTTTGTTTCAACATTAAGTTCAACGCTGTGCCGTAAGTGGCAGTGGTGGATCGTTCTGTTGTTACTTTGTTTCAACATTAAGTCCAAGGTTGTAGGTGACATTTCCTTTATAATTCTTACAAAACATGCGGTAGGACTACAACAGTAGGTACGGTAGTCTTTGTATTCATCAGCTCTTCTCACCTTTACGCCCACTGGGCCAAAAATCGAAAGTAGTACACTTATACGCCCATGGGCGAAAAATAAGAGGTAAAATAACAGACGAAATTACCCCTTCTTTCAGTTATACGCCCAGGGCTTATATGCGAGAAAATCCGGTAAGTAGATAGGTGTATGTGGTAAAACTCAAGATGCTCTCCTATGGTGTAAAGTCCCTTGAAGTAAAATATGAGCTTAATTATTTCAGTAATGATTATTATTTTCATATTTTTGTTACAGAGTTGGGAGCGTGGATCTGTGGGCCACCAGGGACCTTTAATGAGAGTTAAACGTACACCACCACAGAGCCACCCCGGTAACATCTACGTCCATCCCCCAAGCCCTTATGACACTAAACCCCCACCCCAGGCACCATCTATAGGTATAGGGGAAGATCCAGGAGAATCACAAGATTTTGATGATTTAATTTTTGCATTAAAAACTGGTGGAGGATTTACACCAAGTGAAATGAGTGCCCAGATGGAATCTACGCTTCAAGATCCTGAGGAATCTACTGCCTCACCAGGATATGAAATGAGAAGAATAGCGATTGCTGACACACATCTTTAAGATATAAAAAATATTTTAGCTGAAAATATGTTGAGATGTAACCAGGATTTCAAGCTGCAAGTGTATTACACCCAGGATGCATCAGATCTACTGGTTAGAACTTAAATTGTTTTCTATGCTGAAAAAATTAACGGACCCAGATTATTGGTGCCATAAGAGGTATGGTTTGACAAGTGCCATGGTCGTCAACAGAAATGGTGGAGGTCTCGAGTAGACTGTAATTATGAATCTAACAAAGCTATTAAATTATTTCTGAACAAAATTATTTAAATGCCCAATTTAGACTGATATGATATCTGAACAAAATACTGATAAAAAGACTGATAAAGATGTGATAATTATTGCATTTGGTGTCAATTTCTCATGTTGTGTGTTACATAAGATTCACCAAGATTGAGCCCTGGTTGACCATTAAGGGACCTCTGATCTTGCTGGTCTCCCCTTTATTGTGCATGACATGATATTTGTCTTTTATTCCAATGACAAATATGTATTGATTTCTCATTGGACAACCAATTAAAGGATTTTTATGAAAATGGAATGATTATTTACATAATGTAGTATTTAGTAGCATTGTTTTGGGAATTTGTACTAGTAGCTTGAAAGTACATGTACATTATACAGGTAATGTTATAGGTGAGGCAAATTTAAAATGGTGAGGCAAATTTGAAATAACGGGAAAATAACACCATGATAAGACCTCACTGTATTGGAAAGGGCTGGCTTATACTCTTGATGTATACAGGGTAGGCCAAAAAACTGATACGAAAGTTTAAAGATGAATGATTCAAATGATATATATCTTAAATGTATTATATGTATGACATATCATTTTAAGATAAAATATTTCCTTACAATATGACACCATCTGATTGAAAAGCTTTTGTTTTCTTGCGAAGTTATAAGCTAAAATCGACACCAGGGGTGTCATGAGCGCCCAAAAAATGAAAATTCCAGAATTTCCCTTCATATTGCAGTCACATTTGCACTCAGTATGCTTGACTGAATCACTATAAATTTGTCAAGAGTAATATACTATTGATAGTCCATTCAAAAGATACAAGTATTATTGGTGGATTTTGCACTAACCTTGTATAAATGTACCTATTTTGAAGGTGCCAAAGTTCAAATTTCCCTCCATTTTCCACCATTTAGAAATCCACAGTGAATAATGTTTTGGTCGCTCATGACACCCCTGGTGTCAATTTTAGTCTCTAACTCCACATGAAAACAACGGTTCAACTGGATGGTGTCATATTGTTAGGAAATGATTTATCTTTAAAATGATATATAAAACATGGCACGATTTATCATTATAATATTCATCTTTAAACTTGGCTATTTTTGGCCTACCCTGTATAAACAATCTAATGTTATTTTAACAGTACATACTGTACATATATCTTGGTTGCGGCTGTTTCTAAAATCTAGATTTCAATGTTATGTCACTAAACTTATATCAAATTAATGCCAAATAGATTAGAATCAAGGTGCCATATCAACCAAGAGAAAGGGAAAGCGATATTAGCATATAAATCGTTTAAGAATATGACAAAACTTATATGTACATGTACTTGATAAGCATATTAAAATAGATCAAAGATCTGTTGGATAAAACTACTTATACATGGTATTAAATGATCTGATATTTTTTATGTGATATTTATGTAGTATTAGTATTGGTATGGGAATCCGTCCAACTGAGGTGCAGGGTTTTTATATGCTTTAGAGTGGTATATTGTTATATATATTGTGGTATATGCATTGAAATGGTACAAATGCATTCATTAAATGTACAACAGAAACTTAAAGAGATTTTGGCAATAATTTTTGGCTTTTGCCTTGCCTGTCGATTTTCAAATATTCAAACCTCATGACATAGCACGGAACATGTCAGGATGAAACTGTTGCATAGTTTTGACAGAATCAGTTAGGAAAGGCTTTCATAGATGACTTCATTCATAAAATGTTAACATACTGTTATGTTATACCGTACTGAAGTTGGCAGTGATGAGTGTTAAGAGGAATATAACCTACATCATTGAAAGCTGAATACAGGTACTTGCTATTTGCTGGATCATATTCTAGATAATACTGTAATAGAATGTAAAGCACAGATGAATAAAATAGTCTTAATGATAATTCTTGATGATCATGAAATAACCTAGTATGTTTCTGGTTGTCATATAGATGTCAGAGTGGTTCTCGTATATTTTGTTTTTTGAATATAACCATCTGCGATTTTTTGTTTGTTGTGATATTAGAAACACCGTCCATTACAAAACCATTCCAATTAATGCATGTTGTATTTGAATTTGTATTTTATTTGTATTGAAACTATGAGCAGAAAGTAATATCAACATTATTATATATTATTATCTCTATTTATTATTTTTGAACATCAAAATGACATACACGTATTGTTTATTTCTCAATGATACATGAATGTATACAATATTTTTATCACTGATATTGTTAATAAAAATGATTTGTAATAAAATGAATTTTTGTTCTTATTAAATCAAAACAATATAAATATTATGTGGTAGTTTATGTATCTGTAATCTTTCACTTGTCCCTTTACTGATGCAACCAACATAGTTTTTAAAACTTATATGTACATTTGAATCATATACATGTATATATTAATCCGACATATTTCAAAATATTAAATATGTAGTTTTACTTTTTTCTGCTCAGTGGCTCACATCATGGTGAGCCTATGTTATCAACCATTCATCCGTCTGTCTGTCCGTCTGTCCATCGACAATTCTTGAACATATTTGAAACTGCTTATTTTCTGAACTAATGCTCATGTTCATTTATAAGGGTCCATTTTGACAATGTACATCATTGGTCTCTGATCTTACTTTAGCCTCTTTTTAGATAAATGCAAAATGCAAAGTTACATTTTCAGCGAAAATGTTGCAATGTCACTCATACCATGATTTCTTGATAAGTCAATTCTATTTCATGATAAACTAATTCTATTTCATGATAAACTAATTCTATGGCTTTCCTAACCGTCAATTATGTGTTTTTTTATTTATTTTTATCTATAAAGACACAACCTTAAATCAAAAAACAGATTATATGTCAAAAATTACTGCTGAATAAAAAAAAGAAAAAAGATGAATCCGTGGGCTATTGGTAGTCGTTAATTGATATCTGATATTGCTTTTTAATATTTACTGTAATTGTTTTGGTAATTGGTAACCGTTTATATTTGAATAGTTCTGAAAAGAGACACTTATAAATCAAGATATTTTTTCAAATAATCGCCTAATTATTTTATAAGTGTAGTAAATCATGTTGGGCAAAATGGCTATGAGTAGGTAAGAACTTCCAGTAGGTAAGTTACAATGTAAATTGTTGTTCGGGCAACCAAAACTAGTCAAAATAGTTCCCATAGGAGTTAAAATACCCATCTCTAGAAACCCCATAGACTAGTTAACGGAAGATATTCAAACATGTCCTCAGTTTTGCCCCACGTACCCGACAAGGGCTATTCAAAAACATTTAGCTCTAATTCAAAGAGTTAAAGTATATTCAGTTTTGCGGAGACTCGGTACGCATATCGAGCTCTATATCTAAATCTATTTAATGTACTCGTATTCATTCACCATTCTTATTGTTGATATTATTACTTTTTTAAACGTTTGCACATACTCATTAAAACATAAAACGTTGAACCGATAACATTAAAATGTATTCGTAAATCGCTCCAAATGAACAACATGATGAAAGAAATTGAGTTGCATATTGCAAAGCAAAAATATAAATAAGAAGTGTAATATTGCACCTACTACTGAAACTGATCGACGAAATGCTAAAAGATCATCCAGGTAATAAACGGTACTTAAAACAAAATTCGATGAAATAAGAGTAAAAGGTATCCATGATACGACGTCAGATATTGTTAGTACCTCAGTGTAAATACTCGCATCTGATTGGTCAATTAGCGGTCAACATTTTTGCCTGTACCTCACCTGTGCATCATGGGATATCATATTATTGACCGCTTATGTTACTGTACTACACTTGTGAATTATGGGAAATATGACGTCATAATGTTTACAGAAAAAACATGGTAGACGGACATTTCGTAAACGTTGATGAAAGTGATATTTTGACTTTGCTAGACGACAAGTATAGCAAAAATACAAAAAGAAACGAAAAATTAACATTAATTTACAAGTGAGTATGCAGTTATGTGCCAAAAAGATTTTCAAAATTATTGCTGGCGTGGTTCGGAGAAAAGATTGTGAAATGAAGCCATGATTGATGACTTACGTCTATATGTGTATTATTAGTTTCTTCTGACTAACAAAACAATTGTAGACCTCTCCATTCGGTCAACCGTCAAAACCATATACCTTGACTGTAAACCTTGAAACTACTGTTGACCTCGACCTTCGGTCTCTGTCAACGGTAGTTTCTCGGTTTACAGTCTCGGTATACAATTTTACCGGTTGACCTCTGACCTCTGGAGAGGTCAACAATTGTATACTGTACATCACGGAATTTAACTTCATTTTTACATGCGTACTTACTTTAAGAATCGCGATATCTCCACATCAAAATCATATTTCTATACAATTTTTAGTCATCAGTTGAACATATATGTCCATGAAATATTTTGCCTATCGGAATTCTAAATAATTGATTTGGGACTTTTTAAATGAGAATCACGCAAGCCGTATGATGTGACTTTCTATGCGAAAACCGGGTGTGGACTGTAACATTTTGAAGAAAAATGATTTTAATTTTAAAAGAAAAATGAAGATAACTTTGTCATTTCTTAACAGATCTTTCTCAAATTTTCGCATTATTTAAATTCACCATTTTGAAAAAAAATAGATTCTGTGTGATGACGTCATAATATAACAATGCTCATTTAACGCTTATATTTATGCCAAAAAAAGTGTGGACAGGCAGAATTTTGTACCAACAAGATATATATTTTGATCAATTAAACATTTAATCGTTTGAAAGGTGAATTATTCTCTTTTGATTCCTCAAAGGCATATCATATTCTTTATTTTAATCAAAAAACTATATCATTTCTGTAAGAAGTATAAATTGAAAGAAATATGAAGTGAAGCCATGTGAAAAATTCACAAAATTACGTTTCATTTTTTGTGTTCAAATATCTCTAATTAAGGGATAAACATTCAAAACGTTCCAATGTTTCAGCATGTTCTTTTAAATATACCCTTTCCTTCCTACACGCAATTAATTTCACTTAATTTGAATTAGTATATATTGAGATAGACATCATTTTATCACCGCAACCCCAAGTCACTGGGGAGTATCGTGATGCAACAACACCGTGTTGTTGCATCAAGATGGCCAGACTTCCGGTGATAGATTTTCGTACGATATTTTGTTTCCCCAATTAAACCCATTTCTAGGACGAGTTGCTCAATAACCATACACATGCAGTTAGCGCACGATCTATATTTAAAGAAACTGTCATTAGTATAAATGTACCATCACCAAGAAGCAATAAGTTCACGGTTTTAGTTCCTCACTATTGATGCAACAACACCAAACCGAAGATGCAACAACACCCCTCTAGATTTGAGCAATGATGCAGCAACACCAATTAATAGTATAATTTCAGAAGACCATAAATCTCGAGAGTAACAGATTTTTAAATGCTACTATTGCAACACCGTTACCCATTACCCATATTTGCGTTCTTCTCAAGGCATTCAAAATACACGTCCTGCGGGCGAAGATCCTTTATATGTATTTCCAAAAATTTATAGTTTTAAATATTATAATGTACTGGACGTTGTTCTATAACATAATGCAATCGCCTTTAACATGGCAAGCTTTAGTAACCCAATCTATTTTCATAAACCACTGTTCCATAGCTTGATGACCCTGACTCCAGTTAGTATCATTCAAAATGGTGGACAAACATCTTTCGTTCTCGGTAAACATGATGAACTATTGGAAATTATCTGTCATCCATCTGTGGAACAGTGATAGACTAGTAGATTTACGTTACCACTGTTTATAACTAAAACAGTTTAACTGTGACATTCGTGAGCTTATGTTGATGGGATGATTGCTTCATCTATGATATAATATGATATGATTCTTTATCTCCTCCAATTTGGAGAGCCAACGTGTAAAAACGTCTAATTGACTTTATTAGAGAGGCCGTTTAGTTACACGTTTAATGGAAATCTTGCACGACGCACGTGTACAATTATTGCTCTCTTTGGATTCCTTCTCTCCGACTGAGTAAAAAGGTAAACAAAAGTGATAAGATTAAGGGCCCAAAAGGGTAAATTGATAGGGGTACAGTTATCCCAGATATCCCGGGCCCTCGGGAAATATCATATTGTCTCTCGGAATAAAACCAATATTGAATCCCTCTCACTCAATAACCTTTATATAATAGCATCATTAAACCAACACTCTTCCTACACAACTCTTGAGAACGATGTACAACTCCTGGATAGCGTAAACTCCTGAGCAGCGTATACAACTCTTCAACTTTATACATGACATCATACTTTGGGTGGGATAACAAAGGATATACAATATACAATTGAGGTCAACTGGCAAAACTGTATACCAATACTGTAATCCTTGAAAGTTCGGAGGTCGAGGTCAACAGTACTCTCAGGGTTTACTGTTGAGGTATACACTTTGGCCAGTTGACCGAATAGAGAGGTTGACAATTGTTTGTTAGTCCGAAGAATATCATAATTTGAAGGATATAAATTATACAATTGTAGACCTCTCAGGTCAACTGGCAAAATTGTATACCGATACTGTAAACCTTGAAAGTACTGTTGATCAAGACCAGAGGTCGAGGACACTTTTGCCAGTTGACCGAAAAGAGAGGTTAACAATTGTTCTGTTAGTCCAAATAATATAATAATTGGACGAATATATAATCGAATGTCACGTGAACATATTTGATAAGTAAAGGTATCTCCAAGCCGTCGAATACTTGTAATTTTTTACACAACTTATTTTTTCAAAATTAAAAAAAATTCAACATTAAAAAACAATTTTTCAAAAATAGGGGTCAACAGTACCTAGTAGTGGTCAACAGTTTACAATTGTTGACCTCCCCAGAGGTCAACCGGCAAAATTGTATACCGAGACTGTATACGAAAAACTACTGTTGACAGAGACCGAAGGTCGAGGTTTACAGTCGAGGTATATGATTTTGACGGTTGATCGAATGGAGAGGTCTACAATTGTTTTGTTAGTCTGAGTAAACTAATAATACACATATAGACGACAATCATTAATCGGCATGGCTGCATTTCACAACCTTTTCTCCGAACCACGTTAGCAATATTTTTTTAGAAAATCTGGAGACAGTGCAAGTAGCTTAACTCTGTATTTGGCACATCACGGCGTACTCGTTAGTGAATTAATGTTAATTTTAAGTTTCTATTTGTATTTTTGCTATACTTGTCGCCTAGTAAAGTCATTTTCACTAACGTTTACAAAATGTCCGTCTTCCATGTTTTTTTGTGACGTCATGAAACTTTTTTTCAGAAGTAGCGGTCAACAGTACCTAGTAGTTTTTTCAGAAGTAGTGGTCAACAGTACATAATTTTAACCGCTAATCAACCAATCAGAATTGAGCATTTCAATTGAGGTACTAATAACACAAAATGACTGATACTGTATCTGTTGTCTTTCCAAAATTATATTAGTTATTTGTAAGCAATTTCCATACGATAAATCAAGGGCATTTAATTTAGAAAATGTATGATCTTTATTTTTCAGATACAATATCAATGAGATTGCCTCCCGGGGATTCTGTACTTTATTTAGTTTGCCTTGTATATCCTTTTAACTTTGATATATACAAAGAAACCAAACAAAATACGTTTCGTTCATGGACCACTGACTCACGCGTTTTATTCATGTCCCGACCTACACCTGTAAACAGAACATAAAACAGTTTCTCTTGTTGTTCAATGATACATTATATTGGCGTTTTTGCATCAGCACATTGGTGTTGTTGCATCATCGATAAGAAACAGAGTGGTGTTGTTGCATCAATAGTGAGGAATTAAAACCACGAATTTATCGCTTCTTGATGATGCTACATGTATACCAATGACAGTTTTTTAAAATATAGATCATGCGCTAACTGCATGTGTATGATTATTGAGCAACTCGTCCTAGAAATGGGTGTAAATTGGAAAAACAAAACAGCGTACGAAAATCTATCACCGGAAGTCTGGCCATCTTGATGCAACAACACGGTGTTGTTGCATCACGATACCCCTCAGTGCAAGTGAAGCCTTTACAAAATAAGACGTTACGCCGTTAGCGTATTATAGCCTATGTTCTCCTTCATTATTAATTGCTTTAAATAAATAAAACTAAACATTCGAGTTAAAATAAATAATACATTTAAAAATCCTTACTATTTTCCCGTCTGTGTATATCAGTTGAATATGACAAGGGGCTCTGTGAAAGAGTCTAGAAAGACGGTGCGACAACGAGAGCGCATGGCCGAAAAACGCGACAAAGAAAACGGGTAGGGTTTAAAATGTCTACTTTCTGGTGATTCTAATTCTGTATATCGTGACACAATCTTTTTGAATATCGAATTGTATTGAAGCACATATTAATCTGAACAAAACTTGAAGTTTTTAAGAAGATTCCACGAATATTAAAACTTTTGCAATTAGTATTACTGGGAGGAGCATTGCACATATATTAATCGCGTAAATCTTTGCATTTTGTCGGTAAAATGAACAATTACAATGTTACGCCGTGATGTACAGTATCTGACGTGGTATCCCATGCGTTTGTGCAACCCTTGTAAGTTATGCTGAAGAGGGTATTGCGCAAACATGAATGAAACATCATCATGAAGTTTCAGTATGACAGAAAACTTGTTATAGATCAGATCTGAACTTCTTCATTATTTCATATTTTACATATTGAACATTTTAGGTGTTACATTTTCGTGCTCTCTATCTGTTATGTAACACTTTATTACTGTTCCCGTTTCACTTGTGCAGACACATTCATGACCTGTCAAATGTTGAGTATGATGTGCAATGTTGATTGACTTGTTACAAAAGTTGGTAAAATGTGTAAATAGCTGACACTTTCCAGGCTGGCAAAATAGCAACACAAGAAAGGTACATGACACGAAACCCAGCATCGCTTACAGTATACGCAACAAAATATCGTTGGACTAAACATACGCGCATGGTCAAATGTTGAAGTCATTTTGTTAGATTTGATCATCAAATGATAGGGAAGAGACAGTTTGGAGATAGTTTGGACACATCATAGCAGATGCGGACATGGATATAAACCCAAGGGTCACACATGATGGGTTGTTTGACTCTCATATGGACTTTCAAGAGTTCGCTGTACCACGTGTCAAAGTGCCGCCTAGATCAGAAGCAATTAAACGACATGATGTCATTCAACGGGACACAAAACTTAATAAAACACAAGCGTCCGAAGTCGACAAATGCGATCTGAAGCCCGGTCATTCCTACATTGCTTTAATATCTATGGCAATATTAAATCACCCTTCGAATAAATTGTTACTAGGGGATATATATGACTTTATCACCGACACATTCCCGTATTATCGAAATTTGGAAGATCGCTCCTGGCGAAACACAATACGGCACAACCTCTCCTTAAATGAGTGCTTCCTAAAATGTGGACGTAGCGAGAATGGGAAAGGACATTATTGGACTATTCATAGTGCGTGCCTTGAGGATTTCAAACAGGGAGATTTCCGTCGCAGACGGGCTCGGCGGCTCGCGCGCCATGGGGAGGATGGGTCGTCGAACAATCGTAGCAATGCCGCTGGTAGACTGAATAGATGTCGCTATGAATACGTCCCCATGACGAGTGTCGAGGCAGTGGGGTATGCAGTACCTGGGTACCGTCATTACCACCCTTACGCTTTACGATTCTACAATTCAACGCCAATGTTAAGTCACTGCTCAGTGGATGGCTAAATACATTTCTTTTAACCGCTATTGTATTCAACTATGCATTGAACAAATAGTGTAGTTGAACTACGTTTTTCTTAACATTGAGATAATACCTCATTTCAATCGTAAGTGTTGCATTCAAACAAGCAGTCAAAATATCGCCAACCTAGAAGATATCACGTACTTAAGAAGGACGCAGTACTACTCGTTTACCCGACCCGACCTTTTGTTTTTTCATCTCGAAATAAAGAAAATGAACTACTAATTTGAGTATGTGACGCTGGAGATTTTTTTTTATTAACAACCTAGTATGATTATTCCAAAAACAGTCAACGACAGTCTCACCATGACCTTGTTCAATTTTCACAAAATACAATTGAATTAGAATATGTGTATTTTTCTCTGTTCAGATATTATAGCAAAATGAACATCAACGATAGTATATTAAAGGCAATCAAAGATTAAAAATGCTGTGGTATTTAGAGGTTGTTAATAAGATAAAGAGTTTAATCTTCATAGGATAAAAATTCAACTTCGACAGCTATTTTAAAACCATCATCATGATTACGGATCCCAATCATCTCGAGTCCTACAATAAGCTGACGATTAACTAAAGATGACACTCTGACAAATAACATCCGATATTTTGATCGTGTTGATGGTTTTATTTATTAAACAGGTAGATACTGGAGACGTGAACATCAACACGCATTTATCTATTAAAGCTTTGGGAAATTGGTTAGAAGAATTACAATGGAACAATTAGGAAATCTTCGCTGAATCTTGCATCTGTTCCGGCGCTTACAAAGCAAGCTTAAAGACACTATCCTATTTTTAAGAAATTACTAGTTAATTAAACACGCAAATACACATCGTCATATTTCTCATGGTCATAATCACAAATATTTGAAATGATTTAGCACGATACTGTATTGTTCTTAACATCGTTCTTCTCACAATGTATTACTAAAATATTCATTAGTCTCACTTTGTCGACACCATCTTGTATATAAATTGTTTAAGTTTGTTTTAATTATATTTTACTAATTCATATAAGACGGAATTTTGTTTTAATAGCACACCGAGTCACGGAACTAGTATTGAACGGTAGAATGAATTACATTTAGGTAGACAGTGACTTTTGGTTCATTTTTTCCAGTGACGTCAAAATGTCAACATAAAGTAATAATACTAGTTGCTTCTTTAGACATTGTTCGTTTTTTCGAAGATTACTGCATGTAACATACCCTAGTTATGTTTATTTTCTCAGTGCTGCTGTAAACAATTTGTTTATTTTCAATTTATTATGTACTTGGCTATCACAATACTGTCTGAAACAGCAAATGATATGCTCGGTCGTGCCTAATTGACTCATCTGCATACTCACATTGACCAGTTTGATTTTCAATCACACGTATGAAAACATCATACCTTGGAAATCCAAGATGCTCATCTGTGGGGAACTTGAAACATGTTCGTGCAGCATCAGTTTGATAATGGGTTTTCAAGCCCCCCGGGTCAAGCCCATGGTTTGATAAATGTTTCTCAAGAAAGTTACGACTTTTTGCTGCAAATTCGGGAAGATAATAATGGAAATGGAATTCGGCATTTTGACGTCACTCTCCACCTCATAATCATGTAGTCGACGATTTCTATTGCCGTATCATCCAGAGAAGGATATTTACAACATAAACGAGATACTACCTCCATATCATTCCTTCCAATCTGCCTACCTAGATTAAAGGGAGAAACATATTATTTATTTTGTAATTATGGTGGTGTCATTAGGGACTTCGGTATAGCACCAATCGCTGAAGAGGGAATTCACAGATTCCAGATTTCAATATTTCATTGTACACTACACAATAAAACGTATTCTTTAATCACACGTCCTAATAAATTAATTAAAAACTGATTTCACATGGCAGTTTCTATACTCACCAGCAGATTTTCTTCTCAGTACAGTATTGTTTTGATTTAAGTGTTATCTAATTAATTAGACGAAAGTATTAAATAAATGATTACTAAATGATTAGAAACGTATGAATTATTGATTCGTAAATGATTATTCAATGCTGTATTACATGTATCAAATATTATCGCAACTGTGGTATAACAGAACTTACATAACTAGCAATATAATAATTTATTACACGTAAAATATTTATCAGTATAGTCTTATATTGATGCTTGTTTGTTCACGTAACATTCTGCCTGAAAGGTTGGTGACTTCGTTGAACCAAAACACGCTAATTAACGATATGTTATGACATCATTGGTTTAATTTGTTGTCATTGTGAAATATTCTATTGTAAATAACACAATAGATTTGACGATAAAAACGTAACTTCAATAAGAACCTCGCGAATCTTAGCTTTTACCTACGCGGTACCTATGTAAGTATTATTCGACGCATTGAACAACAACATATCGTTCTAACGACGTATGATACGAATTATTGATTTAATTTGGTGACATCATGAAATATTTGATTGTAAACAATATAATGTACATTACGATATTTGTGTTTTGTATTGTTTGAATCATGATCTTATACAATTTAAATTTTCATATAATCGTATGGAAGCTATAAGATGGATGAAAATCATTTTAAGAATTCCAACATGAAAAGATTTCGCCCTGCTATTTGAAAACAGTTTTGTCTAAGACTGACAATCTTGTAAGTCTCAGGTTTTGTTGATAAGTGGGGATGGGCGATTTAGCAAATCTGTCAAGACGGGCAGTCGTTTAAGTTTTTAATTATATATGATAGAACAACAATTACACACAATCTCATAAACAATCAGGTACAGTAACATTCCAAATAAATATATAATTTTTTATCAAATAATTATCTTCCAAAAGCTCGCTTAAACAAGGATAGTAATTGAAGATGTTAATATCAGTAGTCGAGGCTGATGTTCTTTTTTCCTTGTTGACACGGATTTTGAATAGTGGTTTCCAAGCTTCAAAGGACGATTCTCGGTTTGGGCTAATAATTTTTTCATGAAAAATATAGAAATATTACCCAAATTAAACTATGAATATTCAAAAGAGGACATTTAAATCTACAAGATGTAAAAATAACAAATTGGTCTGAAGCAGGGATAACGCTCAATTTGACCGATTCAATAAAATACAAGTCTTGATTTGGGGAAAGAAGTTCATCAGCTAATTTTTTTTGCGAAAAATCTAGAAATGTTACCCAAATTAAATTATGACTATTCATAAGAAGACATTCAAATCTATATTTTGTAAAAAAAATCAAATTTGTCCGAAGCAGGGATAATGCTCATTTAGATTGATGAACTTCGTTCTCCAAAACCGATCGTCCTTTGATTGGCAAAAGAATAGAAATATTAAACATTACAGTATGGTAAAATTATGGTACTTTCTTTCATACATAAAACAGGGAATACGATGTCTTAAGACTTTTAGTGACACATTTTTAACCAGGAGAAGCTTTTCTTGGTGTATATGTTACATTATGATTTGAAATATACATGTTTTGAAGTATTAAAAGTGATTTAGGGGTAAAATACAATTGATGCATCTATTCTATCGGAAAATCATGTACACCATAAAACTGATCAACACATCTTTAACTAAAATCAAAGTTTTGATCATAATATAAGGAGTTATGTTAAATACCCAGAAATATTATTATCAATAGACTATCTATAACTATCTAAATAAGATATCTAATTTATCTTTTGCTTTTGGAATGTATTTTTATTGCAATTTTAAATTGGGTATATTTTTTGGCCCACCGAGTATTTACAAATATCTGATCATTTTGTGTGATACCATTTTTATCGACGAGTTGATATTAAATATCAACACGAGTGAGCCAAGCAAATGAGGGTTGATATATATGATGCGATAAAATATCACGAGAAATGATCTAATTCTGGGTTTATCCTATGATTATGATCCAAAATAAAATTCAAAAGTTTGTACAAATATGCAGCTGATAAACGATATTCTAAAACATATCACACGGATGTTCATAATGTGAAACAAGAAAATGCAGCAAACTCCTCGAGTCGAGGTCTCCAAGTCAAAAAAATTCCTGACTCTAGCATATATCTGTTGATTAGGCTATCCTGTTTATAACCGATTCAAGAGCGTGGCACTGAACGAACCTATATGCCTATTTGTTATTTGTTTGGTTGTTGGTTGGGTAACATATTTATGACGTCACAAATGATGCGAAGAATCTTTAAACCAATCAGTGAAGTCTATTTTAATTGTTTGTTTAGTTGTTGATGTGGCAATACGTGTCTGTGACGTCACAGGTTATTGCATCATATTCTAGAAACGCCATTTTACGACATTGCATAATTTTAGCTGATTTTGGCTTCATTTCACTTTATTTGAAAGACTTTTAAAAATATAATAATGAGTCGGTATTTTTTCTTATAAATATTAATATTTGAAATTGAGGTTAAAGTCCGAAGATTTGATCAACTGATTGAAATCACATTTTAAAGAGGTGAAGGAGTGAATAATTACAGGAGCAAACGTGATCAATGGTTCAGGTCTCCCGCAAAGTAGTCGCTACGCTCCTACTTTGCGCTGCCTTCGGCAGATGAGACCTCGAAAAAAGTGACAATATCCACAGATATCACTTTTTCCACCCATGTGCAAAATATCAAATATATGCACATGTTATCAAAAAGATTTAACCTAAACTATGAGGTAAATATAGAAATCACAGGACACGGAATGACTTGCTCAAGGTTTTTTGATTGTCAACCTCTCGGTAAATTTGCTGGCTATTTACACAAATCAAGTTTTCTTAGTCACTAGTAATTAATTTTTTTATACGACCCACCACGCGATATTGATAACCACGAGATATGAATCATACATGTCATTTCTTTGGATCTTACCTTAATGTACTTAGGAGTAATGTATTTTCTAACGTTTGAACTTGTGAATTAGTTCGAAAATGCTTTAATGAATGTTCAGTACGTATCAGATCGAGGTCGTCGATTTGTTTGTGTGTCATGTGATCACTGGGGCTTGTTCTGATTGGTCTTATTGGTAAGGTCCTTTTGTAATCACTTCGGCTTTTAGCGCCAAACAGTTAACTCATGAACCTAAATATTTAATGAGTTTGTTAATAGAACTCAAATTCCTACAGGTACATTTATTCAATGAACTCAAGTCCTACATTTTCAGTTTCAGCTTGCGGGTAGGCTGACCCCCTATTAGTCACTGAAAACAAACTTTTAGGTGCCTCTTACACTCCGTAAAGGGTTGTGGTCACCGGGAACTGATATGAGTTCGGTTTTGTATCATTATTGCAATTTCAACATTTCAAAAGAGCAAGTTTATTTGACAAACATTTTCATTTTCTCACTACAGAATAACGCTGTTAGATAGAAACTAAGCATTTATTTCGATACAAGTTTTCATAAATTGTGAGAGGGTACATGGATCATTGTTCCGAACATTAAGTCAAGAACGTTCCAGAATATTTAACATGTTCATACTTCAGAGTTTGACATTTAAGAAAGTTATAAGTTATCATAAACTTGAAGAAATGGTTCTAAAGCAATTGTATGTTTTTAAAATTTCAAAAACGTACAAGAATTTTCAAGAATATTTTGTAGTACAAGATCTTTAACAAATAGAAAATCAGCATTACATGTTCTAAATCATGAAGCTAGTCAAACTGAGGACATATAATTTTTGTTTCTCTAAGGTCGTATTAAACCGACTGCAGTTAATATCTCAAGGCAGATAGTTTTTCTGAAACTTAAAAAGACCACTGTTTCGAACAAGTGGCTGAGAATATCTCAGAGATATCATTTTTATGGAGTACACTTTTATGTTTTTTCTAAAGTTTTCTTAAATATACTGTATTATTTCAAGGCAGTTAAAATCTGTGTATAAAAAATGGTTTCCGAAACCTAAACGGCATTGTTCCGAACAAGAGGCCGGGAATATCTCAGAGATATTATTTCTACGGGGCATACGTTTATGCTTTTCTAAGGCCTTCTTAAAACCTTCTGTTGTATATATTTCATGGCAGTTAAAAATGTGTATAAAAACCTAAACGTCCATTGTTACGAACAAGTGGCTGATAATATATCCAAGATATTATTGTTATGGAGCATACTTTTATGTTTCTTCCAAGGTTTTACTAAACCGTTAACAGCATATATCTGAAGGCAGCTAAAATGTGTATCAAAATGGTTTCTCTAAACCTAAACGACCATTGTTCCGAACAAATGGCCGAGAATAACCTCCGAGATTTTTCTTAGAGTATGGGGTTGAGATTGGAATTTATAGATTGATTGTAAGTGTTTTTGTTAGATGTTTTTTCAGTGTTCACCAATAAACGGGTCGCGCACAGCCATCCACATTGTAAGAAAATGTGTTCTGTTGAATTGTGTTATGACCGCCTGAGAGCGGTGAATGAGCATTAATATAATATCTAAATTGGAAGTTCTTATGGGAAGTTATGATAAAAATGAGCAAGTTCTTCTTGAGGGAAAAAGTCTTAGTGCGCATTATAGAGTTTTGCTTCGTCTCAAAAAATCTGAAAAATTTGTGAACTTTCAAACAATCCAAAGAATCATAGATTAAAATGAAATTTGACAAGATAAAGTCAATGTTAAGAAACATATGGATAATAATAATAATTCTAAATAAAAATAACTCTTTGGCCCTTCTCGATCACGCTATCGCATCATCCGGAAAAAGGTAAAAAAGTTAATTTCAGATATTTCTAATTTTAGGGTTATTCAGGTTTACATTCATTGCTGAATGGCATAACTTTGAATAATATTGACGAAATTATGAAATGACTAATTACGAAAACTTGTCAAGAAGCATCTGGTAAAATGTAAAAACTCACATTTTTGACATTTTGGAAGTCTTAAAATACTACAGATGTCGCTCTGGTTATCCAATTCAACTATGAGATATAATAGATCTTAAATAGCACGATGAAACGTAGATCACCAAGTGAATTTTTTAAATATATTAATAATCAGATCGATCCTCTTTAGTTCAACGAAAGGAGCCGTATGTTTGTTAAAATTTAAACGTGTGTTAAAATATCAGATAGCCGTAAAAGCCCTGACATGTTAATTGTTTGGGGGATGGGGTATGGAGATGACAATGTTAACTGACTTTTTATTCTACAATTGCATTTAGATTACAATCTTCAAATCGCAACAAAAGATATGCAAAATGTTTCACCAGGGGGATTGTTGGGCTAAACCCATTCTTAGCGGCTGTCATACTGCTTCGATAAAACATATGAATATTTGGGGTTTAAACTAGTCATTTTGAAAAGATTTTGAGAGTTCTTGAAGCAGAGACGAGGGTTATTTTCTCGGTACAAGGGGATACAAAGTGACACGTATATAATACAGTATTGTGTTAAAAGGTGTCCCGCTATTCTCTAATAAACACTTGCATTGCCATTCTATTGGTTCTAATCTCTTATCCCAAACTTGATGAAAGGAAGAACTAATTGAATGATCAGTTAGATAGTAACATCCTTTGTTGTAATTTTGACTGCATGGCATTCTATGTGTTGCATCCATATGATTAAATGTTTTGTGATAAATGACAAATCTGATTCAAACGCCTATCCGCCTATCCGCCATCTTGCTACTTTCAAGTCAACAAAAACCCTATCCGTTTCTTTCAAGTTTGACAAAAAACATCTTTGTTTATAATGTATTGTGGTAATATTGTTTTCAAACAACAATACCATCGATGAACAAAGCAAAGTCGATATTTCAAAACTATTTCTCAAAACGGACATAGGCCCAATCTTTGTCAAACCATCAAAAAAGAAATATGTAGACTTAAGACCTTTTCAACCTAGGAATTCATTTCAATATTTACTTAGTATATTGACAGTCGCGTTTAAATATTTTCTATTTGTGTCAAACGTAAATAAAAACATGCTATAAACAAGTTGTAAAATTTGGTTGGGATTGTATGTGAGAACGCCAGGTATCATGGCTTGTCAAACTCACATTTTAAATAGGCTTGTTAGAATCATTAAGGTGACAGGTTTCAAATGAAAGTGAAAGCCAAATCACAAAATGATAGCCCATTACCGATATACAAAGCCACCAATAGGTTTAATGAATTATCATTACAAGCCCTACTGAATATGAATTGAATTCATGAATAGATCGATTTGAGAGGCGGGGCTGAGAAGAGTCTTGATAAACACATGATAAATGTTCTTCAATGTTTTCAATGCAATATTTACAATGGTGACAGCGTGTGGCGCCGCCTATCAGTAAACAAACAACCAGGGGGTTTGTAACTTCTATTCTCAACGTGCCACCTAAAAATGGGAAGCATTTATAGCAGCTAGTCGATATGCAGACATAACTCGACACATCCGTAGGTCTTTGGGATTTCTGACACCAACACATCACTTGATTATGATTATAAATTTATGTTCATGCCCAATTTGGCATTTCTATTTTATACACGTCAATCTTGGTATACTAAGAGGGAGGGGGCGTGGAAATCTTAAAGTGAAGACTTCAATCTAGATTTTGAAGTGGTGTCAGCAGGAACATATTGCTAAATACGAACTTTTCAATGACATATTAGGGATTAACCTCCATTTTTACAAAATATCAATATAACGCTCCTTTGATGTTGTTTGTCTCGGATACTGCCATCACGTGTCAATTCGTCCAATGATATCCTTGAATTGCATTTTCAAAATTTGCAAGTTCTGCATAGTTGTTCGTTTTCTTGTGATGTTATTTCAAGATTGACAAATAATGCTAATTTTGAGACAAAACTGTAAAGAAGAAAACAGTTTATCAGACATGCAATTCAGAGCGTTGACATACGCCAATCACACACCATGTGACAAATACAACTATTCTTATTAGTGACCAATCAAATTCCGGTATAAGTCATCTTGTTTAATTTCTTGATGTTATTACTAGTTTTGCAGGTAAACAAGTGATTCAAAAAGTGAACGATCGAAATCACTAGATTTACGCAATGGTATAAACATTTCTAATTGGAGTATAGTGAAAGGAATTGTCAAGACAACGCCATACAACATAATAATATTTAAAAATAGTTGAAGAGTTATAGTAAACAAGATGACTAATGTAAAAAATAAGAATTAATAGCACAAGGTACGGTTATTCATCCGTTTGTTGAACTAACGTTATTAAAACAGGACTTATAAAAGAGCACCAACATTAACTGGATAATGGAGATAGAGACTCGTCAGCAGATGAAACCATACGGACAGCATTCGACAATGAACATGCCAACAATGTCGGGGCTTACGTTATCAGAGCACATGGTTCCAACACCAGAGATGGCGCAACAAATACAAGAGTATAATTCTAGAGTCCAGCTTGTTCTTCAAGGTTTTCAAGGACACGTTATGCCCATGCCCATGCCGATATCGTATCCGACTTCGATACTTCCTGTACCACATCCATTGCAAGCAGGTTTTCCTCGTCCTGGATTTCCGGCAAGCTTTCTTTGTCGTGAGGAGCCAAAGCCGCAATACAGCTATATCGGACTCATTGCCATGGCAATCTTAAGTTCAAAGGAGAAGAGACTGGTTCTCAGTGATATTTACCAGTGGATTCTTGACAACTATATTTACTTTAGGCAGCGGGGCCCGGGCTGGAGGAACAGTATACGCCATAATCTTTCATTGAACGATTGCTTTATCAAGGCGGACAGGAGTGCCAATGGCAAGGGACATTATTGGGCAATACACGACGCTAACTTAGAGGACTTCAAGAAAGGAGATTTCAGAAGAAGACGGGCACAGAACAGAGTGCGTAAAGCTATGGGACTTGATATTACAGACAATGATGACGATGATAGCCCGTGCCCATCTCCAGTCGTGAGATTACCGGTTATTTCCTGGCAAGGAAGTGGAAAGCAGCGAACTGGAAGCCCGCCAGAAACATCTGTGTGTACACCTGGGCCCAGTTTTGAAGCATCAAACATGTACAATAATGATCCTAAATCTACGAACATGTACCCGTCCAATCCTACATCTACTAAAGACATTTCGTCCGTTCAAAGCTCTGACCTCGCCAATCCATCTTGTCCAGCAATGTATAACTTTAAGCCAATAGAGCATGCTGATATGTTCACTTCGATGTCTCATAAGCCAAGATTTTATCCTCAGCCAGTTATGCCACATTTACAATCTTCAGCGATATCTCAAGATAGACCTAGAAAAAAGCGAGCGTTCGATGTTGAAAGTCTTTTGGCTCCAGACGATATATATGAGGCTCAAACTCCAAAAAGACAATGTCAGGGTAATAATTAAAAGACTCTTCGAGTTCCGGCATCTGATCATCGACAACTTCTTTCACATGTATTTATTGAATATCTTTCTATATATCAAAATTAGTAGAACCCTTTACAAGGCTTACTTAATAAGTTGCCAAAAAATCAAATGGCAATTTATAGGTTGCCTTTCAATCTCGCGGTAGGGGCTAAACATTTTCAGGATTCTGATACAAATATAAAAATGACTAATCCAGGTAGACATAAAGCTAATCTGTATGCTTAAGTCGGTAAGAAATATCAAAAAGTACAATTATGTAAAATTAGATCTTGGCATTTCAATGATGCTTTAAAAGTCATTATCTATATATTTTTATATTTAAAGCCAAAACTTGAATATAAACTAGATATTTGTCTGCCCGGAATAATCAAAATATTAAATTGTTGTACTTAATTAACAAAATTATATCAATGGTGTAATTTTACCATAAAAATGGGGGTAAATCTAGTTATTTTAAATGGTTAATTAGAAATTATCAAAACTGAAAATTCAATCACGTAAATCTGATTCAAAACATGGACCGTTTACTCAGGTAACAAACAAACGAAAATTCATGCATTAAAGCTGGTCCAATTTGGTGTTGAAAATGTTTTGATTTATATATATGATCTAATACCTTGCCTCCGTTTGAAAAATGGACTTAGTGGGTACCTTTTCGATTTCTTCATTTTCAAACTTATGTAATACAAACTAAAATTTAAAAAAATCAATTATGGTAACAAGGATCACTTATTGTTGTAGGTGCGTTGTTGTTGAAATAGATTGTGTCTTATATTTTTTCAAATATCGAAAAAGACAAATGTCGAAACGGGAGGTCTACAATGATGCCCGTCATGTAATATTTTAAACTGTGTTGTGAGTATCCTGTGAAGTTAAAAATGTTTAATCGATGTATTTTCTTCAAGTCAAAATAAATACCTTGGTGAATCAAGATTATGTTGTGTTTTACAAATTATTACACAAGATTATGTTGTGTTTTACAAATTATTACACAACCTTTATCCAATATGATAATTAGGGTATTATTATGTGTAAACGGTACAAGGCACATAATGCACGTAAATTATAATTTATGTGACATATAATGTACCGATTACATACATTTATCACTTATTTATTTTTTATAGATAAAATGTCACACGCTCGACCCATCTCCGTTACGTCAACCATGTACTGTAAACGCCAACATTTTCGTTGTCAAAATAATTCACATTTTGTCAATCTAAAATTTTTTGAAGAAATATCCAAATGAGTTATGTAAATGAAAATTAGGGCTTCTGATGCCACCAAACTTGAAACATGATCTTTGGCTCTTGTTCCATTTAATTAATTGAACTTTTAAAACACGATCTGACTGAGTAATCTTACGCGGATATTTCTGGACCCCTCAATTAGCGCTGACACATTTATAGGTTCGAGATTTGTATTATTATAAAATTTCTTGAATTCGTAACTCTCGTCTATCGAAAAAATGTCAGCCAAAATTGCATTTTTGCAAACAGTTTTAAAAGACTGTATTTCTTATTTAATCAATATGAAAAACAAATGTTTAAATAATCGAAGGTTGGCTGTCATATAAATTTTATTTTTTATATCGAGCAAGGTAAGTTATTTTACTCATATTAGTTACGAGACAATAACAAAATAACATTTGGCTGCGAAGTGCGGAACGGAACTTGTCGCTATGTTGTTGAGGATGCAAGAAAGATTGGTATCTAAATCGGTATCTAACAACACAATATAGCACCTAGACTACAAGTGGGGAGTTGATTGTCCTTGATCCAAAAAACAACAATTTCAATTTAAGACATTTACATTTGAATTCATCTAAATTCGATTTTAAAGGTATTAAAGCCATTGCAAGTATCTTGCAATTAAATTCTCGTTCGAACAATCATAACTTATTTAGCTGGTTTGAATAAATGTAAACCAACTACTGATTTAACAAAATCATTTTTTGAGCGTTTTAATTTCTCCTAATGTCTTCAAGTATTGCATGTGCATTTTAATTGTATGATTTGAAATATTGAAAAAAACGTTTTTTCCAATATTTATTGCATGAATTACAATTAACAAAGTGTAATAAAAAACATTTAACGAATTGATCACTCACTTGTACTTCAACTTTAAAGGAATAATCTATAGCAGTATAAGAATATTTGGGTGTATCTTTCCAGTCTGTAACGTAGTAAATTATTTTAAAATTAAGCATCCAAATAAATTCACCAAAACTGGGATCGAACAAAGAAAGGGCAAAGCTGTAGCATTAAATAGTGATTTGATCGGTGAGAATCTCCATCTACGTATTTAGAATCGGCTTAGCATAATTCAATGTTAGATTACGTTGTGTCAGAATCAATTAACAATCTAACAGAAATTAGTATAAAAACTGGGCATCCTAATGACATGTTTAAAAACAATGGAAATTGAAGCCCATAATTGGAACTGTTATCCACAAAGAAAAATGGTTAAAATTTGCTTCTTCCCTGGACTTGAGTTGTCGTGGCCATATGCCTGAGAAGGGACGTAATGGCTAGATAGTGTCTAGTTTCCCCTTGGCTGACAACTTCCCATATGGTGTATATTTAGGAGAGCGTGTAGGCGTTTTCTTCACCACTATTCAAATTGTCGGTTTTAATCAAAATGTGGTGGAAATCAAATCAAATGTTCTTCTCCTGCGCAATCTTTCTAATCTGCTGTTATAGCCGGAGGTTGTACAGCGATTTTCGCACGTATTAAGCATTTATATGTTGTTCCAAAGAAAAATTATTTTTATTCATTTAAATAAATGGTGCAACCTCTATTTAAATTCATGTTTGCTTGCATTGTTCATAAAGAATATGTGCCAATCTAAAATGTTTTTGATTAAAAAGAATGAAATTAAAAAATTTAACCCCATTCGTTTTGGCGAACTGTATTCAACCATGGGCTTTCAAGAAGCCCATGATTCAACATATTTGCTATGAATTAGAGCAATTACAAAGTAAATAAAACATTTAGATAAAATGCAATTTTAACTAAATAAAACGAATTTTCCAGAACAGCTAGCATGGCCTTAAAGTTGTAGCAGGGAGTTGATTAGGTCAGATGTTTTAAGAAACATCAATACGCACTCTCCTAATTAAGACTACAGTCAGCGGATGTTTCGTAAAGAGTTGTCATCAAAGACGAACTGTTTCTTTACTGTTTGAAATAGCTCGCTAATAACTCACTAATAAGTAATTAACTTATGGAATATAAATACATAAACCTTTATCAAATAATATTTTACTTTGTAGGTATAAACTTTCTCTGGCAATTAGCTTTGTAGTTTGTCGATATCAATTAGCACCATGCGGATTCATTAGAAGAATATCAGGTGAAATATATTAGTATTTAGTTCACAGGAAGCAACATTTAAAAAACAAATATACAAAAAAACAAACAGCAATAAACGTAATCAAAATATCACCAAACAAGAATATAGCCACCGTTTTCTGTAACTGGCGTTCAGCGTTGGTGATCGATTGGCGATCGGCAAAACACTATCAATAGATATTGTAACAGTTTTGTACCATTTGCAATAACTTACCAGAATGAGATGATAACATTTCTGGAAACATTTCAATGGATTGATGAACATGAATTATATTTGTAATTTAGACTAAAACCGCAGTCATCTGGAATACTAGAGAAACTTATTAAAGGACAAACATTGTGTGTTTTAGATATTGTCACGCAGCTTTGTTCTTGTACATATAGTAACCGTATTCGATTCTAGGACCACACTGTTGTTCTAGATTCGTGTTAACACAGAGCAACTGTTAACAATAACTTTCTAACATTTATATCTAACTCGAAAAGCTTTTAAAAATCTCATTTTCACTAAATTGTGTTATTTCCGATAATGAACGAACCCATCTTTCTGTCGATGGCAAATGACTTATAGGTAATTTAATTCATCATGTCCCTAACGTACTTAATTAGTGTGTTCTCTTAAACGAAATACAGAGTATTTTCCCTTTGTTATGAATACAAAATAGAGCAAAAGTCAAATAGTATTTTTGCTCGTCGTTTAAGAGATTTATACAATCCATTTCTCACTTGATTAAATTAATTATCTTTTCAAAGCAAAAAGTAGCACATTAAAAGCTTTTCCTCCTTATTTCAAAAGGCATCAGACTCAGAGGATATCACGTAAACCAAGACCGTTCCCTTGTCAGAGAACTCTCAAATAAATGACAAGATAAAACAAATGACCAATTTAAAAAAAATGTTTACTAACTCCGGACATAATTGTGACAAATAAGGGGAATTGTGAAATCATTCGAACATTATTAAATGTAATTAAAGAAAATGTACAAAGTGATTCGTCTTTGTTCAGTTTCAAGGGAATTCAAATCTATAAATACCATAGGGAGTCGGTAATTTCTTGGGTTTTCGTATTGAAAGAAGTCTTACAATTTGATTTTCGATGAGATTTGAAGTTATTATCTCGTTCGTAAGCAACAGAATTGCAGATAAAGAAGATCAATCATTTAATAATATTTCTCACGTTTGATAATATTTTCAAAATGTTATGAATCAATAACTGAAATCATATAAATCATTTATTTACTGCTCGATCAGAGGAAAGTCAAGCAACTGTTTCCCAAGGTTCGTCAAATGAGGAACATGTACCACCAGTGACACAAAACTCCCAAGTGATAAAAAACGAAATAGCAATGGGACAATTATCTCCTAATTTAACCAATTGATCAGTGACTTCCTTCCACCCAACTCTTCAAATTTTGAGGTAATATAATTACTGCAGATTAGTTGCCAACATCGGTAAAATATAGACCGTCGATTGTCTCAACCCGTTAGGTTATACGAGTCCCTAGACAAATCAAAGGTGTATTATTTGCTTTAATAAGTCGTTGAAATTAAGTTACGTCTATTGATTGAATAGCTAATTAGATATTATGAAGTTTAACCAAAGATTTTCCTTCACTATTTGACTACAGGAAAAACTTGGGTCAAACATTCAGAAAAACAAAATGAGCTGGAACCACCAGTGTATTCCAGGCGATCGATACTAGTGAAACAAATGTAATTTTTCTATTTTGAATTACTCATGTGGTTTTAAACATTTTTTAAAAAAATCAGAAAGGAATTTATCCTTTTCTGACACTGTTTACAACATATGGTGTAAAGAAAGATAGACATGTAGCGTTTTCGTGATTAGAATTAAATACGGTAATAATATAAAACGTGATGCGTATTCCATTTGACAATTTGAATTTACCTATCATTTCAAGTGCACTTGGGATTTATGAAGCCTCCTATTTCTGGTTTCTGGTCACCTGTTTACTTTAACTTCCTTGAAATAAAAAAGACGATCTCCGGGGACATTTTCCTCACCAAGGGATTATTCAAAGAAGTGTCCTGGTGGACTGAGGAAACTTTGAATTTGAGAGACAGGCTCCTTACAAATGTTGAGTTAAGTCTGTATGAGTCCTTGTATAACCCCTCATATAGACACACGGTGTCGTACAAAATAAGGGTAGGGCAATAATCTATGGGGGTGATGATGGTGACAGAGGTGTTACGTAAGCCCTAAAGGTTATTGTCATACAGATTCAAAATTGGAACTCCGATAATGCATATCTTATCTGCATTTTTTGCCATGCGTATATTAATCGAAATCACTTTTTACAGCTAAGTCAGACTGTGGAAAATTAAATAATTTATACCCCAAGTTGTTAAGAACATAATGCAATATCTTAAACCGCAGAGTAATTGTCTTTGAGGGGTCACCTGTCAGAAGATGACCACAAGCAGGGACCAACAAAACTCTCGCGTCCGTCAGAAATGTGAAGAATGGAGCGTCTGCCTGAGAGAAGTGATACCTTTTTAGCGGACCACCACACACTGTGGCCCTACTGAGAAGTTTGCAAACAGTAAAATGAGGATATTGAAGGAAGACAACTGTTTGGAGGAGGACCCTATGGTCTCGGGGCGCCACCGACCAGGTTCTCCCTGCTAGTGGTCTTTGTGTGTGTGTCACTTCTCCGCCCTCTACGGTTTCAAATAATTGTCGAGTCACTAGCACTCTGTCAAACGGTGAGAGCCTAAATTGCCGTGTATAGTAAACTAAATGAAACACGAAACAAACCAAAAATAATTTGAAATTGTTTGGATATTAAACAAAAGATTTGTAGATGATGGTAATGGCTAAATGCCTAAATGGCAATAAATAAGGCAGTAATGATGACCCCCATACAGGGCATCTGTCGATTCTCATAATTACTTACACACCCCGATCTGAAAATACGATATCTCAGCGACACCTTTAATCTTTTACGTGAATACTGCCCGATTACGCCTATTTTCTTTTTTTGATTTTCTATGAAAAATGAATTAAAGATTTTACAATGGAGAAATGGAGCAAATAGGATAATGTGAAAAAAGTGCTTTTTTACATATGGAAAACAAGATACTAAACTAAAAGACGAAATATGCGGCTTTTCTCGTTCCAAGGCTCGTGGCATGTGCAATATTTTAATTTCATTTATTTCTTATGAACTTGACGCTTGTCCACCTCATTCTTGACCTTAAAACCGTTGCATAATGCATCTCTCTACCTAAAAATACCAGGGGGGGGGGGGCAGGGGGGTAGCTTCTACAGGCAAAATTGGATAAATGAAATCAGACTGTCTATTGGCATATATCGGGTCTAACCCACTGGGTGATTTCACTCATGTTAATGGCACACAACTAAGAGTGAAAATTAGTATGTTTCATGTCATGTTTTATTTTCACATGATGAGATAACCAAAATAAACCAGCCTAATCAAAACTTTCAGTTTTCACAGTTGCATTTGGACCCCCCTCTTATCCAGTCTTGCTCTTTTTGGTCAACCTATCACATTCACCTTCCAAACAGGCTGGAGCTTTGAGTTTTTTCTCCATAATTTTTCCAATACAGAGACTGTATTTCTAGAAATTAATAAATAAATTGTGATTTAAAATGATAATCCCTTTGGTTCAGTGTAGACAAAAATATTATGACAGAAATCAAAATATTGTCCTCTATATTGAAAGATAATGTTTAGGGATTGATTGCACTTTGTTGATTGGGATTTTTCACACGCCATTTAATTACGCTAAAACAGTATGCAGTAAACGGTCGAACGTTTTATAGTTATGAACAGTGTGAAGCAAATAACACATAATACGTTACAAATACGAGGGAAACAGCGTTTTTAGCATGCAACATACTATTATTGTGTCAGCTGAACGACAAGTTGACAATTATGCAATTATAGAAACGACATATTACACCGATGTAGACTTTTTTAGTAACCGCATATCTTCCTATTCTTAGCTTTCCGTTGTTCTAATGTTCAGTTGCAATCCTTAATGATCGAAAATGATTGCGTCTAGGTCTAAGGTCAATGGGTCATAAAGGTCAGCAGGTTAGACCGGGTCACTGTACGCCAAGCGTCAGTTCGAACCACGCCACTTTGACTTGGTAAATATGTGGACTTAATCTGAAGTTTTAGCTACATTCAAAACATAATTATCTGAAAAGATTCACGCACAAGTCTGTCTTCATGCACATATTTTTTTATGGCAATGATTTGGTATCATTTTAAAATCTTGATAGAAATCTTGATAGGGCAAACGGTTAAAATGCAGGGATTATGTCTGAAAAGTGAGATTTTTTGGGATTGGGCCCCCGGGGTAGCCGATCCCGGGAGTGACGGTACATTGCAATGAATGGAACACTTTGGGAAATAAGTCATCTTGCGTGTTGAGGATACGGCGCTCCTTACGTTGACATGCAGGCATGTGTTGTTTCTTTGTAAGTTTTTAATTATTTCAATTACTGGCCACTACAGTGTCACAACACTCAGCTAGATTAACTGCGTGCAAAACTAATCATCAACGTACTTGACATCTCCAAACTTTCTCCTTATTCAAAACGCACAAGGGGCAAACTGGTTATCTAGGTTTAGAAAGAATTTATTTATTTGAGCCTGGCGACGTAATTATAGTTTTTGTTTTTTATCCTTTATAATAGTGTTCAATGCAGATATTAAATCACTCAGTTTATTGTTAAGTATTTTAAAGTTGTCTCCGCAAGTTAAAACTCCGCTGAGGGTCAATCATTTATTCAATTCAAAATTATAGGTTTTTGGTTTAATCTATTGAAAGTCTACTGAAAGTTTTGAATCATATGTTGTCATATTGTTAAGTATTTTAAAATTGTCTGCGAGTTTAAGAACCCTGCGGAGGGTATTTAATGCTCATAGCCTACTAGACCATACGAGCTAGGCATCAATACCTCACATGGAATCATTATACATGTACATTACATGCAGTTTTGTTTATTGTACATTAAAGTGACCAATGTCATGTGTATGACATCAAAGAGCCAATCGTAGAATATATATAGAAGTTGATAAAAACAATAAGTCTATTTTAAAACTTGGGTTTGTTCTCATTAAGGTAATTATTAACAATGGTATATTTTTGCGTCCAAAGATAAAGTTTGTCCTCCGCAGATGCATCAACGCTACATGAGTCTTCTACGCTATTGATCCGTATCAGTGACCAATCAGGAGGTTGTTTTCTACAAGTTTGATCTTAGCGTGAATATAGGACCCTCCCCTTTACTTAATTAAATAGTGTTAAAACAGTCTGGAACATCTACGTGATTGTCTTTGAAGATACAACCAGGGATCAACACACAATATCATTTGAGTTGTTACAAACAAAATACAAACTATCGACATAGACAACTTTGAGGGTTTTTGGATCGCCATTCGGACATTTCAAGAATATTAGGAACAATAGGAACTCGATTGCTAATAGAAATGAATGCAGAAGTACAAATAGATTTCTAGATAATTTAGGGAAATCGTAGTAAACAAACATTAAACAGCTTTTATCAAGGAGTTTACTTCTTGGAGGATTTTGAGGAAACGACCACGTAGTCCAGTTGTAACGCAACGTAACGTAACGTGGCGTTCAACAAAATGGCTTTTCAAAACGTCAACATCAAAGTTCCGACACCGATTCTCGCCCAGCAGATGCAGCAAAGTGCAGACGTTTACAGCGCACTCACAAGGGGCGTTCCACCCGGCGCTTTCTCATCTTCGCTCGGGGGACAATTATTGATGCCGTATATGAGTCGCTCGGTACCTGGGTTGCCGTACCCAGGTGTAGCACCAACTGCTTTATCAACGATGCATCCCTATCTACCACAGCACCTCGCTATGCTTTATAAGTACCATCCACGACTACAGTTTGTTCACGAGGAACCAAAACCGCAACAGAGTTACATCGGGTTGATCTCCCTAGCAATTCTCAGTTCTCCAGATAAAAAACTCGTTCTAAGTGACATCTACCAATGGCTATTAGACAATTATTCTTATTTCCGTCAAAGGGGACCGGGCTGGAGAAACAGCATCAGGCACAATCTATCATTGAATGATTGTTTTATCAAGGCCGGTAGAAGCGCCAACGGAAAGGGACATTATTGGGCAATACATCCCGCTAATGTCGATGACTTTCAGAAGGGTGACTTTCGAAGAAGACGCGCACAGAGAAAAGTAAGACGAGCTATGGGTTTGAGTGTACCAGATGAAGAGGACGATAGTCCCAGTCCTCCTCCCGTAACTAGCCAACCGACTTGGCAGCAGTCACCTGAACACCCAGGCTGCGTACCTACGCACAATCCAATGCCGAAAGAAATACCAAGTTCCCCAATCGCTTGTGACATTGATATCTCCGAAACTAAACAGAACGAATTAGATAATCATGGTACACAACGTGATGTGATTCCTGACAAGCACGACCATATCCCCCATCAATCATTTGGAAAGAAGAATTCCCCTGTAATGAATGACGTTATTGTTCCTGCTCCAACATCTGGAAAGATCAAACGAGCATTCGATATTGATAATCTCCTAGCGACGAAGACACAAAATAAAAGACCAAAAGTTGAATGCGTCCCAAATACTAGTAACGAATTTACGCAGTCAACGTCAACAACGACTGTTACACAACGGGACCCTAAACACTCTTATCCGAATCTACAATTTCTACAATCTCAACATTATGAACTTTTACAATCGCAAGCATCATCATATTTAGCAACGTCGTGCTCATCTCATCCACTTCTCAATCCTTTGAGCCAATTGTCTGTCGTCGCAGAAAGTCAGACAGCAAATCCTGTGGAAAGTGACCACGAAGACAACGAGGAGGTGTTTTGCGACACCCCGGTGTCGCCTACAATGAACTAAATATATACATACCTATATCTAGTGAAATTAAATGACTGTTTGAAAGTAATTCTTATAAAGTATCGTCGACATACCTGTAGGTCTCAGTATTCAGTTATACGTATAATTACAACCATCCGATCGTTGATCTTCATTGTAAAAGTCTGTTCAATTTGCACATTTATACAAAAGAAAGAAATACTTATCCTCCCGTGAAACTGCTAATATCGCTCTTAATCTTTTAATTTAAAGCTTCAAAAGAAGAGTTTACGGCAAATCACTTCGTTAAGAGCCCATATATTTCAATATAATAGATTATAGCATAGCAAGGCACTACACTAAAATTATCAGTTTAACGGGAGTAATCATTTCAATGTGTTCAAATTATTTTTATGTGTCTCAATATTCTTTGTATGTATGCGAACAAAAAAGTCGATCCATGTTAAATTCAAGAACCCAGCTATAATGGCTAATGAGTTAGATTTTTGCCTTCATCTAAAACATTTTAATGAAACCCCCAAGGACAATATTAACTATGTTTCGGGAAATGAGTATAGAAGTTCGTTTAAAATTCGTTACTTTAATTTCAGCCTACATCGATTTGTAAATGAAACAATTTTGCCTGTGATGCAATTTGGAAAAAACGATAAATGTTCAATTAAGTTTTCGGGAAAATTGTTCAATCTGAATTGTTATCAAGTACTTTATTAGGAACAATATCGAAATACTGTCCTTGTATCTAATGTTTTTGTAAGTCAATATATATTTGATATCGAGCGGTATGAAATGAGTGATTTACGAATACTAGTTGTAATTATTTTTTATGAGCACTAAATATGATGTGATCAGGTTTGGTAAAAAAGGCAGATTTTATGCACAGTGATTCGAATTCAAGTATTAAGCGACTTACCGTTTCTGATATCAAACCAGAAAAATTGAATATTTTCTTGGACTAAATACTATAGTACTATATATTATTATGTTTACTGAAATGACCACAGATTGCGTGCGGTTGTATGATGTGTTAATCTTATTGTATGGACAATATATACAATAGAGCGCGTGCATTATTTATATGCACAGTATGTATAATCCTTTGATAGTGCCGAAACACAATTACTTTTTCTGTTATTCAACTTTATTGTAGGCCTATTTCAAACATACCTGTATTTATGTTTTGTGTGAATTATAACTGAAAGAAGAAAAAAGTATAAATATAAATATATAAAGAAAAATGTTAATTTCTTTTTCTCAGTTCACTACCTAATATCGTAGATTGATTAAAATAATTTTGTCCTTTTAGAGCAAATACAAACTTATTTCCCATAACATACGATTTTGTTTTCGACACTTTTCAAAAGATTAAGACTTTTTAAAAAATAGTTCACCATCTTTTTATGACCACGACTCTACGAGCAGATAGAATCAACATTTTGAAATACGTTTTCATATTTCAAAATACGATTTGCAGGGGTATACATAGTGCTATGCACGCAACGCCTAATTAAAAAAATTCAATTTTCGAACAAAAACTAATGTTGTTCAAAAAACAATTTTGTATATGATAATCGAAAGTTAAACATAATAATCACTTCTTATTAGTGGTTGTCAATAAAACTACAATACAAACGAAATGTGTTTAAACTTTCCACGGGGCCAAAAACAAAGTACCTGTGGAATTTAATTAATTTAATCTGTTACTTAAAGACTTGATTTTTTTCAGGCTCATGTTTACTGGTCCACAGCAGTTTTACCGCATCGTGATGCAATAAGTTTCATTCAAAATGGCAGACAAGTTTTTTCAGACATTGATTAACTTTCGATTGAATCCAAAAATCCAAAATCAACTTATTTCAATCAAACAACGAATAAATAAAGAAGAAACAGACGTTGAATGCCAAATACGTTGCCATGCACAAACTAATAAAATCACGATTCTTTAGAACATTAATTCAGCTCTGCAAGAAGGGAACTTTCAGTAAAACGTCATCGCAAACTTCTTAACATTTCATATCATTTCTATAATATACATTATGTTTATAAAACAGCAACAACCATGGGACTAAGTCATATATGAAGCATATGAAGATGTTGATTTGACAAAAGATTTAACAAAGTATATAGGCGAGTAGGAAATCCTCCAAAAGGCCTAATTTAGAGCAGTTTAAAGTCTTGAGAGGTATGAGGACGTAACATATACCAAATTAAAGCTAGAGACCTCTGCAATCCACTCCATCGAGCTATCTTGATATTAAATTGATATGTGTTTCTTTTTGATTTTATTGTTGAAACATTGGCTTAATCGGGGAAAAAGGTTCATTTTATACTGTATATATGGTATTTAATCCATCCGAGTGTCTAATTTGCCGAATTGTCGAATGTTATCATTTTTCTAATTACGATTTTCCCTTTGCCAAGAAATTTTCCATTGAATAACAATTATGAAGATACTTATTCTTGTACAGTATATTACGAAATAAAAAATGATGTATTCATATGATCTCAAGATTCGACCCAGATGTACATAAATAACCGGTGTTGATGTTACAACAAAAAATAAAAATAGCAATTGTGACCCGAACAAATAAACAAACCGAAACTTTATGAAGGTCTGATTCTGTACTGATTGGATAGTGGAAACATGTATTTTTATAAATCCTTAAATAATTTTTATGATTACATCAAACACGGTCACCTTTTCCATTTCAGGTAAAAAGACAAGGTTTAACTTTAAAATCGGATGACGCAAAGAGTAATGACTGTTGCTCAATGTGAATGAAAATGTCTTAAATAACATGTTTAGCCCAGATTCAGAAATATTCCAAATTCAAACAATTATATTTTACCTGAACCAATTTTAACTGAACCCATTGCAAATTACTATTATATTACTAAATTACTCCAATTTTATTGTTTAAAATAAGCCTGGACTTTGTTGTTATTGTTTTATTGTATCCCTATTTCACAATTTGAATAAAAAACATTTCACTCTGCATGGAAACTACAGTAGCTACGACACACACGAAGCAACAGCCTCGCATGAAATATTTAGAAAATATTGCCTAACATTTCTTTCCCTAAAACTGTGGGTAAAATCATATTTAGCCTCTCCTATTCATATTTGCCTCGCCTATTTTGGGATCCTGTTTTTTGTCCAATGATGCCTCACATCACACTTGACAAAAGGCAGTATTTGCATTGAAAATTATCTTCATTTTCATGTTCAACTAATTCATATTCTATATGGGCCTACAGTATATACCAGGTATTCCTTTGACTTTGAAGTGAAACAAAGGCATAGGCTAACTTAATATAGTTAAAAGAGAATTAAAAAGATCTGAATTAAAAACCACACTTCGTTTCCTTTGGAGTTTATTTATTGAAGATGTATCTCTGAGTCGATAGTGACATCTATAAAACTTCAATGTTTTTTCCCTTGAATTGAAACATTCAATGGATGATTATAATTAAAAACAAAGGAGCTGAAATAGAATTCAATTATTAATTTCAGATTAGCATCCCAGATGTTATAATCATATGTGCTATCCTGTACACATTACAGTGCAGGACAATTAATTTAATCTTTTTCATAATTGTGGTATCTGAGTATTACTTAGAAATGTACTATATATATAAATATATTTTAAATTACATATACAAATGAAATATATATATTATGTATATTTTGGATATGTACGAGGAGTGATCCAGAAGTCTTGGACGCCCCACTCTAACTTTGCTATTTTAAATGGAATTACACGAAACTTTCAGAATGAAGGTCAACATCTTAACAGCATTGTCTATAAATGTCACCAGAATATAATTTATTTAAGGTACTTTTCTAGATATTGTTTAATATGGGGCCCCTGCCACCGGAAACGGTATTTAAAAAACGCAAATCATGTCACAACTGTTAAAACGGCGAGTAAAGAAGCTTACATAGATCTCATAAATAGTGATCATTGGAAGCGCACAGCTACGAATCTCCTCGACATATACAGTGATAATTTGGAGTTGAATACTATGGATCTCACGGACATATAGTGCTAAATTTGAGTCGACAACTATGGATCTCAAACATATTCAGTGATCATATGAAGCTGACAACTACGAATCTCTTCGACATATACAGTGATAATTTGGAGTTGAATACTATGGATCTCACGGACATATAGTGCTAAATTTGAGTCGACAACTATGGATCTCAAACATATTCAGTGATCATATGAAGCTGACAACTACGAATCTCTTCGACATATACAGTGATAATTTGGAGTTGAATACTATGGATCTCACGGACATATAGTGCTAAATTTGAGTCGACAACTAAGGATCTCAAACCTATTCAGTGATCATTGGAAGCTGAATACTATGGATCTCCAAAGCTGATTTTATCTGCATAAAGTTTTTTCGCGTGACAAGATATTTTATTTTATGCAAAAGCTTCCTACACTAAAGCCATTTATCTGTATCAACACTTTTGAGGCTTGTCTCGAATTAATCTAAAAGGTGACCTCCAAACATAAAATCATCCGATGGGCCTTTAAATTAAAAATCTTTACTAAAAGTGGGTAAGCACCAAGACGAGGCAGTCCAAAAGGCAGTTGTAAACACACATTTTTATTTATTTTCCATTGAAAGAGGGCAGTGTAGTAAAGTTTACAACTCCCATTGCCAGATTTATCATCACGAATGTGCAGGTTTAAGGTACCATGGTACTAAACAGAAATGGCATAATCATGCTGGATTTGGAGTATTTTTTTGAACCAAGATAACAGAGATCTGTTTTGATCTCCAGTCATTTCAAATAGTTCAACATATCATTTACATGACCAGGATCACAATGTACATGGTCAGAATGACACTTTTGAATTTCTCAGAAAATGTGCTCCAAATCTAACATATGAGTTATGAAATAAGTGTAGAATTTTCTCAGGAATCCGAATATGCAACTAAATTTCGATCCGAATTCATGGCGTATTTCAAATCTCAAAATCACTATTTTGGCATCCCATGTTTAGCAATAGGGCTGAAAAAAATTGCAAAAACAAGAGATTCAGACTGGATGCAGCTAATATAATGAAAGCCTTAATTCCTCAAAATCAGCCTCAAAATTTGAACAATAAAAGCCCTTGGTCATAATCTAGGTCAAAGGTCTATGTGCAGTATGGCAAGTGATTCTAGACAGTCATATCTTTAACCACGAATACTTTTTAGGCATAAATACAATGGTTCTTATTAAACAATATTTTCTTTCAAGTGAACTACCTATGATGATAAAAATATCAATCAAACAATTCAAAAACTTATAAACAGGGACCCCATGTCAACATTTTTATTCAAAATGTTGAACCTCTTTACTCAAAAGAGGATCTTCTTTTTCTGTTTTTATTGCATGAAAATGGAATTAAAGCACTCTCGAGCAGAAGTTTTATTAAAGTGGCTACTCCTGAGACGAGAGACAACTCCCGGAGCAGAAGATACTCTCAGCGTGTGGATGTTGTTCTCGTTCAAGAGCAGCGGATTCACCTGAGAAGCGGCGACACCCCGAGCAGATGTTACTCCCGGAGCCTGGACCCCTTCCAAGAGACAGTGTAGCTCCAGAGTTAAAGCGCTATTGAGCGGATGTTGTAAAGAGGCTTCTCTTGAGAAGTGGCGACT